TTCTCGCCGGCGGGTTCGACGACGGCGGCTTCTGCCTGAGCAGGAACCAGTCGGCTATGCTCCGCAAGCCCTCGCCTTACAAGCCGTCCACCTACCTCGTGAAGATGCTCCGCCGGTACGAGGACCGTCACCGGAGATGCGGCCCCCACACGGCCTCCTACAACAAGACTACGGAGTTCCTGAAATCCCGCGGCGCCGCCGCGAGATCGGCGGAGATGGAGTGCAAGTACGTCATATGGACGCCCCTCGCGGGGCTAGGGAATAGGATCCTTTCTCTCTCGTCCACCTTCCTCTACGCTGTCCTCACAGGCAGGGTCCTCCTGATCGACCGGGGGAAGGACTTCTCCAGCCTCATGTGCGAGCCCTTCCCGGGAACTACCTGGCTGCTGCCGCGGGACTTCCCCATCTCCAACATGAGGTCCTTCGGCCTCGGAGACGCCCTGAGCTATGGCAGCTTGCTCAGGAACAAGAGAATCAGAAACGACGTGGTCGACCGCCCAGTCTCCGGCCCCCCTCCGCCGCCGTTCGTCTACGTGCACCTGGTCGGCGACTACAGCCTCCAAGACATCTTCTTCTTCTGCGAGCAGGATCAGCTGGCCCTCCGGGAGGTCCCTTGGCTGCTCGTGAGGTCGGACAACTACTTCGTCCCGGCCCTCTTCTTGAACTCAATATTCGAACCGGAGCTCCGCTTCATGTTCCATGAAAAGGAGGCGGTATTCCACCACCTCTGCCGCTACCTCTTCCACCCCACCAATAAGGTCTGGGGGATGGTCACCAGCTACTACCAGACTTACCTCGCCGCGGCGACGGAGAGGGTAGGGATTCAGATCAGGGTCTTCGACAAGGGGGAGGCCCCCTTCGAGGTCGTCCTGAGGCAAGTGATTAACTGCACTCTCCAGGAGAAACTGCTGCCCTGGGTTGACCAAAAGGGTGCGGTCTCCGAGGCTGACCGGAGAAAGACCAAGGCCGTTCTCATCACCTCTCTCTACTCCGGGTACTTGGAAGGGATACAGAACATGTATTTGGAACACCCGGCCGCCGGCGGCATGCTCGTCAGCTTCCACCAGCCCAGCCACGAGGAACGACAGGTGAAGGACAAGGAGGACCACGACATGAAGGCGTGGGCGGAGATGAATCTGCTGGGCTTCGCCGATGTGCTGATCACCAGCGCCCAGTCGACCTTCGGCTACATCGGCCAGGCCCTCGGCGGCGTGAAGCCTTGGATTCTCCTCCGGCCCGAGAAGGCCGCCGTGCCGGAGCCCGCCTGCGTTCGGGACATCTCCATGGAACCCTGCTTCCACTCGGTACCTCATTACGTCTGCAGGGAGAAGAAGAATGGCGACAACAGCAAATTGGTCCCATACGTTACCCATTGTAAGGACGCTCCGTGGGGGATCAAGCTAGTCGATCAAGCCGTGTAGTAGTCGCATCTAGCTCTTAGTCGCCATTCTTACAACGGGTCCTGAGTTGTTCTCCCAGCAAAGCTCAATCCTTTTCTTGACCCCGTTTTTTTCCATAAAAACATGCATATTTTACAATATTACAGTCGAAAATAAACAAGTTTACTTACCCTATGTGAGTGATAATATAAAGCGTAATGAGTTATAATTCAAATTCCAGGAGAACATATCAAAATTCATTTTCAAAAGTGTTTCCAAGATATTCACTTTTACACTACAATATTACGGATCATCCAAAAAGAATCGGAGATTATATGGCTAAGTCAACCATGTATCACAATGGTAGTTTGTAGTAGATGCTACCTGGCCTCTCCCTTCAGTGTTTCCCATTCATGACAGTATGTAAATAATTTCTTTGAACTTTTTTCTCTTTTATGCAATACATTTGCCTTAGATGGTCATTAATATTTTATAAAGCTAAAAATGATGAATCCTTACCTTAGGGAATACTTTTCGGCATGTTCACACCAGTGCATACCAGATAACAAGGAGGATCAATAAAATGATCTTGACTATTCAACATTCTAATGACAAGAAGACTCTTATCATGATCACAAATAGTTGGGTAGATGTGTAATGATACATAACTCTGAATGGCACCACAGTCATATTGGGACCACATAAAAGCACACATGAATGACGATAACATGGTAGGTGAATATATTTACTATGTAGTGTAGAGAACACAGCAGCATATTGCATGATAACAATCCAATTGATAAATATAACTAAAACATTATAATGTGAATAAAAATAGTTGCATTTATGGATGCATATAAATGTGAACAAAAATAGTAGTGCATATAAATGACAATAACATGTTTACAAATAATTTAAGATAATATATAAATCTTTCAATAGTCAATATTTATATACTAACTTAGTGCACTTTGTCCTCACCAAACCAACACATGACTCTGTTAATTAAACTGAAATTTCATCAGCCATTTGGTTCCAAAACCAATATCATGTATTCTAGTTTTTAAGGTCAGGCCATGTAGCTATATTCTAGTAAATATTACACACTAGGTTTTCTAATGTGTTATTATCTCCTATAATTTTTCAAAATAACCAAAATAATATTCACTAATTTACATGAAATTTGTATGAAGAATATGGTTTTTCTCCATTGAAGTATGATTAGCATTTGGTCAAGATTTGAAAGATGGGAAGTTTTCATTCTAGATATCAAACCAAAGTAGCTTTTACTAGATCATTCCAATACTTTTCTTTTGAATTCAATATAACTTATTTGATTTTTTTGGCTTTAACCAATGGATGAGAGCTAATAATTGTCCTTGAATATTAGTTGGCTAAGATCCTGTTAATTTTAATTTTTCAACCATCACACCAACTTTTTAAAGGGATTTAAAATTCATTCAGGTTTGGCTAGGCCAAGTATTTCTCAAAATAAGTGGACAAAATTAGTGTTAATTAATGTGGGGTGTTTGCTTGGTTCCTCTTTTTGACATTTCTATTTTGTTCATAAAGTATGGGAATAATTTATCTTAAAACATCATAAAGTGGATTTAGTAGCTTCACATTCAATGGTCTTTCACATTTCAAAAATGACTATAATGATGTAGGTCTACTTTAGGGCATAATAAAGATGATAATCCTCTCTTTCTAAATTCAAACAAAGATACATTTTTCACTAAACATTTTATGAGACATGACTATTTTTGCACTAAATATTTTTCCTTGAACATCTAGTGTTTGTAGCCATTTTATGAGACTCTAAGCTAACACATTTGAATAGAAGGCATCTTTTCAGGTAATGTATATTTATAAAACTTGTGTAAACATTGATCCTAACAATTGACAAATGGGTTTGGCACCTGCCTCAAGCAGGAGGTGGACAGCCACAACGTGATGTCCATGCCTTTTCTTTGATCTCAATCTTTTCCTCAATGAGCTCACTAAATCTCTCTATCATGGTCTTGGTTTGGCTAAAGCAAATATAGTCTTGCAACAATCTGTTGAGGCCTTAACCTCAATAAAAAATCAACATGAGCCAAGATCTCAAATCCAATTGCAGAAGTAATCGGGTATACAAAGCTCGTGCAAGAAATAACCGAATGGTTAGTGACATTTAAGGATGGTGACAATTAAGATTTGCTTAACGATTAATAGGGCTGGTCGGGCCATTAAGCAACCACAAAGATTCTGACATAATGGCCTAGGTAAATCAGCAGCCCTCACTTATAAGAAATGGAAGAAGAGTTCTGTGTCTTATTTTCCATGTATTTCTCTCCCCTAAACTCTTGAATGAACAGGTCATTATTCAAACTTCAAAGTTTGAACTTGAGGACTTGAGGACTCTCTCTCTCTCTTGTAGTCATTATTCGAACTTGAGTAATTTCAGTCCTCTATTTCTTCATTTCCTACTTGTCAAAGTCCACCTTGGGTTCTATATTTGGCCCTCTCATCTTAGGCACTCATTACATTAATATCAGATTAACCATAGGTCATCCAATATGCTACTTAAATCCTGAGACAACTAGCTTGAATTCATGGAAAAAAAAGTTGAAGAATTCCACACAATGCAGCAACAGCAGTACCAACTTACGTCACCAAAGTTAGCATAGACAACCTCTTGAATGAATAGGTCAAGTACGAACGCCAACTAGAAGACTTCAAGCATGAGCAAGCGACGATGAACCAAAAACTCAGCATCATTGCTAAAGCCCTTGAATCCCTCCAGCTTACCATAAATCAGCCACTCTCAATGTCCACCCATCATCTCAGAAAAGAGAAGGTATTCTCTAATGAGTGAAATTCAAAGGAACCCAGCCATGGAAGATCCTACCTTATTAAGAGAAATGATAAAAAATTCACTAGACATCGTAACTCAAGTATATCAAATCAAGAACCTCCTTCTAACCAACTGAATTATCACCAACAGTCAACTAAATTGTTGCAAGAACGACGAGTAGAATTAGCCACTTTTATAGGCTGGGATCTGAGGGTTGAATCTTCAAGGCCAAATATTTTTTCTCTACTCACACGGTTATGAAGTAAGAGAAACTTAAGTTGATAGGATTGAGCATGGATGGGTTCACTTTACATTGGTTCTAGTGCCCATGGATTGGCACACCTTCCGAAATTGGGATAATTTTTGTAATCATTTATTAGAAATGTATAGCCCGAATCAGCCTAACTCTTCTTTATATGATAAACTAATAGGCCTCTATCAGCAGAATAAGGTTGTCAAATATCAGAAAGATTTCAAACTGCTCACTAGCATCATTCAAGACATCTTAGAGTCGATGTTGACAAGCACCTTCCTACATGACCTAAAGGAAGAAATGTAAGTCAAGGTCAGAGTATTTCATCTTAAGAAACATGAAGAAACAATGAAGACACTTCAACTAGTGGAGGCCAAGCTCAATACACTGTCTTACCTATCAAGGCGACAAGTCTCCCCAACCCTCAAAGAAGTTAGCAATTGGCCTAGAGCCATAATGATCACAAGTGATGGATTCCAACCACATACGATGCTAGGAGGAATCCCAAGTACTTGGGCTTCACCAGCCGACTCGAGAGTTGTGGACAATAAGACTTTAGACCAAAAGAGAAAACTGAATCTCACAGCTGCACAAATATAAGAATGATAGGTCAAAGGTCTATGTTTCTATTATAATGATAATTTGTCACAACTACAGATTCTCTTTATGTCAACATAGATGGACTTCATAGAGCTCTGAGAGTCAATCAAGGAGAACCACCAGCTACAAAAAACTATTTTTCATATGGAAACTATCCTTTAGTTCTTAATAGACAAGCATGAAGCCCTAAAATTTTAAGAAAAAATTAAGAGCATATTAATCACAATCCTAGTGGGCACTAATGTAACCCATAATTTCATCAACAATAAGTTAGTTTGACACCTCCAACTGCCCTTAGTCAAGATTCTTCGATATAAAGTTGACATCAAATCCAACAAGAAGGTAGATGGCATAGAGCTGACACCTTAAATTTTAGTGGACCTACAGTACATTCATATCTATGATGATTTCTTCTCCTTCCCTCTAGCTATGGTGAAAGTCATCCTTAATATAAAGTGGTTAAAATACTTCTACTCTAGAATGGAATGAGTGGTCCTCAAGGTGGATCATATGATAACATCGACAAAGATCATGCTCAAGTCATTGTCTAGTTGAACAAAGGTTGGAGATTTTTAGTTTTAACTCTTTTAGTTATTCCTGACTGAACTAAGTTCCGAGCCCACCACAAGGGAGTAACGACTGTGGTAAGTATTCTCAAAGGTGTCCCCCAAGCCTCACAATTTGTCATCATAGCATGAGGTGGACCACCAGATCAACCTAAACCCCGAGGTTGCACCCATCAACAATTGGCTATTTCGTTACTCTTACTTCCAAAAAGTGGAGCTGGAAAAAATGGTAGAAAAGATGCTTAATATTGGCATCATATGGCACTCATAGAGCCCCTATTCGAGTTTGACACTATTGGTATGGAAGAAAGATGGCACTTAGAAGTTTTGTGTGGACTACTGTGCTCTCAATCGAGCCATACTCCACAATCGCTTTCCCATTTTGATAATGAAGGAGCTCTTGGACGAGCTCCAAGGAGCAAAGATTTTCTCAAAACTTAATCTAAGAGTGAGGTATCACTAAATGATGTTTCGGAGATAGCATTCCACACCCACAAAGTGGATTATGAATTTCTTGTAATATCTTTTGAGCTCACTAATGCCCTTACCACCTTTCAAGCACTAATGAATTGAATTTTTTGTAGGTTTCTTAGGAAATTTGTTTTAATATTCTTTGATGATATTTTGATCTACATCCAACTACAAATTACCTGAAGAAATGTTGTTTCAAGTAACATTGAATTGCCTATGTAAAGCATTGAATCTTTGCTGCAAGGGTTGAGATGGACAAAGAAAAAATCTAAGCTATGTAGAAGTTGCCAACCCATGTAATCTCTGTGAGCTATGAAGATGTTTGGGCTTATCTAGATCTTATCGATGCTTCATTATAGGAGATGGAATGATCACCTGCAGCCTAACCCAGCTACTGAAACATGACACATTCTATTGGGGAGATGAAGTGGAAGAGACATTTCATCAACTCAAATAGGCATTGAACTAAAAGTAGACATGTCAAGTAGAGGCATCGTGGTTGTCTTGATGTAGAGATAGAAGTCGATCACATACTTCAGCTAAGGATTGTTCTCTATTGAGAAATTTACGACTATATATGAATGGAAACTAGTTGTGGTCATGTTGGCGACCTTGAAGTAGAAATATTACTATTAGGATGATGCTTCATCATCTTCACAGACCTAAGGAGCTTGAGGTTCATCTTAGAACAGTGACACTTACTACTAGAATATCAAAAATGGTTGTTAAAATTACTAATATTTAATTTTGAAATCAAATATAAAGTCAAAATAAAAAATCAACCAGTAGATACTCTATCACAAGCTCCTGACAATGTGTTACTTCAAGAATTCCAAGTGACAATGTGTGACAATGTGTGACTTCAAGAATTTCAAGTGACAAGTATAAAATCATCAATGCCCTAGAAGGGATGATTGATGATTTTGGGAAAATTCGTACTCATTCTTACCCTCCTGAAGGAATTTCACAACTCTTGCATAGGTCGGCACTCTTGTTTCTACTGTTCTTATTTTAGAATCAGGCAAAATTTTATGTGAAGAAGGATGAAGCACAAAATTCAACAATACATTGCTAGTTGTTTGATATGTCACCGAAACAAGTTCGAGAATCTATCATTGACAGGTTTTCTACGACTACTTCCCACTCTAGATAGAATTTGGGCAAACATCACCTTGGGCTTTGTGGAAGGACTACCACTTTCTCAAAAGTTTAATACAATGATGGTAGTCATGAACAGACTCAATAAATATGTCCACTTCTCACTCTTGAAACATCCATTTTTGGCAAAAGACGTAGCTCAAATCTTTGTTCAAGACGTGGTATGACCTCATAGAATTATAAAATCAATGTTGTCCAATCAAGACAATATCTTCCTCAGCAAATTTTAAACCAAGCTCTTCTAATTGTATGGCACAACCTTCCGACACATGAGTTCGTACCATTCATAGACCGACGATCAACCAAAGGTGATAAACCATGGAATCAAAACTTATCTATACTACTTTGTAAGAGACCAACCCAAATAGTGGAGCTAGTTCCTTTTGTGGGTAGAATACTAGTTCAAAATCACTTTCAATGTTTCAATTGGCACAATATCCTTCAAGGTAGTCTTCAGTAGAGACCTCCCTACCCACCATCACTATCATTCAGGCTCTTTTGTAGTAGACTCACTAGATCAGATGCTTCAAGAGAGGAATCAAGCCCTCATTCTATTGAAGTAGCAGTTGAATGAGCCCAAGCCTATATGAAAAGACACGTTGACTGCCAAAGGAAAGACCTAGAGTTGTAGGTTGGAGATTGAGTCTTCCTCTGGCTCTAACCCTATCGGCAGCACTCAATAGTTCAATGGCTGTATGAGAAGTTATCTCCATGATTTTATGGGTCATTCAGTGTTCATGAAATGATTGGTTCAATTGCCTAACACTTGGAGCTTTTTGAGATAGTTTGGATTCATCTTGTCTTCCACGTATCTCAATTGAAGTGAGTAATCAATGGTTCTGAGCCTAGTGGGTGCTTCGTGTGGAAGAAGACTTCTCTTAGGTCCTTCAACCTACCAAGTTGTGTGCAATCCATCACCAGCCTAATGTAAGTGAGGTCCTCATTCATTGGCAAGATCTATGGGCTCCTAACAATACGTGGGAGCCCCCTCACACAATCCTCAAGCAATTCCCAGACATTCACCTTGATGACAAGGTGCGTCAAATGGGAGGGAATACTATTGAGGCCTTAGCCTCAACAAAGAATCCACGTGGGCCAAGATCTCGGATCCAATTGCAAAACGTAATTGGGTATACAGAGCCTATGTAAGAAATAGCCAAATGGTCAAGGACAGCTGAACAGTTGGTGACAGCCAAACAGCCGGCAACAGCTGAGGACAATGTCCGTTAAGATCCAATTAAGGATTAACAAGGCTGGTCGAGCTGTTAAGTGACCACGAAGATTCAGACATAATGGCTCAGGTAAACCAGCAGCACTCCCTTATAAGAAATGGAAGAAGAAAAGGAATAAGCAGCGAAAAAGAAGACTTCTGGAGACCCACCTTCTCGAAGAGGTGACCCAGTAGAGAACTCTTGCGAGAGTTCTGTGTCCTACCTTCCGTGTATTTTCCTTCCCCTAAGCTCCTCCCACTCTTCGGAGTTCGAGGACTCTCTCTCTCTGTAGTCATTGTTAGTACTGAGTAATTCCAGCCTTCCATCTCTTTGTTTCCTGCCTGTCGGAGTCCACATTGGGTTCTATATTCAGCCATCTCATCTTGGGCACCCATCACGATCTCCAATTGAAGTACTGTTCTTCTCAACCGACCTCTGACCGTAACATCAGTACGCTTGTCTTCGCCTCCATAAACCACGTGTCGACTGGTTAGGAGATAAAAAACTTTTTCGCAGGGTGAATGTCGATCGGTAGCCCCAAAGTCATTGATCCGACTTATATATATCTGTCGACCACCGAACTCAATAAAGGGTCCCTCCCATTTGTCTCTCCCCGTCACAACGCAGAAGAATGGTTTCGACGTGCGCGGTAGAAGTCGCAGCCAGCGCCGCTTAGCCTCGCCGCTGGAGAAGTTCTCCAGGACGGTGCTGACCCGGAAAGCCTGGTTGGTAGTCGGCTGCCTTACGCTTGCGGGGTACGCACTCATCTCGGGGGCTTACCGGCGCCCCCTCACCTACGTCGCCGGCGTCTACACCGAAACATGGAACCACCAGCCAGAGGATGGTGAGGGCATCTCTCTCTCTCTCTCTTCTCTCTCTTTCTCTCTCTCTCCCCTCTATCTACCCCTTCTCTTTCCCTCCGTCTCTCTTCTTCTCCCTCCCCCTTCCTCTCACACAATGGGGGTGATTCTATGCTTACAAGCTTTTAGCAATGATAATTATGCATACCTTGAAAGTTTAAATTTTAATGATTTTCAGTCAGTAAATCCTCTCTATGAAGACCGTAATGACCCCCCTCGTGCCCATCTTCATCCTACCTGCCTGATTCTCTTGCCTTGATTTCTCACTCGTAAAAAATCCTGATGTCGTCTTGGTTAGATAATGGAGCTATAATAACTTTCAAATTCATCGGCATGGGGAAACGAGAAGTTTTCTGAAAATAGTAAGCCAATTCGAATTGGCTTGCATGCTGGACCTCATGGACGCCAATTCGGATTGGCCCACATTTCTAGATGTACTTACATATTCGCTCGTGGTTTTCAGATGGGACTTTCTAATACTCCTCCCTCTCACCTTTTATTGTGTGCAGAATTGCCGGATTAGTCATTCCGTGGGCGGCTTCCGAAAGTGCCGAGGGACGACTACCACGGCGGCCTTCTCGCCGCAGGGTTTGACCGCAGCTCCTGCCTGAGTAGGTACGAATCCGCTATCTACAACAAGCCATCCACCTACAAGCCTTCGGGGTTCCTTGTGCGGAAGCTCCGCCAGTACGAGGATCGACACAGGAGATGCGGCCCCCACACCGAGTCTTACAACACGACAGTCCGACTCTTGAAAGCAGGTGGCGCAGCCAGAGAAGCGGCAGAGACGGGATGCAGATACCTCGTGTGGACACCCTACATGGGGCTGGGGAACCGTATACTCTCTCTCGCATCTACCTTCCTCTACGCCCTCCTCTCCGACAGGGTCGTCCTCATCGACCAGATGGAGAACTTCGCCAGCCTCATGTGCGAGCCCTTCCCGAATACTACCTGGACGCTGCCTCTGGATTTCCCTATCACCAACATCGGCTCCTTCGATGGAAAACATCCTTCTAGCTACGGAAACCTAGTAAAAACCAAGAAGATCAGGAATGACGGGGTTGACGATCCCTTTTCCGGACACCCTCCGCCGTCCTTCGTCTACCTCCACCTAACCGGCGGGTACACCAGCGAGGATACTAACTTCTTCTGCGAGCCGGACCAGTTGGTCCTCCGAGAGGTCCACTGGCTGCTGATGAGGTCGGACGAATACTTCGTCCCTCTTCTTGCCTGTGCTAACCCTGATGTTTCCACAGAAGGAGGCGGTTTTCCACCACCTCTGCCGCTACCTCTTTCACCCCTCCAACGAAGTCTGGGGGATGATCACCAGGTACTACGAATCTTATCTAGCCCCGGCCGGGGAGACGTTGGGGATTCAGATCAGGGTCTTCGACGAGAAACAGAGTCCATTCGACGTCGTCCTCAGACAAGTGATCAATTGCACCCTCACACAAAAACTGCTGCCGGGAATTGACCTAAGCCATCCTGCCGCCGTGGCCGACCGGCGAAAGACTAAGGCCATTCTCATCACCTCCCTCTACTCCGGGTACTTGCAACATATTCGAACCATGTACTGGGAGCACCCGGCCGCCGGCGGTGTGCTCGTCAGCGTCCACCAGCCCAGTCACGAGGGATGGCAGAACACGGGCAATAAGACCCACGACATGAAGGCGTGGGCGGAGATAAATCTGCTGGGGTTCGCCGACGTGCTGGTCACCAGCGCCCAGTCGACCTTTGGGTACGTCGGCCAGGCTCTCGGCGGCGTGAAGCCCTGGATTCTCCTCAAGCCGGAGAATGGCGCCGTACCGGAGCCCGCCTGCGTCCGGGACATCTCAATGGAGCCCTGCTTCCACTCGGTGCCGCCTTACGTCTGCAAGGAGAAGAAGAATGGCGACAACAGCAGGGTGGTGCCACACGTCATCCATTGCATTGATACTCCCTGGGGAATCAAGCTAGTTAACCAGACCGTATAGCACTCACATCTAGCCATCTTTAAAGTAGTTCGTCCTGAGCATTACAATCCATCTTTTTAGCCCATTTCTTGACGCAGAATTCGTATTTCTGAAAGAAGGCATTTCCCTTCACTAATCACATGAGATCTCGTAAACATAAGTATCAGAAGACAAATATTTATAGAGGTGTATTGTATATTGTAGAGTATTATTTTTCAACTTAATGTTAAATTATGATAATAACGTATGACGACTGACAACGAATGAAAGGGAAATGCCGATAGTGGACATCCCACATGGTGGAGAGACCGTAAGAGGCCAACCGGCTACATGTTAGAGTCGCTTTCTTACCTTCAACCTGATCGTCCGCATTGACCTGGATCATTTCAAAATCCAATTCTTTAGGCGTCATTTTTGGCTCTCGTTTAGGCTCGCTAAGATAATATTCTAAATGGACCAATAAAAAATTCCTTTAAAAAGTCGAGCAATAATTCCTTGGGTTCTTAATGTCCATACACTTTTAAGTCACTCATTATGTTTCCTCCTCTCGCTCTCTCTCTCTCTCTCTCTCTCTCTCTCTCTCTCTCTCTCTCTCTCTCTCTCTCTCTCTCTCTCTCTCTCTCTCTCTCTCTCTCTCTCTCTTTCTCTCCGTCTCTCCTTCTCTCCCTCTCTCCCTCTCTCCTTCTCTCCCTCTCTCCCTCTCTCCCTTTCTCCCTCTCTCTCTCTCGCTGCGTCTATACATAAATTCGCATACACTTGTCATGCCCAAGTTTGAATTGATGAAAGCTTCTTGCTTGAGAGGTGTTCGAGCCAACTCGCCCTGCCACGTAGGACCAATGTTTCATAACGTGCACTCTACATCGAGAGTAAATATACGCCGTTTGAACACCGTCGCCAACGTGGCCGTATAGCTCGCTCTTCACATGGCCGACTGTTCTACAAAGTTGTCCTCTTCGCTGATCAACCGTGCGTTCACACTGGCAAAACGGTTTCGAATTATTGTCCTTCAAAATTATTTCAGTCCTATCTCCTAATCCATACTTGACCCTCCGCCGTTGACCAGCTAAAGGGTAAATGGCTATTTATGTAACCCGTAATTCCGTTAATATAAAAAAACTCGGCAGTTGTTTTTTAAGCGGAAGAGATTCCTAAGAATTTTGTCACGTGAACATGATGACCATGACGTCGGCAATGCGGTAACGCGTTTCTTTGACCGGTGAGAGGAAAAAAAGTTCAACCCATATACGTAAAATGTCTGATATCCCTGGGAAATAGGAATATTGTTCATTTAAATATCGACGATAACCAGTGCTGTTTCTTTCGAGCTTCGACGAGTCGTAATTGGTACCTTCTTTCTCTAACTTTTGATATCACGTCGAAGGAATATTCCAACGGTCCCAGTCTTCTCTCTCTCTCTCTCTCTCTCTCTCTCCATATAATATATATATGTATAACTTCCTCGGACAAACCACGATGAATATGTATATATGTATAACTTCCTCGAAGGAATAAATTCTGATACGATGATGAAGTAGGTGACGATAAATATGGCTGTGATGCCAGGACAAACCACGTGCTCGTGCCCGTCGGCTGACGAGCTGGCATCGGGGATTCGACCCCTACTCATCATGAGAGTGTGCATAACCCCCACCCAATCGATCTTTTAGGCCATTACTTTACGTAGATTACATTTTCTGAAAGAAATAATTTCCCCTTACTGAATGTGATCTTGTAAACATAACTAGTGGAAGACCAGTATTTATAGATGTGTATTATATCATGTATAATATTCTTATTTAATTTAACACTAGATCATGATAATAAGCTATGGTGAATAACCATTAAGAGAGAAAAAAGGAAATGTCGATAATTAATTGCCGTAGAAGAAAGGGAAGGTAGAGAGAGCGTCAATAATTAATTGTGGAACAGACCTTGATGGTCGATATTTTACCAGATCCATCTGTGCGGAGAGCTATGAACGTGATTAATGCAGGTACCCGTCTCCATTTCGTCATAGATCTTTGTGGAACTTTTTTTTAGTTTGATTTCCAGTTAGTATCTTAGCTAGTAGATGATGAAGCATTTATGATTTCCCGATGGGTACAGATTTTACCTTGAGGAAATCCAATTGCTTTGCCATATATTTTCCTTCTGGGAGTCCATTAAAGAGATGTTTGGAAGATCACACATTTAGTTTAATCGCAATCTAATTTCTCCACTTTTGGATAATCTTTCGACAGCTTTACTGTATTAATCATTCAACGGGCCACCTCCATCCGAGATTATAAAAGTAGTCCATACGCGAATCCCCTGTGAACCAATCAAAGGAAGGCCCCTATCTTCTCCAATCTTCCTGGAAATACCAAGACCAAACACTACGGATTCGCCGCTACAGCCCAGAGGCTTCGGCTGGCCAGCATCTTCAAAGGGGAAGCGGAGTAGATCCTCATGGCGAAGAGGGCCGAGGCCGAGGCCAAATACCTCGGCGGCGTTGGCGTGGCGAGGCAGCGGCAGGCCATCACCGACGGCTTGAAGGACAACATCCCCAACTTGTCCCACACGGTCTCGGGCACCAGCGCCAAAGGAGGTGATGGACCTGATAATGGTGACCTAGTACTTCGACACCATCAAGGACCTCGGTGACTCCTCCAAGAACACCACGATCTTCATCCTCCACGGGCCCGGCCATGTGAGGGACATCACGGACCAGATGCGCAATGGCATGATGGAAGCTTCTACTCCAATGTCAACCCTGCCGCGTCCGACAACTCGCCCCCTTGAACAAACTGATCAGACTCTGATTCCTTCCACTCTCACTTCTGAAATAAGTAAATGTCGCAGCCGGTTGTGCGTTGATAATGGAAACCTTGGTTAAAGACAGTTGACCTCCTTCGGTTCTTTGGAGGCTAGCAGATGACCGCGAAAGTCCACCAGGGTTGACAAAATGGGAAGGAGAAGGCAGAGGAGTTGATAACTTAAAAATAGCTCCTCAGTTGGCTTATAACCCCACAGAAAGCCGTTGACTAGAGTAAGGATTGGAACAATCTGTTCGTGGGAGTATCTCTTCATTCATCTGCTTTCGGAGGAGGCCGGCCGGCTCTTCGAAGCCATGGGCTCCTTTGAGACCGAGCTGCCCTCCTTCCTCTTCTTGGTCTTGCTCACCAGGCTCTTCACTCAGGAGATGTAGCCGTCGACGTCGAACTTCCGCTTTTGCCAAGCTATTTTAGATATTATGTCAGAGACACCGAGTATTAATCATGGGCAAACCAATCGAGTACAGACAGGTATATTTTCACTAGAAGTTTCGACGGTTTTTATTCTGAGCTCTTTGTAGCTGAGTTAGCAATTTTATTTGGAAAAGTCGATGACGATCAGCTATCTACACAAATATCATGATACTCGGTGATCTTCGCCAACGCCCATTGCATACTTTATACAGGAAATCGATAACATATTCACGATCAACTAACATTCAGTGAGATATCTGCAATTGATAAAATATACAGGAAATTTCTTTGAAGGTCTTCTAAATTTTATGCGCTATGTCACGTTTAATGGTATTTATTACTCAATAAATGAGGAAAATGAATTTTCCGTAAATTAGGGCTTAGAATTCAGGCTTTTGCCCTCGAAAAATACTCAACATAATAACAGCGTTCGGTAAGATGATCTTCGCCTATTTGATAGTTTAACGAAAATACGAACCTTTCCACTGTACATTTCACTGGACTCCATAAAACATGTAAATGTTTGGAGAAATACGGCTGAATAGAAATAGGCCATACGGGATAGAGCATAAGAAAATACCCAGGAGTGCACGAAAACAACGGGACCGCACGCCCTTGTGAATCTCCAAGAGGAAGGATGAATTATACTTTTGATATAGACGGTGTAATTTTGTCACCATCATGAACATCCCCATCCCTACTCACGGCATCGTTAGACCATCAACTCAAGGCTGACCGTGATCATCAACAATTACGTTCTTATACGTTCAGTTCAGGGATCAACGACATTGAGACGAATGCCGTAGTCCGAGGGGCAAGCACTCCCGGAGCCTCCCCTACGCCCTACTCATTTACTCTCCGTTGTTGCAATTCTGCAACCTCCTAGAGTAATCAGCGACGACATCACCTCCCAACCTCTCTCTTCCTCCCTCTCTCCCTCTCTCCCTCTCTCCCTCCCTCTCTCCCTCTCTCCCTCCCTCTCTCCCTCTCTCCCTCCCTCTCTCCCTCTCTTCCTCCCTCTCTCTCGCTCCCTACCTCTCTCCTTCTATCTCTATCTCTCTCTCTTCTCGAATGTGAAGGGGCTGTCGGTTCCGTAGAATTCACGCAGAGATCTTTTGACGCCTTGGAGGTAACATGTGTGCTGATCAATAGTCAACAATCAAAAAAATACGTTGACAATGTGAGTCAACGAAGAGCTCGTCTGATTTTCCTCTTCCCCGTTATTTCCCATAAGGCTGAATGGAAGAAGTAGAGGGATCCTGCAGAGGCGACAGTGGCGACCATCGGAAGGTTGCAGCTGCTTTTGTGTTGGAAATGATCTGGAAACGCGCTTTGATAATAGGCTGTTTAACCATGAGCTTCCTTGGGATTATTAATTTGGCCTTAGTCTCGAGAACTGACAAGTATCCCCTCTCTTTCCACGCTGGCGGCGACACCAGAACGTCACACCAGCGGCCAGAGAATGGTATGTGCATCTCTCTCTCTCTCTCTTCCCCTCTCCGTCTACCCTTCTCTCTGTCCCTCACCTCTCTCCGTCCCTACATTCCTTCCTCTGTCTATCCCTCCCTCTCCCTCACTCACTTACACACACCCGCCAATATAGGCCCATCCGATCCAATACTACCTATCACGAAATGTCAAAGAATATGTGGTTAGCTCTCGGGGAGGATTTGTTAATTCGCAGGGTCCAATCTATCATGCGAAAGATCACAGAAGTGCAACTAGGATAGAACATTCACCTTCCAGACTTTCTAACCCAGAACCCAATGAAAGACATACCTATTTTGAGAAACCCCGATAGCTCGTCAACAGGGTCATGAGAATTCAGAGCAAATCTAGATTTTTTGCATATGGGGAGTAATTTTTTCGTAGTAGTTAGCAGTTGTGAGTATTGGTTTGACATGAAGTAAATCCATCATCAGTTCAACCCTATTCATTTCTGGATGGAAAATATGCTACATAAACAGAAAGAAAGTGGGGGGAAAATTTATGTGTATCCATAATTTTCAGCGGGAGAACATTGGCTACTACTAATATCTGATCATAGGTGTTCCAATTGGCATAACATGGTGGTAGATTAAACGACTCTACTGATCGTCAGTGTCATGGACTAAACACGGGTCAAGTTATAGAAAGGAGGTGTCGAGAACTGATGCGAACCCATGTTGTGAGATGTTTACGTACCTGTTCTTTGCCATTCAGGTTTATGGTGGGTAGACTTATGTAATACTGTAGCTAGGACCACAAGGCGTCGTCACTTTATGATTACGAGGGTCAGAAGGGGACACGAAATAATGAGAAAAACACCCGGCAACTTGCGCAGGAGTCTGGAGCCCATCTCGTCCTAAATGTCATTAATTTCCTCTTGTGGGTATCTTCTTCTTGCTCTGTATTTGTGCTGCCGCAAGCAACCTCGAATTGTGCTGTAGATTCTCGGGGGGAAATTCCATTTCCATACTAGGCCTCTGGATGTGGCTTGTTGAATCTGTGTTCTAGGCTGAATGTCGAAGAGATTCCTCTCCTCACCATATGTAAGTCTCGCATTTGAGATCGTAGTTGGCAGTAAACCCTCAGCTGTGTGCAGGATCTGGGAATGCAACCTTCCTGGGGCCGCCCCCTAGCAAACGAGGGGAAGACTACTTCAGCGGTCTTCTCGTTGCCGGATTCAACCGCAGTTCCTGCCGGAGCAGGTACGAGTCCGCCCTCTACCGAAAACCCTCCCGCTACAAGCCTTCCGCCCGCCTTGTGCGAAAGCTCCGCCAGTACGAGGATCTCCACAGGAGATGCGGCCCCCACACCGCGTCTTACAACAAGGTACTGCGACTCCTGAAACCCGGCGGCGCCGCCAGGGAAGCGGCGGAGACGGGGTGCAGATACCTCGTGTGGACACCCACCTATGGGCTAGGGAACAGGATCCTTTCTCTTGCCTCCACCTTCCTCTACGCTCTCCTCACAGACAGGGTCCTCTTGATCGACCGGGGGAACGACTTCTCCAGCCTCATGTGCGAACCCTTCCCGAATACTACCTGGCTTCTGCCTCTGGACTTCCCAGTCAAGAACTTCAACTCCTTCAACCAAGGGCACCCTTTGAGCTACGGGCGCCTGGTAAAAAACAAGACTCTCAGAAACGACGTCCTTGAGGATCCCTTCTCCGGCCACACTCCGTCGTCCTTTGTCTACCTCCACCTAACCGGCGGGTACACCAGCGAGGACGCCTACTTCTTCTGCGAGCCGGACCAGTTGGTCCTCCGAGAGGTCCCTTGGTTGCTGGTGAGGTCGGACGAATACTTCGTGCCGGCCCTCTTCTTGAACAACATCTTCGACCTTGAGCTAACTCTGATGTTTCCAGAGAAGGAGGCGGTATTCCACCACCTCTGCCGCTACCTCTTCCACCCCTCCAACGAAGTCTGGGGGATGATCACCAGGTACTACGAGTCTTATCTAGCCACGGCCGAGGAGATAGTGGGGATCCAGATCAGAGTCTTCGACAAGAAACGGAGTCCATTCGACGTCGTCCTCAGACAAGTGCTCGATTGCACCCTCACACAAAAACTGCTGCCGGGAATTGACCTAAGCCACCCTGCCGCCGTGGCCGACCGGCGAAAGACTAAGGCCGTTCTCATCACCTCCCTCTACACAGGGTACTTGGAGCATATTCGAACCATGTACTGGGAGCACCCGGCCGCTGGCGGCTTGGTCGTCAGCGTCCACCAGCCCAGCCACGAGGGATGGCAGAACACGGGAAACAAGGCCCACGACATGAAGGCGTGGGCGGAGATGAACCTGCTGGGCTTCGCCGATGTGATAGTCACCACCGCACGGTCGACCTTCGGTTATATAGGTCAGGCCCTCGGCGGCGTGAAGCCCTGGATTCTCCTCCGGCCGCAGAGCGCCACCATCCCGAAGCCTGCCTGCGTACGGGACTTCTCCATGGAACCCTGCTTCCACGCGGCGCCTCATTACTTCTGCAGGGGGGAGAAAGGCGGCGACATCGGCGCGGTGGTGCCGTACGTCACTCGCTGCAAGGACGTCCCCAATGGACTCAAGCTGGTTGACTTAGGGCCTTCAAAAGTGTAGGAAGACGGAGACATCGTCAATAAAGGGCCCCAGATTAGAAAAAAAAACATATGACTTTGTGGTACGCACAAAACAGTATGGTCCACTTGATGCACTTTGTTGTTAGATTCGGCGAAACAATATTTGAAGTATGAAATCAGAGTCGGCGGTTAAAAAATCAAGTTTCATGTGAGAAGTCGCGTTCGGAAAATCATATATAATCAGGTAAGAAAATAAACCTATGGGTTAGGTATCGCCATGTTTCGATAGCCCTGACTTAACTTTTCTTTTTCAGGCCATCAAATATTATTATTTTATTTATTTTTGTCAAAATTATTAGACTATCACACTGTCACCTGATCCTTAGAAAGAAAACAAATTTCGTCCACGCCGGATGAGAGGCTTCAGACAAAGCTGAAATTCCAAAATCTAAGCCAGCTCACCCTTTGCATTTCTCTTTATTTCTCAGTGGCTAGTTTTATGGAACAGTCTCTCCTACATATCTTCTATATTTTTCTCCTCCTAGTTGTTTTACATTTACTATTTTTTTAGTTGCTTCCATATAGCACTGGTAGTCCTAAACGCATTTGCATTCTTTCACAATGCAAAAAGATTTCAGTTGAAGTACCCTACTAAGAGCCGGAATAATAGATTGATCCTTATCAAAAAAAGCTTCAAATCGAGAAGGATAGACTACTATTTTTGGTTTTGTATTGTAGCCTGACCACACAAAGCCTGGCCCAAGGAATGGGGAGAAGAGAAGGTAGGGCAATGCCTTCAAGCGAAGAGGCAGGGTAAGAGGGATGGAAGGATGTAGTAAAAGAACGTGGAGTAGAGGTAGATTGGAGCGCTCTTTTCCAAGAGTGGTCTTATGGAACAATGTCAAGGTACTACCCTAGCCTCTTAAACCTCTTGATCTCTGAGATTTGTCAACTTTCAGCATTTCTCTCACCACCAAGGTCACCCATCCAATCATGAGAAACCCGGTGATAAATTGGGAAATGATACTCCACATTAGATATGACCTGATGTTAGCCAAATCCCAAGATAACAATAGGCTCATCTTGTGATTTTGGATCCTCAAGCTTCTCATGAAGTGTTTTTCAGGCCATGACTAGCCTTGAAATCAATGTTGGGCTATATTTTTTCATATATCTTTATAAGATGTCAGTTTGGGAATTATCTATTGTTAGAAGATGGAGTAGGTTCTAGATGAACTTATCTCCACGCATGGAGTATTGAATGCCCCACCATCAAGTGACAAGCTAAAGAGAGTAACAAATGACTAGGAGAGAGAGAGAGAGTAGAATAACTTAGTTACTATACGGCTATATAAATTAAGAAGGGAGGTGACTTGATTTTTATTTTTTAAATTATGTAATTTTTTATTTTAATTATTATATATTTTCTATTTTTATATCAATATATAAATACAAAAAAAAAGAAATTGTGTATACCAGATTTTACAATGGGTGGGCAAAACTCTTTTTGCTTACATTCACTTTTGATGACTCTATTTCAATTCCACTATTCTGCCATCGAAATACGATTGACTTATAAGATCAGATCCACTATACACTATAGGCTCTAGTTTATATGCCTATATTAGAAACCACACTTCTAATAGTATTTATCTAAATGTTTGCACCCCAAACGCCTCACTCTATGTTCAGAATACCACAAGTACTAAGAAAAACTAATCGACCTAATAGACTAATTGACCACAAGACCTAATAGACTAATCGACATAACACACCACAAGTGTTTGTTGATTGACCAAGCGTACCACATACACTTTATCAAGCCACCACACCAAAGATGTGAGTCTTCTACTCAAGCATACCAAAGGTACAAATTTTAAATCTTAATGCATTATAGATTAAAATTTAAGTAATGAATAATCTTAGAATGAATATATTATATCCTTCAAATCTCATTTTGTTGTACCAAGAGCTAATGAAGGTGTTGAGAGGTGTTGCATTCAAAGAGGGAGCTCTTGAGACTTAGAGTGATCTCCACAACTCTCTTGAAGTAATGAAATATTGCCCTTGATTCTTCAAGGGTTGAGAAGAATTGATGGAGAAGATAAACATCCACTAAAGTAGTAGTCATCATTTGAAGTTCGTGTTTTTTCTCTTGCCCTAATTTGGGTGAAATGCCCCCTTTATGAGCAGGCTGAACAGCCTCTTTTTGGCCTTTATTAGGTTAAATAGTAATGATAAAGCAGGCCTTAATAGGCCACATATATTTTGAAAAATACAGAAAAATGATCACAAAGAATGAAAAAAAATATAACTCTCTCAATACTTTTAAGTTTTGTTTTCAAGAATGATTTTCAGCTCTATATTGCTCATTGGATCAACTTTACATTTGACTTACACATGAATATATTTGTGACATATTTTCTAAGATCAAATTATTTTAGTAGGAAGGGGCAAGCTTCTTGATTGTTTTGTCCTTGTGTAAATATATTAAATCAATAATCTTGTAAAATTCATAACAAAATCAACACCTTAATCATGTCCTTTTAAATTTATTTCATTTAACTCATCATTCAACATTTATGTTTAAAAATATTTCTATATTAGTGAAATAATTCGATATAAAAAATTCAATTGTTAAGATTTACACATAGGATTATAACATATTTACGTTACACATACTTTTTATTTTTATTTATATCACTGACAAGAATTTAAAATATAATAAATCATTTCTTATGATCTATACCTTAAATCTTTGCTTAAAGAAGATGTATATTATTTAATATCATCTAATATATCAATCTCTAATTCAATTTACATCACATATTATCAAATTTATGATTTCTAATTAATGTCTAAAAATCATTAAAATCATAATGAGTTAATCCATAACTAGTAGAATACATGACAGCACATACTTATACACTACGACAATTTCAACATTTGGCAAAAAATTACAGATGAAGAATGACAATTCTAACAAGAAACATCAAATTGGTTAAACCTAAACTCCACCTTCACCACAACACTCAATCAAACTTTCACCTTCACACTATTAATCAGGATAAATACAGACTCATCTCCTTTTTATGGGTGCTCCCCAACCCCTCAACCCTTGCAATCTTCTTGCGGAGATCAAACACAAGATAACTCTCCCTATATGCTCATGTTGACTACAATCATCCACAAGAAGAATGAAAGAAAAATCGTTATATCTATCATGGGGGTACATGGGATTCATCCTCTTTGGTGCCACATCATTTATAGAAGCAAAGAGGGAATGTGTTGATTGAGAACAAGAAAATCCTATCTGTTTTTGAAGAGGAACTTCATCATGCTTTTTATGCATCCAAAAAAATTCTAAATCATGTTTCCATACGAGAGCAATAGTAAACGACCAAAATAAGAGATTGCATTTACTGTTCAACTATCAAAGGGAACTATATTGAGTGAAATTGTTGTATTATTTACTTTCAGCCATAATAGTTGGAAGTAAACAAAATCTTATCATCCGTCTTCATCAATTGACATTTTTCGAAGCATGTAACCAAACATCATCCTTCTTCCTATTCATCGATCTGCATACTAAATCAGGTGGTGGCCTTCCATCAATCCTCACATTGATTTTTTACAAGGTGAGAATCAGTCCTAGTAACCATATTTCATGGTTTTAAAGTCTTCTTTATGAAACTTTACATCTCTCTCTCTCTCTCTCTCTCTCTCTCTCTCTCTCTCTCTCTCTCTCTCGCTTTCTCATTCCTTCACTCCTGCCTTCCATCTTTAGGAGCATGAGTCAGTGGGAATCTCTAAAGGTTCCCCGCAAACAGCACAGACATCATTAAGAAAAGTCCACGGCATGGAGAGAGAGAAGGGGGTGCGGGGAGGGGGGGAGGGGGGGAGGGGGGTGTTGTATATCCGTCTGGTCGGTTCTAGTGAGCATTCACTTGAAACTAGGCAAACCTCGATTGACTCACTCAATTGAGATAATAGTTTAAAAACACAGAAATTCCAGTGGTCCTGCTTAGAGTTTAATTAATAAAAGTATGTGGATCACGTCTTCCATTAAGGTTTGATTCAGAGCACCGCTGACTCTCCGCTACCAAGTCCTCTACGTGGTCTTCACTAGGAAAGAAGCCAAAAAACCTAAATGATGCGACTTTTATCAGCGCAAGCATTATTCTATGATGATCGATAGGGTTCTTCAATATTATATTACCAAGAGTACTCGCATTCCGCTTTTGCGCGTCATCTGTGGTGTTCATGTCGATGAGACCAGCGTGTCCTCCCAGCTTCCCCCAGAAAGAGAGGAAGGAAACGGGGAGAGCCAGACAGAGACCCAGAGAGAGAGATATCACCACCATCAACGGCTGTTGCCCATCGATTTCGGAGGAGGAGGGTGACCGTCTGTGGTTTAACACGCCGTTTCATCGAAAAAAGAGGGAACGTAAGCTTTCAAACCCGGTGGCGCCGTCGCCGGACATGCGCATGGCAGAGACATTCGGGAGCACCGTGTCATCTCCGTAAACATCGTCGTTGAAGTTTATAATAGCATAGACCTCTCTGTCTGCAGCACATCTGCGATTTTCACGTATCGGATCCTAGGAATATCGACTTTGATGTAAGACGAATTTAGCGTACGATCATTATCATCGACCTTTAATCATTGAAACCTGTAGCAAATCGTTCCGATTTGATTAGACTCCGTGATTGGTCACACAAAAACAAACCGGCCCAACAAGAGAAGCCCGCAATAATAGAAGGAATAATGGGGTATGGGGCCGCTCGACATCTAGAGAGAGAGTAATAATAGAACTCCACTCCTTCCATGGTCCACGCCTCGTCCTTCTCTAGCCTCAACTTTTGAAAGCGGAGAGAGAGATAGAGAGAGAGAGAGAGAGAGTGGCCGGAGGGGAGGCGGGACCGCCAGGAGGGGAGACAAGTTAACCGTAAGCAGCAGTGTTGCGCGTGCGGGGAGGAGAATAGAAACTTTGAGGAGGCTTCTTCATCCTTTAGCAGCGTTCCCATGACAACCGTCTCCACCTCCACCATCCCTTTGAATTGGAACAAGGCTCTCTTTCTCTCTCCCCCTCTCCCCCTCTCCCCCTTCTTCCTTCCCCCTCTGCCCCCTCCCAGTAGTAGTGTCCTTTGCGTCATTGTTATAATGAGATACTTCGCTAACATGATCACCACCTTTCCTTCTTTTCCTTTCCGCAATAGATGAATAAAGAGGATTAATAGTTCGATAAACCCCATGAGATGAACACAAAAGCTAAAGAGGGCTTCTGTTGGTGACCATCTATCTCGAACCTCCTCACAGATTTCCGATTTGCTTCTGCGCTTCCTATTACACTTGGATGTGATTTCCGGCCAGGGTTCCCGGCTGCCCTATGATTTCACTTCTGTTTTGAGATCTCCTGTGGCATCTTCTTCCGTGGTGGGGACGTGGATGTCTGAAACAAGAGAAGGAAAGAGACAAGAGCTTAGCATGCTGAGAAAGGTTTTTCTTCGTGGTTGTCTTTCTCTTTTCTTTTAGCAGTAGGAAAATTCCCCAGCAAGTGAGAGGAGGAGATACCGACAGAGGTCCAAGTGGGACGGCGGCAGTCTCTGTTGGTTACCTTTTGTCTCCACGCTTTTCTTCTCTCCCTCTCCCTCTCCCTCTCTCTCGCTCTCTCTCTCGCTCTCTCTCTCTCGCTCTCGCTCTCTCTCTCTCCCTCTCTCTCGCTCTCTCTCTCTCTCTCTCGCTCGCTCTCTCTCTCTCGCTCTCTCTCTCTCTCTCTCTCTCTCTCTCTCTCTCCTCCCTCTCTCCCTCCCTCTCTCTCTCTCTCTCTCTCTCTCTCTCTCTCTCTCTCTCTCTCTCTCTCTCTCTCTCTCTCTCTCTCTCTCTTTCCTCCCTCTCTCCTCTCCCTCCCTCTTCTCTGCTCTCTCCTCCTCTCTCCTTCTTGCTCCCTCCTCCTTCTCCTCTCTCTGCTCTCCCTCCTTCTCCCTCTCTTGCTCCCTCCTCTCTCTCTCTCTCTCTCTCTCTCTCTCTCTCTCTCTTCTCTCTTCTTCTCCTCTCTCCTCCTTTTCTTCCTCTTCTCTCTCCCTCCCTCTCTCCCTCCCTCTCTCGCTCCCCCTCCCTCTCTCTCTCTCTCTCTCTCTCTCTCTCCGTATGCATGTATATATGTCTTTATTGGTAAGTATGTATTTACATACATATAATATGGATCATGGTAACCAGGGTGGAGGATCGGCCAGTGTCGATCCTGATTCCAATCCAATCTCTAAACACCCATCCGAACTCGGCCCCTGGGATCAAGCCTAAAGTGGCAGATCCCCTCTTATACTGTTGGTGTTTCCCTTCTCTGTCAAAAACCCCCAAAGACACTACCTTTCCAAATCTACCGGGTCAACTCTCACGCCGTGTTTCCAGAGTTTGATCTTCCACTTCCATCCGTTACCTCATCTCCACTGGACGAAGAACCCTCGGTGAGTTTCGAGCTTGAGAAGCAACTAGGAACAAAGCAAGTTTGAGTCATTCCGAACAGGAAACATTTTGTCTTGGAGATTCTAAGATGATAGAAGTAAAAACTACGATTCGCTGAGGTTGCTCCCGATCTGAAGCACTCGTGAGAATCTCCTGCAGAACCTGAGCTAACCCTTGATGATTTATTGACTGTTATCACGGTTCATTATTGGACAACCACGGAGAGGGAACTATATCGTATTGCGCCACTCCCGTCTGGTTCTCAATGTGGGTGACTCAGAGGCGTGGAGACAGGCGGGACCCAGGCTAGTTTTCGCGGTATTTGCCGTTGGGAGAGAAAGATGGCTTACTTCAGGTTTAAATCTTCAGTCCCTGCGGCGCTCCTCGGAGGCGAAGTTCAGACGAGGGATCTTATGATGCAATAATCTTCGCGTGGGTCCCTATGCGAGAAGGGACGATGGAAGGTGGGAGGTTGCTTGGAAAAGGGTGGCCAGCACAGGCTCATGTACACAGAGAGAGAGAGAGAGAGAAAGGAGAAGAGAAAGTAAAGGGAAGGGAGAAATATATCTATGTGTATGTATTGAGAGACAGACAGAGGGATTGTGAGGAAAGTGAGAAAGCAAAGGCTAGGGAGAGAAAGAGGGAGAAAGATGTGTACATATGTAAAGTTAGAGAGAGTGAGAGACAGGGTGAAAGATGTATATATAATTCACAGAGAGAGGGGGGCAGATGTATATACTCCATATACATTGAGAGTAAGAGAAAAAAGTAGAGAGAGAGAGAGAGAGAGAGAGAGAGAGAGAGAGAGAGAGAGAGAGAGAGAGGGAGGGAGGGAGAGGGAGAGATCTGTGTGAGGTGAACCATTTGTTAACCCGTGCTCAGACCCAAGCAAAAATGTTTGGATCATAACGTAGCATATACCAACATAAATCCAACCCTCCTACATCACTAATCTCCAAGATTATGTATCTATAGTTCTCCTGAATTCGCCATCGCGGAGCGGACGGCCGACTATCGTCTGAATGAGCTGAGCTATACACGAGGCCATTTCTATTCAGGAACACTTCTCCACGTCGCTCTCCAAGATCGACCTGGGGAGCCCCTCCATGAGGCAGGAGACGGGTGGGATGGTCAGCGTCTGGGCGCCACCGTAGGCGCTCCAGCAGAACGGGTCAACGATGACATCGCCGGCGGCAGGGAGGAGCTCGACGTCGGTGAGAGTGATGTTTGTACAGGGGACGGCGTCGCTACAGCCGAAATGCATAGGTGGGCTCCGTGTGTCGTAGGTTCCCTTGATGCCGTTGTAGGAGATGTGCGAGACGTGGACGGCCGCCGTCTGGTTTGGGCAGCTCCGGCCTAGGCAGTAGTACTGGTCGATGATAATGGGGTTCCTCACGGCGTCCATGTGAATGTTCTCAAAGACGATGCCGGAGACGGAGCCCAGGCCCCCCTGCCATGTCTTGATTCGGACACCGTTATCCGAGTGCCTCATCGTCGTCTTGTTCACTGTTATGTTGTTGACACAGGCCTTGGAGTTGAGCTTCCCCAGGCTCCCTATGCTGGGCACACCAAGAAGGTACAGACTTAGAGAGATAGAAGAGAGAGAGATGAAAGAGAAACAGACAGACAGACAGACCTTATTCCATGCCCTGAGACACAGGTCACGTTGTAGACTTCCACGTTGAAGCTTCCTGCTCCGATGGAGACGCAGTCGTCGCCTGTTACAGAGATTGGCCGCCATTATGCTTGAGCAATGGATCTCGAAGGAGAAGAAGAGTGGGAGGAAGAGGAGGGGAGAGGTACCATTGGAGATGACTGAATTGTATATGCCCACAGAGTTAGAGTTCTCCACATGGATCCCGTCGGTGTTGGGGCTGAGCGCCGGCGAGGTGATGGTGACGGAGTCAACGATGACGTGCCTGCAGCTGTCGAAGCGGAAGTGGAATTGCGGGCTGTTCCGGACCTCTAGCGCCTCCACGGTCAGATTCGAGCTCTCGAAGAACCTCAGTGCCTGCGCACCCAGTAAGCAGAGCGGAATCAGAGGGAGTCTCTCTCTAAAATCCCTCCGCAATCGCTTCTCGGGTGGGTCAAAGAGAAGGAGGAGAATAGTGCCCCCACAACAGGACTATCGCAGGGTCCAGGAAGCGTTGACCCATTGGCTCCCTGTAAAAATTGTTGACCGTGAGTATGAGTACACCCAGCACGAAGATAATCCCGCTTCAATCTACCCCGTTCTGCTTACTCTGTGAGGTTTGCAGGGGAGATTCCACCACTTCTCCCCTCGCCCGTCGATCATTCCGCCTCCCCTCATCGTCAGCCCGTTGGCTCTGTAGAAAACCAGCCACTGCCGCCGGCTGTTGCTCGCCGGCCACTCGTCGGGCCCGTCCGGCGGCATTAAGGTCCCTTCGACCTTGAAGAAGAGACAGAACTGATCTGAGAAGAAAGCTCGAGGATTGAAGCTCTTTGCTCTCTGGTTTCATGGTCGTACCTGAAACGTGATACCACCGCGACAAGGACCAGCGAATATAAGTGAGGTGATCGTGAAGGAGTATTCCCTGGGGACGAGGAGGGTTCCACCGTCGACGTCACAGGCGGCGGTCCACGCCAGCTCGAAGGCTCGAGCATCGTTGGTCTCGCCATCTCCGGCTGCCCCGAAGGACCGGACGTCGAATAAATTGCCGGAGCTCGGCGAGCCGGCCGGCGGCCGGCGGTGATGACTGGGCGGCGCCGCCTTGGGAGGACGAGCAGCTGGTGGACCCGCCGGCGACGGTGGAGGAGACAGAGGGTCTCCCTCAGGGGGGAGAGCAATGCTGCGGTGTTTGTGCCTCCTGCGGTGGTGAGTCCTTCCATGGGCGTGGGAGCTTGGGGAGCTCAAGGCGAGGAGGACGAGGACGAGAAGAACCGTTCGTGGGACCTCCATCAGTGTTCCGGTGAAGCACACCAGAGAGACGACGGCGGGGCTTTAATGCACGGGCTTCTGGGCTCTCAAAGTCAAAAGGCGCAGGGATTCGCTCCCACCGCTAAGCTTTCGAGTGATCAACAATGGCGACTTCTTCCCCAGGCGGGCTCCTCATTGCCGCCTTCGTCAACCAACGAAAACCAGCCGCGCTCGGGACTGCCGCAGCATGCACCAACTGGCTGCTAACTCATGAGAGAGAGAGAGAGAGAGCATCTCAGAAAGAAAAGGAGGCATGGAGAAGGCCATTGATATAGAATGATGGGGGGGGGACTAGTGGAGGCCTCCTTCTCGTGGGTCTTCTCCTCTCCTCCAACTCCATTTATTATTCCAATGGCGGCAACCGACCGGATCCAATTGGCAGGATGGCCTTTTTGAGAATGTGGAGTGTGCATATGACAGTTGAAGGGGAGGCGAGGAGAGGAAGGGAGGGAGGACGGAGGATAAAGGCGGAGGGGTAGGGGAGGGCTGCCCTAGGGCAGATGAGTGGTAGATGAAGCATCCCTCCCTCCCCATCGCTGTCACCCTCCATTTCACCCAAAATCTAGTTGTAGGGTAGTTTGCGTAGGAGAGCTCTGAGAATCTCGCCTGAGCTTTGAGAGCTTCGGCACCCAGAAGATGAGCAACAACTTCCGCATTGCCCTGCCGCCCTTGAGGAGGGTAGATTGCAGCAGAATGAGATGCCATTTCTGGTGGAATTGTCCGATGGGGAGCTTCTTTCTCTCTCTCTAGAAGCTATAATTGGGTTGGGAGATTTGGGCGCTGCTGAGGGAAGTGGTCATGGCGTAGATGAAGTTGGTTTTCCATGGCCTTCGATCACAGCATTGAATCTGTGAGACGGCATCATTTGTGGCATAAAGGAGGCGTTTTAGAATTCAGATCCTTTCTCGGGGTCACCCATGAATTCTCGTGGCTTGAATCTTCAAATTTGATAGTAATTAAGGGAGGTTTTAATATTAAAAAAGGGAATTAAATGGGTTTTAGTTATCATTAATGACGTCATAAATTGAAAACTCCGGGCTTTCCTGGGCTATTGACAGCTGGGATCTTCTTATCAACCCCCAAAGAACCATCTTCCTTATTGAATTGCCCTCCGCGGCCACAACCAGACATCACTTCATTAGAGAGAGAGAGATAGAGAGAGAGTCTTAAAGGATCCACCTTTTTCAATAGATAACCGATCCACCGACCCCTTGCACAACCTCCATCCCCACAATAAGATCTCCCCAGCGTCTAGCGAAACCCACAGACCCAGCGATGGCGCCGGTGACCCAATCCGCCGCCGGCGACCCACCTCACCGGCGACTCAGAGCAGAGAAACACACAGGGGAAAGGCCTCAACTCGGCGGCGCCGCTGGGCCCACGGCGGCGGCGAGCTCCTCCAGGAGCACGGCGGCGAACTCCATCTGCGTGTCTTCGTCGATCGTCAGGAACAGCGGAACGTGGACGAAGAGGGACCTGATCTTGTGGAGCTCGGCGAACCAGAGCGAGTGGTAGTAGACGTAGTTGCAGACGAACCTTCCCGCGTCGTCGGAGGGCAGGACGTCGAACCCCCTCTTCACCAGCGCCTCGTTTATCTCGTTCACAGGCAGCGAGGTCTGCAGACGAGCCAAGAACGATAAGATGCTGAAATTTTTTGCACAAAAACCCTGTCGACGATCGCAAGGAGCTCGTGCAGAAGAAGCTCCTGAGACAGTTTATGCCTTCAGAAACTATGAAAACCGGGCAAAAAATAATAATTTACAATCAATGATCATCCTCTCCTATTGATCAAATGCACAAATCCACAGATTATGTGAGATAAAGTTCATTCAAGCTATGGTTTGATGGGATGGGCAACAAAAACCGAATCTGATTCAATCAGTGATTTTAGAGAAATGAAATTAAGAATATTTATTGTATTATTTGAAATTCACGTTACCAAGCTTAATATTCTTCTTTTTTATTTTACTTTGAGATGTATGATCTCGATTAGACCCCATCAAAAATTAAAAAATTAAAAATATCCTGGGAGGATAAAAGGTCTGGCTAATAAGTTTAGTCAGAAATAGTTCATTTATAATGTGAAAGATCAATCACTCAAACCTGTTCATTATGTGTTGAACAGAAAAACTAGCAAATATTCAGTAGTTTAGAGATACAGGACAGTTCTAGAGGTCACTGATTATCCTGAAATTAAGCCCAAACCATAGATTAATCTAAGATTAAACATTGGAAAATCAATAGTTATATTCTACAGAAATGTGCATCCTAAATGCAGAAAATAGCTCATTGAAACAGATGAAAATATGCTATTTTCATCCATAACTCAACTTAAGTCATGAGAAAACGGAGATAAAATTCCAGAGTAACAGAATGGTTTGAAGCACCTAAAATAGTTCATGGATTGAAGTTATTTATGGAGACCACAGCCAGTTTTTATTCTCTCGCTGATTTGAGCCAGCGCCAGAAACATCCACAATAAGTCATCTCACCTCTCGTGTTCGAGAAATGCCTCCATCAGCTGGGATAATGGGGACCCTCTGAGATGAAACACCAAGGTAACCAAAGTCAACAGCCTCGAATTATCTGGAGATTTGGGCAGCCACAGGGCGCGCGTTGACTCTACTCTACCTGAGGCTTCCATCCAAGCTCGTCTGGGCAGCGGAAGGTGGCTTCATTAACCGCTTGACTTTCAATGGCAAACCTCGTCGCACCACTGTTGACCCCAAAATGGAGCTGAAGAGCAACCATTCAAGCAGATTAAAGCAATTACAAAGCTTAAATAAAACCATGAACCTGTTCTTGTTCTAAGAAATAAGATGTAGTACCCACAAACTGATTCGTCATAAAAAAGAATGAGAGGAGCAAGGAGAAATGCAAACCATGGGCGCAAAGGACAATGTAGTCCACTGGCGCCCCTAATCTCTCCGGAATTCTGTGGCGCCTAGGGATTAAGCAACAAGCCCAACCTGGTCTCCCAATTTCAACAGGATGAAAGAAAAATCCGCCATGAAAAATGGATGATCACACGGTGCCCGCGGAGATCGAGAAGAATAAGGGAGATTCATGTACATATTTCGTCAGATTACACTGGAAAGAGCACACTCTGAGCTTATTTCATCTGAGTTCTAGACAGCCATGGAAAGCTTCAGCATCTTAGATTCAGGTGCTCACAGACAAGCTGATATCCACAGCATAATACTGACAACTACCTACCAAGTGAATAGCTTTTTCCATTCAAATCTACACGGATAATCATCACGAAACCTTAGAGTGAAGAGAACACACAAGAACCAGAGAAGAAAATTATAAGTAACTTTTTACAAGAGCTCCATGGGAAAGGAAAGGACCATGGACGAATAATCATCAATGGGAGGAGTGCAGGAAGGGGGGAGACAACTAACCCATATAATCTGTCCGGTGTTTGAAGCTCCAGCATCCCTCCCTGCCACCGCCGACTCCAGTACCTGATGAAGCTTAGTGAGGGCCCCCTGCCCTGCGGTCTCTAGAACAGTGCAGCTCCCGAGGACGAGGCCCTTGGGCAACCCTTTCTTCTCCACGTACTCTTTCAAGTTACTGACGATGATCTCAGTGGGGTTCTCAGCCACTCCATGGAACTTCTTGAAGCCAGTGATGTGAACTGTCACAGTCGAAGGTCCCTCAGACCCCATCTAGAATGAGAACCGGCCGACGACTGTCCCTGATCAGAGTCAAGACCTAAAGATGATGCGCCACAGACGACAGAATCAGGCAGTTCTCGCGGTTCCTGCATGAAGAAAGAGAAGATTGAATTTTCTCGGGGTTTTCTGCAGCAGAGAAGAGTCGTGGCTGAATTACAGCATCCTAGAGATTCAGGGCAGGGCCGTTGACAAATTTGATGGGGAATTTTTTGAAGTCTAGAAAAATGAGGGTGACCAGCGGTCAGGAGAAGCCACGGAAACTGGAGATTCTACAGGGAATTAGGGGACATGATGAGTTCACCACCGATTCCATCGGAACCGACCCAATCCATCCATGATGAGTTCTTGTAATCCTCTTGTAGGGGAACAGAAAGATTTTCCTGTAAACTCTGAAGGAGAGCCAGAGACCGAATTGAGGAAGGGGAACCTCAAGGGCATGGCGGGCAGAAACCACAGAAAAGATGGCGCAACAGAAAGAAACCCCAGCAAGTAGTTGACATACGGCGGCGATCCGGAGATCAGTCGCCGGAAGGTAGATTGATCAACCAAAAGACGGGAAAAACTAGGGAATCCGGAAACCAGAATTCAGCATCACCGTCGCAGATGCCACGTCCACTTTTGTCACGCTCACATGAACCAAATACCAAAAATAAAGACCTCCCCCACCCATTTCACGTAACAGGGAAAAGGCCGGAGGAAGAAGAGAGAGGCTTACAGCTTTTGATGAGGAGATTGGGGCTCCGCCGGTGGGAGGTGCAAGACGCCGATGGCATGAACGAGACGGTGCGAATAATTAAAACAGAAAGGCAACAAAGGTGTGTCTATACAGATATATCTAGAGAGAGAGAGAGAGAGAGAAAGAGAGGTAGAAACGACGAGTAGGTATCGTCCCCACACACCAGCTCATCAGAAGGAACGAAGTCACGGTAAAAAAATACAAAGAAAGAAAAATCGAAGGATTACTGCGGTTCGATCAATTTATAGTCAACCACGTTAACTTTCGCGGTGATTTCTCTAAAAAAACGATCCCTCTGGCTCACATCAACCCCCCATAACAATCCAACACCAAGCATTTAAAAAAACGAAAAGATAAGAGCGATCCGAGAGCTCTCGATCCGATCCCGTCCCATCCCCTCCGACCGAGAACAGGAGGGGAGACGTGAGCGAGCAAAAAGACGAGTACACACGGCAAGTGTCGTCAAAGTCAGAAACCTCGCTCGCGTCGCCTCCACAGCTCCTCAAGCCGGCGGCACGCCCCCTCCCCCTCGACCTTCGCTTTCCTTCCTCCTCGTCTTCATCCACCCCCCGTCTCCTCCATCCGTCGTCTTCCCCGCAGATCAACCAGAGCTGATCTCCACTGGTCTCCTCCTCTACCACCGCTCGCGACTGTAGACTTCTTCAGTTCTAATCCGCTCTGTTTAATTATCCCTGGGCCGTCCCAATTGTTTATATTTTCTCTTTTATCCAAAAATGATTATTATTAATTTATTACCCTTATGTAATTATGTAGATTAATTAGCCTTCGGTCCTTCTTATTTTTATTTTAAACTCCTTTTTCCTCCCCTCATCTTCACGGGTTTATTTACATATTAGTCCTCCAAATAGTATTAATTGCAATATCACTCGGAGGTAAAAGTACCGTGGGTTGTCGGCGGATTCGCGGACCTTACTGCTTCACTCCCTTTAGAAACGAGGCCTTCCTTAGCGGAAGTCGGTAAGTTCACCTCTGTCAGCGGATCGTACTTCGGTGTCGTCGCTATCCTCGGAAGAACGCTTACTCCACACGCCCCCGCCAGCCTACAACGGCCCACGGTGGTACGGTTACCGCAGGTGACGACACCGAGCTTGTGGTTGGCCATAGGTGGCTCCGCACCCGCCTAACCTCAGCTATCCTACGTGGCGAGCTACGGCGCTGGAGGCACCGGCAAACCCACAATAATATTATACTATTATTGTTTACTTTATATAATATCATAGGCGAGCTACGTCTGACGTTGATTGATGAGATCCCACGCAGGATGATGAACTAATATCTTAATATTTTGCATTTTTTTCATACACTCTTTATATTATAATAAAAAATATATTTTGCTAGACTCAAAATATTGATGAAGTATTTAACATGAGTATATTTATTATCATTATTATTATTATTATTATTATTATCTATGTCTCAAATAATATTTTAACTTTGCTTGATGTGCTATGGTTATGGATACATTAATACTCATCTAGTTTACATGGGTAAAAATGTAATGTTTAAATAGGATGTGATGAACATAATTTTATGGGGCTAGATTGTGTGTAACCAATTGATGAACCTCAGATTGGGCATAAAAGATAACATATAGCGCATAAATTAATTGTTTTTGTGTACAATAAAGTATTTAAATGTTAAAAATTAGGAATATTTATAGATGCCTTGAATAGGAATAATTAAGTATGCATTATAAGACCCTAAAAATGATATAATTTACTGGTATTTTTTTTCAGGACTTTAGTGAAAAGTTACATGGGCTGCTCTTGTTTATGCAAAAAATGCATATTTCAGCTAAAAAAATATTTCAATAATGAATTTGCTATTAGGAGAGAGAGAGAGAGAGGGGGGGGGGATGTGGGAATCGATTTAGGTTGCCGTTCTGTAGAGAGGCCCAAATAAATGCCCACTAAGCCCAGGAGGATGCTCCGTCATATTTGGGCCATATATTGGGCCACATTTCAATATTTTTGGGCCCATTTGAGGCCTTTTTCGGTACCGAGGCCCGAGAAAGCGGGCCCGGAGATGCTGAACGACCGATTTTTTAAAAAATATAAAAAATCGGAAAACCAATTTTCCTTTAAATTTTTCTTCAGCATGATACGTCACATGTCGTAATCCTAGTCTCTCTCGAGGCTGTTCGGATAGGACGAGCTTCTGCTGCACCGCGGCACAACTCCGAGGAATTCAACCCCTCAGATTTGATTGCGCGATTGTGTTCGGAGTTTATAGAAATCAGAAATTATTAAACTATCTCGCGAGGCAGCTCAACAAAGCCCTTCCATCTTCGTCCCCTCTGCCCGTGTCAGTTATAAACGAGCCAGCTCCGCTATTGATGAGTGTACGCGAAGAGTAGAGAGGAAGAGGAGGGGCGATGGCGCTGGCAGTTGCTGCTGTTACCGTGAAGGGGGCCTCAGGGGGGGGGTCCTGTTCGATCTCCAATGGACGCTGGTGGACTCCTCTTCGACTGAACCAGGTTTCGTGTTCACTATGATCCCCGATTTGTTTGTTTCGTATGAGGAATTCGATTGAATTTCATGTCCCCGTTGATCCTCGATTCTTTTTTTTAATTTCCAAACTCTCTGGTTCTAACCTCTTTATTCTCTCACCGGTCCGACCGACTTCGTTGTGTAGAGTTTCCATTCTCGGGGCGGCGTCTGGAGAGTAATTTATGCGGCTTTTATGGTTTACTTAGACACACTTTTCTGCTTCGGAGCGCATCCTAAATGCAACGAAGCTTTGCGCGCATTCGTTGAATATTTTCTTTTGAGCATATGCCAAATACCGGTGAACAAAATTTATGAAGTTTTATGATTGAAGAGCTCATTGTAAAATTAATAAGTAAAATATCGCATAAAATTCACTTATTTCTCTCTCTCTCTCTCTCTCTCTCTCTCTCTCTCTCTCTTTCTCTCTCTCTATCTTTCTATCTATCTATCTATGTATATATATCAGTCTCATATAGAAACTTAAGCTGTGAATGCTTTAATTTTATAAAATGACAGCTGATCTAGGATTGTGCACTTTCATGTGACCAGGTCACGTCAGGCCACTTCAAGCCATTTGGAATGAGTGTACGGAAAAAGAAATCAAAGAAATTATCGTATCAAGGATACAGTAACTTACCAGATGATATGGAGAGACCAGCCATGTCAGGAACGTCCATTCCCAATATTATGCCTGAAATAAAATTAGTGAATGGTTAGTGTGGCTTCCAATTTACCACTAGATCACGTGGAGACAGCAATTTTAATGCAATTTAATTTCTAAATATGGAATCAGTTTGTTTTCAAGCATCAAAATATTCCTTTTTCATTCGTGACTTTTCTTGTTGACTGATAGATGTGCGTTTTCTCTTAAAATTAGTTGGCGACAAACGAAATTTTAAGCTATTCGTTGTAAGAATAATCTCCCATTTCTCTGATCTTTGCTCATTTTAGATTTCATAATTTGGTAGTAAAAGAACTGTGGCGAGATGCAACAAACAGAGCAATATTTATTCAAGGATAAATAAGTTCTGGCACCTTATTCTCTCAATGATAAATAAATTTAGTGATGGTACGCATCATTCAATGCAAGTTTTCTTATACTCATGTATGCCTACATGCATCATCTGGCATCCTTAGGATGAGAATTCAAACTCTTTATTATATCGTTGTCCATTTTCTCTTATCTAAAGTTGAATAAATTTCATTTTGAGAACTAGATTCCTCAAGGGTGGGTAATTTTTATAGATTATAATTGATCATAATATATGGGTGAATCTATCGTGATGTTGCCCATCGTAAACATGTAGATTGGGTACAGACCTTGATCATTTGTAACATAAATCCGGATTTAGATATGTGGCATGTGGAAAGTGAAGTTGATCAGCATAAAACATTCAGAAAATTGGGGGAGGATTTTATCCCATTTCTGTAGATGGATTGTCATCAGGATTTTAACCCTTGCTCAGGCGCTCATATGATTACAAAAACACATGTTTATTCATGGGCCATTATGGCTCACGCTCCATGTTTTTAACGTCTAATTTCTGTAAGACGGCTCTTGATCGGTGAATATGGAAGTGGATATCTGAAACTTTTGGTAACCTCAATTTTGATGGCATAACCAGGAAAGGTTCTATTTACAGAAAATAATTTGGGGATTGGCCATTCTGGGATGCAAGGAATAGAACATGGTTCTAAATAATTAACAGGTATAAATAGGCCATCGTACTTTAATATCCATGTGGAAATTCTGACTACAATGTACACATATCAAGAACCAACTCACTTGGATGGCAGCTCCAGATGCATCTGCAGAACTGATTAATGTCTGCTAGGAGATGAGCCCTTTTAGTCGATTAGATTTTCTTCTTCTGTTGTCGTTGTAGTCGAAGATATTTCACCCATTGATTTCAAACAGGGCTTATTTGTAGACCTAGATGATTTCATGCTTCTAAACTACTTCCCGGGGATTAGCCCAGGTTATTTGCATAATGTTGTTCATTTTGTGTGAATTTCGAGGTAAGTCAGGTAATGTTTCTGATTACTTTCTTCCAGATTTCTTGCCGCAGTCATAGTGCCTTTGTCGATACGGGGTGATATCTCAACGCCATGATCACTTCTGTGGACATCGTGCTAGTATGCTGACGGTTTGGACGTTTTTTCCGCCATCCACAGAGTGAATGGCACAATCTTGGAACAACATGGCTGTAAAATATTAGATATAAGCTTATTATCATAGGCAGATGTTTCAAATAGCTACAAGAACCAAGAGAAAACGAAATTAGCATCATTTTCTGTGATAATGAAAATGTTTTACAAAAGACCAAAATAGTATTTCTTGGAGTGGTTTGATCATACGCTTATTCAAAGTCGTTGAAGTTGAGTGTAAATTTTAAATAACATTTATTTTTTATTAACCTTTATTTATTTCCTTTCATCTGTCAATGAACTGTTCTAACTCTGTGTGTTCTCTGAGAGGCAATTATGAATGCATTTGCAGACTCAGCTCAAGATCCATCTTCAGCTGTTCAGGTCGTTTTAGAAAATTCTCTCTCTAATGATCAACCTTCTGCTTCCAGCCTTGGTGTCCATCCAGTGGAAACCCCAACAGTGGATACAAGGTTCTATTCCTTCGGCCATTCAGGTGATAGACCACCCTCTCTTTGTATAGCAGTTATAGGGGCCACTGGTGAGCTAGCGAGGAGCAAGGTTTTCCCTGCATTGTTTGCTCTGTTCTACAGCGGCTTTCTCCCTGAGGTCATGCTTCTTTCATATTTGCACCAACTTTATTGCTAATTACAGAGAGTTGACTTCTAGATACATACTATTTTCTGCAATTGGCTTTCACTCATCATCTGCCATAGATACGAATTTATTTTTATTTTTATTTTATTGGGCGCAGAATGTTGGTATATTTGGCTATTCAAGGAAACCGCTGACAGATGAAGACCTGCGGAAATTAATTGCGGAGACATTGACTTGCCGGGTAGATCACAAGTACGTCCATCCTCATTTATCATGGCAGAAAATGGACCCAAACCATCTGTTTTCTTTTAGAACTTCACACTAAGATTCTTTAGTTTTGGTCAACGCTTTTGACTGAAGATAGGCAACGGTCAGATAACTTTTTAGTTTACATTATGATCAAGAATCTGGGGCTACCTTACGGAATTTAGAACTTTTCTTGAACAGTGAAAAATGCGGAGATAAACTGAACGACTTTCTCGGGAGAACATACCACATCAATGCACGCCATGATAACAAGGAAGGGATGAGGACGCTCAATTCTCGTATGGAATCAATTGAAGTAAGTCTGTGGGTAGATTGTTTTTTTTATTGGGATTATCCATATCCAGCAAGTCCGTTTTTTTTCCCGTAATTAGCCTTTTCTTTTCAGGGTAATCATGAGGCAAACAGGATATTCTACCTCTCGGTGCCGCAAGAAGCCCTCTCGGATGTCTCATCGTGCCTCGCTGACTTTGCCCAAACCCAGAAGGGCTGGAACAGGATAATCATCGAGAAACCATTTGGTTTCGATGCGGCGTCATCCCGCCAGTTGACTTCCTCTCTCTTGTCCAAGTTTGAGGAGAAACAGATCTACAGGTCATCATCTTCACCGAGGGCAATGATTAAATGATTTCAGTCATTTGTCATATAAGTATCTGGGCCCCTGATTTATGAACTAATCCCAGAAACACTACCATAATATCATGTCTTGGTCCAGATAAATCGTTTATGTATATTGTTTGACTTTTCGTAATATCTCCAGGATCGATCATCTGCTGGGGAAGGATCTGATCGAGAACCTCACCGTTTTGAGGTTCTCGAACCTTGTCTTCGAGCCCCTGTGGAGCCGAACTTATATACGTAATGTGCAGGTACACCTGCTTCCACTTTTATATCCCCCAGGCGGCGGATTCCCCCCCTCTTATTGATGTCGTTTATTGATTTCTGGCTTGGTGCAGGTTATCTTATCTGAAGACTGCGGCATAGAGAGTCGGAGAAGGTTGTCATCATGAACCAATCTTGCCCATTTATTCGTTCATTTATTCGTTTTATAATGTCCACAGGCTGGTCAAACCCCATGAGCCAATTGACCAAGCATGGAGAAATGCTGGTCAACGGTGGTTTCGTGCCTGGGATTTAGAGAACTGGTCCTCGAGTTCTTGGAATCTCAATCAATATGAACCCATCACTTCAAGTTTCATCTTTTTTTATTTTTTTAATCCTCCGATTATTTATTTTTATTTATTTTTCCCTCCGAGCAGATACTTCGATGGGTACGGGATAATCAGGGACGTGGTCCACAGCCACATCCTCCAGACGATCGCGCTGTTCGCCATGGAGCCGCCTGTGAGCCTCGACGGGGAGGACATTCGGAATGAGAAGGTGAGTCAAGTCAAACTTCCACCTCCCCTCTTCAGGGGTTGACTATTTCAGTTCGGGCCCAAGGTTTTAATATAAGAAATCTCTTACTCAGGTCAAGGTGCTTAGTCTTAATCTTTAATCTAAGAAATATCTAATTCAGGTCAAGGTCCTCAAGTCAATCAGAAAGCTGGAGCTCGGTGATGTCGTGCTGGGCCAGCACAAAGTCAACCCTTCGGTGATGCACGGGGAGTATCTGACATCTCTGACGCCGACTTTCTTCGCCGCCGCGCTCTACATAGACAACGCCCGGTGGGACGGCGTGCCTTTCCTCATCAAGGCCGGGATGGGCCTCATCAAGCACAGGTCAACCCCGCTTCTTAAAAAAAAATTACACCCAAAGTGTGACGTGTGACTTCGGATTTTCGTTTACTTTGGAGTTGACTTTCGCGGTGGGACAGGGTGGAGATCCGCATCCAGTTCAATCACGTGCCGGGGAACATCTACAGGGAGCGGATCGGCCACAACATCGACCTGACCACCAACGAGCTCATCCTCCGTGACGCCCCCGGCGAGGCCATCTTCCTCAAGATCAACAACAAGGTCCCCGGCCTCGGCCTCCAGCTAGACGCCTCCGAGCTCAACCTCCTCTACCGGGACAAGTAAGTCATCTCCTTCTCCTCCTCCACTCCGCCACCGCCGCCGCCGCCGCCGCCGGCGGCCGACCTGCAACTCCGGCGGTGATGTGGGTTTTTTTCTGAAGGTACAACGTGGAGGTGCCGGACTCGTACGAACACCTGCTGCTGGACGTGGTCGACGGCGACGCCCACCTCTTCCTGCGGAGCGACGAGCTCGAGGCGGCGTGGGAGCTCCTCACGCCGGTCCTCCACGAGATCGACGAGCAGACAGTGTCACCGGAGCTGTACGAGTTCGGCGGCCGAGGCCCCGTCGGCGCCTACTACCTCGGCGCCAAGCACGGCGTCCGGTGGGCCGACGACTAGGCGCTGATGATGCTGTGGAATCAACCCTAAGAGGTGGAGGACACCGCCGGCGAGGAATCTGGTTCTCTTTTACTCTTCTTACTTGAATTGCATTCTCTCCTGTACTGTAATTATTTCTCTGAACAGTTTGCTGTATATGAATTGCTCTTTGTTTTCTTGTAATTTTTCGGGTGATCAGGCTGCGAGTCGTTCAGAGCTCTCTCTCTCTCTCTCTGACACACACACACACACTCACTCACTCACTCATTCTCGTACACACACACACAAGTCATGAGGGGGGTTGTTTCTTCTTCTCAGTCAGAGGAGGCTAGGAATGACTGCTCGGGGGGAGCGGAGGAAGAACCCCAGATGCTGCTTTGCCGGAACCCTACTCTCTGGTAACACTCGCCTCTAACTGTGCTACGATGACCCCTGAACAGGACTTCGTGCCGGCGGGGTGGAACGCCGCCACCTGCGGCTCCTCCTTTCCCTCCTACGAGACTCCCCCCTCCCGGAGCTTCTGGAAGGCGGGTTCCTACCACCCAGCTGGCGGCGCCGCCGCCTCCCGCTCGCCGGAGCAAGACCCCGAGGAGCCCTCCGCTCTCAGCCGCGCCCGCGTCCACCCCAAGTTCCTCCACTCCAACGCCACCTCCCACCGGTGGGCGTTCGGGGCGGTCGCCGAGCTCGTGGACAACGCCGTCGACGAGATCCCCCGTAGGGCGACCTTCGTCAAGCTCGACCGTCTCCGGAACCCTAGAAATGGCTCCGACGCCCTCCTCTTCCTCGACGACGGCGGCGGGATGGACCCCGCCGGCCTCCGCCGCTGCATGAGCCTCGGCTTCTCCGCCAAGCCCGCCGGCGGCGGCACCACCAGCATCGGCCAGTACGGCAACGGCTTCAAGACCAGCACCATGCGGCTCGGCGCCGACGTCGTCGTCTTCACCCGCTCCGGCTCCGACGTCGGCGGGGGATCGGCCACCACCACCCAGAGCGTCGGCCTGCTCTCCTACACCTTCCTGACGAGGACCCAGAAGGACGACATCGTCGTCCCCGTCGTCGACTTCCAGGTAACGGCCGGCGAGGTTTCGGCGCCGCTCACCGGCGCCGCCTCGCCGGCGGACTGGAAAGAGAACCTCCAGACGATCCTCGACTGGTCGCCCTTCTCCTCGCAGGAGGCCCTCATGGAGCAGTTCGCAGAGATCGGCTCACGCGGGACGAAGGTCCTCGTCTTCAACCTCTGGCTCGACGACGACGGCCTGCCGGAGCTCGACTTCGGCGAGGAAGACGACGACGACGACATCAAGCTCCGGCGAGAGCTCTCCACGCCGGCGGCGAACTCCTCCAAGATCAAGACGGAGATCATCAACTCCCACATCTCCCACACCTTCCGTTTCTCCCTGCGGGCGTACCTCTCCATCCTCTACCTGAGGGAGTTCTCCACCTTCTCCATCTTCCTCAGGGGGAGGCCAGTCCGGCAGCTGCGGATCACCGACGAGCTCAAGTTCGCCAGGAGGATCACCTACAGGCCCAGCCTCCCGGCGGTGCCGTCGGTGGAGATGACCATCGGCTTCGCAAAGGAGGCCCCCCTGCTGGGGATGTACGGGGTCAACGTCTACCACCGGAATCGCCTGGTTCTGCCATTCTGGAAGCTCTTCCACGACGGTAGCAGCAAGGGCAGGTGCGTGATCGGAGTTGTGGAGGCAGATTTCATGGCACCTGCCCATGACAAGCAGGACTTCGAGAGGTCGCCGGTGTTCTTCCGGCTGGAGGGGAGGCTCAAGCAGGCCATCGCCGAGTTCTGGAGGAGCCACTGCCATCTCCTCGGCTACCAGTCCGGCCTCCAGAGTGTGGCCAGCGACGGGGGAAGCTCCGGCGAGGACAGAACGCCTGCTGATAGTGGCGCCGAGGATTCTGCCGTCGTCGACCGGCTAAGGGAGGAGAACCTACAGCTCTTTGTCAGGCGGACTGAGCTTAGGCGCAGGGAGGAGGAGCTGAAGAAGACGATTAACCAGCTGGAGGCGGAGCTTGCCCTCACCCGCCAGGAAAGCTCTAGACTCTCTTCAGACATTGAATCTTGCCACAAGCGATAGCAGTATGCTCTGAGGGAGGACGACTACTAGCAGGGAACTGTAGATCGGCCATATTCCGGAGACCTTCGTCATCCAAGGGCCCTGAACTTTATTCATTTCGTTAAGGGAGAATCGAGAGGATCCAAAGAAGCAATTGAGGACATCACCATGAAACCCTTCAAAAATTCAAGCTCGACATGTCATCTAAGGGTTCTATTTCTTGTGAGATTAGAAATATGGTCTAAACATTATTACTGGGCGAGAGTTATGGATCTTGGCATCAGAACACGAAATTGCATGTACCAATCAACTTGATAACGCTTCCAAGAAGACCTAGACAATATTAAACTTGTGAACAACTCAATTATGGATGACTCATCGCTAAAGCACATTTAAGTTCTAATGCAACATTGAAGGGAGAACACTCATCATTCTTATTGATAGCAGCACCACTCATAACTTTATCTCTAAGCAGATCATCTACCATTGAAGCTTCTGATTACAACCATGACACAAATATGAGTTTTAGTGGGAACTTGTCAGAAGGTTGAGTATAGAGTTACATCATCATAGCGATAGAATACTTCCTACTCAATTTAGCCAACATTGAGCTTATATTAGGCATGAAAGGATGAACACCATGGAGACTATCAAAATAGATTCAGAGTAGAGAATTGTATCCCTAATGATGGTCAATCAACAAGTGATCATTTGGACTGATCCACCACATAGAGAAAAAGATCTCTTTGATGATGCTATCTAAGGCTTTGGAGTGAATGAATGAACTTCTAACTGAGTTATGTCAACTCATAGTAGAAGTTCAACAATTGGACATCATCCATCTCAACATCTTGGAAACATCTTTGAGCCCAATTTTTCAAAGTATTTGAACCAATCACACAACTTTCTTTGAAGAGAGAAATTTTGATCATGCAATCATCATAGAGTCAAATTCCAAGCCCATCAACACCTACTACCCATTTTAGTACCCTCATATTCATAAGATTAAAATAGAGAAGTTTGTTTAAGAAATGTGTGCCACTAGCATCACCAAACATTTCACTAGCCGATATTTCAGTGTAGCGCTTCTTGTAAGGAAAAAAGATAATTTGTGATGATTATGTGTGAATTATTGTGCACTCAAGAGAATAATTATTTTGAACATATTCCATATCTCAATCATCAAGAACTTCTTGATGACTTGCACAACAATATCACCAAATCTGAATTAAGGAAGATTATTCCCAAAATATCATTTTGAACTCACAAGGAGCATTATAAATTTCTCATTATGCTTTTAGGTTTTTCAAATATGCTAATTATTTTTCTAACCCTTAAATTGTATATTATGATAATTCTTTTAGAAATTTGTGTTGGCTTTGTTTGACAACATCTTGATTTATAGCCTCAACATTGATTCACATGTACACCACCAACTTAAAGTTTCATCTATATTTCAAAAACATTAATTACATATTTATGTGTTTGGTCAAGATGAATTTGAATACTTAGGACATTGAGTATCCACTTGGGGCATCACAATGGACCAATACAAGGTTGATGAATTGTTAGATTAGCCCTACCAAACTAATCTAATAGAATTGTGAGATTTCTTGGACATGGTTGGTGATTAACAATACTTTATTGTCAGATATGACTCGCTCACATAACCACTAACTCAACTGCTGAAAAAGGATGCTTTTCAATGTGGTCTAGATGTTGAAGTAGCTTTCCAACAATTAGTCTCTTAACTTCAGCATTGATTTTGACTCTTCTAGATTTTTCACACATTTTTGAGCTAGAAATGGATGCTTCAAGTTTCAAGAGGTACATATGTAGAAAATGTTGACCTACTATATTTTTTTTAGTTAGACAATTTCATCTCCAAGAAATATAAGGATGATTTGTGAATCAGAGTTGATGATTGTAATATTTGTGTTGTTGAAGTGGAGTCACTATCTACTATGGAAAAGGCTTTTATCTATGTGCATCAACACATTCTCAAATTCATTTTACTGTAATGACAAGTGTTACTTGATTATTAGAGGTATTAGTCTAAAATCATCAGTTTTGACTTTGAAATCAAGTATAAGACAGTTGTAAAAAATCAAGCAGACAACACTCTATCTTGGAGACCCAATTTCATGGATCTTCACTCAATAGTATTAACTTGTCCAAAACTACAAAATCTAGATTGCACCATGCAGGAGAATGGGGTAGATCTCATACTTAAGTACATCATCAAAGAGATATAATAACAACAAGAAAAATGGCCCAAGTTTTCACTATATAACATCAACACCTTTTTCACAATGAATGTCTTGTGTTCTCAAATGATTCAACCATCATACCTCATATTATGTATGAATTTCATTCTTTTATGGCTATCATATACTTAAGCTTCTTCTGAGCATTCAAAGGAATTGGACCTAACATATATTCGTTTGGGATGAAAAAGGAATTGTCACTATGTCTAGTCATGTCCAATTTATCAACAAAGCAAAGAGAAATGTTTCTTACCAACTTTTTCCAATTTTTATTTGTTTCCAAAAAGATTTGGAATGAGATTGTAATGAATTTTATGGAAGTACTATTTTAAGTCTAAGGAATTTAATGTCATTTTAGCATTGGTCAATTGATTCAATAAATATATTCATTTCTCTCCTCTCAATCATCTTTTTAAAACTCAAGATGTTGACAAAGTTTTTTGCATCCATCATAATGGTTTGCAACAAAAATTTTATAAACCCTTTTTAGAGATAACTATACAAACTACAATAGACTCTCCTACACTGCAGCAAGATCAGTCACCTCAGACTAATGGATAAACAAAGGTGGATAATTGTGGGCTCAAGACTTATTTATGATGCTTTGCTAATGATTGTTTCCAATAATAAAGTAAGTGGCTTGTTTGGGCCCAATTCTAATACAATACATTATCATTCATTTACATTTACCACTAAATTCAACATCATCTATAAATGGGATCCCTCAATCTTACTTTGGTATGGGATGCAAAAAGTGAGTGATGACACTGTAGAGAATCAACTGCATGAGCGAAGCACAGCACTTGATCAACTCAAACACCACCTTGCTTAAGTCCAAGCCTAGAGGAAGGTTAAGCAAATACTAACTGTTGGAACATTCAGTTCACAATTGGTGATTTGGTCTACCTTTGTTTCTAACCCTACTGATTATAGTTGCCCTTACAAAAAAACTCAATCTTTGCTATTTAAAACCCTTAATTGTTTTGCAACATGTAGGACCAGTGACCTATCATCTGGTTTTATAGTCAACTACGAACATTCATTTGGTCTTCCAGATGAATTAAACATCCTCACTTAAGAAATCAACTAGATGTCCAAGTTAGAGTCAACCATTGGCATTGGAGCCAGATGAGGGCCTCACTTAAGGCGTGATTCTAAAAGAGATCCTAGGAACTTAGACAAAAACCTCTTAGAGTCAAGATTTTATTCCAATAGATAAAAAATTTAGATTCAAAACCCACTTGAGAAGATGTGTAGAAACTCTAACACTAATTTTGTAGACTTTCCACCTTAAGAACAAAGTGAATCTTGTGGGAGAAAGTGTTGATGTGATCCTCACAAGTCGTAGTTATCCCCAAAAAAATAACAAGCAACGCTTCAAGGAGCACAATTGCTAGAACTCACTGCAGGAGATGTCTGATCATCTAAAGTGGTTTCATCGTCACTTAAGTTGTTTTGTCGTTAGTCAGTTAGTTCTCTCAGATGTCCTTCTTAAAGTTAGTCGTTGACCCCTGAGCGTGCGGAAGTTGTATATAGAATTGTCTAGTGAAAGCCTCGGGATACTGTTCATGGATAAGTGGCCACAGTGATGTCGATCCCTTAACATTCCCTCCACATTCTCTCTCTCTCTCTCTCTCTCTCTCTCTCTCTTCAGGGGGAGCAGAAACTATCGAGCCTGAGACGGGGCTTGGAGAAGTCGGCGGTGAGGATCATGGCGGCGGCGGCGGCGTTGGCGGCCTCGGAGAAGTGGACGCCGTCCCAGCTGAGGAACCGGGCGGCGCCGCCGTCGGGGCATGCCTGGCTGCCCGGGTTCCCGCAAGTGACGTTGGGGTTGTAGTTGTAGACCCCCCCGCCATAGCCGCAGCAGGTCTTCAGTGGGCTCTCAAACCCTGCAACCAACAGAGCAAGAAGAAGAAGAAGAAGCTCAGGAGGAGATGGATCGTCTTCTACCTCCAGCTCCTCTTCACTCACCGTGGGAGGCGTGGTCGGCGATGAGGGCGTACTTGATGGCGTAAAGGTCGGTGAAGACGACGGCGGCGTTGGGGAGCTCGCCAGCGAGGTCCTCGCAGAGGAGCTTCAGGCCGTCGTTGAAGGCCCGGGCGGCGGCGTTGAGCTCCGCGAGGCAGCCGGCAGCGTCGACCTCCGCGCCAGCGGCACTGTAAGCGACGAGCTTCTGCGGCAGGCAGCCCAGCGGCCCAGTCCCGTGCACCCAGAAGCGCCGCCCTCCTCCTCGCCAGTAGATCGTCTGCTTTCAAAAACCAGTCACGGCCCCGCCGCCGCCGCCGCCGGGGGTGGCGGAGGAAGAGGAAGAGCATGCGGAAGAAGAGTACCGTAATGGCGCTCTTGATCTCTGCAAGAATCGCCGGAATTCGCTCGGTCGCCGTAGGAGGAGAAGAGGTTCGGCCGGAGGACAAGGAGAAGGAAAGGTCGTTCTGGCCGATGTCGAGCATGTAGAGCGCGTTCTTGAAGCCCTCCTCGTCGATCAGATTTTGAGCCCCACCTACACATAATCAGGAACTAAAGACGACCCAAGATCGTGATCGAAGATGGGATTGGAGCAGGTTGATTACTAAAATGCATGATTATATATATATATATATATATCTATATATATATATATATATATGTTAGGTGATTAAACTTGTTTTTTATCATTTTTCAAGAAGAGAACGAGATTGATATATGTTCTTCCCATCAATGCAGCAAGAAAATCGATTGATATGAATTTAAAATAGTTAAAATATTATTCATTTTAAAAAATACAATTTTGTACGGATTGCAGCCTCAGAAAAATAATATACTGAGACAAAAGTCGTCATTTTCATTTTTTTATATGTTTATTAAATAAGATTTATGATGAATATATTAATATAAATACAGTTGGACCCTTTTAAGCTGATCTTCCCTACTTTCAGTAATGAAAAAAAGGAGGAAAGCAGGGATAAAAGAGACGTTGCCGGAGAACGGAGAATCCTCCGCCGTCGTTGTCGTCGGCGGCGGCGGCGTACCTTTGGAGAGGAGGCCGAGGGAGCGGGAGCGGAAGCGGAGGAACTGGAGAACCTGGATGGAGAGCGAGAAGGGGACGTTCCTCGGGAGGGTCCTGGCGCCCCCGATGGCGAAGTTGGCGCCGCCGGCGAAGTCTGAGCCCAGCGCCTCCAGGTACGGGCTGAGGTACCTCTTCTTCAAGCTCTCGCCTGCAGTGCCCCAAGTCCGAAGAAGAAGAAGAAGGTGGTGAGTCAGGGAGACTCACTCAGTTCTTCGATGGCGAACAAGAAGAAGAAGACGGGACTGACAGAGGAAGTCGATGATCAGGCGGCCGTCGCAGAGGCGGCCGGTGGCGCCGCCCGGGAACCGCCGCCCGTGGGGGGGGCCGATCACGTAGCCCAGCCCCGCCTGCAGCCCTCCGGTGTCGGAGTTTGAGTCCCCGAAGTTGAAGATCACCGGCGGCCGCCTGCACTGCAACTCCCCCTCCGCCACCACCTCCGCCGCCGGCGACACTACCAGCGCCACTGCGAGCACCCACCGCAGACGAAGAGCAGGAACAAGAGAGATCCTCCGGCCTCCTCCTCCGCCACCCATCCCTAGCCTTGCCTTCCTCTCCCACCGTCGTACCCTCCTCACCCAGCTTCTGTTACGGCCCGCCGCCTTCTGACACGGAGAGCTAGAGAGAGGGGTAAGAAACCACCTCCTCCTCCGTAGGGGCCTTTCCAGCTGGGTGGGGCCCACCGCCATGATAGAGACAACGCAGGATCACGTGCCGATCTACCCCCTCGTACGACGGCGGCGCCGCCGCAGTGGCTGGCGTTGGAGGCGGCGAGCTTTCAGATCGATCATAAGAAACCAACTACTCGTATTTTTAATACCTAAATTTTCTGAATCTTAAGCATGTTTCAGTGGACAGACTCTGCTACTGGAATATTTTTTTTAATTAATAATATTTAATTGACAGTATGCACTTAAAAATATCCATCTGATCAGAAATATCAAATGAACGAAGCCACATGATGATGCTGAAACAAAATGATTTTTTTTAAAAAAATAAATCCAAGATGCAGTTATAAATGCATCCTCGCCCAAAAAAAAAAACCCCATTTCTCTCTATTTTGCTCATGCAAGAGAAAATATTCCGCATTTTATTCACACCGAAAATGATCATATTCTCAAAGGTGCAAGAAGGGGGTTGACTAGATAGAATGAACAACACACCGAAGAAGTCAATGGGACCCACTTGAAAGCAGACCGGAAGAGGTGGAATCCACAGAGAGAGAGAGAGAGAGAGAGAAACTAAAACCAGTCAATCTCACAAAAGACAGAAATGAGTCATGTGGTCATGTATTGAGAATTTTACAACATAAATAGGGAAACAAAAAGTGTATACAAACTGTGAGATCAATGCGATAACTAAAGAACCCAAGCTTTTTAATCCCAATAATTCTATGGAGAACACGTGGCGTGCTGGTGGCAAGAGTGGAGGTCAACCCCACCCCACCCAACCGAAGAAACAGTCTGAAAAGGCAGGCACAGCAGGGCAGATAAAGAGGCTGAGCGCAAGCAAGTTACCCACAAAGGTTCGATGATCCAGCTGCCTCTCTCTTCTATCAGGAAGCCGTCGCTAAAGTCTCCGAAGAAGGATCTCTGCACCTGTCCACCTTGACAGACATCGAGCCAACGGTCACATATTCAACGCCAAAAGCATTGGCAGTGGCGGCGTTTGACTGATCAGCCTGAGCTTCTTGTTCCTCTGATGCGAGGGAGAGAGAACCCATCTTCATTACCGGAGAGTCGCAGGCATCCTGAGAGACCTCCGACGAAGAGGAACCCTTGCTGCTGTCGTTGTGGTCAACCGAAATTGATTCTATCAGCTTCTCTCTCTTCAAGGGGTGCTTGATGGTGATGACTGATCTGTTTGGTGAGGGAAATCCTGGTAAAAATAGGTTATTTGGGTAATTTCTGCCGAGTAACCTAGCTTTCTCCTCGTGCATGATCCTCTGACGCTCCTCGTAGTACAAGAAGTCGTCGAGGATGGACATCTTTGACGGATTGTTCTTGAATAGGGAAAGCATGTTCATCCCTGGCACATATCTTACCTGTCCACAAAGAGAGGCCTCGGCAAATAAGCACAAGACACAAAAAAATAGAGGGAAAGATGATGAGGGCAAAAATGACCTTAAACCATATATATCAACCTTAAATAGCAGTTCACCCATATATTTCTGTATTTTCCAATAATGGGTTTTAATTAATACCATTCAAAGTGAGAATCTAAAGGCAGGGACATCTTCATAGGTTGGTTTCGTCAAAGAAATTTGCAAATTATGAGGATCCTGAATCCAAGAATGGCATAGATGATGCTTTAATCCATATATTTCTGTATTTTTCAATCGGGTTTTAATTAATGTCATTCATAGTGAGAATCTAAAGGCAGGGACATATTCATAGGTCGTTGAGTTCGTCAAGAAATTTGCAAATGATGAGGCTCCTAAATCCAAGAAATTTGCAAATGATGAGGCTCCTGAATCCAAGAATGGCATAGATGATGCTTTAATCCATATATTTCTAATCCTAGTATGGAGTAGGAATGGTCTCCTCTCCCCTTCCCATATCGTCACCATGATACCCAATATGCTCTCCAACGGACGCACTAAGCAACACTGAGAAGCAGAAAATGCAACAAAAGATCGAATGATAAGACTCACCTCTTGGGTGTCTCTGCTATTAGTCACCGGCTTGTTCTCGTTATTCTCCAATATAATGTGCCTGAAGTTGGAGTTAGGAACATCTTTTACGATGTGCCACTTGACAGGGAAGCTGCCAGTCCATTTATCTTGCTGCCAGAAGTCCATGTCCCTACTGAAGTCAACATGCCCAGTCATCTCCGCCACCCCACAAAACTGCCCGCTGGCATTAACCTGCAGAGAAGAAACAAAGCATCCATTTACCACAAATACTCACGGAGGCAAAGATGAAAGGCAATCAGACTGGGAAGCATATGGAGAGGGCCACTCACGGAAAAGAAGAGGAAGACTGGGCACTTCTCTCCATCCCCCTTGGAGTGTCTCTGTGCATCTTCATATGCACTGTCCAATCTCTTGTTCCCATTAGGAGTGCTTGACCACACACCATACTTAATACTCTTATGCACATCATCCTCACTATAGGACTTGATGACGAAGAACTTGGCAGCAGAGTAGTTAACTGGGAAATCCTCTTTATTGAATTGATCGAGATTTGTGGTTATATTACCCTGTATGTTAGCTTTGGTCGTGTAGCCTTCAACCTGAGGCAATGTCCATGGAGCTCTGGATCTGTCTGTCCTGGGTCCACAGTTCTGCTCACCCAACATATCTACGCTCCCCTTAATGGTATTTACAGGCCCAGAAAACTGCGACCTAGGCTTCAACCTATTGACCGTGGACTGCCCGCGGATATTGGGTTCAAATTTAGTGGAGCAATTATAGGTTGACATAGAGAGTTTTGGTGAACTGGGCACAAATGGAGCATTCCCAGGTTTGAGCCGTTCTGAGCTTTGAACGGAGTCAGCAAAATCTCTGGCCTGAAGTCACATTTCAAATAAAAGAAAAATCATGACAGATCAGCTTCTCAGTGAACAATTTTCAATGCTAGAATACCCACAATTATATGCATGCTCCTCAACGTAAATAAATCAGCATACCCTCAACTTGAATTTACTCACAAAAATTGAGAACTAAAGGTGGGGTGGGCCATTTAATCATGTTTATATATAGAAAGCCTAGACAAAGAAAAAACGGCACATTTCATACCTGGGTAACACAGGGGATACCAACAGATGCACCAGCTCCATTCACTACAGGTTGCTTCACGTGTGCAGCAACAAATTGTGATACTTCAGATGGGTGAACTTGAACCGGAACTGGAGGACTCAGAGGAACTGATCCGAAGGCTGTTGAATCTGACTGCTGCTTAGTAGGAGTGACTAGAGATGTAGTTTGCGTAAATTTCCCACCAAGAGTATCAGGCTCAACAGGCCCCGAGGAAACAGGAGAGAATACAAAAGACTCTGATGCAAAGTTAGCAGCGTTTTCAGCTCCCGAGTGGACAAGAACTGGAAAATAGGCAGGAGAAGAGACAGGTTGCTGATATGCAGAACTTTGAAGGTACTGTTGTGCCCCTAAAACGGGGCCACCAGCTGCTCCGAAAGCACCAGGTATAAATGGGTTGTAAGGGTTGTAAGGAGAAGGTGTGTATCCATAACTAGGTGAATAATATACATAGGGCAAAAAATCTGCTTGCATCTCCTGCACACCAGAAAAAATGAAAGACGGGGATTAGAAATGGAGATTGCTAATATGGTGCAGCTGAAGACACTGGGTCGAGGGTAGAAATTAACCGAGCCATGGAGATCTTGACCATCTAATCCAAAAAACCATTGACGGTCATCTGATTCCCCAGGTGATTCCGAACCTGCTGCACATGAATGACAGAGACCCCCCACATTTTTAAGCATAGAAGTATACAAAAAATTACATAAAATTCTAGTAGACCCAATAGCCCACTCTTCTACCTGTACAGTAATACCCATAACAATTGGGATCAGCAGCATGGAAGCCCTGGTCAACAATGAACTTGGGAGCCCCATCACTCCCCGCAGGACCAGTTTCTAGGAACGTGGCAGTCAGTCCCATTTGCTGATTTGAACTGGCTACAGGAACCTGAAAGGGCCATCCCATCAAGCATTAAGGGTGTCTTAGATAATAAAACATCCTAAATAACTATAAATATGGATTGTATGGTCTCCATAATTCCAGGCCACTAGAAGTAATGTGTTTCAAAAAAAGCTAACCGATTTTTAAGATGGCACAGAGATATAGCTGATGATGTTCACAATTAAATACCGGGATCCAAAGTTTGATACAGGAATCCATATTCTGATCTTGGCAATAAAATAATTTCTTATGGTAAAGCATCAAGGAAAATGGAAAACTCACCATGTAAGTTCCTGTAGTCATCTGCTCAGAACCATTATACATTTTGCTAATGGAACTGCTGCCCCTGTCAAGCATAGAGGGAGACATCAACTAAAACTTAGATCATTGAGTAATTATATTTTTTTCTTCAAAGCATCATCCACCAAACGGATTAAAAAAGAAAATAGAACCTGGGTTACATCAAATGGGGAAGGAAACAGCAACAAGTAAAAAATAACCAATGTAAAATACACAGGTAGATTGTAAAAACCTTTTAGCAGTAAAGAAGATATGTTGAATTCGGCAACTACAGATTAAGGATGATCACGAAAAGAAAAAAAACTGAAAATAAAAAATGATTCCCAGAAAAAGGTTCATCCTGATGCTTGATCGAGTCACGTAAGAGAAACGAAAGCCAACATAAGCATAAAAAAAATTCACCGTGAGAGATGGCGTGGTCAACTATATTTGTCATGGGATAGCTGCAGAGTAATACAGGAATGGATATTTCGAATCTCTAACACCCATGTCTTTCTCAGAAGACTTGGCAGGGACAACGCAGCAAAAGTGAAAAAGGATACCGGAGCAGGTGGCTGAATCATGAACCAGACCGAATCGAACCTCTGATTGAAAACAAAGCAGCAAAGTCTATGAGAAAATTAGGCGTATTTCAGGAAGAATTCAGCGACAAGAACAAAGGAGAGGGTGTAGACCGCAACTTCAATAAAGGACAGAGGACCACAGGAAAAAAAAGGCGAAAGAGGGACTCCTTCATTTCAGTCTACAGGATGAAACTTTCTCTTCCATCCCTGCTCAATATACATGATGAATCTCATGATGAATCAGTCTAGAAGATGCCCCATGGAAAAAGACTCACATGAGCTGAAAGGCGAATTGATTTCTTCAGTGAATGCAACCTCACAGACCAAGTGTATGAACTTTCAACTCGCAAGATAACAGAAACTAAAGATCATCAACGCGTGTTTTCCATAACAGTGGAAAACCACCTGAAAGAAAGGAGCACCGAACGGGACCAAAAGGCCTTGACAAAGCATACAATATCCACAGCCCACATCTCACCTTCTTCAAAAAGATTCGCATGTGAGATTGTTTAACGGAGTAGGCAAAACATATGAGAAAAAACAGTGACCTCGCCCAAAACAACGACTCTTGCAAAATTCCAAACTGAAGCTTCACGCATCATTACACGCCACTTCAATAAGCGAAGCACAAATAGAGACGGAGGGAAAATTAGGGTTCCGTAGATCTTCACGCAATAAAGGAAGGCAAACAACAAAGCATTTCGCCCTACCAAACGTCACACCGGCCCACAAATGGAACGGATTACCGACGAGCCACAAAGAATCACAAATTCCCAATCTAAAATTACAAACAGAGGATTACTCAACAAGCAGTGCGACATCGAACCCTAAATCACAAAATATCCGAGAAAAACGAAATGGAAAGCAAGTGGCATTCCGCCAGAGGGACCTGAAACGCACATAAAACGTCTACAAGGAACGACGAGGGATAACCTACCTATATAGTAGAGCAAACCGTTATTTCAAGCCATGCCGGAAACCGAGCCCACGGGGAGCAAGCGAGAAGAAAAGGCCCCAGACTTTCCCACCCGCAACGCGTCCCTCTGTGCCATCTTCCCGCCCAGCGAATCCAAGGCGGCCACCAGGACGAACCCTAAAACCCGATCCCAAAAGAACTGCACAAGAGGCAAATTTGATCTGGAGAGAGAGAGAGAGAGAGAGAGAGAGAGAGAGAATCCGGAGAAAGAACTCCCAATTGAAGGAGGGGAGGTGAAGAGTGGGGAGCGAGAGAGATAATAGGAAATTTCCAATAAGGCAGGCGCCTTATACTCTAAAGACCATAAATACCCTTTAAGGACCCCAAAACAACGGAGAATGTCATTTCTCTTCCACTACTCCCTCGAGAAATTCCCCCAACTGCCCCTCAGCACGTGAGACGTCATAACTTGAGCACGTGCCTCTAGGTGTCCACGTCAGCCGAGGCAATCGAGATACTCTTTTCTTTTGCACCCGTACGACAGGCTCTGGGCTGGGCCCGTTTCAATCCCGAGCCTGTAGACCAGGTAAGACCACCAGCCCTGGCCACGTCACTATCTGAGAGCCACGCGTCTCTCTCTCTCTCTCTCTCTCTCATTTTCCAGACCTTACCCACCTTTGTCGGGTCCATTTACAGAGAGAGAGAGGGAGGGGGGAGAGAGAGAGAGAGAGAGAGAGAGAGAGAGAGAGAGTGTCACATAATTGTCGACACTGGGCGATTTACCAAAAAATAAAATAATTATTTTGGAGTGGGTCCCTAAGTCTAAACTCTCTTTTTTATTATTATAAACTTTTTGAGCTTGAGTTATGATCCATCATGAAAAAAAAGATTTTACTCTTCAAACAAAATTGGGGATAATTTATATTTCTAGATTTGGGGGCCCAGGCCCAGACCAGTAACTGGGCCCATAATGGCCCCGTTTCCTAAAGGACATGGTCAACTCAGAAAGCCGCAAGTCAGCTGCCCGTTGACCTGCGGCCGCAGCTTCTCTGACGTGGTGACGGCGCCAAGCCGCAGTGGGTCGAAGCTTCTGGACGGGCCGTAGAAGTGCGGGAAGCTATTGGACTCGTCCACGGCTTCATAAACCAGCCCATCCCCTAGCTGCATAATAATCATAATAATAATTATTATGAAACTCAAATGGAATTAATTAATTAATTAATTATAATAATTATAGAAGTAAATAGGATTATTTTGATATTTAGACATGGAGATCCCAACAAAAACGTAAAAGGGGTTGACAATTTTTTGAAAAAGTTGACCCAATTCAGTCAAAAGGAGTTGACTAGTGTTGAAATTTAAAAAGTTAAACATAAAAAACTCTGATTTTTGCCGTCATCTTTCTCCGTAACGGAGGCTTAAAATGGGTTCTCCAAGTACAACCGAAGAAATATCTTCTTTTTCCTCGATAATATATATAACAACAAACTTTAGAGTGAGTTGACGCAGAAAAGTCAAAGGGGAGTTAATTATAACTTTTTAAAGCATCCAAGAAAAATATGCCAGACGTATTCTACATTTAAAAAAAAATAAAATTATTGGCAAATTTTCCGCGTGAAGAGAGCATCTAGATGGGTTCTTGGTACCTTACTGGTGTCAATCTGAAGCAGGTAAAGATCTTCTCTCCCCTTGAAATGGTTCTGCAGAACCATCTTCACCTGCAGAATCCCAAACTGCAGAACCTCAGGAATCCGCCCAGATCTCCGTAGCAGGCACAATAATTGGATGAACTACTGATTTTCCCACGAATGCAATGAAATTCAAGAAAAAGGGACAAGATTCATCGAGATCCCCCAACTGCAGATCTGATCATGGAAGAAATGGCGAGGAAACCCCAGGTCCTTCCCCTTTCCAGATGCTAGCATCGGACTTGCGGGGGTCGGTGGGACCGGAATGAGATTCAAGAACCCTAGGAGGACCAACAGGATCCTCCGAACTCAGATCTGATCATGGAAGAAATGGCGAGGAAACACGACTTCCTTCCCCCTTCCGGACGGTGGAGTCGGCCTGGCAGGGGTCGGTGGGACCAGAATGAGATTTAAGAACCCTAAGAGGACTACCGAGATCCTCCAAGCGCAGATCTGATCATGGGTGAAATGGCGAGGAAACCCTACTTCCTTCTCCCTTTCCATTACGGAATTGCAGGGGTCGATGGGACCAGAATGAGATTCAAGAACCCTAGGAGGACCACCAAGATCCTCCAAGCGCAGATCTGAGCATGCAAGAACCGGCAAGGGGAGAAGCGGGAATCTGACCTGACGGAGGGTGCAGAGGTGGATGCAGCCGGTGCGGCGGTCGAGATCGCGGCCGAGGGTGGCCCCCTTGCTCTGCAACTCCTCCCATTCCTCGGCGGTGCTCACCCTGTAGACGAACGCCTCCCCTCCTTCCGGGGACGGGGTCCTGCTCGCCATCTTCCTCCCCACCCAGATGTCCGACGATTTGCGTCAGAGAAGGAGCCACTTCGGGGAAGAAGGAATATAAGATGGGTATCTGAAGATGAAGCCCAAAAAACCCAGTAATAATTGTTATTAGAAATCATCCAGATGTAGATATGGACGAGCTCAAATGACTTATCGTTTTTAAAATATATGAAAATAATCCAAACTTACCAGAGACGGAGATCTAATGATCAGGAGAGAGAGACTCTAGCTTAGAGTGCAGCCACCTTCCAATCCCACCACACCACTTCTGCCAAAATAAAACAAAATCACAGGAGATAATTACGGAGATAGAACAATGCAACACGACATTCTCAAAACTCTCTCTCTCTCTCTCTCTCGCTCTAAAGCTCTTCAGATTGCAGCCACCTTCCAAACCCACCTCACCATTTCTGCCAAAATAAAGCAAAATCACAAGATACAAAGGTAGAGAGAAAATAATGCAACACAACATTCTCAAAGCATTCCATCTCTCCCTCTCTCTCTCTCCTCTCTCTCTCTCTCTCTCTCTCTAAAGCTCTCCAGATTGCAGCCACCTTCCGAACCCACTTCACCATTTCTGCCAAAATAAAGCAAAATCACAAGATACAAAAGCAGAGATAGAACAATGCAACACAACATTCTCAAAGCATTCCATCTCTCCCTCTCCCTCTCTCTCTCTCTCTCTCTCTCTCTCTCTCTCTCTCTCTCTCTCTCTCTCTCTCTCTCTCTCTCTCTCTCTCTCTCTTCCTAAAGCTGTGTGAATGGCATCCACCTTCTCTCATCTGCTTTGGTGAAGGGCAAGCACAGTTTTTGCCCACTCCATTAACATCGGTGTCCACTGCATGAGGAGATCCGCCATCGGTGATGGGAGCTTCACCTCCCTTTGAAGGAGGAGAGGTGGTCTCCTATGGCGGTCTTCTCCTCCCTGAAGGGCTGCATGGAGGGGTCGGCCAAGGCTGGCAGCCTCTGGGCGCTGCCCTTTCCTCTCCTTGCATTGGGGCCCAGCTCCTCGATCATGTACTTCCAACCATCGATTGGCCGCCGCCGGCTAAATATGTGGGACTTGATGAAGCTCGCTATCTGCTCATTTATAGAAATCAATAATCTCCACGGCAAATGAAATAAAGTTGTTGACAAAAATATCTGGGAATATTAGTGAGTTTTCCGATTATGATCTGATAAAAATATGCAAGATCCTCAGTTCAACGGATTAATAAAAATAATAATATCTCGGGGAGAAAATTATGAAAAATACTGAACGATTTATTTACTGAGAAAAATGGATGGAATGTTCTTAAACGATGCAGCATTTTAAGCAAAATTCCATTTATGACGTCATAAATATGTGTAGGAAGAATTCTGTAATATTTTTTATTTCATCATAATGGGAAGAATCTTCCACTAATTATACCATAGAAAGATTCTACAGCGATAAAACACTGAATGGGAAACTATTCATTTCGCCCAGAAATTCGGATTATAAATGAAAAATAAAGCAATATCTTGAGCGTGTTTTCCTGATGTAATATGATTAAACCAAGCGTGAACCTTTCTTTCTTCTCCACTTTCAGCGTATTGAGATAATCCAAAAAGGGTAATCATTCTTCTGTGAATATGTCAAGACAGAAAAAATTTGAACTACAAGTAAAGATTCTGCAATAAGAAAAGGCAATACGATTTATTTCTCAAGAAAATGGATTATATTTTAAAATATAGTGACATTTTGAGCAACTTTTCATCATGCTGAGATGTCCAAAAGTCATGATCTTGCCAAAAAAAAAAAGTTTTCAGAGACCTTACAAAAATGTAAATATTTCTGAAGACGGCAAGATTTATGAGGGTGGAAGGATTCAGGGACATAAATTTAAACTTTCCCAGGAGTACTGGAATATTGCATAATGAAAATATATTTCTCAGGAGTAATGGATTCGAATTTGCAAAAGAATGAGGATTATATGCTCGACATTTTAACAATATTAAATGAAACTAATAATAAAGTTGCTTCCCATTGATTTATTTCAGATATCCTTCAAGATTGCTCCCATATTGAGATCTAGGAGGATTGGGACTTCCAAGGGATCAGAATATCCATGCACACAGAAAAATACTAACGAACACAGAAGGATTCTATAGCCCAGTGACAAGAATTTCAATACAAAGACCAGGGGAATAATAGAAAACTTATCTGCCAAGAAAAGTAGAGTGAAAATAAAAAAGAAAATACTGCCTTGAGCGAGTTTTCTTAAAATAATATGACAAAGCAGTCTATGAATGTATATTTTTTCTCTGATCTAGTTCTTCATCATACTGGCATGATTCAGAAATGGCAAATGAAGTCCTGGTTTACCTGAAATTTGCTGTAAGCGATCCTCCTCTCAAACTCTTGGAGGAGGATATCTTCCTCACGCTGCGAAATCTCCCAGATGTTGCCATCCTGGGCTCTTGAGGTCAACTCCCATCCATCAGGTTTGTTCTTGAATTCGGAGGTGCCACCAAAAATTTCCTCATCCAGATCCACGTTACCCGTGTCAAAGATTCTGCAAATCGGAATACAAATCTAAGAATTCTACAAGTATGACACAGTATGAACATGATGAACAAAGTTGGACAAAAAAAAGAACAGGGTAGAAATATAAATGATCAGGGACAATCTTAGGCAGTGACAGACCTTCAAGAAAGTAAATTCCTGCTGAGAATACTACTTGTGAAATGATTAATTTTAGGAATCCCAGCCCTAAAAATATTTTTATATGATCTTCTAAGAGGAGTATGCATAAATTGTAAATGGCATTACTCGGAGCAGGAGTCAAGTAGGCGGTCGATGTCCCCAGCTCCCCCTTTGGAGCTCCCAAGTTTCGCCTCCTCCATGGCCTCTATCTCCTTCATCCACAGGCCCGCGTGGATCCTCTGCTTCCTCAGCCTGTATTCGTCAATTCCTCCATCATCACTGCCACCATCTGTCTTGCCTTCCACCTGCTCGACAGAATGCCCCTCATCCCGTCGCGACTTCACGGAGACCGCGGTGGGCCCAAAACGCTTCTTGCGCTCATTCCAGCTCTCCTCCATCTCCTCGACGAAGGCCTTGGTCTCGGGGTCAGCATCGGAGGGGAGGACGACGGCGGGGTGAGAGGAGGAGCTGTAGTTCACATCGGTTTCCCATGGCGCACGGTTCTTGCCGGAGAGTTCATCCGGAAGCCACGCCGACTCCCACGCGTCGTTCCACTCGTCGTCCACAGTCGAAGACGAAGATGAGGAAGGGGGAGAACTAGAGCTGGAGAAGGTCATCCTCGATAAAAATGGGGGAAGAACTTGGCAATCGTAAGGTCGAGGCCGTCGGAGGGAAGAGGGGGTCCGCCATAGAAGCCGCAGCATCCTCTTCTGCTCTCACCCTCCTTTCCTTGTACCCTCTAAAGGCAGATAAAGAGAGAGAGAGAGAGACGAGAATCAGATACCTAAAGAGTCGTTATGAATATATAATGTGTAGTAGTTACAATGCAAAGTGAGGCCTTTAAGTTTTCATCAGTTAATAATTAATTAATAATTAGTTTTAATATTAACTCATAATAAATAAATTTATGTTTGTATTATATTATGAAAATTGATTTTTAATTAATTGATTTGATTTTTAATTAATTATATAATTTTTATAAATTACTATAATTATATTTTTTAGATGAATAAAAATATATAAATATTAAAAAAAAGGTAGATATATCAATTAGTCAAACTTACAAGTGAGTCAAAAACATAATCAAACAAAACCATAAGTAGTGGGCTCAAGCGGTTAAGGTCTAATAAGTAACACGTGTGCATCACTCTCCTTCCACATCACTAGTGGTCAATCGTGTGTGGGGTAAGGAGTAGTTGTACACATATAAAAGAGGGGCTTATTGATCGTAAAATTTATGTTATTATATATACATCTCAAAATTATATAAAATTATCGATGTGGAACTAAATTAACTTTTTAAACATTTATAATTATTTTAATATATAAAATATCATTTATTTATAAGAATGATACCCTTATGACATCACTTTATAAAGGTATTCAAGTACTTCTTTCACTCTCTCTTATGTAGATGGGTGATTAGTAAGGGTTTGAATTTTATTAGAATTAAAATTTATATTTTATCTGATTTAATTATAATTTTCTTACAAATTACTAGTGAGCGATTAAGTCATCATAATTATTCAATCATCGATAAAAAACTCGTCACAATTTATAAATCATCATTACTAAAAATGTCATGATTATAAATCTATCGAGTAAATCATCTCTAATTAATCAACAAATAAATTATCATTAAGAAGAGAACAATCTATTAGAAGACGAGTTGTCACCTATTGAGAGCATACTAGATGTGATGAAGAGTATTTTTTTATTGTGAAGACATAAGTATGAAACTCTTTAAAATATATCTTGACATTATTTTGATGCTTGTATCATTATTATTATTTTTGTAAATTTAAAATATATTTTATTTTCATTACTTAGTCTAAAAATTATAAAAAATCGTATTCTTTGTAAAAAAAATTAAAATATTACATAACATTATATTAGATCTATGTGATCAGCTTGAAAAATTATTATTATTTTTAGAACTTTTATTAAATTATAATTTATATATTTTTTTCAAAAATACTTCTAAATATCTAAATATTAGTATTTTCTATTTTATAAATATTTAAATTTGTAAGATTTTTTATACAATGACTAGGTCACATCATGCCCACATTAAGTTCTTTTGGCTTAAATGTGTATGTATATTATCCATGCAAACGATATACACCATATTTTCATAGCATGTTTGCTAATTATTCACTTTCCTCTCATATTAATTATCTAATCATTAGATGATATTATGTGACTTACTCATTGTATAATAAATATGTAAATTTAAATATTTATAAAATTAGAATAGAATACTTTATATATATATATAAAAAGTACTTTAAAATAAATATATAAATTATAATTTAATAAAAAATCCAAAAATAGTGAAAATTTTCTAAGTAGATCATAAGAATGTAGTATAATATCATGTAATATTTTAGAATTTTTTGCAAAAAATATGATTTATTATGAGTTTTAAACTAAGAAATGAAAATAAAAAATAATTAAAATTTGTGATAAAGAAAAATAAGAGTGTAGATGTCACGATGATGTTAGTGCCTTGACGAACGTAAATTGAGTAAAAATAGAGTTTCACTTTATGATTCTTACATAATTGATTATAGACGATTTAATTTATTAAATTAAGATTTATAAAATCTAGAATAATTTTAATTTAACATAGAATAGTTTTGAAACATGAAATCACACAAAATATCATTAAATTAACTAAAAATTAAGCTGAAAGAATAAAATATAAAATTTTAATCTCGCGATAATGATCGTCAAAATTTTATGCGTTTGGAAAGATTGTCATGTAATTTTTCTCAAAAGCTCTCATTGAATAAAGATGACGTGAACAATCTCTACATCTTCTTGTAAAGTTTAGAAATCAATGAAGTGAGTTGTCAAATCGTCTCCAGCAACTTTTGCTCAATATAGTAAAAAATAATAACTTTGTACCTTTTTGGCAGTTGTTACTCGACAGAGATAAGTTAAATGAAGGTAAGGTATATCTTAAAAAGCTTTATACTCTTGTTCATATAGTAAGAGGAGGCTCTTCATCGTATCTGATACGTTCTCAAGAAGTGATGACTCATCTCCTAGTAGATTATTTTCTTTCTAATAATGATTTGTTCATTGATTAATCGGAGATGATTTACTCGATAGATTCATGTTTTTTTTATCCATAATTATTTGATAATTGTAATAACAATACTTCGTGAATCATGTTAACAAGATTTTTGTCAATGATTAAGTGATTATGATAGCTTAATCATTCACTAGTAATCTAAAAAAAATCATAATTTAATTAGATAAAAATATGAGTTTTAATTGTGATAGGATTCAAGTCTTTATTAGTCGCCTATCTACATGAGTGAAGGAAATACTCAAATACTCACATAAAGTGACATCATAAGAGTATCTTGTTCTTAATGAAGGATATTTTATGTATTAAAATTATTAAAAGTCTTCGAGAAGCTAGTTTAGTTCTACTTCAATTATTTTATGAGTTTTTAGAGGTATATATAATTGTAGAAGATTTTACATCAATAAGCCTCTCTTTTGCGTGAGTATAACCACTCATTGTCCCACACCTTGCATTAGACACTAGTGATGTGAAAGAAAAGTGACGGACATGTGTTTTCCTACCGGTCTTTAGCTGCTCGAGCCTACTTTTATTTTATTACTTTTCATTTCACTCAAAAATAATATTATCAAAATTCTATAAATTCACATAAAATCACATAATTAGTTAAAAATTTATATTAACTAAGTAAAAATTAATTTTCATAATTCAACATAAATATAAGTCTACTTATCATAAGCTAAGGTTAAAATTATATTATTAATTAACTATTAACACATGATAATGAAAACTTATCACTATATTTGTGACATCATATGCTTCTATCTTTTTTTATTACTCTTTATTTATCTCAAAAATAGAATTATATAAATTTACATAAAATCATATAATTAGTTAAAAATTTATATTAACTAACTAAAAACTATTTTTCATAATTTAATATAAATATAAGTTTATTTATCATTAATTAAGACTAAAACTATATTATTAATTAATTATTAACTCATGATAATGAAGACTATTACTATGTTTGTGACATCATATAGTTTTATAGCATTTGGTTTCCATATAATGTCTTCATGTGTATGTCTTACTACTACATGCACGCACTATGACACCATGTGTCTTTATTATGAGGCCACACCCATGTGCCATTTCTTCGGCTACACACATTGTGATAGACATGCATGACGCACTACATTTGATTCCTAAGGTCTATCCTTATAGGGTGACACTAATAACGCCTTTACTCATCTATCTGATTCCACTTCTAGTGTGGGATTAATTGTCTAATCACGATTACTAGATGATGTCATGATCATGGCATCATATGCTTCCATGGCCTTTCGTGTCCATACCTCATTTTCATGTGCTTGTGTCTTGCTATTTTGTACCCATGTATGTTTCATGCCACTAGGTGCATGTGTCATGATGTTGTGCATATACATCATGCTATTGTGTGCATGCCCACCGTGACATGCCTATTTACTATGCATGATGTGTTGTTGCTAGGGTATGTCCCTATTGGGTTATCATAGCAACACTTTTACTCAATTATCTAATCCCACTTCTGATGTGAGATTAACTATTTAATTATTAGATGACACCATGCTCATGACATCATCTACTTTCATGGCCTTTTGTCTTCATACCATGTCATCATGTGTATGTGCCTTGTTGTTGCATGCATGCACCATGACATCATGTGCTTTTGTTGTGTTGCCATGCATGTGCACCATGTCTTTGGCCACACACATCGTGGCCCCATGCATACTTTATGCCACCATGTGTGTGTGTCGTTTTATTATGTGTATACATTGTAACATTGTGTCCACCTCTTGTGCCATGCCTATTTGCCATGCTTGATGTATTATTGCCAAGGTCTGTCCTTATAAGGTGACCCTAATAACACATTTACCTTGCTTTCTAATCGCACATTTAATGTGAAATGAATTGCATAATCAATAAATGACCCCATGGCTCATGATGTCATCTATTTCCCTTGCCTTTGGTTTTCATATCATGTCTTCTTGTGCTTATACCTTGCTATTGTGTGCATGAGATGTGACAATGTGTGGCTCTACAGTGCCACTACACATGTGCCCCATGTCTTTGGCCACACTTGTCATGCCATCGGGTGTGCATGTCATGGCGTCATGAGTATACATTGTGCCATCATGTACATCTGTCGTGACATTCATGTATGTCGTGCACAATGTGACGTTGTTAGCATTTGTCCCTATTTGATGAGCCTAGTAACAACTTTACCCAATTATCTAATCCCACTTCTGATGTGGGATTAACTATTTAATTATTAGATGACACCATGCTTGTGACATCATCTACTTCCCTGACCTTTGGTCTCCATATCATGTCTTCTTGTGTATGTGACTCGTTGTTGTGTGCATGCGTTGTGACACCGTGCACCTCTATTGTGCTGTCACATCTGTGCATTGTCTTTAGTTGTATAAATGCTATGTACTACTTGGTGTGTGTGTCATGCTGCCATATATATGTGTTGTACTATCTTGTGCACTCACCACACCATTTTTATTTGTCATCCATGATGTATTATTGCCAATGTCTACCTCTATAAGATTATTTTAGTAAACACAATACCTAGTTGATTGACACTACTTTGTCAACATGCAACATGTTATTACTCATTTGTAATATTTTTTATTGAATGATATTCTAAAATCTTAGGATTATCATTTTTAATTATAGTAACATTTGGCACACATTTAAATTCATCTAAGGTCTAATTATAGTAACAAAGGGTAAACTAATAATATTTATTAGTGCTATAAAAAAAAGGGTTAATTTAATCTTGGCAAGGCCAAAATGGATAAGATTTTATGAAGTATTGAATAAATTAAGAGTTAACTATTTACAAATGTGGTAAGATCTAAACTAAACTAAGGGTTAACTATTTTCAACCATGCTTAATGATATATTTTTACTAATTTATTTCATAAGTTGATCATAAAGAGAGGCATAATGACATAGTCAACATTATGATAGTCCTTCTTAAAGTTGACGAATAATTACGTAAAGTGAGTTATGTTGAGTCTTTAAAGTCAAATCAACTTGCTAAAAGTCAACAAAACTTATCTCATGAGTTTCAAAGTAAAACACAATGAAATTAAAACTCAATTATTTTCAAATATAGTGAACTATTTTTATTGATAATTGATCTCGATTGAGGTTTGTTCCATTTGGAGAATGAAGAAGTTCATCTTCACAATCCTTATCTTCCAAGAAGATGATCTCAATTGCCACTTTTTGGAGTAAGGTTCCTGCAACCCAAATTAATTCTTTGATTATCACAACTCTCTACTTAAATACAAGTTACATGATTTACTAGACCAGGCCCATTACATTAGTATATAAATTGATCCATTAATTCTAATAAATCCACTTAACAAGAAGAATAATAGAAAAGAAAAAAAAAAAAGAATGAAAAATCATAGAACATTAAACACCCCCTCTCAAATTAGATATAGATGTTTTCCATACCTAGCTTGAACACAATCTTTTGAACTATCAGTCTTGTGAATCTCTTTATGAATATGTTGGTAACTTATTATGATGTCTCAACATATATCAGATATAGATCTTCAATTTTTACCTTTTCTTTGATGAAATATCGATTGATCTTAATGTGTTTAGTCCGATCATATTGTACAAGATTTTGAGCAATAATCATTGCTGACTTGTTGTTATAAAATAATTTGGCATGTGTTGATTGGTTGATTCTCAACTCATCTAATAGACCTTAAATCCATAAACCTTCACATATCTCTTGGGCCAATGTCTTAAACTTTGCTTCAACACTAAATCATGTGAATACTTGTTGCTTCTTACTCTTATGGGTCACAAGATTTTCACTACCAAATGTACAACAACTAGAGGTTGATCTGGGATCCATGACAAACCCTACATAATCTAAATTTAAGTAGATTTAAATAGATGTATTTCCTCTTTTTTGTGAATATAATACTTTTGTTGTCTTTAAATATGTAAACACTCGATATAATGCTTGTAGGTATATCTCTTTGGGTCTCATATGCTGCGTAAATACACTCACTGCAAATGTTATATATAGATGGATATGATTTAGATATATCATCTTCCCAATCAACTATTGATATGAGCCTTTGTCTAGTTGACAAGAGTCATTACCTTCTCTCACACTTAAGTTTGGGATCAATTGGAGTGTTAATAAGTTTACATTCTAATTTTTCAATCTCTTAAAGTAAATCCAAAATATATTTGTATTGTGATAGAAATATCACTTCTTTTGAGTAGCAAGTGTCTCTATTGTGATGTATTAGTTGGAGCTTGATTGCACTCTTTTTACTTTAACAAATTCCCTTAATTGGGTAATTCTCTAGATTGAATTGACCAATCTGATTTCATAGAGGTAAATACTATCGACTCATTCTTTTTAGTGTTGATGAGTAGATTTAATCTACTTTTCTCTTCCATAACAATTTATATGGCTTTATTCATATCAAGTACTTTCTCACAGTGGATAATTTGACTCATGAGGTTTTCATAATCAAAGTTTAGTCTCATTAAGAATGTATATATTATATGTTTCAGTGTATACATGAGTCCTCATAATTGAGATTCTTTATTAGCTAATAATGATCAATCGCCCTCCATATAATATTTAGTTTATATGAATATTTCATAACATACTTGTTTGTGCTAAATGTGTTGTCTTAGTCACTAAGTCATAAATCGTCTAATTGTTATGTGTCTTTGAACAGTTGTTGTGGATTTGATCCCACAATTCCTTCACAAGTACACGAAAAGAAATTTCTCATACATCTCGTGTCATTGTACTTAGCAGCCATGTATGGGTGATAACATCCTTTAATTTTTATTCTCTATGCTTTAGATCTGATCATTTAAATAGTTCTTATTTAAGGTGATTTGTTAAGCCTCTCACAAGGAGTATGAGTTCAACAAACTACTCTTATTAATGAAGATTTATCTCATTACATTTAATTTTTTCTAAGATATTTGGAAAGGTATGATATAATATATCTCTTACTCTGGTCATTGATGGAGATGCAAGTTCCATGGATGATGAAAAGACTTTTCTTGAATGTATTATAAAAGTTTTTTGTTCACACTTTTTAGAATGCCTCAATTCCACTACTGGTTGAAGGTTTCTTTCTAACTTGATATAGCTTCAAGAAATAAGAAACAAAAAGTATTTGATACCACCATAATTAACACTACTCTGATACCTTATTGATAATTGATCTTGATTGAGGTTTCTTCCACTTGGAGAATGAAGGAGTTCATCTTCACAATCATCCTCTTCTTGGAAGATAAAGTCAACTATCACTTCTTGGAGTAGGGTTCTTGCAACCCAAATTAATTATTTGATTATCATGACTTTCTACTTAAATATAGGTTATATGAGTTAATAGACCATACTCATTACATTAGTCTATAAGTGGATTCATTAATAGGCTAGTGAATCCACTTAGCAAGAAGAATAACGAGAAAGAAAAATAAATAAAAAGAGAAATCATAGAAAGTTCAACAATTTTGATTTAAAATGCACTTGATATCATCACTCATCATGGAACTCACCTGTTTTTAAGTTGACTAAAAGTTAAGAAGTCAACTTAGATAAGTCTCACAAAGTATTAGACAAATTAAGAATCGATAATTTCTTAATATAGTAAAATTTTACGCATTTCTATAGTGGTAAAATGAGAAGATCAAAATTATCAAATAATCAATGTACAAGTTGACTAATAATCAATGTAGCACACCTTTAAAATCTCCCATCGATCGTTGACTTGTCGATAGTCGTCTCAAAATATTTTTTCCCGCGGGCCCCTTAAACTTGATCTCCGACCCACTGCCACGTATAACTCGTTTTCCTTTTGTGATTTTTTTTACTTGCTCACGTGATCTCGTGTCTCCCGACACGTGGTATGGTCCAAGCCGCCGATTCTGCATGACGTGTGAAGGATCGGGCCCACATTCCCCGATCTCTGCAACCCAAGATTCTAGAAAACCCCAGTTTCCTCTCCGCGGGAGAGGGAGCCCAAGGACAAGTTCTCTCCGCCCCCCCTTACCCCCCCTTCTCTCTCTCTCTCTCTCGTCGCTCGCTCTCTTCAAGCAGGGGGTGCAAAGCCTTGAATCCAGAGGAGCTGGGGCGGGAATGGCGGTGAAAGCTGAGTCCTCTACTTCAGACTTGGCTCTCTCTGAGGTTAACATCAATTGGGACAGGTGCGCGCCTATCTGGGTCTCTCGATGTTGCTTCCATGAGTATTTGTATTTTTCATTCTGGTTCGGTAGAAATGAGTCGCGGGGGACTCTTGAGTTGATTTGTCTCTCGATCTTTGGTTCTGCGAGGATAGTTAGCCTCTTTCTCTTTGTACTCATGTGTTTAATGATGCTAAGGAGTATTTAATATTGTCTGTTTCCTGGATCATGACGATGAATCGGAGGAAGAAAGTAGAAACCCAGAGCTAGGTCGTATTTGTGCTCCAACTTCGCGTAGGTATTCTTTTATTAGTCTGAGTGATTGGGTTAAAGCGTCATCGCTAAGAATATCTCTGCCATAGACTGTGTATTAAAACCTAACGCCCCTCAAGGTTGCTGCCGTATCTTCAATGTCGAGTCGCTAATAATGTTTTCCAATGTTCGAGTAGAATACTGGTTTTGTCTTTATCTGCTGAAAAACAGTGGTTATGGAACTCCATTAGCAAGGCTGTTACTTGATTACTTGAAACAATGCTTGCAACAGCTGCAATCAGAGTTGACATGTGCACTAATAAATGATTGGTATCTGCTTAATGGTAGTAAAACTCATGGCGAGGGGGTTAATAAGACGATGACAGTGGTTTGTGAAGCAGAGAATATGATAGTATTGGCATTGAAAACAAACATGTTTCTACTCTCCTTGTATACTTTTAATTTCCGCAAACTTTTTTCGCGGAGCTGTTTTTTTTTTAATTGTAAAGAGGTAAAGACTACCATATTGCCTAATTGCCTGCATTTATCAGGTTTCTTTAAAACACTTTATCAGGAAAATTCTTGTTGGAGCCATGAGATCTAAGAAAAAATTAGTCTGAGCGTGATATTTAGAGTAACGGAGATGTTACGTTGACATTTGTGGTCAATGGTTGAAATGGGGTATCATCCATTTCTGGCAATGATGGCTATTCCGGTAGCGTTGTTGCATATGTTTCTTTGATCATGTGTCCAGCCATTTGTCTCATTCTTTTTGTTTTTCTATTTTCTTTAGGTTGGATAAAACCAAGTTTCATGTCATCGGAGCAATTCTATTCACTGCTCAGATGGGTTCACTACACCCAATAGCGGTTGTGAAGACTAGAATGCAAGTGGCTGATGGTACTCTTGCACACATGCATGGGTTTTCAGTGTTTAAGAACATAATGAGGAATGATGGCTTCCGAGGCATATTCAGAGGCTTTGGTACCTCGGCTGTTGGTTCCTTGCCTGGCAGGGTGTTGGCACTGACTTCCCTAGAAATGTCGAAGGAGATGGTGCTTAGACATACTGAGGACTTGAATATGCCAGGGGCAACCCGAGTTGGTCTGGCAAATGGAGTTGCGGGCATGGCCTCAAATGTTGTCTCCTGTGCTTACTATGTTCCCTTGGATGTGGTAAGTCCATCATCTTACCTTTTTCGTTCAATCAGGATGGCATGTGTCAAGTCTGACGAATAATTCTTGACGATTCATCACGGTATTATATGTTAGATGTCTCAAATGAAAGAAGCTGGTACTTATGATCTTGGAAATAAATTGAGATGGTTTATTGTCTCAAACCCCTGCTGACTGGGCAGGAAAGAACCATTGAAAGAGGAACATTAGGAAAAGTTATGTCTAGATTCTTCATGATATTATTAGTTAGATACCTCAGGTTAAGATAAGCGGCCGCATATGGGCTTGGAAATGAATTGAGATAGTTTACAGTGTCACATACCTGCTATTTGGACATTAGAGAGTCGTTGAGAGTAGAATATCAGGAAATTTTCTTGCTAAATACATCGTGATCTCGAGAAAAATACATGCTATTTGAACATTAGATAGCAATTCTTACATTGCTAGATATCTCGAGAGAAATAAGCTTCTGCATATGAGCTTGTAAATGATTTGAGGCGGTTTACAGCGTGAACCCTTCGATCTTTGGACATCAAAGAATCATTAAATTATTAATTATTCAATGTATTTTCTGGGAGCTAAAACTAAAAACCCTATTTTCTGTCTCTCCTCTCTCTCTCTCTCTCTCTCTCTCTCTCTCGCTCTCCATGCCTTGGTCGTCATGATATTCTATGAAGCTATGGTTTACCCTGCTGGACATGGTATAACTTGATTCAATTCTTCTGTCTGCAGATATGCCAGAGGCTCATGGTCCAGGGCCTGCCTGGAATGGGCAACTATGATGGCCCTTTCAACGCCATACGGGGAGTACTCAAGACTGAGGGACTCCGAGGCCTTTATAGAGGCTTCGGGCTGACTCTCTTGACTCAGTCTCCAGCCAACGCCCTCTGGTGGGGCGTCTATGGGTCAGCTCAGCACCTCATCTGGAGGTACTTCCATGGAAAGTCTTATCCATCCCATCTGCTTGTTGAATTTCTCTTCTCATTCAGCCTGCCTTTTTTTTCCTAATATAGCACCCTGGGCTATGGCGATGATTCTGAGAAGAAGCCATCTCACTGCGAACTGGTGGCTGTTCAGGCGACCGCAGGGACAGCAGCTGGCGCTTGCTCCTCTGTGATAACGACCCCAATTGACACCATCAAGACAAGACTTCAGGTGCGCAGAACATTTCAATCCCTGACTGTTCTATCCATAGAAATTAGGTCATATTTCCAAATGTTTCTTACTATACTATTTAGTGCATATTTGAATTGCTCAATATAGCATGCAGGGCTGATTTCACTTTCTGATTATAGCATTTAAGGCAGATTTAGATCGTCGATTATACTATTTAGGGAAGTCCCGATCACGATCACCGATCGTCATATGTAGGGAAGATTCTAATGGCCGATCATATTCCTGATGATCCTGATGGGTTCTGCAGGTGATGGATAACTACGGCGTGGGCCGACCCTCCGTCAGGAAGACGGTGTGCCTCCTCCTCGAAGAAGACGGCTGGGCGGGCTTCTACAGAGGCTTTGGCCCCCGCTTCCTCAACATGTCTCTCTGGGGAACCTCCATGATCGTCACCTACGAGCTCATCAGTGAGTTCTCCCCCCCTCCCTCACTTTTCCTCCTGACGGCTGCTCCCCCCCACTCTGATCTCAGAGAATTTTGATTTTCAGAGCGGCTCTCGCTGAAGCGTGACTGACCACCATTGGCGCCGGCCAATGCCAACACGAGCCTCAGCTCACTGGGATTGCCGCCAATTGCCAATGCCCCACCGCCAATTACTGATCCCCAGCCACTTCCCTCCACCGCCAATTGGCGATGCCCCGCCACCAATCGCCAGCCACTTCCCCCCACTGGCGAACCTATGGAGGAATCCAAGAGTGTTCTCATCCGCTGGTGGCGGCAAACCCATCGAAGAATTCAAGGGCATTCTCCGCCGCCAGTCGCTGCACTGCGGGGAAGGATCAAGAGCCATGGGAGCTGCCACCGAGGTATTAGTGAATTGATTCCAGCCCTTCCAATGATGGAATTCTTTCCATGCGATTTTTGTGACCTCATGGGGCACGCTGATCTTAATTTTAATTGCTTACTGAAATAATATAAATTAAGTCACTTGAATCTCGAGAAAAATAAATATTTATATAGATTTATATGTTATTGCTTTCTAGTCGAGTAATTAAAGTATATTTTACATGAACTTAATATTAAAATCACAAAGGATAAATACATAAAATAATTATTATTTTTGTTTAAGTCCCACGATTGTAGTAGGCAGGCCTTCCCTCCCCCTTGACGTATTCGTGCATGTATTCAATAATTAATTACGTTTCTTCGAATTATCGAATAATATATGTGTTTATTCGCATATCTATAAAGTTGCATTTGAACGGGGTCCTTTCCGCTTGATGCATTTGCACATATATTCGGAAATTAATTCATGAGAACCCAAAAAATCCAAAAACTCACGTAAATAATTATCTGCAGAAAGTGAATAATCGCAAATTAAGTTTTCAAATATCTAAAAGATATATTTATTCGCAGGAAATATTGAAAAATAAATAGTATAAGTAGAAATAATAACGACCATATTGAAAATTAAATAAGACGGGAGGAGGTTAGCTCTGAAATAGGTTCAGAGGACCTTGGCGACGTCCTTCATGAGGGCCCGGTTGGCGCGGTAGAAGGCGGAGAATTCGTCGAAGGAGATGAAGCCATCGCGGTCGGTGTCGAGCTCGCGCATCATGCGGGCCACGTCCTCCGGCGAGGCCGTCCCGAGAGAGCCAAGAGCGTCCTCCAGCTCCTTGGACGAGATCTTCCCGTCCCCGTTCGCGTCGAACCTCTTGAAGATCCTCTCCATCTCCACCATCTCCTCTGCGCTACCCCCCATCTCTCTCTAACTATTCTCTCTCTCTCTCTCTCTCTCTCTCTCTCTCTCTCTCTCTCTCTCTTGTGGTGTAGCTGCTGCAGTCTGCCGGTGCTGCTGGAGAAGAGGAGATCGATGGCGGGGGAAGGTTATGAAGGGCTTGAGGAGGAGGAGGAGGAGGAGGATGGCCTGGGCTCCCCCCGTTAAACCCGGGGATCCTCACTTTCTGCCCCAAGAACCGTTCAGCCGAGACCATCTCTCTGTACTCTCTCTCTCCCCCATCCCCTGCATTTGTCCTCTCCATCTCTCCCTCCCCCTCACTCCTATGACCCCTTCTCTCTTCTTCCCCTCTCTCTCTCGCCTCCATTGATCCTCCTCTTCTCCCTCCCGCCCTCTTCTTTTTCTTCCTCTTCTCTCTCCCTCTCTCTCCCCACCTCATCCCCTCCATTTGTCATCTCCCATCCCCCTCAGTCCTATGTTCCCTTCTCTCTCCCTCCCACCCCTCTCTCTCTCTCTCTCTCTCTCTCTCTCTAAGCCCATCATTCCCTCCCTCTCCCTCTCTGGGTTTTTCGTCTAAATCTCATGCATGAGTGTAGTTTTCGATACGTGCATGGCCCGGCCAAATCAGAACAACAGATATTTTGCTGGGGCCCACAAAAAGTAAGTGGGCTGGCCCAATATCTATTGGCCCAACTCCAGTCTCATTAACCCGGCTCATCAATGTTATCGTCTTCCTCCTCTCTCTCTCTCTCTCCGAGTCATTTGTGCAGGGAATTAATATATTAATAAATATTATGAAACTAAGATTTTCCTCCTGATATGATGTTCAATAATCTTCCTTATAAATATTTTTTATTTTTATAAATTATAAATCAAATATAACGATAAATGGATTCATGATCCGAAAAATCGAAGAATATTAGGGTGAATAAACCTGGAAAATTACGCCAGCATACACGTTTAATAGCGCATTAACGCGATAAAATTAAATGGCCCAAGGTGGGGGAAAATGGGCTGGTCTGGCCCAATAACGCGCATTTGGTTCAGGATCTAGCTCAGGAGGAATTAATGGGCCAAGGTAGTTATGGTATTGGGCCTAGCCCATAGACGGCCTTATAGGGTTCGTTTCCCCATGTGGAGCGTTCTGTCTGCTAGTTCGATTCAGCACATGGTGAGGCCGGGAATCTGGGCCCATAGGTTGGGCCGACCATTTGTGGGACCCGCAATGCTCTGTACATTTGACGGTGGTTTTGACGGAGATGTGACGGAGCTTGAGCGGAGTTAACGGCGGATTCTCGGGGGAATAAAATCCTGCGGAGGGAGTGAGAGACGACCCTCTCTAGTTCTCCTAGGATCTGCTGTGCTTCTTCCTCTCGCCGCCGGGCCCTCCCCGACCTCAGTTTCGTTGTTCGCCTCCGGTAAGCCGATCGCCTCTCACCTCAATCTTTCCTTCGGTTCTGTGATTCGCCGGGAGGATTTCTCCCAGATCCTTTCGCTTTTGTTGCTTCGATCTGCTCTTGTTTTGTCCTCTGTTCAAGTGTTTCGGTGGCCGATCTGGTGTTTCTTCGGTAGAATCAGGGGCGCTCCTCCTGTGAATGATTCTTTTTTATGTCCATCCTTTTTTACACTTTTTTCTCTTCTCCTGTTGCGAGGCGTAAGATGGAGATCCCCTTCTTTTTACCTGCTCGGTTTGGGGCGTAATTTGGCAGTATCACTCATTTCTTGTGGGTTTAATCTTTAACTTCATGCTTATGATTCGAATACTTTGAATCAGTTGTCCCCTGAATGATTGGGTTTGTGGGTTCAAAATTCCATCATATGGTTCTCCTTTTTCAAAAATATTCGTATTCATTTTGGGTTTTTGCTGCAATAGCTTGCTCTTCTTGATAGTATGGATAGATAAAGGTGTGGAGTTTTTGTTTTATTGTATTTTGTGGAAATTTTGAGGTGGGTCTTTGTCAGGTGCGATCAACCGAACTATTTCGGTGACACTCGCTTCTTCACTTATTTTCAATAAAAAAAATATACTAGTATAAAGTAAAGGAAAAAAATCATCCAGTTGTTGGTAGTTCCTTGAGAATGGGTCGTCTTCTTTTGCGTAATGTAATTTCTGATTGCATACACCGTGATGACTTTCTATGTAGTTTTTTTATCGTCTCTAGGTCTAATTACTAGGAGGCTTCTTCCAAGACGCAACTTGTTTTTTTTTTTTTTTCATTTAAATGTTGTCCATCATGTTTTCTTAACACCGTATTTTATTCCTTATTGATGATGATGGTGTACACATCTACACAAAAAATACCACTCAACCTCATCTGCACTTTCTTCTTTCCCATTTGACAGGAAAAAAATATGGGGCTGTCATTCACGAAGCTCTTCAGTCGGCTTTTCGCCAAGAGGGAGATGCGGATCCTTATGGTGGGTCTTGATGCTGCTGGTAAAACTACTATTTTGTACAAGTTGAAGCTCGGGGAGATTGTCACGACCATTCCTACCATAGGTATGCTTTTTCTGGGTTAATTTAACTGTGGACCTGTTCCTATTACTTTATCTTTCCTGTAATATGTCTACTATCGCTTGTTTCTGTGTAGTTATACTTTGTGTTATTTGGGACCTTTCTATATGTATGATTGTTGATATCATATTTGCTAGGAGAGAAGCAAAGAGAATCAGGTGTCAACATGCTTTTTAAACAAAGTATGGATATTCTGTTGTCTTGTTTGCACGAGAGAGTTAGAGTGAGCTGCCAGTGGGAGAAGGATGGAGGGAAAACACTTACATAAGTTGAGAGGAGGGAAATACTTTTACTAACATCTCTCTCATCTTTATCGTCGCCTAAATATCATTATGTATAATAGAAATCCGTGGAGCATACATCCAAGGATCGTTGTTAATGCATATGTGGTGTTTAACATTACTAATGCTTTATATCTTTTTTCTTTGAACACTTTAAGAAGCAGAGTGGCAATTATCGATGTTGTTGCCATTACCTCTCATTTACTGACCAAGTTTTAAATAATTTGGTGATTCTGTGATAATTCATAATATTCTGGACTGCTGTAAATCAGTAAAAAAGAATTAAAAATACATATATTTCTTATAATTTTCGTAGAAAATACGTTTGAAGTATTTAGGTGGAAAATACGTTTTTCCACCTCAGATAACATGTTCAATTCGATTCGGAGCTCTTAGGTTCATTCAAACTACTTTGAAGTATTTTCCAATGCAATTTTCGGGTCCTGATCAGTTTTCTTACCGTGAATATATATTTTCTGTCACTAATTGAAGAGAAAAATAGGCGCAACATATAATTGTTTTCTTTTTTTGTTTGTCAGGATTCAATGTTGAGACAGTTGAATACAAGAACATTAGCTTCACTGTGTGGGACGTTGGGGGTCAGGACAAGGTATTTGAATCTCCTAGAGCATATTATCTTTTTCCTGACGAAGCACTGATCTTGTAACATAATCTAGTAGATCATGATAGATAGAGATCATTTTAGTTTTAACCTCTTCAAGTTTTTTTTTTTGGCTACTAAAGCGCATTTTTCGTTTTCTTTTTTCTTTCTTTCCTAGTTTTATTAGCACCCATTGTTGACGTGTTGAACATTTTGTCTTGATTATCTCAGGGATATTTTTATACTCGTTTGGAACATTTGACATCAGACCTCAAGTGTTGATTTGTCATTTTTTTAATCATTTTTATGGACGGTGCAGAGGAAATCCATGATACTAGACATAGAGAATGAAGTGCATTGGATATGTTATTCATGCAAGGTTTTGTGTGCATAGGATAGAATGTTTGGTAACTTCTTGATGGACAATTTATAAGCTGTTCGTTTGGACGGATATGATTATGCATCCTGACAAGCATGGTCTCTGAATTCATCAGCTTTCGCCTTTGAAAATACAAGATTTAAATAACTCAGTGATCTTTTTATGGGTCAAATGTTTGAAAGTGTGAATGAGGTATCTAAAAGAAAATATCTGAATTTTTTATTTTTCGCAATTTTCCGTGGGTTTATGATTCAGTAATAGTAAATTATATTCTAGCTTCTTTACAATTGCCAGTTTTTAAATTCGCTGAAGTATCATATTTTGTTCAGCTATTCTCAATCAGAAATTATGCTACTTTCAATGCTTCACGTCTACTACATATGATCATATATTAATGTGAAGCATATATAGATTAATAATCATTTTTCCGTCTACCTTCACCTCATCGATTGATTGATTTCTTTTCTTAGTTCATGGATTTTGTATTTTTTATGGATTCTCGCAAAAATTATGGGCAAATTCCGCTTTTAAAGAGTCTCTATAGTTTTTATTTATTCATTCATCTACAGCAATGTTGATTATATATATATATATATATAGAGAGAGAGAGAGAGAGTAAAAAAATGACCTTTGCATTTGGGTGTATCAGATCCGTCCATTGTGGAGACATTACTTCCAGAACACCCAGGGCCTCATCTTTGTGGTGGATAGCAACGACCGTGACCGAGTTGTTGAGGCTAGAGATGAACTCCACAGGATGCTAAATGAGGTAAAAAACGCACGATCATCCCCCTCCCCCTTCATACGTCACTTTTCAACTGTTCCACTGGGCCAGGTCCCTCAATTAGTAAGAAAAAAAGAAAAAGATCTTCCAACTGGTCTTCTCAGGGGAGTCCTCTCTCTCTCTCTCTCTCTTCTCCATTGCTACGTGGGAGAATTATGTGGATGCTGGGTGACCTTAAGAGGTCTGTTCTTTGATGGCAGGACGAGCTGAGAGATGCGGTGCTGCTAGTGTTCGCCAACAAGCAGGATCTCCCCAATGCGATGAATGCAGCAGAGATCACCGACAAGCTCGGTCTCCACTCCCTTCGCCAGCGCCATTGGTAATCTCTCTCCCTCTCTCTCTCTCACTCACTCACTCACCATTTCTGAACCCTCTGAAATTGCCCACAAGCTATATATGGGCCTCCTCCGGCTTGCGTTAGGCCACGTGGCAGTTCTCTCTCTTCTCTCTCTCTCTCTCTCTCTCTCTCCATCTCTTTCTCTCTCGTATACGTCAAGCGACTGGTCCACCGTATTAATCTGCTGTGCTCATCCCCTGCCCGCTCATGTGTCTCCCTCTCTCAGGTACATCCAGAGCACCTGCGCCACCTCCGGGGAAGGACTGTACGAGGGGTTGGACTGGCTCTCCAACAACATCGCCAGCAAGGTCTGACGGCCCCCACCCCTTCCCCTTCCAAATCTCTTGGAATACCTACCTCTGATACCCTCTCTACCCACCCCCCCTTCCTTTCTCTCTCTATCTCTCTCTCATGCAGGCCTAGCCGCGCTTGCCGCCATCGCCAGCTTTCATGAAATCACCATCTTCAGGAGCAGCGCCGCTCCGGGCTCTCTTCTTCTTCTTCTTCTTCATCATCATCATCTTCTTCTTCTTCTCGGTCGTATAGGAGAGCTACGGCTCTTGCTAAGTCTTGGCTTTTACATACATACAGTCGCTGCCATCCTTGCTATGTGGATCTACATAATAATATCGGGTTTTCTCTCTCTATCCACCCCCACCGCCCTCCCCTCAATTATTTTCCTTTACCCAGGTTTGGGCCTCTAGAGAGAGAGAGAGAGAGTTGATGGTAGTAGTGTCCTCCAATGTAACATGATAAACGACAAGTTTTTCCTTGTTCGCAGTTTTGGGTGTCCACAGAGAGAGCGAGAGAGAGAGAGAGAGAGAGAGAGAGTTGATGGTAATGGTGTCGTCTAACGTAACAAGTTTTTCCTTAGGCAGTTTTGGGTGCTAGAGAGAGAGAGAGTTGATGCTACTGGTGTCCTACAATGTAACATGATAAACGACAAGAGTTTCCCTCAATCATTTTCCTTCTTCAACAGTTTTGTGTGTCTAGAGAGAGAGAGAGAGATGGTCAAAAGGTGTCATTCTATGTAACATAATAAACTCCAAGAGTAATTATCCGGTGGGACAATCTCAGAGGCCACAGACTTGGAATTCAAAAACGGAAATGCAAGAGAGAGAAATTCAGAACTTTCTATTAAATAACACCAAAAAAGGGGGCCGCCGCCGCCGGCCCCTTAAATCTATCTGGCCGCCAACTACGCCGCCGGTTGCAAGTCGGCGCCTCCCAAGAAAATGGCGGCGGGGCTGCCCGGGGATGGGCGGTTCTGCAGCAGCAGATCCCTGTAGGGCCCCGCCCTCTCCACGGCGGTGCCGTCAGTGAAGCTCAGGACCTCCAGATGCTCCAGCTGGAGCTGTCGCCTGATGAGGTCAACGTTCTCGGAGAGCACCTCCAACTCGCCGAATGGCAGCCGCAGGTCAAGTGCCTGTGGGCCCACAGAGTTGACTTCGTCCTTCTTGAACTTGACGAAGGGCATGCACTCCTTCTGCAGCTGCTTGAATGTCTTGTCCTCCAGCTGGATTCCCTTCAGAGATTCGAGGATCTCCTGGTCGGGGGCGAAGGAGCGGCTGGCGAGGTCGTACTTGCTCCGGAGAATCCGGAGGCAGCCCTCCTTCCATCCGTCGTACTGCTCGTTGACGTAGATCAGCCCCGCGCTGAGGCGGCGCTGCTCCACCTGGGGCGCTGCCGCTGCTCCGCCGCCCTTTTTGGGCTTCTTCGCGCCGAACTCCTGCTTCTCCTTGAGCTTGCGCATGAGGGCGATGGTGTCTTGGAGGTACCTGTTGGCGCGCTTGAGGGTGGGGTCGGGGGCGTCCGCCGGTGGCCATCCCGCCGTCACCACGAAGCCGTCTCGCCGGAGGATCTCCTTCCAGACGTGCTCCGCGTAGTGGGGGCAGATAGGGGCGAGGATCCTCGTCTGAGCGTCCATGAAGCGCCACAGAAGGTCGCGGTTCATGGCGGCGCCGCCGCAGGAGAGGCGGTACTCGTCCCTCGCAGCCTGGAGGTCGTAGAAGCCCGTCTTCAGGGCCTCCCTGAACATGACGTCGCGGTAGCTCTGCTTGGCGGCGCAGACGGCGATGTTGATCTCGTTGGCGAAGACCCGGTCGGCATAGGTCAACGGCGGGCCCCGCCGGAGGGTCTCCTCCGTCGCCAGCACCTCTTCCATCCACGTCAGCTCCTTGGTCAACCGCAGGATGGCGGCGTTGGCGGTGTCGGTGACGAAGTTGGCGTCGTCCATGCCGTCGCCGGCGTCGGCGAGGGAGAACCTCGTGGCGTCGGCGGAGTACTCCTCGATGGCCTGCCGCAGCGTCTTGAAGTTGCCCGTGGACTTGGACATCTTCTCCGAGTTCAGCATGATGTGACCGTTGCAGCGGAACCCTAGCGGCCACTGCCGCTCCGGCAGCAGGGCCGTGTGGTTGTAGATGCAGAACGTGAGGTGGTTCTGGATCAGATCCTTCCCCGACACCCTCAGGTCGAAGGGGTACCAGTACTCGAACTCCTGCTTCATCTGCCGGAGCAGCGCCGCCGGCAGCTCGCTGGACTCTGGGGTGGCGCCGCCGCTGAACACGAAGTCCCATACCTCGTCCGTCATCTGCCCCGGCCTCACCGCCGAGGCCTCGCCGCCACCGCCGTACATGTCGCCGTTCTGCAGGAGGTGGGCGACGGTGTAGTAGGCCATGTAGAGGGTGGAATCGGAGAGGGACTCCACCAGGAACTGCTCGTCCCATGGGATGCGGGTGCCGAGGCCGAAGGATCTCGAGCAGGCCCACTGGTTCAGCCAGCTGAGGGTGTGCTCGAAGCCGTGCCTGGTCTCGTCGGAGAAGAGGTTCATCGCCGCCAAGCAGGTCTCCGCCTTCTTCCTCCACTCCTCCTCACCGTAGGTGATGTACCACTGATCGGTGAGCGCCACCACGCAGTCATCCCCCGAGCGGGAGGTCACCCGCCGCTCCGGCTCGCTGTACATCACGGCGGCGCCGCCGGCCAGCAGGGCGCTCCTTATCAGCGGCTTCGCCTCCTGCACCATTTTCCCCGCGAACTCCCCCACCAGCATGGTCCCCTCCGTGAAGCCCTTCAGGTAGGTGAGCCTCTTGGCCTCCGCGAGCTTCTCCTTGTCGTTCTGGCTCCTGATCTTCAGATCGGTGCAGACCTTCTCCGCCGCCTTATCGCCGAACTCGGGGATCCTGATGATGGGGATCACCTCGAAGGGGAGGACCCACTCGTCCTTCACCCCGTACTTGGAGCGCAGAGCGGGCTTGGCCTTGAGGTCCTGCAACGCCATGAAATCGTCGGGGGAGTCGCTGGGCACGCTGGTGACGATCCCGGTGCCCTTGTCGGTGAGGATGGTGAGCATCGGCAGGGAGTAGATGATCTTGTTGAAGGACAGCGGCGAGCTCAGAGGCAATCCGATGAGGTCCTGCCCGGAGAGCTCCACGAGGCAGGTGGGCTTCTCAGGGACCCTGGAGAGCCTCTGGTACGCCAGATTGAGCGCCGCCCGCGCGGTGAGGACGAAGACCTCGCTGTCGTTGACCTCGTAGGCGCCGTACTTTCCCTCGGGCAACACCCAGCAGTTGGTCTGCCCGTACATGGTCTCCGGCCGGAGAGTGGCGGCGGCGAGGAACACCCGCTTCCCTTCCAGGGCCTTCATCTTCCCCGTGAAGGGGGGGAGGACCTCCATCTTGATCAGGACGTAGTCCTGGGGCTGGACGCCTTCGCCGGTGGCGCGGTCGTGGTCTGCGCAGGGCTGGCCGTCGAGGGGGGAGTAGATAGCGTACCTCACGGCCTTCACAATCTTTCCCATGGCCTTGAGCTTCCTCATCTGCCACCGAACGAAGGAGTCGTAGAAGGGGTTCATGTCGGTGGTGATGAAGGAGCGCCGCCAGTCGCAGCCCAAGCCGAAGGCCCTGAGGTCTTCCTTCGCCAGTGGGGGGAAGTGGCTCAACCAGTGGTACGGATCTTGGAAGCTCGAGATCTCGGTCTCTGACAGGCCGAAGCTCTTCATGATGTCCCACTGGTGCTTGTCGCCACCGGATTTGGCAGCCGCTTTCGATCTCTTGCTCTTGAACTTGTCCGGCGCTGCCTGGTCGCCGTCGCCATCGCCGGCGACGGGGGGATTCTCCTCTTCCGCCGCTCTTGCATCGGGATCGGGAAACACCGGCGGGTTGCCGAACTGCTTGATCTCGCGGGCGAGCTTGTCGGCGGAGGCCTTGATCGGCATCCCCGTGCAATGGAAGGCGAACGGGAGGAGGACGTTGCGGCCGCAGAGGCGGTGGAAGGCGGAGGCGAACTCGAGCTTCGACAAGGAGAAGCCATGGCCGAGGTGGAGGGATCCGTTCATGTACGGATAGGGGAAGTTGCCGAAGAACTTCTCCTCCGGCGCCGGCGCCGCCGGCCGCGAATCCGCCTTGAACACCTCCGCCTCCTCCCACCGCCGCTGGACCGCCCGCTCGATGCTCCGAAGAAGATCTCTCCTCGCGAAGCTCTTCCCGCCGTCGGCTCCCGCCCCCGCCGCCGTCTCCTTCGGCTCCGGCGCCATCACCTTATCGTGAAATCGCCCGACGCTGCAGGAGCATGCAGATCCAAAAAACCATCAAAATCCACAATAACCTCCCGATTCCCCGACGAATCTCGCTCACCAGGCTGCGCCATCCCCACCATGGGAGGAGCCACAGAGCGGAGGTAGCAAATTGGAGAGACAGAGGAGAGAGAGAGAGAGAGAGAACAAGCCGAGGTAGAAGAGGGACGAATCCATGGCGTACCTACCGCGTCAACACCGCAGCTCCTTCAGGGGACACCGCTTTGGTCGCTGGAGGAGGAAGAGGAAGGGGTCTGAGTACGAGCAGCGGGCGCCGCCACGGATGAGAAGCCAGGGCGAGGATTTGACTGGGCGGCCAGCCCGAGGGTTTCTTCCCCCTTTAGCAACCCCACCCCAACTCGTAGAGAGAGAGAGAGAGTGAGAGAGAGAAAGTGAGCCCACGACATCCTGGCCGTCGATCAAGGATTGAACGTTGATGATAGGCTTGGGGTCGAAAGGCGCGCCAGCTTCTCTCTCTCTCTCTCTCTCTTTTTCTCTCTGCTCCCCTCTCTTTCCTCTCTCTGTGTGTTCTTAGAAGTGCCAAATTAGGCAAATTTTTTGGGATTAAAGTAAATAAAAATATTCCCAACAAATAATTGAATAATTTTAATTTACCCAATGTACCATTTTCAAGATATGCGGGTTTTATCATTCCGGATATCTCATTCCAAGAAAATATGCCCCTGTTTATGGGATCAGAGTAAATAAAATATTCCCAATAAATACTTAAATTATTTTTATTTACCCAATGTACCATTTCCAAGGTATGCGGATTTTATTATTCCGAATATTCTCATTCCTAGATACATACCCGTGTTTATTGGGCATATCACACTCTTTTCTAATTATAGAACTATTATGAAATATCATCAAATTATTTTTTATTGACGATAAATATATTATTAGGCAAACCTTATCTCACACTAACACGCAATGATGCAATTAATTCCAGCCTATTAATTATTACCTATACTTTCAGATAATTATAATATCTTTTTTAAATTATTGATTAAGGAAAATATATGACATGTTAATTCGTTCTCATATACAGAATTAACTACCGACCCAATTTCGGCAATGTTGGTTCAAAAATTGCTAAATTCGGACAAAGTTTGGTCATTTTCAGACAGATTTTTTTGCCAAATTAAGATAACAATCGGGGCTATTTTCCCGCCGAATCCAAGTAGATTATTTATTGCAAGTGGCTGATTCATGCCCTAATATGTAGGATTGTTTGACCAGCATTGCTTTGACTAGAGCCGAATACTGATCAGGCAATGGGAGTTAGTCAAACCTAATCCGAAATGGGTTGACGACACCATTTTGACATTCTCGGTCAAAATCCTGCCAAATCAGGCAATTGTCGGCCATTTCAGACACTTTTTTGCTAAAACTGGAGAATTTGTGAGCACATGCTGATGATCCCACTTGTTTAATTTCATGAACAGTGAGATAAGCATGAAAAAAAAATTAGCCCAAGAACTGACCCAACAATATGCATTGATTCAGATCGATATTTTGCAATAAATGGATATTTCTTGACGGGAAGAAAGATTTCTCATCTTCGTTCTATCATTCTTTCAAAAATTGGTGAGATTTTTCAGAAAAAAATGAGGAAATTATGAGTTCAACATCGCTCTGTCAATTAACCTGATAACAGTAATATTTTTCAGAAAACAATGGGGAAATTATGAGCTCAACGCCGCTCTATCAATTAACCAGATAACAGTAATATTTTTCACAAAACTTTGAGGAAATTATGAGCTCAACATCGCTCTATCAGTCAATCAGAGAATGATAATATTCTTCACAAAATAGTGAGGAAAATTATGAGCTCAACATCGCTCTATCAATTAACCTGATAACCGTAATATTTTTCACAAAATAATAAGGAACTTATGAGCTCAACATCGCTCTATCAATCAATCAGAGAATGATATTATTTTTCAAAAAATAATTAGGACAATTATGAGCTCAACGTCGCTCTACCAGTCAATTAGAAGACAGCCATCTGACCTCACTGCCTCAAGACGGTGTTCGAGCTGAAGAAGAAGTTCTCCTCACCCGCCAGGGTGGAGTGGAGCCTCCCGCCGGCCCAGCCGTTGTTCATCACTCGAGCAGCGGCTCGAGCTGGGTCTCCGACCAAGCGGGTCCCATCCACTGGCCTGTCATGCTTTGGGAGGCCCTTCTCCTCCCTCTCTTTTCTTCTCTTTTTATCTTCCTCTCGCTCTTTCCTCAACCAGCTCTCCACTGTCCTCTGTTATCGATCCACCAGAGGGATGCCGCATCAGCAAAAGAAAGAAGAAGAAGAAGAAAGGAAGATAGTGATCTAGAAGTAGAACAAAATTGACACTGGAAAAATCTTCCAGAGTGCCCAAGAAAATTAAGAAAAATAATCAGGAAGATCACACAAACGATCACACACCGGCTTTCATCTATTTAAGGTTCTGAAGATAAAAAAAATAAAAAAGTATAGATTCATTGGCACGGTTGTAATCTGTTCATCCGTGTCACAAGCAGTATCTCTGGTTTTCCTAATTCTTTTTGCTTCAATCAAAATAGCTGATGAAAGATTATTCCCAGGTTCAAATCAGGATCCTCTTCACTGATTTCAAGAAGATCGGTGGAGACTAACCATTAGTGACAAGTTGCTCATCTCCTTCACCTTCTCCATGGGCAACGCCAATTGCAGCTTTCCATGGGCAAGATAAACCTGCAATTGGCCAGAATCAGATGATGATGATGATGGAAGATATTCATATGGCTACGGATCAGGCGCAAGGTTCCCGTTAAACATACTATATGTGATGGCCAGTCATCGAGCCCATCAAAAATATGGGTTGCATAAATAATTGTTGCTCCTCGCACTTCGCATTCCTTCTTGAGAAATTTCAAGAGATTAGACCTCGCCAGCACGTCCAGATCTACTGTTATCTCGTCCAGAAGAAGAACCTTTTTTATCACAGAAAGCAAGATCTCAGATGATCTGTGTGCAGATATGCACGATTCGATGAGGGCATTGAAGGGATTGACGATGGTAACCTTGTATGGACGAAGGAGGCCCATGCAGATCTGAACCCTTCTCCGCTGGCCATCTGATGACTTGTGCATCCGCCATGACAGGTCGATGTCGAGAACCTGAAGCCATTGATAGTACAGATCACTGCGATTATTTGCTTTCTCAGATGATTATCACAGACAATTGTAGGAGCGTTTTTTTTTTGTCCTCTACGATCCAAATTATTAGCGGTGAATCCAATTCGTCGAGAGAGGAAGATAAGAGGGATGGGATCATTACCTTCACGAGTTCATCTCTGCGTTGAGGATCGACGCCTGAAACCCCGAATATCATCTTCTCTGCAGAGATATCCATCTGTATGGGCACCTCAAAGCCAGCAAATGCGACGTCCCTCCTCCACTTTCAGAGCATCCGGAAAAGAAAATCCTCTATCAGGTTAATCGGTTACGATTCATTAGCTCCCGTCTAGCATCTCGATTCCACCACAATTTTACGATCAGCATCGGATAATGTAAAAAACAGAGAAAAATCTACGAACAGTTGAAGCTATCAGGTCGTTGTAATCTATCATCTGTTTTCAAAAAGGATGAATTAAAGTAATACCTCACCACCGAGGTAGGAGAGGTCGCCGGAACTCGTTAGGGTGGTGTCGTGGAAGGCAGAGCGGCCGAGAACTCGGACCATGTCGACCCCTACCATGTGCTTCCCTCCGATTATCTTCAGGATCGTCGTCTTCCCTGACAAATCTCACAATCGCATTCAGAACGAGAAATTAAGGAATCGAAAAGCCTTTCTCCACTAAACGATCCGGATTCTATGTAGATTCCATTTGTTTCCAGGTCTACCAGACCGCGAGGACTCACCGGCGCCATTGGAGCCGACCAGGAGGCAGCGGTCGCCGGCATGGAGAGAGAGGGAGAGGCCTTCAATGAGCGGCTTTGACCCCCGCGGCGGATGGCCGTCGATTCCAGGGTATGTGAACGACAGGTCGTTCAACTTCACCGCCGCTGGCCCCTCCTCCGCCCCCATGCTCACCATATCGAGATCCTTCCCCTGCTACAGCGAAAACCAAACTCAGAGAGAGAGAGAGAGAGAGAGAGAGAGAGAGAGAGAGAGAGAGAGAGAGAAGAAGGGGGGGGGGGGGTGTTAACGGTAGAAGCAGTCACCAGAGTTGGTGGACTTCAGAGTTATCGTGGCCTGCGGTTGTCCGCAACCTGAAACTACGTCGAGAGAGAGAGAGAGAGAGAGAGGAGAAGGGAGGGAGGAGAGAGAGAGAGAGGGTCGTGGTTTGACGGTCCCCAGAGTTGGTGGACTTCGGGTTCCAATGGGACGTCGTGGCCTGTAGATGTCCGCAAGCTAGAATTACGTAGAGAGAGAGAGAATATCCTTAACAATAAGCAATCGACACGCCATTAAGAGATCGCCAATCAAAGAAAAGATTGACACGTCATAATTAGCACACGGAAGACTCGCGCTTCCAGAGAAGTTGGCGATTGGCCGTAGGTTATTCACGTGGGAAAAGTATGCCACGTATCATACTCTTATAACCTTCAAACTATTATAATTCGGGGAAGTATTTAAAAATACGACTATAATACTTTACTAATTTAAAAGCTATCTTATTTAATTATATGCGAGAAAAAATACGCCCTCATCTATTAAGCAAAAAATGGCAAAATTTAAGCACATCATTTTTTGTGCCCAATCTACAATTTTAAAAAGTACGATTTAAATTTTCACCATTGATTTATTTTCCTTCTGATCTATATAAGTTTCACAAAATTATTTCATAAATAATCACATAATCATTGCATATTTTTCATTCAAATAAATATTATTCCAGCTTGATTTCTTTCATGTTGATCAATTAATATTTAAGATTTTTCCATGAAAACAACATGACATTCAATCCAATTACTTTTGCTAGTTATGGCAAGCTCAAGTTCACAACTTTAATATAGAAAATATATAGTTTATGATGTATTTATTTAAGAATATTAGATTTACACAACATCATTTTATAAATACTCACATAATCATTGCATACTTTTCCATAGAAAGGAAGATGGTTCTAGCTTGATTTCTTTCTTGGTGATCAATTAATATTTAAGAATTTTTCATGAAAACAACATGATGTTCACTCCAATTACTATTTCCAATTATGATAAACTCAGGTTCATAACTTTAATAAATAAAGTATATATTTTATGATGTATTTATTTAAGAATATTAGATTGAAGGATGTGAGGCTATGATAGCTTGAGAGGGATTGTGATTAGCACTCTAGCAATCACTTTGAGAGATCTAGACAGTGAATCAACTTACATTATATAAAGAATAGTCAATACTCTTGGTGATCAAGTGGGTCAACTCATTGGGTACAAATGTTATTGGGGTGAGACACAATGGATAAGATACAGAAAACACAATACTTGCTGTGGGTGTGAGATGGTACAGATAATATGAAGGCACAGCCAAGGAGTAGAAGAAGTTAGGTGTTGTCACTTGGAGCATGAGTATGGGTGTCGTCTTACTTTCATGGATTCTACCATCCCTCAATTTATAGAGAATCCAAGTGAGAGAAAGTGACATCAAGGAGCGATCCATTATTGCGACTGGTCCACGAGATTTTTGGAGTCAAGTAAACACTTGGAACCCAAGGCCAAGGAGAGAGAGGTGATTGAGACTTATATCTAGTTGTCATATAACTTTTTTTGACTTTCAGGGAAATATCTAGAAAGATATATTTTCTTTATAAGAGTAAGAATTTCTGAAAAGTCAAAAGACACAAGGTTGTGAAGACTAAGTCATGTTAAACCACAATGTAAATCATATTATAACAATATCTAATAAATGATATTGTTTATGCAGTTAGATAAAAATCTTCTACATCCACACAAAGAGAAATAGAGGCTTAGGTGGAGAAACTACTAAAGGAGAGTGATTATCTCGAATCGCCTTTCAAAGGCTTGGAGCACAATTGACTTCTTTTCTTGAAGCTAATATAAGCAACTAATGAGGCAAAATGAGAAAAACTTACTTCTTTCTCTTTATTCCAAGCTTAATCTCCACCTTGAAGTAGTAGCCTTTTTCCTCCATGGTGGCATTAGACCCTTTTTTGCAGCACCCCAATATCCTAAAAGGTGGGAGAAGAAATATTTTTCCTTTTGTTACTTTTGGGCTATTAGTAATTCCCAATTAGTATGAGCAGGCAATAATAATATTCTCCACCTTTGACTTGGCCAAATTAACTGCAGCAAATGTCAATTTTATTTTTTTGGGTATAGTTACCTTCATATTTGAATCTTAAATCAACATGCCCAATCATTTTCCAATGTCAATTAGGGATAAAAAATTTCTGCTCATCAAGGCTTATTATCATATCAATAATACTATCATGTGTAAACATCTTAATATGTTGGATGTTATCTCTTGTAGTAAATTTACTCAATTCATGAATCCTAACACCATATATTTTGTTCTCACAAGATAAAGTAGGCCCTTTATAAAGTAAGTTATACTCTAGCTATCAAAATATAGAGGAACAACAATTTGTTTGATGACAAGTTTCTTCATCAAATACTTCAACTAAAATATTTCAATCATTGACTTAATTGCAGCAATGGACTCAAATGTTTGTAGTAAAAAATGTGATACTATCTTATAATATTAATTTTCAACTAATGAGACGTCTACTTAAAGAAAAAAATACCATATAATAAATCTTATGGTATTAAAGTCACCTACATAATATAAATCAACATAACTAATGATATCATTAGTTTTACTCTACTAAATGTGAAACCATAATATGATATACTCTTAAGATAATAAAATTTATTTAACTATGTTTTAGTGCTCATTTTCTATACTTTTGAAATAGTAAGGCCAAATGAAACACTAAGGGTGGAGTGAATTATAATTTCTAGAGTAGGCTAGTAATTTGAGGAACATGCAAAATAGAACATGCTAGTAATTTTATTTTCGATGCCGATGGATCAAGCTAGATGCAGTTTTTATGAAATTCACTATCAATATAATAATCTATTATAATATTTGTGCCTTAAGTCCAAAACATATCTTTGCAATTAAAAAGTTCAATAAGTTTCATGATTGAGAATGGTAGTTGGTGAGTGTGGATTGAGGAAACTTAAATGCCAAGTCAGATTTTTCTTCATTAGGGCTTGAAGGTCAAACACCTAGAGAAGATTAGAGTAGACAAGACTACTTTCTGAACACAAGATCTCTGGGGTGTTAAAAGGCTCTCGGTTAGATCAAACTGAGCTTCTACTCATTTTAAAAGATTAGTTTAGCTTAATTTGATTTTATTGGATCATAAGCACTTTAACAACTACTAGATCTTATAGGTTTGCAAAGTGCCATTGGCTACTCTTTTGGCTAGTCTATCTGGCATGAGATTTGCAAGCCTGACCTCATGCCAAATCTAATCAGCTATCATTTGAATCGTTTTGACAAAAACTTCTTCCTTTTAGTAAATTTTAATTAGAAGTTCATGGGCCTCATGAACTCATTTATTATATTTGGTTCCATTTATTTTACTTTCGATAAGATGGTTATAATTGCTTCAAATACTGTGAGATAGACTAAATAAATCATTAAAACATGAGGCTTCTCTACTTTTAATTAATTTCATTTCCATGTCATAGTATATTAGACATATTCTCAGAGCATAAGACTCTTTCCTAAATTGCTTGCCCAACGTTTTTATAGAACAATATTTTCTGCACATCATGGATGATTTAATGTTTTGACCAAATAATTTTCTTATTTTTTATTAGAAAAAAATTCTTTGAAAAGAAAACTATGGTCCTTATATATTGAAAACCTAAAAATAATATACTTTGAGGGTGTCTAATAAACTACTATTGGGCCCTGATGAGTGTTATTGTTAAATATGTTGTCTCACTTCTACTATCCTTGACTTTATCTAGTTTCATTGAGCCAATGTCACAAGGCATAGATACACTCTCTAATCAATATGAACTAAATGATATTTGAATATTTTATCAACTAAATATTAAATGTTTTAATTACTATACTTAACGTAATTTGATGTACTTCATATGTTATAAGTTTTAATTACTAGATTTAGAATGACTCTTTTATATGTTGGATTAACTGAAATATTGGTTATAACTTTAAATTATGAATGATTTCATCAACCATGGATTAATACTTTAATCACTAGACAATTTATTGAATTTGATTAAAACATCTCCTAAGTGGACACCAATAGTACAGGAGAGGGAGTGGCACAACATTCATATCTAACACTTTTAACCATTATACGTAATAAAAAGAATAAGATCAATTATGACTCAACAAATTGAAAGGAAAAGTCATTTCAAATATAGAGAAGCCAAAGCAAGTAAAGAGGGAATCTACCTAGTTGAACAAAGAAAAAACATAAGTTGAAAAAATATCAATTTAGTCTCTAAATTTGAGCAATCAAAATGATAACATTATGTTAAGTTTACAATTTATCTTTGTAAATTAGAAACTATAGCAACTAGTAGCATAGTGGCTCAAACTTTGAAGTTTCTCACCACTTATGTTTGATGACACCTTGAGTTGTTTGATTGACTAGAGTTAGAAACCTAGTAGTGTAGTGATTGTCCCTAAAGTAATCTTATAATTATTTCTGAGCACTAGAAGGGTTGACAACTTGAAAGGGATTTAATTAGTGGTTTCATGAGCATTAGAGTAGTTGATTCCATGAGAGTCGTTAAGTACTGACTGTCATAAATATATAACAATAATTCTTGATAAAGATTAGTACAATCTAAGGTGTAGAAACTCTTATGATTGTGGATATAGGTGAGAGGCTAAGTTACTCTAAAATATGTGTACATCTTTAACCTATATTGACTTTATAATTAAGTGAATCTTATGTATCTTATGTGAATTAAAAAGGCATAATTTGACTAACTTAATTAGAATGTTTGTTGCAATTTCATATATAGTGGCTCAACAAAGTTAATATTACTTGAGAGGTATATGTTGGCCAACATCACCTTCTTTCGATCCTGCATTTAAATCACCTTAAAATAATGGTCCAAATCTTATGAAAAAATATCTTCATTTAGTCTAAAAAACATAAAAAATTATATTCTTTTAAGAAAATTTTAAAATATAACTCAATATTTTGTACATCCTTATGATCAACTCAAAAGCTTAGATGCTTGCTTAGTTGCACCCATTGAAGTAATCTATGAATTCTTTGAGTCAATCAATCATTGATATTTTAGAAGATAAGGAAGGGCAGCCTGGCTTGACCATGTGTTCTCTCTCCTAGTTAGGTTAGAGGCAAAGATTGATAAAGTTCATTATTCAGTGGTGGGGTGTTCATAAAAAAAAGGCGTCGCCCTACAAGTGGCGAATTCTTATCCCTAGTCAATGTAGAGAAGGACAATCAATAGAAGTATAAGCCTAATTTGGATCTACTTGTATCCCACAACATATTTTTCTTCATCAACTGCAAAGAAACTAAGACTTCATGAGCTATAGTTTATAGAGATTTTTTTTGGAGCACTGAACCTATTTGAAGTGGCTTGTTTAGAACCTATTATCAAATTATAATTGATTTATTTATTCTAATTTTTTTAAAAATCTAAAAATCTAGTTTTATAAATTTTAAATCTATGTTATTTATTACACAACGACTAAATCAAGTTAAGCACCATTGCCACCACTCCGACCAACAAGGTCTTCTCTACCATGCCGACAAAGAGCATTGGTTCATGGAATGACATGATCCACAGCCTCACAGTGAACGACAGCGGCACCACTGCCATCTTTCTCTTCGAGGAGATGTGGTCTTCATGAAATCTACTATCAATTTAATAGTTTATTATAATATTTGTGCCTTAAGTCTAAAACATAGTTTTACAATTGAAAAGTCTAATAAGTTTCATGAAAGAGAATGGTAACTATTGAGCATGGAAGTAGTTGCTATAGACATGTCAAGAAAGGGGGGTGAGGGATTTTCCTACCAAGGGAAGGGATTGTCATTATAAGCTAAAAGATTGGAAAAACTTAAATGTCCAGTTTCATTTTTCTTCATTATGGTTTGAAGGTCAAACTCATGGAGAAGAATTGGGGCAAACAAGACTACTTTCCGAACACAAGATCTATGGGATGTTAAAGGGCTCACGGTCAAATTAGACTAAGCTTCTAGTTGTTTTAAAATATTAGTTCAGCTCAATCTGATTTTATTGGATCCGAAGCACTTTAACAACCACTAAACCTTATAGGCTTGCAAAGTGCCATTGTCTACTCTCTTGGTTAGTCTATCTAGCATGGGATTTGCAAGCCTGACCTCATGCCATATCTAATCAACTATCTTTTGAATCGTTTTGAAAAAGGCTTCTTCTTTTTAGAAAATTTTGATTAGAAGTAAATGGGCCTCATGAACCCATTTATTGCACTTGGTTCTATTTGTTTTACTTTCGATAAGATGGTTAGAATTGCTTCAAATATCATAGGATAGATTAAATAAATTGCTAAAACATGAAACTTCTCTACTTTTAATTAATTGCATTTGAATGACATAATATATTGGACCTATTCTTACAACATAAGGCTCTTTCTTAAATTGTTCGCCCATCATTTTTATGGAACAATATTTTTTGCACATCATGGACAATTTGATATTTTGATCAAATATTTTTCTTATTTCTTGTTACCTAGAAAAAAGTCTTTTAAAAGAAAATTATGGTCCTTATATATTGGATACCTAATAATAATATACTTTGAGGGTGTCTAATAGACCACTATTTGGCTCTTATGAGTGTTATTGATAAAGTATGCTGTCTCACTTCTACTATATCATTGAATTTATCTAGTCTTATTAAAGCAATGTCACAAAGGCATGAATGCACTTTCTAATCGATATGAATTAAATGATCTTTAAATGTTTTATCAACCATATATTAAATATTTTAATTACTATACTTAACATAATTGGATTCACTTCATATGTTATAAGTTTTAATCACCAGATTTAGAATGACTATTTTCTATGTTGGATTAATGGAAATATTAATTATAACTTTAAATTATGAATGATTTCATCAATCATAGATCTAATACTTTAAACACTAGTTAATTTACTGAATTTGATTAGAACATCTCCTAGGTGGACACCAATAGTAGAGGAGAGGAAGTGGCACAACATTCATATCTAGCACTCCATTATGCATTAATAAGAAGAAGAAGATCAATTTTGACTTAACAAATTGAAAGGAGAAATCATTTCAAATATAGAGAAGCCAAAGTAAGTAAGAAGGAATCTAGCCAATTGAACAAAGAAAAAATATAAGTTGAAAAAACATCAATTTAGTCTTTAAATTTGAGCAATCAAAATGATAACGTTATGTTAAGATTACAGTCTATCTTTGTAAATTAGAAACTACACCAAGTAGTGGCATAGTGGCTTGAACTATGAAGTGTCTCACCACTCATGTTTGATGGCACCTTGAGTTGTTTGGTTGACTAAAGTTAGAAACTTAGTAGTGTAGTGATTATCCCTAAAGTAATCCTATAATGATTTTCATGAGCACTAGAACAGTTGACAACTTGAAAGATATTTGATTGGTGATTTCATGAACGTTAGAATAGTTGATTCCATGAGAGTTGTTAAGTACTAATCGTCATGAATATGTATAGTAATCTTTGATGAAGATTAGTGCAACCTAAGGAGTAAAAGCTCTTAAGATAGTGGATATAGGTGAGAGGCTGAGTTACTGTAAAATATGTATACATCTTTAACCTATATTGACTTTCTAATTAAGTGAATCTCATATATCTTTTGTGAATTAAAAAGGCATAATTTGACTAACTTAATTAGAATGTTTGTTGCAATTTCATATATAGTGACTCAACAAAGTTTATACTATTTAAGAGGTACATGTTGGCCACCATCACCTTCTTTAGATCATGCATTTGAATCACCTTAAAATAATGGTCTAAATCTTATCAAAAAAATATCTTCATTTAGTGGTGTGTGTGATCAAAAATACATTTGACTTGATGACTTAGTACTCCTAAAGAATCGTACATTGTATCAGTCTTGTGTAGCAGAGTAGATCACATCAAATAATGTTCTCAAGATAAGTCAACATAGTAACACATGCACAATGACGGTAAATGATCCCCAAAGTAGACATGGTATCCAGATCTTCATGGCCTCGATGGCTGGATAAGCACCATGTAGCGCATGTCATGTAATTTTGACGATGGCTAGCATGTCTTCACTTTTCACTGGACGTAGATGGTAGTAGATGCTCGCCATACAGTCTACAATAAGAACGGCTTCCACTCTCCTCCTAATTTCTTTGAAGGAATAGCAGAAGCTTTCGAGAAAGATGATACCTTTATTTGTAGTCCTTGTGATGGGGGCTCACTTCTCTCATGGGCTCTTGTGAACTTTCTGGCATGATCAACTGCGGCGCCGCCGTCTATGACCATCCGGAGACGGCAGCTCATTGTCCTCCTCCGCCGGCCGCCTCCCTCCTCCGCCGTCGGCGCCGGGGACCTGGTCCATCCTCCTCCTCCTCCTCCTCCTCGTCTGACGCTGAGCAACCACCTTCTCCGCTATCTAGAGACATGTCCACCGGACCCTACCAGTTTCAACCAGATCCACGCCCAGATCGTCGCCGCCGGCATGTTCCTCGACACCTTCGCTGCAAGCCGGCTTCTCAAGTTCCTCACTCACCGGCTCGACCCACCGGATCTCCCCCGCGCCACCAAGCTCTTCTCCCAAATCCGCCACCCCGATCTCTTCTCCTACAACCTCCTCTTGCAGGCCTTTTGCCGGAGTTTATTTCCCCTCCGCTCGTTCATCTTCTATCGGGACCTTCTCCGGCGAGGCCTCCGCCCCAACGGCTACACCCTCTGCTTCCTCCTCGGCTGCTGCTCGGCGGCGGCGGCTCTCCGAGAAGGCCGGCAAGTTCACGGCCACTTCGCCAAGATGGGTCTCCTCCGCCGGTGCCTCTACGCCACCACCGCTCTCGTCCAGTTCTACGGCGACTCCGGCGACCCAGATATTGCTCGGAAGATGTTCGACGAAATGAATAGTAGAAGCGAGATCTCTTGGGGGGTCCTGGTCATGGCATACGCTGAAAGGGGCCGTCTTGATGACGCCCTCAAGGTTTTGGAGGAGATGACGAAGCTGGGAATCCAACCCTGCAACTCCACCATCGTCTTCATCCTCTGCGCATGCGCCAAGCTCGGGGAGCTCTTCCTGGGGAAGATGGTGCATGGTTTCCTGACAGTGAGGGGCCTGGAGCTGAACATCACCCTCGGAACGAGTCTCGTCGGAATGTACGCCAAGTGCGGTGCCATCGCCGCCGCCGACGAGGTCTTCTCCGCCATGCCGGCAAAGAGCGTTGGTTCGTGGAACTGCATGATCCACGGTCTCGCAGTGAACGGCGGCGGCGGCGCCGCCATCCGCCTCTTCGAGGAGATGCAGAGGTTGAACATCCCTCCCGACGGAGCGACCTTCCTCGGCATCCTCACCGCCTGCCGCCACTCCGGCGATGTCGCCGGCGGCAGCGAATTCTTCTCCCAGATGATCGAAGAGCACCGCATACTGCCGAGCTTGAAGCACTACGGGTGCATGGTCGACCTCTACGGCCGCGCCGGCAATGTCGGAGAAGCTCTCGCCGTCGTCCGCTCGATGCCCATGGAACCAGATGCGGCTATCTGGGGAGCTCTGCTGAGCTCGTGCAGGGCGGCGGGGGACTGGTTGCTCGGCGAGGTGGTGGCGGCGCGGCTGGTGAAGATCTTGCCCCGTGAGGCCTCCGGGTATCTGTTCCTGTCGGAGGTTTTTGCGTCGTCGATGAGGTGGGACGCCGCCGCCGAGGTGAGGAAGGCGATGGCGGAGATGGGCACGAGGAAGGCGGCGGCCGGTTGGAGCTCCATGGTCCTCTGAAACCGTGGCAATGGAGACTCTGCAAGAAGTAGGTTGGAGAGAGGAAATGATAGGGTTCTTCTGAGCGAGTGTCAAAGCTTCATGCTCTTCAGCTGGATTCATGGAGGTACGGATCAGCTTGATGTTCGAGTTGTGCCGGTTATGAACCATCATGATTCGAGGAAGTGCTCCCCCTTAATATTATTTAAACTCCTAGTTCCAACATGAATATTACTAAGAACATATTTGAGAACATGAAGAATTCATGGTTGCACCATGGGCGACATGCTTTTGTTGGGAATATGCGGTTACAATGCAGATCAGAATCCCGCCATTGCCGATGATGTTATTTATCACGGGATTTTTCCGACCCTGCATTAAAAAACGGGTTTTGAATCTTGGGCAGCTCCCGATTCAGATGATCGGGATCTGTCGATCGTCTGAATCTTGGTGCAGGCATGGCGCCGATTCCCTTCTTCAAGTTGCTTCCCAGGTGATGACAGCGAGGGAAATAATGGCGGATGGGGCAGTAAAGAGGTGAATCAGGTTATCTCCTCCAAAGTCCATGGACGGTCTTCCGTTTTCATGATCTCCGTTAGGGTTTCCAGAGCTCCGTAAACCAGGCCCATCTGAGGATGCTGCTTGTCTGCGGCTGCGAACATGGAGACGGCCCCCTTCGCCTCCACCCAGCTCCTCCCCGCCTCCTTCCTCGCCCCCACCGCCCTCATCATCCTCCTGGTCCTCGCAAACTCCCCCCACTCGCCGCCGCCTGCAAGTATAGTACACAGCACGGCGTACGCGTCGGCGGCGGCGCCCGTCTTCTCCAGGATCTTCCCGGCGGCGATCTTCCCCACGGCGGCGTTCCCGTGGATCCTGCAAGCTCCGAGGAGAGCTCCCCAGACGGACTCATCAGGCTCGAACGGCATCTTCCCCATCACCTCGCAGGCCTCTGCGATCCTTCCCGATCTCCCCAGCAAGTCAACCACGCAGCCATACGTCTCTTGTCCGCCCGAGCTGACGCCGCCGCCACCACCCAGGGAGGTGAAGTACTTCATCCCCTCCTCCACGAACCCTGCGTGGCTGCATGCGCTGAGCAGGCCCAGAAGGACGACTTGGTCCGGCGAGACCCCGCAGGCGATCATCTCCGAGAAGAGCTTCATCGCTTCCTCTGCGAGCCCATGGGCGCCGTACCCCATCATCATGGAGGTCCACGAGACCAGGTCCCTGCGAGTCATCCTGTCAAAAACCCTAATCGCTGCTGCAATGCTTCCGCACTTGGCGTACATGTCGACGATGGCGTTGGCGAGGGGCAGGTCATCGGCGTAGCCCCGGCGGACGGCGGCGGCGTGGAGCTGCCGCCCGTGGGCAAGGAGAGTCAGGTTCCCGCAGGCGGCGGCGATGGTGGTGAAGGTGAAGCAGTTGGGTTGGAGGCCATCGGAGCCCATCTCCACCAGAAGCCCCATCGCCCTCCGGGGGCTCCCTTTCTCCATCCCTGAAATCATGGTGTTCCAGGTTATCAGATCTCGCCGGCGCATCTCCCTGAAGAACTGCTCCGCCTCCGACAAGCTCCGGCATCTGCAGTACATGTCCAGGAGGGAGTTCCCCACGGGAAGGTTCTCCTCGAACCCTAATTTAATCGCCGCAGAGTGGATTTGCTCGCCGAAGGCAAAGGATCCCACCATGGCAGACGCTCTCACGGCGGCGGAGCAGCTGAAGGGGCTCAGCCCCACACCTTCCTGCACCATCCACAACGACAGAATCATCCAACACTGTCACATGTATTCATCCAACACTGTCAGAATCATCCACCTGCAGCATTCGACGGAACTCTTCAACGGCGGCGTGGCCATCGCCGGAGCGAACGTAGCCGGCGATCATCGTCGTCCAGGGGACCGCCGTTTTGGGTGCAATCCTATCGAAGATGGCGCGAGCATCGCGCATGCCGGCGGCGCCGCCGCAGGCGGCGTAGGCGGCAAGGAGGGCGTTCGCCACATAGCACTGGCCGTCCACGCCGAACTTCACGGCGACCCCCTGCAACGCCGCCGCAGCGGAGGCGCCGCCGCCGCTGCAGATCTTGAGGACGCTGGAGATTGTGTAGGCGTTGGGGGGAACTCCCTCCGCCATCATCGCGCAGAACGCTGAGAAGGCGTCTTCTTGCAGGCTGGAGGAAGAATAGCCGGAGATGAGGGCCGTCCATGAGACAACGTCTCTTTGGGACATTTTGTCGAACACTTGGCGGGCGTGATTGGGTAGTCCGCTGGAGAAGTAGGCGCTCATCAGCTTCGTGCTCGTCGCCGGCGAGGGAGGGAGAGATGGCAATGCTGAGGTGGCGCTGGGTTGGGCCGGGGGATCCGAATGGGCCGTCGGTGATAGGACCCTCGAGCTGGCTGCCCTTGCAAAAACAGTGGGGAGGCTCACGGGCCTTGCAGCCCTTTGCACCATTGTCTCCTCTCCCAGAGTGGCTGAGCTTTGGTAGAGAGAGAGAGAGAGAGAGAGAGATGTAGAGAGAGAATCGTTCTGGGCCGAACTTATCTTTTGTGATGGAATCGGGTTTTGTTAACTGGATCCTCTCTCTCTCTCTCTCTCTCTCTCTCTCTCTCTCTCTCGCTAGTTGTATATGGTATGAAGAAGGCTTCGGCAAGGGGCACATTTTCTGGGAGTTTCGCTCTCAAGATTCAATTGGGTTTGGGTCTCGCAAGACATGACCTGAGCACCGTCGGCTGTGGGATGAAATCTTTGGGAAATTAGGCAAGATGAAATTGTAGGGTTTTTATGTACTTTTTGGATTCAAATATGAGAGTTTCGGATTGTCTTCCCACTCCACGGCTGATTCTCTATGTCTTGAAGCCCTTGTCCTGTGTTGACTTTGGCTGAAGACGCGGAGAGAGAGAGAGAGAGACATAGAGAGAAGTGGACAGGTAGGCATGCAGAGGTAGAGTGCGAGTGGGGTTCTACGCAGCTCACGGTTTCACTTTGTGAAGAGATGGAGAGAGAGAGAGAGAGAGAGAGAGAGAGAGAGAGGGGGGGGGAAGGGGGGGGGATTGGGGCTGCTGACGGTACCCTTGTCTACCTTTCCGACAGTTTCCCCTGTGTATAGGGATAGAGTGTGGAAGAGAGTCTGGACGGGGACGGGTTTCAGGAATTCCACAGTGCCTGTTTTTCCTGCTCCCACAGTTTCACTTCTTCATAGATACATAGACAGATAGAGATAGATTGATAGAGAGAGAGAGAGAGTGAGAGAGAGAGAATGTTTGTCGGAGACCCATTGGACGGAGCGGGCGCGTATGAATCGGACACCCAACGGGGAGCCACCCTGCCTTCTCTTGTCCCTTCCTCTTTCGCTCACGGGGGCTCCCAAAACCTCCAACCACTAAACTCCGGCTAGCCACCGGACGAAGCAGCAGCAGCAGCAGCAAGCTGTCCTGGCAGCTCCAGCAGAAGACAGCGAAGACATCAGCAGCATCCGAAGAATAAGCACCCCCATCACCCTCTAAAAAGCTTCCGCAGCCGCCACCCTGCTCCGCCGCCTCATGAGTCCCCGGAAAACGGCATGCTTGACGAGATCAGCAATTCACAAGCACCCCTTCCCCACCATCACCAGAGAACACCTTTGACTTGTATCATCGGGCCCAAGGGAGATTCCCCTCCTCCCTCCCTTGTCTCCTTGTTCTTTTCATGAAGAGTAAGAGGTAGAGAGAGAGGGAGATGGGTATAAAGAGAGAAATGAGCTTATCGTCGTAGGAATTTTATTTTTCTGTGTCCTAGGTTGATTCGTCCCAATAACCAAACTCATGGGTGTCATTCAATGGTGAGTTGATTCACTGATTGATCTCCATGTTCGTTGAATTAAAAAACAAATTGAATATATTTGTTTTTAGAGCATTATAAGTTATTTCCTTCAATAATCCATACAATTTATTCTTCACTGGTATAAAATAAAATTTCAATAATCAATAAAATGAAATAAATTGGAGTCGAGAATTAAACCTGAGATGTCTCATAAAGTTACCATTGTAAGATCTTGGTCATTCAAATCATGGAAAATACTATAATTATTCTATACTTACTTTACGGTGTACACCATTAAAACTATGAAATCTTGGACTTATCTTTACTCGTTTACGATGTATATCATTCAAATGATGAAAAAATCATTTATTTAATTTTTCCCTTAAGATATTGATAATTTAAGTATTAGAAATAAGATATTCTTATGTATTGTACCTCATTTTTAGTTTCATGCAAGATTCCCACGATTGGATGATCCAAGCATCTAAATGGTGAAAAATCTTATTCATTCTTACTTGTCACTCATATATTTGACGCGCTCAAGATCCCCGCGATCGGATAATCCAAACAAAAGGTCATAGATTAGTAGTAAAACAACATGAAGCAGTCTTCGATAATCTATTCGAGATATAGAATGGTTAGAAAAACCAATGAACAGATAATCCTTGGAAATTGCACCGAGAACACAGTTCAGGGAGGATGGGCGGCATCCTAGGAGGCTATACAGACTATATAGCAATGATGCACTTCCATTTGATTACTCCCTTTTTGTGGAGAGATGCTATACACTAAAAAGCATGGCGATCGACTATTATTGAGTTCTTCTCTTGTTGGTGGACAGGTGAAGAAACTAGAAAGGCAGTGGCCATTATCTTCCTCTGGGCTCTTCTCTTCTCGTTGATGGAGAGGTGGTATGAACTGAAAGCCCTTGGTGATCGACTGCAGTTAGGTCCTTCTCCCGTTGATGGAGAGGTGAGAGGGAATACAAAGTAAGAATCCTCGGTGATATCGATTCTTCTCCGCCAAGCACTGAAGTTTAAGGATAACTGTAGGTCGGACTAACTACGAAGACACGGAGATGGACTCTTACTAGTTTCTCCATCAGTGTTGATGGAGAGGAGATCGAGCTACTCCCAGTCGATGATTGTCTTGTTCATGGAGAGGAGAGACGTGTACCAAGTGATAGAAAGACACGGAGATGGACTCCTATCAGGTCATTATCTTGTTGGAGGGTGTGAGAGGTGCTATAAACTAGAAACGCATGGAGATAGACTCCTATTAGCTTATTATCTTGTTGATGGACAGTTGAAAGGTGCTATAAATAAGAAAGCCGCGGAGATAGACTCCTACTAGGTTCTTCTCTAGTTGATGGAGTGGTGGGAGGTCCTCCAAACGAGAAGGCCATGGAGATAGGCTCCTATTGGGTTACTATGGAGAGATACTGTAAACTAAAGGGCCGTTGTGATCGGGTGTCCTGGTCAGAGGATCGCGTGAAAGGGGAGCTGGCTTCTGCAGGGAAACAGACATTCTTTTGGACAATAAACAAGTTTATGTGGCGGAATCTTGTTGACCTCGGAAGAGAGGATCGGCTTCCAACATGTGAATTCACTTTATAAAAGCTCACGCTGGACTGCGGCTGTTAAGAGATACCCCCCGCCCCCCGCGTCAATGGCGGAGATTGTAACAACACCTACCCCACACGCACACCCACACCAACACATTAATATATATATATATATATAGCTGTTTTGATACTCAGACTGTTAGATATGCAGACAGATAGATGCAGTGGAGAGCAGCGAATGGAGAGAGAGAAAAAGATGAGAGAGAGAGAGAGAGAGAGATGATGATGAGTATCATGGTCATGATGATCCATGAATAATGGAGTAAAATGTATAACCATATGAGAAAGATGTTACCTTCCCGAAAAAACTCGGTCTTAGCTTAAGAACGTGACTGTCGGGATCGATGAGCCTTCACTTCATAAGAGCATTGAGGGCATCAATGGTTACGCTGCACACTGAAATGTGTTTGATTGACCTAAGTTTAGGTGAGAATTCTGGTGAACTGTGTGATACAGCACCTAACACACTATGAATCGAGGATGTGACTCGATGCTTCTCTTTTAAGTTGGTCAAATATGAAGACTTTTCCGTGAATACTTTACGTGAATTCTCTGCCACACTGACCAAAGTGGCTATATAATTGGTGACAAGGCAAGGTTTTGTTATCACTTTTGAAGAGAGAGATTTCAAAGAAGAGAGTTGCTTAGCGTAAGTTGCAGGTAGATCTGAGTTCATCGAAAGCTCTTGAACAAAGATCAGGAATTGCCACGTTGGAGATCTCGCGAAGAGAGGAGAGGAGTCTGCGGGAAGGCGTTTGACTTTGATGCAATCCCCTCTGACTTTGGAATTTTGCGTGGCATGGGATGGGGAGGCAGTACACGTCAGGGCGCTTGAGGGTCAAACAGGATCTCACCCTTACGCGACCCCCATGCAGACGGGGGCGAGTGGCTCTTCTTTAAACTCGTCCTCACGCCATGCGTTCAAGGGTCTTCTGTCTGTCATGATTTTACCCTCCGTGGAACTAGCCATGAGTATCTGGTTTTACCTTCAACAAGAGTAAGACTAGAGTAGAATCGGCGGCGTTTAACGTGACCAAGGGTTGAGTTAAGTCTTTCTAAAGAGCAAGGATTTCAGAAGGTCAAACATCTACGAAAGTAAGATCTCATAGGTGAATGAGAAAGGACTTGTATAGTAAAAAAGGAGCACCGTCTTGATCAACCCTCCATGGGAAAAAAGACGCCTTTGACAAATTACCGCATTGAGAACACCATGTGAAGAAGGACAACTTAGGCAGTGCCCACTTTTCTTCTACATGGACTGCCTTTGACCAACGGTGGAGAGATCTATTGTATTAGGAGCTTGGGTTGCTGCACCCACGACAGGGAAATAAAGAAGCCAGTGTAGAGGCTACTTCGATCGTTATTATTGGTTCTCGCAGTTGCTCTTCTCAGCCTATCTCATTCTCGTAACTTGGGACTACCAGGTGTCCATCCCCCTCAATCTCTCTGTCTCTACGCCTAGTCTACGTTTCCACCCGGTGTCATTTCAGCAACTGATATTCACCTACATGTATGTATGTGTATATGCCCTTATTTATATGATGATCATTCTCGATATCAAAAGAAAAAAGCCGACCCAGATACCTCGTCGGCCAATAGTCTCACTGGGTTTCGTCAAAATCCGACTGTGATAAAGTTAGGCCTCTGTTAGGACCATGTTCAAGGGGGCGGGAGGCTTGTTTGTTTGACCAGAGGTGGGTGGTTCTCAGAGAGAGGGAGGGAGAGAGAGAGAGAGAGAGTTGGGCTCTTGTGGTTGGCGTGTAACATCCCCCCCCCACTTCCAACTTGATCAGGGGGATCTTAGGATGTTGAGACCATAGAGGGCGGACTGGGGCCCATCGATGGGGAGAGTCCACGCGGCCGCACGTTCCGTGCCGGCCGGACTTCGATTCACACGCCGGGGCCGCTGACAGGCCGGCCCCCACCACGGCGTGTCTTTCTAGAACTCTCCCCAGTGGGGGCAAGAAGGGGGACCATGGTGTCCCCACACGCTTCAAGTCAATCACTTTGACTCCCAGTCAAACACGGGGTTGGAGAGGGCGGGGGAGTCCACCCATCGGTCGGCTGACATCGGTCGTAAGGACGTCGATCCAAATATCCTGAAATAGTCGACGGTGATGATATAATCACAGAAAATTCTTGATACCACGGGAATTGGGAGTGCCGTCGCAGGATTTAGTATTTTTATATGTCAATGTGTGACAACAAAGGGGATGAGGATGCACCCTGCTCTGTGTTTCACACCACCCTTGGAGAGAAAAAAAAAACACATTTTTAATTCCCCTCCCTCTTCCTCTTCCCTCCCTCCGTGTGCAAGCCCTTCTTTATATGCACCCCCCACAATCCCAGGTTTCGTCTCACTGAGTTTCTTCTTATCCCCAGACCCTCCCCCCCTCCCCGGTCTAGGGAGAGAGAGAGAGAGGAGAGAGTCGTTGAAAGAGAGATGGAGAGAAAGAGCAACCTTTAGAGAGAGAGAGAGATGTCGTTTGGAGATGGATAGATAAATAGATAGAGAGTGAGAAAAGTGTGTGTGTATGTGTGTGTGTGTGTGAGACAGAGAGAGAGAGAGAGGTGGTCGTGTGGGCGGGGGGTGGAAGCAGCAGCAATGGTGGTTGCTTCGCCGTCGCCGATCCGGCAAGAAAAGGTCCGGGCGCTGGGCGTGCCTGTGGTGGACCTTTCGCAGAAGAGCGGCGGTAGGGCGGCGGAGCTGATGGTGAGGGCCTGCGAGGAGTTTGGTTTCTTCAAGGTTATCAACCACGGCTTGCCGGTGGAGGTCGTCGCTGGAATGGAAGCTGAGGCGGTGGGATTCTTCACCCTGCCACCGGAGGAGAAACAGCGGGCGGGGCCACCGAGCCCACTCGGCTACGGCAGCCGGAGCATCGGCTTCAATGGAGACACCGGGGAGGTGGAGTACCTCCTTCTTCCCGCTAACCGCTCCGCCATCTCTCAGAGAGCTAATGCCATCTGCAGCAGCAACCCCGACAAGTTCAGGTGGAGTTGCAGGAATCTCATGACCTCTCGCATGCCTACGTCTCCTTACTGCAAATGCATGTTATCTTGAGCTGTCTTTCTCTCTCCCTCCCTCCCTCCCTCCACAGGGTAAATATCTTGCCAACTCATATAGGAGCTCTCTCTCTCTCCCCCCCCCTCTCTATATGTATATGTATAGAGAGATCTCCACATCCAAAAATCCGAAGTAGAAGACCTACCAACTAGCTTCGAAGCAGTTCTAGTACGGTCAAGGCCCCTCTCTCCGTCCAAATCCCAAGTAAACGGATTACCAACCAGCTCTGTGCCAGCACTCGTATGGTCGAGGACTCTCTCTCTCTCTTTATCATTTCAAGGATAGTAAACGTACTAACTAGTCGGGTAGCAGTAGGAGTATGGCTAAAGTTATTTCTCTCTCTGTCAGTAGGAGCTCACATCAAGGAACTACAATGCTGGCAAGACAGCTATGGCAGCCCTGGCCGGCATGATTGTCGCGCCAAGCTCCAGGGTGGACGCGTCCCTCCCCCCGTGAGACCTTTACGTACATGTGTGCGCCCCCCCCCCCCCCGGGTTCTCCTGCCACCTTCACTTTGTTCTCATTCCGTGACGAATCAATAGTCGGTTTTAGAACTTGACAGCTCCTCCCCTACTCTCAGTAGAACATCCTTAAACCTATGTAGATAGAGAGAAGAGGGAAGGAGGGGGGAAGGCGCTCGTTCGAGTTGTGAGTGCATGGAGTGAGAAAGAGAGGGCGGCAAGAACTCATGTTCGAATGAGGAAAGCTCGTCCTCTGCCTCTGTCCCTCTTTTCAGTATATTAATAATAGGAACGGGGACTGTAGGAAATCCGTTGGCAGACTCTCTCTCTACCTCTACCTCACATATCCGTGAGGCAGTCATCCAGGGAACATCCCCGACAAGACCTGTCGAGAGAGAGAGAATCTGTTGAGGATGGGTCGGGAACGCTCTGCTCATCGACAGCTATGACAATATCTATGAATTCTCATCTTTGTTGACGAGGATCTTGACTGAGAGTTTCGTACAGTTTCTTCTCTGTTAAATTCTCTGAAAACCGGCGAGGATTCAGAAGAGCGTCTTCTACTGCATTCCTTTTGGAGTACTAACAACCTGCAGATGCTAACTCACGAACTCTTTTGCAGGTGGACCCTTATCCAATTGACGCCCTTCTTATCTCCTCGAGGAGAGCATCCTCTCTCTCTCTCTCGCTCATGCAGTCCCCCCGAATCCTCTCGTCAGATCTTTCCGTCCATCTTGTCAAGCCGTGAATGACCTCAGGGAGAAGGGAGAGAGAGAGATAGAGAGAGAGAGAGAGAGAGAGATTCACAAAAGGAAAGGGGCAGCCGAAGGACTCAGCTATCACCCTGAAGAATGACCCCCACCACTTTCTCCTTAGCCATAAAAAGCTAACGGGGGGGTGGGTGGACCTTTCCATGCTTTGTAGCCAGATAAAGCCATTTTTCTCTTGTTCTTGCTTTTCTATGCTTAGAAGTCTCTGGCCGATGAGAATGGGTCGGGAACTTCCATTTATCTCTCTTTCTCTCTCTCTCTCTCTCGCTCTCTCTCTCTCTTTCTCACTCCAACGTGCATACCGAAACAGTCTTTTTCCACCTCTTCTCACTAGATATATATTTCCCATTCACTTCCTCTCTCTCTCTCTCTCTCTCTCTCTCTCTCTCTCTCTCTCTCTCTCTCTCTCTCTCTCTCTCTCTCTCTCTCGCTCTCTCTCAGTCACTCACTCACTCTCTCTCTTCTTGCCACTCGACAGCTGCGTGGTGGGCGAGTACGTAGAGGCAGTTAGAGGCCTGGCGTGCGACATTCTTGAAATGCTCGGGGGAGGCCTGCGTCTGCCGGACCGCTCAACCTTCGCCAGCCTCGCCGGCGGCGCAGACAGCGACTCTCTCCTCCGCCTCAACTACTATCCCCCCTGCGGCAACGACAAGGACACAGAAGAGGGCAAAGACAGCCACTGTCGATCCAGCGGCGGCGACGCCGCCGTGGTGGGTTTTGGTGAGCATACAGATCCTCAAGTCGTCACCCTCCTCCGATCAAACGACGCCCCCGGGTTACAAGTCCTCTTCCCCCCCGACGCCAGCGACGGCGGCGGCGGCGGCGGCGGCGTATGGGTCCCTGTGCCCCCCGACCCCTCCGCCTTCTTCATCATCGTTGGCGACGTCCTCCAGGTTGACCTCCCTCCCTCCCTCTAACTCCCATTTCTCGCCCTCATTTTCTCTAAGCACCTTCAAAGCGAAGAAATTAAGTGAAGCCTTCTCTTCTCTCAAGGATATATAAACGCATGTCATCCAACTCTTGTGGGGCTCTCTTTCTATCCCTGGTGCAGGCGATGACGAACGGGAGGCTGCTGAGCGCAAGGCACAGGGCGGTGGTGAGCGCCGCAAAAGCGAGGCTGTCGACAGTGTACTTCGCGGCGCCGCCGCTGCAGGCGCGGATAGCGCCGCTGCCGGAGATGGTTGCCACACGCCGGCCATGCCTGTACAAGGCTTTCACGTGGGGCGAGTATAAGAAGGCCATGTACACGCTCCGGCTCGGCCACAACCGCCTTGACCTCTTCCGCAAGAATCCCGACGAAGAACAGGAAGACTGGGTTCCCAGGACACCCCATGACTGAAGGACTCCCTGTCTGTGTATGCATGCTCCTGCTGCGGCTACTCTCTCTCTCTCTCTGGCTGTATTTATCTGTCTATTTTCCTCTTTAGCCCTCTCCCTCTGGGTTTGTATTTATCCGAGTTAATGCCTCTTTGACTCTCCCCTTCGGTTTCTGCATTCGTCTCTCTCTCTCTCCTTTACCTCTGTTCATTTCTTGATATCCCTCTTCCTGTGTTTGCATTCATCTCTCTCTCTCTCCCTCTTTCTGAGTTGATTATATCTCCGGACTCGGGTTTTTCATGCCGGCCTTCTCTCCCACTGACACCGAGAAGACCAGGTTGCTTCTCTTCAGCAGACAGAGCCCCACCCAGAAAGTTCACTCCATCCCCCCAGCAAAAGGGAAGATCTTCCGAATCTACTCCCGGTATGAGCTTAGATTAGTAGATGATTAACAAAGTCTCTCGAATCCTTCCTTTTTAACGCGGTCTTCGATTGTCTGCTCTCGAGTATTTCCTTAGAGAGAGAAAGAAGAAATTTTTACTCAATTTGGGTATAGATGAGAAGTCCGGAAATAGGCTCGTAGCCAAAACCTAGCGAATTCCGTGCCTTGCCTGCCCCGACCCACAGCGCCATATGCCCGTTGGAGATGAGGCATATCTGAATTACTTATGATCAAATGATGATGATGATTATTATTATGGTGGTAATGGTGTTCATGATAAGGAAATACTGTTTTTCTTGCTGTCCCTCGTATAACCCACATCTTCTCTCTCTCTCTCCCCTTTTCTCTCTCTACAAGCTCCACCTTGCGCCTCAAATGGATCCGGTTCCGAGCCTCTTAGACTGGCTCTTTCTTGCGATCCTGACAGGTCCCGAGCTTACAATTGGTACGCTGGCTCAGACTGGGCTCGGCAAGGTCCGGCCCGTCGACAGCCAGATTCCTTACCCTACATGGCTGGATATCATATAAAACCTTCTATCACCCCGTGTCAAACAATACTTAAAAAAGAAAAATATTCCTTTCTCTCTCTCTCTCTCCGGTCCTCACTTTCTCTTTCCGTGTCTCCCTTACGTCCTCTTTCCCTCTCTGCAGGGAGTGCCCCAGCCCCCACATAGCAGCCGAGCTGTACAGCCCCGGTCAACCTGCTCTTAGATTCTCTCTACAGATATAAGAGAGGGAGAGAGAGAGAGAGAGAGAGAGGCCCACACTATCATGTAGAAGCTCTCCACCTTCTCTCTCTGACAGCCGACTTGAGGGTCGATCCATACTCTCAGCATGCACTACGAGCTCAAGAGATTACCTCTACAATAGACAGACGGAATGGTCTTTTATGAGCTCAAAGGCAGTCAGTAGCACATCAGTGGGTTTCTCTCTACAAATTTAAGAACGAGCGTATGAGCAAGTGTTGGAAACAAAATGAATCGGAAATCACCAACACCATTTGGATAAAAACACCTGCTCAAGAGGACCCGACAGCAGGCAGTCGCTCAAGCCTCCTTGAACGAGCCCACACCGGCTCCTTGCCCCCACCCCTGGCAGCGGCTCTCTGCTAAAACACGAGCACGTGGCCATAGGGGTGGGATACACCAGGCATATGAGTAGAGAGAGAGAGAGATGTTCTCTCCACCTCCTTTCTCTCTCTAGAGGGATTATTTCTCTTACTTTCTATACAGTATGAATGGGGTATGGGGAAGCTGGCGGAATTAGACGAGGATCTGGGACCTGGCGGCAATCCGGGAGCACCGTTTCCGCCCGCCCTTGTTCAAGCTGCAAGCGCAGCCCTCCAGAAGATCGAGGTCCTCCTCACAGCTCAGAATTGAGGCCATCTCCGGTCTCTCCAGCAGCATCTTGGAGGTGAGGAAGCCGGCTATGGTCCACGTCTGGAAAAGCCGGGATTGCTTACCAATGAATCTCCCCGTCCGTGTGTCATAGTACTCCGGCCACTGGTCGTCGGAGAGCCGCCTCTCAGCCGCCGCCACTGCCCGCTGGGCCAGCTCTGGCCGGCCCATCTTGATACAAGCCAGAGTGAACTGCGACACCATGAATGAAGAAATTAATGAAGATTGCGGCTTTGAAGAGCCCCCATTGATTCGGCTGGCATGGATTGAAGTAGTCTCATACCTGCCAGAGAAGAGTGGGCCAAGATCCGCCGTTGTGGTAAGACCAGGGCCTGCAAATTAGGAGAGATCCCTTCGGTGAGCTTACAATTCTTCGGAATAATTGGTGCCGCAGAAACTCATCCGATCTCATATAATTAACAAAACTCATATCATAAGTTGCTGCCAAATATTGATGACGATCTCATAACTCATTAATTACACGAATAAAATCGTGATGCATTGAAATGATGAAATCTTCGTAAGATGAAGCAGAAGGTAGACGAGTGAGGAGTTATGTGTCTCTCCATCGATCCAGAATAGCAAAATACTAACGAGATAAGACCAGGTGAGAAGAGGCTCACGTATTCTTCGGGTCGCTACCGGTGATTATCCGCCACTCATCATATTCCAAGGCGGGGAAGCAAATCTTGAGGGGCATCTTCCCAATCAAATCATCCCATTTCTCCTCGAAGAGGTTGAGGATGCTCTCTGCCTGCTTCGGGGTGGCCAGGGAGGAAATGATCGCCCAGAGATTCCCCAGAGAGAAGAACCTGAAGTCCATGTGAGCCGGCTGGAGGTTGCCAATCAGGTAGCCAGCCTTGTCGGGGACCCAGTCCACCAGCCACGAGGGGATCTGATCGGGGTAGATGTTGAACTTATTGATGGCGTCGTGGGAGTACTCCTCCGTCTTGTACCGGTATATCTCATTGATCTTCTTCATGTCTACCCAGTAATATTCCCTGATATGGAAAGACAGCGCGCTGAGCCGGTTGCTGATGGCCCGGATCAGATTCCTTGACCCATCGTTGATGGTCAGCATCTCCCGAGAGAACCTCAGGGCCGAGTAGAACAGTGCCTGAGGAACAGACCCATCAGTTCATCTTCTTCGCCATAAAGAGAAAAAAATCAGAGGGTGTGTTATTGAATGCATGGGAGATTTCTCTTGGGTCATAGTTAAATATATAAGTCGGCACTAAAGAAGCATTTAACTAAACTAGATGCCCAGTTGATCGGAATTTAAAAATAAATAAAAATGCGCGAAACCCCAATTAACGAGCTAAAAGAATCTCACTGCCCCCTCAGGAAAAAAGGGATTCACGAATAATTTCACTGTGATATCATGCTGGCTCAAGAACAGGGAGACCCTTCAAGCAAATGCCGCATTTAGGAACTAATGCTATCAGAAGACTCGAAAAGGCTGCAGTTTTCTGATGAAGTCTGCAAAGGAGAAGATTTGGGAAAACCTTCTTCATCCCTTCAAAGCTCAAAAACTTGTGCGCATTTTCCATTAATTCTGAAAAGACACAAATCCCTCCTGTCGGTGCCATTTTTAATTAACAATGCCAACGTAGGAAGAATATCTATAAGATACATATGACATGAAATCACACCAAAACTTATTGGTCAGCCTTTCTTTCTTCACTAAGACACCTGCATAAAAGCTGTCGAAGGCCACAATGCCCAGGAAATTACACTGACCAAAAAGAGGTGCAGCTGAAACAATTCATGAATATAGTTTCATAATGGCTGACGTAAATGGAAAACCTTGAAGTTGACTTACTTGGATTTCAAGAGGATGCCCATGAATGCCCATCCGGCGATCGATCATGCAAGACCCATCAGTCACCAGCAGTGTAGGGAACATGTCGAAGCCATCTGATAAACATAAATTCATGACCAATTTAATCCCTGTTTGGACATCAACTCTTTCTTGAAGTGCATAATCCCCGGTGATCTTGCCATACGCTCTCAGTAGGATGATCCACCACAAACCTGTGGAAGATCAATGTAGGGTCAAAACACAGTTGACTTGTATGCAGGTCCGCGAATCATTGACTAGAGCAATCAATCATCAACTCACCAGAGTCAACTGGAGCCACCCGTCCAATGGCTGACTCGCCAAAATCCGGGTCCAAGACTTCCTCAAACGCCTCATTGCTTCCATCCAGGGGCACAGTTCTGACCTTAAAGCTCGCTGGCATCAGCCCCTGGCCTGGGCTGTAGCAATCCACAGTCTTCTCCCAGCTCTGTAAATCAGATGAAATGAAGGATAGATTTAGAAATTTCAGCGGTGAACAGTGCTTGCACTAGGAAGAAAACCTATCAGTTGACAGTGTATCTTCTGTCCGAAGATCTCAAGCTACAGCGTGGTTCTTTGCTCAATTGTTCGGGCGTAAAATCAACACAGGAAAGATCTAATCTAAAACCTAAATGTTTTTGTTAAACATGGAAACCAAAAATGGGAATTTATGGACCCTAGATCTGTTATACCCGGCATTCAAGGTTGGGATGAAATCTCTCCTTTGTGTTCTGCATTTTATCCGAATTGTAAAATTCATAAAGAGCATAATGGCATCCAGAGAGCAGGATATTTTGAACCCTGGAAACCAGTCAAACCCAGGCCATCATAAACACCAGCTAGTTTTTTGGGGAGATATTTTTCTTCTGAGAACCCATTTCCGCCCAAGAAAATCGAATTATTTCCACAGATTTGGCAAAGTAGGAATTTTTTCGAAAAAGAACAGGTCCATCATCCGGGTAAAAAAAAGCAAGAAAAGTTGGATCTCCTGAATCACAATTAATATCGAAGCAATTTACGATTTGGGCAAAAAAAAATTCACCTGTAGTTGCAAGGTGTGGAGGAGGAAGTTTCTGACAATCTCGCCCTCCCCCTTCATCAGGAATGCCAGAGCCGACGGGACGAAGTCACGAATGAAGACCTGGTCGTAGTTCAGCAGGTTGCTGGCGGTCAACGGGTCATCCGCCGCCACAGTGCCGACCGGTGACCCGCAGTAATTCACGACGGCCCTCTCCAGCAGCCGCCACGCTTCCTTCTCCACCTCGGAAACCTCTCTCTCCTTCAGAACATCCGCCGCCGCCGCCGTCTCCACCACGCTACCCTTTCCAGATCCCTCCTCCGAGGGCACCGCCTCTTCCACCCTCTCCTCCAGTACCCCAACGTCATCGGCAATCCTCTCAAACACCAGGGGCTTCACGGCCATGCCCTGATTCATGTAGATCCGCTCGAAGGTCTTGTCCCCAGGGACGGACGACGGCTCCGCAGAGGTGGACTGGCGGCGGGCAGCGCCGGACACCGCGTGCGGCGGCGCCGGACCGACGCCCATCCGCCGCCCCTCATGGGTACCATCGATTCCTCTGCAAGAGATAACTCCAGTATATAGACGATGCCCATTACCTGAAGGCAGAAAACCAGGCGAGGAGGATGATGACAGGGAGGCACGGGGTGGAAGAAGGAGGAGGAGGGCATGACGGCGCTGAGGTGGCGGCGGCGGCGGACGGGCGGTGAGGAGGTGGGCGGCGGCGCTGCGGCATCCAGCGAGGACCCTGTGTGGCCTCATCGCGGAGACCCCGATCGTGCCGGCGGCATTCATGTGGAGGAGGATCGCCAGAGGAATAAGAGGGGGGAGGAAGAACGGCAAAGGTTGGAGCTTTCCGGTGTGGGTGGGAAGGGGGGGCAAACTGCAAAATTGCAGTGTCTTTCCAAAATATAAATAGATATAAGCCTGTAAGAGGAGAAATATCTATCCAGCAGGGATAAGAAGATAAAAAGCCAGGAAGCCTTTTGTGGTTAGAATAGGACGCAGGAAGAGGCAGAAGGAAACCGGTGTGGGAGTCTTATAGGAACCGCCGATTCCAAAATTTTCAATAATGCCACTGTCAATACCGACCGTTCGATCTGAGGAGTAACAGAATCGGACGAGTGAAAAATTTTCACGGTGTGACGGCGTAATTTTTGGGTACGTAAGAAATAGAGAGTGATTTGTGGAAACGGTCAACGGGTTGATTGCATCCGCTCAATGTGGATCGGACGGCTGGAAGCCGTAGTGGATGACGTGGCGGTAAGGACGTGCCGGGTCCGCCACGTAATCTTCTGCGGATGACGCATCCGAAGAGCGGTGACGTGGCATTCCGATCGGCAAGTCATTCTTCGCCACTAGTTTCTTGACGGGACGTTTTTTCGGACAAACCTCTCAAAGTCTAAGATTTGAGCCACGTGGGAATGTCCAGATAGGTTACGGAATGGGCCTTTTTTGGGAAAATGGACGTGAAAAAAGCACGTGATTCGCTGTGTGGCCCAGAGCCTTTTGAAAAATGTCAACTATTGGATCGTGAGACCGCTTGTTGAACGTCACTTTTAGCACGTTTACAACGTTTAGCTTGCCGTGAAGCTTCCTTCGCAGCTGAGAAAAAGGTTAAATCCACATCTAATAAAAATAAAAGAGAGAGAGAGAGAGAGAGAGAGAGAGCATGGGTCCCACTCATTTGTTTCTAGCATAACATATCGTCCCTTGTTTGATCGAGAAACAAGTATAAAAGAGAGAGGGAGAGAGGGAGAGAGAGAGAGAGAGCACACACAATGAATACTGATATATGAGTGATTAACGAGTACCATGTATATGAACATCATCAAAACTTTATACAACGAGCAAATATTCAAACAAAGCCCATGAATGCAAGGTAGATTTCAGACCAACGAAGAGGTTTATGAAAATGTCATCGTTGCAAATGTATTAAGCTTTATTAATGATCATTACTTTGATGGGCTCAATCAACTACCTCTTTGCTCAATCTTTTCATATTTTATGATCAATAACTCCATTTATTTTCTATTCAAAAACCCATTCTCTATCCATTCTTTTATTAGACCGCATACTAGCATATGATATACATAGTTAAATGATTGTCTTCTTGGTGGGCTGATTGAACCGAACAAGAGCAACATAAGATCATGTGCCACTAGAGAGGCAAAATCATTCTTAAGAACAATGTCTTCATCATTATAATTTGATCCCAAGATTGGTTTGTAATCTTTTCTTTATTTTTTAGCTTACTTGAATATATTGAAACAATATATTTTTTAGCTTACTTTCACATAAGATTTAGTAAATAAGCATTCTGTCTACTAAATTTTTTAATATCTGGCCCAATATATTTTTGAGTCAATAATTTCATATAGGCTAACAATTTCTGTGTTTTTTGGCTAACCAATCTTGGCCTCATATCTATTGTACTGAAAAACCCTTGTAACCTATTCCTTCATGGATAGGCAAAAGGGCTATGAGACCAAATTTATGGTCAACCTCTTTAAATATTATTATGAGATATCTTAATAATAGCTATGACATCTACCTCTGCTAAACCTTAATTCAAGTTAGTCACTCAAAGAAATTTGTTAACTTTGTTGTGGTGCCATTTTATCTACCCTCCCTAATGAATTATCTGTCACTTATTTAAAGATTCATACTACATTACAAGTTATGAAATATGGTAGAAGCTAAGTTTAGTCTAAATCATTTATTACTTTTGCAAGCTTTTGATGATGACAAAGGTTAATTTGATCATCTAATAATGATATTTTTTGTTATTTTAAAGTGTTAACTATCATAGTTTAAATAAGGTAAAAATTACTTAAGCACAAAATGCTCCACATTCCTATCCCATGTTACTAAAATGATTTCTAATTGCAAAATGGTGCCAAAGATGTGGGCATGCGACAACCCATTTGAAAGTTAATTCAAAGATGAACACAATACAACACAATACATCAAACTTCATAGTTTTTGAATTTTAATGAATTTTTAAAGTTTAAAAAACATATTTTCTATGGTTTTTTAAGCATATGAGCAACCCAAATAAATCGCTCAATTCATTTTTGAGAAGACCATTGCTATTGTGGCAAAGAAGGCTCTAAAATAAATCAGAGCACAACTAACTCCCAAAACTAGAAATTGAATTTTGGATATCAAATTTATGATTATGTACATGACTACAGCACCACATATATAATAGATTAGTTCGAGTCATCTCAAATAGAAGATAAAAAGGTGATGCACTGTCTTGTGATTCAGAGATAAAACTCCTACATCCACACCAAGACTAATGAAGACCAAAATAGAGAGAGAAATGAGGAAGAATGATTCTCCCAAATCTCCTGCTTTCAATGGATTGAAGATGGAGTTATTTTTCTTGATCCCAACAAAACACTAATAAGAAAAAGGGAAAGAGTCACTTCTTTCTCTCTTCTCTAAGGCCTAAACTCCACTTAAAATATCAACCTTCCTCCTCTGCTTCTAAAACTCCTTAATTTCGAAAATGACCCTCTAAACCTTTTACCACAATTCTCTAAGGCCTTAAAAATAGGAGGAAATGAACTTTCCCTTTTGTGCTATTGGATCATTATTTTTGGCCCACTTTATTTTGAACAATTAATAATAATATTTTTCACCTTTGATTTGTCCAAAAAATACTTACAGCAAGCACGAAAATGACTTTTATTTCATTATAATAAAAATATTTATAAATAAATCAACAGCATAATGATTCAATTTCAATTGATAATAAACTAATTTGAATCACCTCAAATAGAAAACAAGTGATACACTATTTTGTGATTTAGAAATAAAAATCTTACATCTATACTAAGAACAAAAAAAAACTAAACTAGAGAAAAACCGAAGAAGGATGATTCTATCAAATCTAGTTTCAAAAACTTCATGACATAGTTTCTCTTCCTATAACCAATAGAATCCAAATGAGAAAGAGGTGAGAAAGGCTTACCTCTTTCTCCCTTCTCCAAGTCCTAAACTCTATTTAAAATTATAATCTTCCTTGTCCTCAGAGGTTCTAACTCTCTAATTTAGAATATTTTTATCTCACCTTTTCTTGTAGCTCCTTGATGCCATAAAAGGAGGAAGGAAATTTTCTCCTTTCCTATTATTGGACCCTTTTTTTTGGCCCACCGTCTTTTGGGCAATCAATAATAACTCATTGCAATCCATTGAGCTAGGTATAAAAGAAGAGATTTCACTCATGTTAAGAAAGAAAATCTAGGAGAGAGCTGCTCATATCTTCACCTTCTTCCCTAGAGTCAAAACAATTTTTTTGTCTTTCAGTAACCCAAAGACCAATAAGACCACTCATGCTCAAGTATTAGCAACTCCATCTTACATTTTAGTCATCTTTCATTTAAGAAAAGGAATTTTCAAGCTTATGCTGAATTAGTAAAAATATTCATCATTTATTAAATTATTTCAAGTTTGTTGATACCTCAACCTTCAACATGTAAACTGATTGAAGCTTTCATATAGTGGTTGGTTGGTCGTTGGAGTCATATAATTCAACACAAGGTTGCTGAAGGATTTACACTTAGTTGATGTTTCTTAAAATTGAGATTCAACATGCTTCACTTGTAACCTAATGGAACCTAAAAAATTTCTCCTTAGATAATAGAGTAGGTCTAATTGACTAAACTACTATAAATTATTATGTGTGAATCACGATTGCTCATGTCCAACAGTTGAGAAAGAAATACAAAAAAACTCTATTTTGGACTACATGCCACCTAAACAAAATCAACAAACCTTTTGTAGCACTTGCTTGTGCAGTGGTTGGAAAATAAAATGGTAGACTCTAAATCTATCTTAGTGTACATTGTTCAACATCAAGACATAATGTCAAATAAAAGGTCCAATGGTTTTGAACTTTTAGGAAAATGTTTGAGTCACTCTCCCCTTGTTGAGAAACAATCCCCAACTTAAAAAAATTGCTAGAGCATTTTGACACCAAGGGTTGGCATTTATAGTTCATATGCTAAAATCAAGTTGAATATATATAACATGAAAATACTTGAGGGTTTGGTAAACCTTAATAAAGTAAATAAGAAAATCACACATAAAGAGATAGGTGACAATCCATATTTTAAAATTATTAAGAAAAAAAATCTATATATCAAATTTATGATCTCAAGTTTTCAAGTTAGATACCAAGAAAGTACGTACATTTTTTTGTTGTATCATCACTAGACCCCTTACTAGGGGTCATTATAAAAGGAAAAATAAAGAATCTTTTAGGTCATTTTCAAAAATACTTTTTCATTATTATGCACATGTGGTGCTCAAATTTTTTATCATGTACCTTGAATCATAATCATGTACATATGTTTAGACACAAATAGAACTATGAAACATTAGATACATGACCTCTATTTGGAACATAGATAACATTTTATTATCACCTGTTAGTATATGCCATGTGCTAAAAATATGAACAGAAATTGACAAGAAAATCTATTTATCATAAGATGAATATTGAAGTTGTTTGTATATTCACCTATAATTGATTAAATCACAAGGGTTCACTCTCCTCAATAGGGGGAACATGCTTGCTTTATTATAAATGATTATCTTCTTTATTATGCCTACCTATGCTTCTCATATGCATAACTTAATCATTGGGCCCAAAATTTATAGTTTGACCTAAACTTCAACCCATAGATAGTCTCCATACACTCTCACTTAATACTGGTCTTGCTTGAGGATAGATGCTGGGGTCGCTAATTTTAGTTGCTTAGCACCTATATAGGATAGGCCATGCTTGCCTAGTCATCTTATAAGCAACTTACCCATTAGTTACATTGTGAGTAATGGAAGAGAGACAAGAAGGCATGAAGAGGAATAAGGGCAAAAGGGTAGATAGAAAGATGATTCTAAGAGACTTTGGGAGAGAAAAAGGACTTCATTTCTCTCTTAAGGTAAGTCGACCTAATTAAAAATATAGGTGGTTTCACTTTATATAAGCAAGACTCGATTGTGAGCTCTAAAGAAAGGTTTTCATGAGCCAAATCCTAATGGGCCTCTAGAAAATGGGCTCACATAACAGATCTCCAACTGCCAGTAATAGGCCCACAATGGCCCAAGGTTAGACCGCCTAATTTCTAGCCGTTTATAGATTATAATTAAGATGGGCACAATCATATATTTGTATATATTGTTATTTATTATCGTTGAAATTAAATATTCATTGATATATTAATTAACGGTTGATGTACATATTCTATTGGTTTTGAAAATTGATACACTCTATTAACTGATTTGAAAGAAAACTCATTTGATAAAAAGTACACTGATAACCGTTTTTTATAGATTCAGTGTAGTTATATCCGTATCCAATTCAGGACTTTGTATTAGCAAGCTAGCAGTATTATCGACCTTCGGCATACCACTGCTCTATCGAGTGACGTTGGACTTGTTCAAGGACTAAGGAACCCTCTCCCTCTCCCTGTCTTCTCTATCTCTACGCCTACTTATCGCCTGAAGCTGGCGACGTTCTAAGAGGGAATCACGTGACTAAAAATCCTCTCTCTCTCTCTCTCTCGCTCCCTCTCTACAAGTACCTGCGTCTTTACCTGCTAACTGCCAGTGAAGATATCGTCTTTCTTCGGGTAGAGTCGAAAGCATATTAGCAATATTTGCTTGCAGAATCCTCCTTTTCTCTCTCTCTGTCTATATCTTAATGATGCAGATGTTTATATCTATTCAGTTCTTGGAATATCTCGGCGCTACGAGTAGACACACAAGCAAAGTTGATCTGCGTGCCAATCTCTCTCTCTCTCTAGAAAGGTAGACACGACTATATCTATTACAGAGAAGATATTAACGCTCGAAAAGTGCGTTTGCTCTCCCTCTCTCTCCACCCCTTCCTCCCTCCAATTTAGATGGTTTCATCAACAGGAACATGAAGATTGAGAAATCGACCAACTTGTCGCCAAAAGGCCTCCCTCACCATTACGAGCCGTCCCCATCGCCAACTGATCCGTGCCCCCGGAACCGCCAGGAACTCTCACCTCCCCTCTTCGGCCGAACCCAGAAACCCATAAGCGTGTTGAGGATCCTTCCCTATCTCTCTCTAGGTTAGCCATGTGCAGGAGGACTCCCTGCACCCGCCAACTTGCGGCGTCTTCCCCAGACAAGGAGCCGACCGACGAGGGCGACCTTTGACGGCCATTCCGGCGAGGCCAGCCCAGCGACGTTCATAACCCGGAACCGAATCCTGATATCAGCTTTCTCCTGTGGAGGTTTCCTAGGGGAGGAGGATCACCACCCATTTGAAGGATGGCCTAAAGATTAACGGAGGAGACCAACCCGGATGTGATAAAGACAAAAAAAATCTTCCCCTGTCTCATCGCTTTCTCTCCCTAAGGCTAGAAGAGGAATCTTGAGGAGTTCCCATTCCAGAAAAGGAGAAACCTGAAGGAGGTGGAGGCTTAAGAGACATACGAAGAGGCTTCGCCTCCAGCGGACGGCGCCAGAGAATGGACTGGGCGGCAGCTCGATGGCTTTCTTCACATGGGATAAATGGGTTGTTTTAGTTCGTAGCCCGAAATGGCGCAACATCCATGAGGCGCCTGCAACTCCGCATTTACGCTGCATTTCAGAAATCTTTCCATTCGTTCCTTCACTTTCTCGTCACTCGTTTCCCTTCTCTCCTCACTCATTCCATAAGTTGCTTGCAACGGTGCTGGTATCTTGTGGTCGAGGTTCGAAATTGGCTCACGCGAGGTTCTATGATTCTCTCTCTCTCTCTCTCTCTCTCTCTCGCTATCTGTCTAATTCCTGTGGGCTTCCCAACTCCTCGTCCTCTCGAAGAAGCGCCGGGAACACAAGTTGGCTGTAGCCCAGGTGGTCTCTTTGAACTCATGGACTTGCCCCTCGGATGAAAAAACCCGGCACGAGTACATCCCGCTGGTCGACTTTCAGTTCTTCGTTCGCCATCCGTTTCAAAACAACGGTTTAATCAAAATAACAAAACCCTCTTCACCTCTCTCTCTGTGGATTACAGCGGCACCGTACGAGGTTGACCTATTGCCTTCAGTCAGAAGAGAGAGAGAGAGAGAGAGAGAGAGAGAGAGAGAGAGAGATACGCTTCCGCTTCCCCTTGACCTTGCCATTTTCCGACGGGAAGTCGTCATACCGCCACCCCTCCGCCGGTCACCATCCCCGGCGATCGGCGGCGGGGCGGCCACAGCCCGTGGGAACGCAACAAGGGCCATCAGGAACCCTCTCTCTCTCTCTCTCGCTCCCCCTACCTTTCTCTCTTTTTCCGTGTCTAAGTGTCAGGTGAGGACTTGGACAACTAACAACCCCATTAGCTTGGGGAAGATGATGGAATCCTATCCTGTTGAGCTGTCAGGGTCAAAGTCAACACCGGACGACCAACCGTGTCAGCGGGCCCCCACCGATTTGAACCCTTCCCACGTCCATCAGCCCATTGGCGGCTCCCGCGGGCGCTGACGTGGAGTGGACGACTTCCGACTTCCTCCCCCCCCCAAAGCACAGTTCCGTGTGCGGCGGTGTGGGGCGACAGAGAGTGGTCCCCACTTACCTTTGATAGTGTAGAGTCCCCAGAAGGCCTCGCCTCACGGGTGGCGCAGCAGGACTCCCATTGTCGGAAGCAAGGACCACGTGACGCGTGCCGCGTGTCGTACGTTCCGGCTAAGGGGTGACGGCGCACGTGAGAGCCACCCAGATTACTCGTAATATTTTTTAAATTTTAGCTACATTTAAAATGAAAATGTACCCTAATTATTACTATTCTAGATGACTGACAATGTCACGGTCCGATTATTGCGCCGTGTTCGCCTCTTGTTGACTTGACACCTCAACACCTCCATCCCTACCTCTCTCTCTCTCTCTCTGTGGATATATATATACATTGGGGAATAGATGGATTAGAAAGCTAGCATCTATTTCTCATAACTATTCAAACGCCCAAAATAGTTAAAGAAACCTTGTAAAAAAATACTTTGACAGTGTAGATCCGTCGAGTTAATCTGCCTAATGTGGCAAGACGGTCCATTATATTTACGTAAATTATTTACATTATTCTATTTTTGACAATTATTTCATAACAAAAGAATACCCTAATTTATTTTTTAGTTTACTTGAAAGAGGTTGCATATACCATATAATGTGGGTGTGGATTTACTGAAACTTTATAATTTAAACTTAAAATATATTCCAAACATCTTACTACTAAACCTCTCAAACCATCGTGCACGTGGAAGAACGCTTGATGAACACCACCAATAATTCAAACCATGGTTTTATTAATCATCAGTCAAATGGATCCAAGCTACTCGCCCCACGGCCCACCACATGCTATTTAGTTTTGTGTTGAGGTGGCATTCTCTCTCTCTTTCTAGACCATTGGAAAGTCGGATGGGGGAGGGATTCTATAGTGCCCCAGACGGCGACACCCCACTGGGTGATTGATGGGTGGAATTCAGCGGATGACATCAGGGGTCATCTTCAGCCGGTTCATCTCTTGAGCTCTCCCTAGGGTTGGCTCTTCCATCTTCTTCTTGGGATCTCTCAATCTATTGACGAATAGGTGTTTTCTTATCTGTTCCGGAATCTATAGACTTGAACGGCGACCGCGGGCTTCTCTCTCTCTCTCTCTCTCTCTCTCTCTCTCTCTCTCATCCAAGGGTAAAACTACCCCAGAAGCATCTACGAGGACGTGACTTGATTAAACGGTGCCCCCACGATGCATTGTTGTCAATTCTAGAGGAAGAAAGAGAGATGGAAGAGGGATGACCCGCCGTCATGCTTATCAGTGGGATGATCATTCACAGACGAATTTATTATTATCGCGTCGTTACAGAACCTTGGCTCCGATCATATCCTTACAGATTTCAATCCAAAGAATGAGATTTGAATAACCTCAGATGAAGAGAAGAGGAATAGAGTGGATCGATAGAGGAAAACAGAAGGCGAGAGAAGGAGAGGAGGGATGAAAGAGCCCCGCCTAGGGTTTCTCCGTCCCTCTCTTCATTCTTCTTCATAGCTTTCTTCCAGCGCTCTGAGATCGTTCTGGGTTTTCCTTTCTCTACGATGATCCTTGCAGTCCCCGCCAGATTCCTTCCTTCTCTGGGAGCAACTACCCCTGAGGAAACCACCTTTAATTACTGCTGTCATTACAAGAGCCAGATGTCGTCGGCGCCCCACAAGTTTTCCGGCGAGAAGTCGCCAGCTTGACCCCAATTGCATGATGGCTCGAAGCCCGGCAAACCCTGGCCGAAGTAGCCGTCGGAGAGGGGCGGCAAGGTTTCCGGGCAGCCGGTGGCGCCGCCGGCCATCATCTCTCCCGCCGGGAAGTCGTCGACAAACCCTCTCGCGCCGCCGTAGTGAACGCCATAGCAGTCCGTCAGATCCGACACCGGCGGCGATGACAGATAGGTCCCCGCCGACGACTCCGACTCCGATGGCCCGGCGGCGCTTGAATTATCCGAGCTCGGCTTTGCATGGGCTAATTCCGCGAGAATGGACTGCCATGGCTCACCGGGTGTCGCCGGAGCGGCGCAATGGTTGGCAGTGAAGGCCTGCACTGCGCCGGCGCCGGCGACGGCTCTGGAGCCCGAAGAGGCGGCGCTGATCCTCTCCATGAGGCGCGGCATCCACAGATACCGCATGGCGTCCTTGAATTGCTTGCTGTTGACGTCGCACTTGAGCTGCTTGGCGTGCTTCTGCACCCTCGTTCTCCAGTAGTTCTTGATCTCGTTGTCCGTCCTCCCCGGGAGGTGCTGAGCGATCTTCGACCACCTGGGCAGGAAGAGATTCGTCAGATCTTCCAACCCAAGATCAGATGATAATTGATTAGTTAATTGATTTTTTTATTCCTTCGAATATGAAATAGGGGTAGAGTAGGCTTCACGGGGTTACCTGTTGCCCCAGCGCGAATGGAGCTCGAGGATGAGGAGCTGCTCCTCGGGGGTGATGTTCCCCCTCCGGACGTCTGGCCGGAGGTAGTTCAGCCACCGCAGCCGGCAGCTCTTCCCGGTGCGCTTCAGCCCTGCGAGTTCGCGCCGGAGAGAAGGAGGGAACAGTTCCCTTCAGATTCTAACTTGGGGAGTGCTAGTAGTGGGAGAGAGCATAAGGATTGAGCTAGAGAGATGGAGAGAGAAACAGACAGATGGGGAGAGGGGGGACAGAGCTACAGAGATTATTAGAGGAAAAGATAGAGCTAGATAGAGAGAACAAAAAGAAAGGATAGAGGAGCACTTTCCATCTGGGAAGTAGAGGAAAGATTTCACAGAAGCCCCTTTAGAGATTTTCACATGTCCTTGGGATGCAGCCATTCCCATGATCCGAGAACAAAGAACACGAGAGAGCGGAGAGAGAGAGAGGGAAACGAGAGAGAGAGAGAGAGAGAAAGGACGACAGAATCACGAGGGAAGATGATTACCGGCGCAGTGGGCGAGGGAATTCCAGCGGCCCTCACCATGGATGGCGATGTAGTTGATGAGGAGGAGGTCTTCCTCCACAGTCCAGGGGCCCCTCCTCAGCTCCATATCGTCTTCGCCGGAGCCGTTGATCGCCACGCCATGCATACCCATATCCATATCAGTTCCAATTCCCATCCCTATAATCCGTTCGCTCTATATGCTTGCACGCCTGCTGACAGCTTGCTCCGGTTTGCCTGAGCTGTGAATTGAAAGGCGAGTACACAGAGAGAAGAGGGCTGTGAGGAGGGGGGGAGAGAGAGATAGAGGGAGAGAATTGTAGATGGGGACACGGAGAAACGCGTTCTGAAGAGGACTGGGCAGGGGATGGGTGCAGGGAGAGGGAGAGAGGGCGGGGATCGGCTTTTATAGAGGAATGGAGGGAGACGGGGAGAGAGAAACATGTGATGCAAAGCGATGGAGAAACACGCCGCAGTTGGGATTAGTTTAGTCGAACCGCTTAATCCGCATTTTGGGCATTCACCATCCTAGAGCCTCGCCTCGTTTTGGAGCTTTGATTATCTTCTCTCTCTCTCTCTCTCTCTCTCTCTCTCTCTCTCTCTCTCTCTCTCTCTCTCTATGAGAGGGTGTGGAGAGAGAATACCTCTTGGACGTTTTTTCTACTTTCTTTTGTCTTCACGCAGTTTTCCACTGTGATCGGAATAGTCTAAGAGAAAGAGGAGGGGAGAGAAGAATGGACCGAGAGGAGGAAGGGTAGAGGGAGGCCTGAATGTGCTCTGCCGAACACTCTTCTTGGCGGTTTCTGAGGGACGTTCCGAAAGTCTTACTGTAAGAAGGGGTGTGAGAGGTGGTACCCGCCGAGGGTGTTGTTGGAGGCGGCGGAGGTCGCGCCGGGTGTGGACGGAGCCGGAGAAGAAGGTGGCTGCTTTTCTGGCGAACTTCTAGATGCTAGATGGTTGACTTTTTACATTTTTCCTCTCTCTCTCTCTCTCCTCCCCCCTCCCTCTATATCTTTCTCCCGTCATCTTAAGTCAAGTGATGCGACGAAGCCGAGTTGTACCTCAAGTCTTCACGGTTGCAAGGGTGTTAAAACGCGAAAGCAAAACAGGATGCCACACTTCTCAGATTAACGGCGCGAAGAGATCTATGGCGTAGAGGGCGGAAGAGAAACCTATGTTTCATGCCCTTACGCCTTAGAGAGAGAGAGAGAGAGAAAGAGACAGACAGACAGAGGTAGAGAGAGAGAGAGAGACACACACACACACACACACACACAAAGACCTGATATTTTCCTTATGTTCTCTTTCTAGCCTCTTCTTCTTTCTTTTTGCGACGTCTCCTTTCCTCGTAAGGACTTGAACGATTGATGTTACGACTGCGGGGGCCTTTTCAGTCACCGAAATTCTGGTGCGCAAGGGCGGCGTCCTCTCCCCCACCCACATCAAAGACTTCTCCATTAGTGATAAACCGAGAGAGATATAGATGGAGAGAGAGAGAGAGAGTCGACGTGAGCTTACCGGGGGCATCAGGTACTACGGCAAGGATTATGTGATCTACGTCGACATCGAAAACCATCACGCAAGCAGAGGCATCTAATGAGGACCTTCTCAATCATTTACCGGCGGAAAGCGGCGGCCTCGGCGTCTCGTCTACACGCACTCGGCAGAGTCGATGCCACAGGGGATACAAGGAGAAAAGAGAGAAACAGCAGAGCTCCAGCCTTCGTTAAAGTGAGATGAAAGAAGATACGGGGTAAGAAACGAAGAACGACGAATCTCCATGCAGTAAGATTGCGCCTGGAAATGGTGAGGGTTTCTTCAGTCTTGCTCATGTGCATACCTAAAGAAGCATGATTTTAGACAATAATAAAAGCCATCGATCTTTTCACGTAATAATGCAAATATATTGATAGATATATATATATAAATACCTAAAACATCGAGAGAGAGAGAGAGAGAGAGAGAGCATCAGGGACCCAGAGAGTGAAAGTCAGAATTCGTTTCATATAAATAAAAATGATAAAATATATTGAGAAGGAGAATTATATAAGATATATAAACATAATAAATAAAATTTTATAGGGAACCAAGAAAGTTGGGGACAGAAGCGTGTAGATGTCATGTGAAGAACCATTTGTCCTAGAAAGGAGAGGTGCCAGGGATCTAGAGAGCAAGATCATGGTTGTCTTGGTTCGATGCACATGCATTTGTCTATAAAAGGAACTGCACGTATACGTGTATGAAGAACCGAAGGATCAGGATGACTAGATTATGTATGCATGCTATGTATCTTCTTGATCAAAATAATTACTATAAATATAAAGCCGTTCCCCAGGTAGGAACTTGACGTAGTGGGTTTTGTTTATATTTTTAGACAGGAAAGAGAGAAAAAAAAAATTGAAATTGTTGGCATAAGAGGGCAGTGATTTAGATGTCCTTCGACTGGATCTCCCTTCCTCCACGTCTCGTTGTCGTCCAGCGCAAAGCAGTGGGATTAAAGTCCACCTTAGAATAGTAATCGCGTCATTTCCCGCCTCCATTCTCTCTCATCCGTTTTTGGGTAACGAGGGAGGGGAACGGAGAGCTCCGCGCTTCGCCGCCACAACGGGTGGGGCATCCCAATACGTCTCTCACGTTCTTATTTTATGGCTGCCCGTCGGCGGCGGGCGTATTTTATGACGAGACGCGCTTTCTGAGGATGTTTTAATGTCCCAGGCATTGGAAGACCTCGGCAATTATGACAAATAATGGAGGACTGAGACCAACGCAAGCATCCTGCTGATTAAGAAAGAGAAAGCCACAGAGAGACAGAGAGAGATGAGAGGGACCGGGTGGGGTGATAAGGTGGCACATGCTTTAGGATTAGATAATTAGGTAGTGGGAGACAGGGAAGACTCAGAGGAGAGCTTTCAGAGGAGACTCTGAGAGGATTATAGTGTGGAGCGAAATGACCCACATAATGGAAACAAGAGCTTCTTTTACGCACACTTGTACTGATTCATGCTACTCGTAGACAGGTGAAGATAGGCGGGTGGGGAGAGAGTAAATAAAACAGACAAGACCCCAATTAGACGTTGATAAGAATAGTCAGATTCACTTCTGCTATCACGGTAGACGTTACTGATTGACCGAGATCTGTGGAGACGGAGAAAGAGAGATAGAGCAGATAAAAAGAGAGCCCGATCAGAGCTTGGGAATAGTTAACCTATAGCCATTGCAATTATTCTCGTTACTGGTAAACAAGTATATATATATATATATATTTAGAGAGAGAGAGAGAGAGAGAGAGAGAGAGAAGAAAGTAGATAAAGGAGACAAGAGTCAGATTAGAGGTCGAAAGAATTGACGCTGACCGAAGGGAGACGTTCAGGTTCACGTACGGTTTAGCAAGGGCATGCTCCATCCTGTGTAATCTCAATAGACGCAAGCTTTATTGAAAATGTTGAATAGGTCCGATTATTAAAAACCAATCATAGAAAGCATATCAGTTCTGCGTAAGAACAAAGACTCTCTCTCTCTCTCTCTCTCTCTCTCTCTCTCTCTCTCTCTCCACTTAACTAGTTTACCTCCCTGAATAGGACTCCACCTTGTACTTTCCCTCTGGATGGCGCTGTGTCATCCTGTCCTCTTTTCCATAGACAAGGAGGAAAGTTCAGGGGACTAGGCGTTTTTTTTTTCCGAAATCTTCCCTCGTTTCAGCAGCCCTCTTCTTTATTCAATGTAGACTGGAGTAACGTGTTTCATGCTGCCTACAGGTCACATACTAGCGGAAAAAATTTATTAATCACTTGGGCTTCGCCTTCCTACAGCTGTTCCCCATAGCGATGGATAAAAGGGACTCTCGTGGGTCTGTTATGTTGGATTTGTGATAAATTATAGAGGGATAACGACCGTGGATTGGGATTAGGTGATTCTATCCATGTGAACGAGCAAGAGCATAATGGGCGCTGCGACTCCTAAGTTCATACTGGAAACAGCTAAAGTGGCTTTGATTCGATCAGCAAAAGGCATTCGTAGGCCTTTCTAGAAACAAGAGAGCTTATAAGGGACATTAACTTATTTCCGACTTAATGCATGATTCTCTCTCTCTCTCTCTCTCTCTCTCTCTCTCTCTCTCTCTCTCTCTCTCTTGCTTGGGCGGAGGATCGGTGGAAACCTTCTTACAAGTTTACCCACCATAAAAAAAGGACGGTGAGCTCACGTTACCAACAATGAAGCACTGGTTCGATGACAACCCAAGTGAGAACGAAAGACATGCATTGCTCACAAATGGGTACAAGGTAGGGAAGAGAGAGAGAGAGGGGGATGTTGTCTTCTACTTTTAGTTAGACTCAGGGCTTAGAGCAGATAACGAGTAGGGTAACCGCAAAGCTGAGCCCACGAGTTTAGTAATCATAAATCCAAGGGATCGAGGCAGAATAATGAAGTCCAGGAGTCTTGGTTCCCACGGAAGCCTACTCCCGTTCAAAGGGGAGAGAAGGGAAATGGATCGGTTAACAACACATGGGGATTAGAGAGCATACTCCCCACAGGGGAACCGGCGGGGTAAAAGCTAGACACTTTGACTGGCATCGGCCCTGACGAGTCCCGTTAGAACCCCCCCCCCCCTCCCTCCCCACCACCCCCCACCACCGCAAAATGATTCCTTGCTTCTTAGACCCGAACACTCTTCCCCATCTCCTCCTTTTATTTTCCTTCCCCATCTTTACAGCTGTTGCTCCCTCTATACTTGAACAAGAGTTCTCTCTCTCTCTCTCTCTCTCTCTCTCTATTTACCACTCCCATGGAAAGAATAAGACCGAGACAAAGACCAGCTTTGATTTTGGCTTTGGCCTTGGCTGTAGTTCGTCCTCGAACTAGTGCAGGCATTTAATTCTACTTCCGAAGCGTCTTTGACCCAAACAGCAAGCCCCCACCTCCCCCTCCATCGTACGCTTCTGCACAGCTTTTGACCTTCCGGTATTCGACCCCGCTGCCCGCCGTTTGACCCAGCGGCGCCGCCGTATTCCGACCGCGCAAAAATATTTAAAAACCATCTAAAGATGGGCTGATCTCGCCCATCTCTCCTTTTCATGGCGGGGGCGATCCCAATATGTACCGCCGTCCCTTGGCAAAACCGGCTTCTCGCCCCCATTCGGTGGACGGCTGACCGAGGAAGGGGATTGAAGTCAGCTCCAACAGGTTCTTCGCCGATATACAAACGAGTTGACTCCAGCCGCCGAGATTTTGGAAGAGCGTCGACCACGATGAGTCATCTCGGCCGTGTGCTGTTGGCCTTGGTTCACCGTCTGCGCGTGCGTCGGAGCACTTTGAGAGAGAGAGAGAGAGAGAGAGAGAGAGAGAGAGAGAGGGGGGGACGCCGCACGTGTATATATCGATAGAGAGAGAGATTAAGAGAGGAAATCATTAACCATAGGAGCTTATCGTAAAAAAACCGGAGAGGTCAAAGAGTGCTCAGCGAGTCACCCGTGAGTCGGCCGCGTGGAGGTACACCAGCTGTCGAGTGCTGATAGGATGATTCGTGAGGTCAAATGCCTATTTTTCCGCGTGGGATTTGACCACTTTGCCGGTGGCGGCGGCGGTGGTCAAGTATTCTCCCGCGCAAAGCCACGTGATTAAATCGTGTAAGTGTAATCTATTCAGTCGGGTATTATTCTTAGCCCGCTGAGATAGAAGGTCGGCCCGTTTAGAGGCCCATTTTCTTCCATATCGGGTTCTCGGCCGTCATTCAGCCGGACTTCATGGGTCCCGACACGCCCTTTGACCCAAAAAAATTCAACTGGAAAGTCAAAAAAATGGCGATCTTTGCTGACTTTTAGTAACCCATCTTATAGTTAATAGTTCGCATGGGCCATCCCCACACGTTTAAACGATGTGGGACGATTCCAAAGCTCGCGGTCTCAGCTTCAGAACTTGGCCACGGAACATTGGTGCGCGAAATAACTCACGAGTTTATCTCTAGAGAGAGAGAGAGAGAGGGTGAAATGAGGAAGCGCTGACTGATCCGTTGACTGCATAGCTGGCTTCTCTCCTTCTCAGAGGAGCCGGAGCCCAGAGCTGCAGATGACGTGTTGACTTTACCCAGATCCAATCCTGCTGAGGGAGAAAGAGGGAGGGGGAGGGAGAGAAAGAGAGGCGCGAAGTGAACGGTTGACTGCATGGTTGTCTTCTCTACTTCCTTGTCCCGATAATGACAACGGGAGGCGCCAACTGAGCCGCTGACCGCATGGGTTGTTGTCTCGCTTTCCGCTCCCGGGACATGCAGACAGGCGCTATAGTCCAGAGCTGCACACGGCATGTTGACTTCCGGGGATCGCATCCTTCTTCTAGCTAGAGAGAGAGAGAGAGAGAGAGAGAGTGGCGACTAAGCGGGTGACTACATTGTTTTCTATCCTTCCTACCGAGCACCGAGGCATACAGACAGATTGGCCAGAGTCCAGAGCTGCAGAATGCGTGTTGACTTCCGGTGATCTAATCCCTCTGGTAGAGAGAGAGAGAGAGAGAGAGAGAGAGATAGCAGGAGGGAGGAACCCTAGTGGGGACCTTTGTGTGTGAGTCGCAGCGCTCACACTGGCGGCGCGTCGGATCTCCACCGGCTGCACCTACCAGCGGCGCCGCCGGGACGTTGCACGTGAATCCGCCGGATAAGAAATTTGGAATTCTGGGATGACAGCCATCCGCGCAGATAAGCCGTTGACCAGGTGCAGGTGCATCTGGACTCTTAGTACCAGGAAGAGAGAGAGAGAGAGAGAGAGAGTTCGTGTCTAAAAGAAGAGAGGCTCTGACAAACTCTGACCCGTGAGAACTGTGGACGGCCAAGAGAGAATTAAAGGAGGAGAGAGAGAGAGAGAGGACAGTGTGGCCAAGAGAGGCTCTGAGAGAGAATCTGGACTGCCAAGGAGAATGAGAGAGAGAGAGAGAGAGAGAGAGAGAGAGTAGCCACAGAGACATACGAGGGAGTTGTGGGGATACACTGAGAATGTAGCCATGGAGAGAGGATGTGCTGCCATGGGAGAGGATTGGACCACCAGGGTATTGCTGGGATCAGCCCAATAGCGACTGGGAACTGGGTCGGGAGTCCACAGAGAGATAGAGAGAGATAGAAAGAGATAAGTAGAGAGAGAGGGAGATAGATAGATACATGATAGAGAGAGAAAGAGAGAGAGAGGACCTGCTATACTGCGCACAGTCGAGCTCGGAAGCATAAACAGATACTTCAAAAATATACCGAGAAATCGGCGGGAATCAAACCCAAAGGCGAACCGGTCTATCCCGAGTGTCCCGGTTCGAGCCGGTCCGGTTCAGCCACGAAGTTCGAAACAAAGGCCGTCGTCGTCGTCGTCGTCGTCAAGTTCATCACGTAAAACAGAAAACCCTAGCTAGGGTTTATACTCACATCCGGTCCTCCCTCCTCCGGGGAGCACAGGAGATGATCTCGTCGACTCGGAGGATCATCTCCGCCGCCTCCGTGGCGGAGAGGAGCACCGCCTGCTTCACCTTGAAGGCCTCCGAGATCCCGAGCTTCTCCATGTCTCCCACCTGCAAGAAGACAACGCAACAAATCAAGGGAGTGTCACAGAGCTTCTTCTGCAGTTCGTCCCCGCGATGGCCGGAGGGGGAGTGACGAGAGAATTACAGTGCCGGAGAGGACGTCGATGCCGGCGGCGCTGGCGGCGTTGTGGTGCTCGGCGCGAAGACGGGATATGAGCTCGGCGCTGTCGAGGCCGGCGTTGTCGGCGATGGTGGTGGGGATGATCTGGAGGGCGCGGGAGAAGGCCTCGATGGCGTGGGACTTCTTCCCCGGGGTGCGACGAGCGAGCTCGTCCACTTCCCTCGTCATCACCATCTCCGGCCACCCGCCGCCGTAGAGCACCCGGCTGTCGTTCACCGTCTGCGACAGCACGCACAGCGCGTCGTGCAGCGACCTCTCCGCCTCGTCCAGCACATGAGAGCTGCGTCGTCCCCAGCGATCAATTAGGGTTTGGGGAAGATTGAGGTAGAAGAAGAACAAGATGACGATGATGATGATGAAGAATGAGGTAGAAGAAGAACCTGGCGCCTCTGAGGACGATGGTGCAGGCCTGGCCCATGTCGACGCCGGAAAAGTGTATCAGCTTGTCCTCGCCGATCATGATCTCCTCGATGAGCTTGCAGCGGCCGAGCTTGACGGACTCGGGGTTGTCGAAGGTGGAGGCGATCTCGCCGCCGGTGACCAGGGCGAGGCGCTCGATGCCGTCGAAGTCGGCGTGCTCGATGGCGAGGATGCCAGCGTCGGCGAAGAGCTCCTCCGGGAAGTTGTAGATCAGCTGCCGGTTGACGAAGCAGTTGATCCCATGGGCGACGATCTTCTGCACCTTCTCCCTCATCTTCTCCTTCTCCGCCGTCTCGATCTGTGCCACCTTCGCCATCGAGTCCACCCTCACCCTCGCCCCGTAGATCTTCACCTTGTCCGTGTCCATGGCCGTGTTGGCCACCAAGATCCTCGCGTTCTCGATGCGCTTCGGCTGCCCGATCCCGATCTTCTTGTCCAGGATGAACCTGCTCATCCGCATCCCCGCAGGAACCAGGAAGATCCGTCGATCGATCACATGTCGCCAGATTTTCCAACGATCGACGACGACGACGATAACGATGATGATATGAACAGAAACAAATAGAAAATATTTTAAACCCACTAATTTACGATTAAAACAAATGCAGATGAAGAACAGCAGCTAGGAGGGAAAAAAAAAAATCGGAAATTTATCAAATGGAGAAGGGTATCTTGGGATTCATGTAGAAAATAAAACAACGTATTAAAAAAAAAAGGAGTACAACCCAAGATCAATTTCAAAAATAATATGGTGAGGAGAAAACCCTACCCCTCATCAAGAAATGAGTCGCTCAAGGATCCCCCGGCCTTCTTAATGATCTGAATGGACTCCAGGTTTGTGCTTCCCTGCCATGGATGATGCATGGAATAAATGCTTGATATCATAATTAATATCGGCATAATCCACATAAATAATATTAAATAAATTTTAAAAATACTGTTCACAGAAAAATCATCATAACTCGAATATATATATATATATAATTAAAAAAAAATCATCTCGCGTTCTTCACCTCATTGAAGGTCAATATGTTCATGATGTTCGTTTCCAAAAAGGGAAAAACTAATAAAAGCCGGCAAGGTATTTGGATGAGAGAGAAAGAGCTCCTCAAACTAGGGAAGGGATTCACGCATAGAAACTAGAGATGCAGATTGCTGGAAGAGAGGAGAGGAGTCCATTGGGTTTGAGATAGCCAGAATCATCCGACTTTTGTGATACCTGATCAGAAACTAGAGAATGAGCGCTTCTTGGGAAGATCAAATACCTTGAGAAGTCAAGCCCAACTTTCTGAGAAGTCAACATTAGTTCCAGAGATTGAGATGTTGAGGGTTTCTTCTGGAAACTAGATAAGTCAACCACAACATGCGAGCAGGACTCTTCTACCAGCCTAAGATATATAAAGGGCGGAATGGATAGTTTTGATGGCTGAGACTTCCGGGTCTCTTCTATGAACCCTGAGAAGTCAACCCCAAGTTTTTGGGAAGTCAACGTTAGTTCCAGAGACTGAGGGGCCCGGGAGCCACTGTTCATGCAGCTGCTTTTCTCTGTTTAATCCTACATGCCTTCAGATGGGTTATCCTATGTTCCTCATATTGAACGAGAAACAATGAGGACAATCGGTGCAGGGAATCAAGTTCAGATGAAACTCCAATCGATTGTTACCTTGAGCTTCAGAACGGCATCCACAGCCAGCTTAGCAAAGTGCTCCTTGTCCTGGGATAATATTTTCGAACACAAAGTTGTGGTTGCGATCTTCAGCAAGTCACTCCTGAATTTCTCTGTTTGACACCAAGGGGAGGGAGGGGGGATGCATCATAAAAGGAGAAGAGTATGAAAGCGAAGTAGTAAGTAAAGAAGAGAGAGAGAGAGAGAGAGAGGGGTAGAGAGAGATAATCGGCAATAAATTCACATGAAGATGAAAACTTACAGAAAAAGGAAATAAATAAACTGTTAGAAATAAATGTTTGTCATGAACTACTAAAAACCCATCAAAAATATCTGAAAAATCAATATCGGGAAAAATACCTCTCAGAAATGTATGCTCTAATGAAAAACATTCATATGGTCAAACAAAGCAATCACACTGAAAAAAATACTGAAAAAGGAGAAGTGCTGGCTTCTCTTAGCGACCATGATTCATCTGCCAGTTGCCCCCCCGCAGATGAATCAAACTTTAGAACATTGAGCTTGCTCTTTTGATTCTAACACATGATGAAAAGGAAACTATGAAGAACCCTAAACCCTAAACCCTAATAATGTCTTCACGACATGGAACTCTGTTGACCACTGCTCCCCTGCTAGCTCAACTCACTCCTGTTAGTAATATCCTACTTTTATGGAGCTTGTTTAACCCATTTAATACACTGCCAGCACCTTTTTACTTTAGAAAATGAAACACTAATACACACCTTGTTTCCTCATTAATAAGGATACGAGTATATGATAAATGTAGCCATCTCAATTGGGAGTGTCGACACCACCATTGACTTTGAATTCTGCCCTGTTTTGATGCTTAGGCAAACCAAAACTCCCGCTTTTATGGGGCCTACCACAGCCCACTTATCCGCAGATAGCAGTCTCCCTCTCACCTACAGGGCAGCCCATCTACACGGCCTCTCCATATCCTGGCCAGGCAAGGCCCACGTAATAGACAAATTCCCTGGACGCAGCAAGCTAATCCTCATCTGATCACGGCTTTAATCTCTATGACAAGTATAATACTCAAATAAGCATACAGCATGAATGTGAACGGTAAAACAAACCTATTACTGGTAATATACAATGGATTCCAGATTTCTAGTAGCAAAACTGATTCTGAAAAGGCTCAGAAGGCAATGTTCTAGAGAAAGCCTGATAATTAAAAGCTTTGAAACATATACATAAACCAAAGGACACAGAATCAAATACTACTTCATCAACACCAGACGACACTTTGAGGAAATCAGAGGCCCATATTGTCACTTTAATGAACGGCCAGGTCCAAGATGACAAGTACCTGGATCTTCTTTGTTATCCGTGGTCCTCTTCAACAAAGCATTGCGTGCACACTCAGCAGCCATTCGGTAGCCTAACAATTTAGAAATAAAACAGTCAGAACTGTGCGCCATCATCATTGTTACCTTATTTCAAGAATCATCCACTACAATGATACTATAGTATCATGGGTAGAAAGAACAACACATTCTTCAATCAGAACAATAATTATAGCATAATAGAAAGCATTAGAATCATTTCCTTGAGAAAGATAAACCATTACAAAAACAAAATTCAACTTCACAATGAAGCCTTTAATAATGATCTTCAAGCTCTTAAATTTTCATTTCACGTGATAATAGCAAATAAAATGCAGAGAAACACAAAAGTGACAGTTTTGGAATGAATCTCACGCATACACATGGTTAGGGAAGATTCATTTTTTCCCAGGGAATAAACTAATATGAACTCATTGAACCCCTTGATGAGTCAATTCCATACAACTCTACATTACATATAATCTAGCCAAGACATCAAGACCATAAGGCAGGGTGTCAACCCTATCTGAGGTGCGTCAATAATTTAGCACATTTTAAGGCCTATTGATCTGTTAAAATTAAGAGCTAGGAAAATTCGATGGATAAGACAATGAGATCATTGTTCTGGATCCGGAACAATAATATTTTTTTCAGCCATGGATGGAAGTATTTGTTATACAAATTATTATACTTAACAGGGGACAAGTCGCCAATTTAAGGAATTCCGAGTTCCGAATCCATGCACACTTGAGTATGCTTCTTACCTAAATATGAGGATATTTCTTTCATTTAATTGATGAATGTATTCATGCGTACGAATCTTCTATCCTCTTGATCTATGGTAATGATCATGTGGAACTATCCTCTTTAAAAAAGATTATCAAGGAAAAACAATATAGTGCCGGTTCTCAATAGGAAAAATTGTCAATTATTTTCTAGGATACGTATTAGAAAAGTTTTTCAGTTTAAGCATTATGTTTTCAGAAGTCGTAATGTCACCAGCGTGCTAATTATAGTTTTGGATGTTAGGGATGTACAGCCTTGGTTAGTATATCTCGGGTGACTTTCCCTCATCAGGCTTAAACGAGGCATTTGGTATATTGATTCACTCTGATTTTGTAGCAATCAGACTAATTTTGTTAAAACTAGGTCTATAACACACCATGATGAGAAATAATACGGCGTCATTAGACAAAACTAATATGTAATATCAGCAAAGGTCTCAAGGCAGTTTCTATACTATTTTACTGGCCAACCTATTAACAAAATTTAGGGTGCATATTTTCTCATTCAATCAAAGTTCAACTAAAGGTCTCAAACTAGGAGGCTTGAGAAAAAGAAAAATAATCTTCTATAATGACAATAAGGATGAATCAGTTAGTAAATAAATTACTTTCACGACAAATAAAATTAAGATAGATGAGAAAATACAATCCTGTTGTTCTATATATTCATGCTATACTTTAGCACATATCAAAATATATTATCCTCACATCGCATGTTAGCCATTTTGTTTCGAGACTGTAGACATATCAAGCTTGGACTTGCTTGGTTTTACGCAAATAACTAAGAATCCCAGTAAAAATTCATACGTTAATAGTTGAGAATCCATGTTACTTTCATAAAGAGTTCAGGTTCTCATTAGAATGCATTTGAAAATAGTTGAGGCTCCATGTTATTGCAGTTACTACGAGACAAACTTGAATAAAAAAATGCTTTGGATCATCATTGTCTTTCATGCCATTTTCGTCAGTACTGGTGCCCAAAAAAAAACCTAAATAACTGATGCACAAGAAGAAAAATGGTTTAAGACATCATGTATATTAAGTAACAGCATAAACAAAAGTAACTTTTGAACTCTGCATTGAGAGCCCAGCCTAGGCAAGGAAAGAAACTAAAATGGAGATACACGTCTTCAATTGGGGCTCAGCTGCTGATCATGCTGATGTCTTTCTTCAACAAACTTATCTGTGACTCTGACATCTGACTCATCACGCACCACTGGTTACCGTTTATGATTAAATGGTCATTACTCAGAGAAGTTTTTGACTTATTGATGGATCATCGCGGTTCTAGTACAAATCAGAGATTTGAATTGTTTTTAGGGTCTCAACAAGCCTATCCAAGGTAGAATAGACGACCAGGAAACGGATTTCATTCAAAGCTTCCTCGACACACGAACCTTGTAAGACGATGGAGGGATCTAGACCCAATCCGCAGATCTTTGCTCAGAGCCCCCCTTCATTCTGCTGGAGGGGGTGTCACAGTTTTCAACTGGTCTCGAGGTCCAATAAATACTTTGGATATTTTATTTGGTCTCATTCAAGTTTCACAATTCACTATTCAGCATATCTTTAAATAAAAAACTCACAAGAAATAATTTATAATTCAACAGACAATAAAAAACTAAACGCGAAAAAAGCATGTTATCCATGAAAATAGTTAAAAAGGGCATGATTTGATTATACTATTACATATGTGGTTCTCTTAGACCTAACGCAGGAAATTCACTGGACAAACAATATAACCCTTGGAACACATGGTTATATATGATCTGAAAATTAGAAGGATATTATTATATTTAAAACATGAAGGAATTAACCAGAAGCTTTGACATTAATAAAGGAACAAGTAAACCTTCAATAATTGTCATGGGATGAATCTTCGACATGATCAACTTTTCAGCTTCCCTCAGAAGCTCCCCAGCCAAAACAACGACAGAAGTTGTTCCATCGCCGACCTCATCATCTTGAACTTTTGAGATATCTGATTCTATTAAGGAACTTGCAGTCTTACGAGATAGGGTAGTAGGTCTATCAAATCAGCTTCAACTCGCAATAAAAGTAAGAGAACAACACTAAAAAACAGCCAACAAGGATACCAACAAGAACTTTCGCAGCTGGATTGTCAATATGAAGTGATTTTAAGATAGTGGCTCCATCATTTGTCACTGTCACGTTATGTCCTCGGCCAGTTGATTGCAATATTTTATCCTTTAAAACATATCCACCAAAAAAAAGATCACATCACTTATGCAGAACTGCTAATGAGTAAAGGAAAGGCTGAATGAGTAGTTACCATTCCTTTAGGGCCTAAAGTAGTTTTAACCAAATCAGCAATTGCCATGGCTCCAACAAAGGAAGCCTAGGAAAAAAGGGATGGGCAAACAATATCAAGACCAAAAAATATTTTTTAGCAACTAAAAACGAGCACATCATGGAAAAAAACGAGTAGGTCTAAAAATTCAAACGCAACCTCTGAAACAAGATAAATAACAGGTTTGACAAGAAAGGCATTAAACCATATTTACCATTCTGGCGCGCTCTCCCTTCTCCTCGGTGGCTTCATCCTTTAGCAGCCTCTCGATCTGGAAGAAAAAAGAAGCAAATAGCATTGGCCTCCTAATCCATCAATAGAGTACAAAAAGGATAAAAAAAGCCAACTGAAAAGCATCCATACCGCCATGGTTAGGACGTGAACACCTAAATCTCCGCAACAGATCCTCCCACACGATGCTAGAATGACTACATTAACAAAAACCCATAGTTATGAAAAAATCGCAACTCTTGCACAGTTTCACCCATCCCCGTGACCCGATCCACAACAAAGCTGCTCTACACAGTAAGCATTTAAAACCTTTTTCAATGTGAACTGCTCCAGCAATGAGACAAGGGCCACTATAAACAACCCTAAGGGGTACAGAGATATGCAGAATATCGGCTAGAGAGATAGGGAGAAAGAGAGAAAGAGGAGGGATAAATGGTCCACATCATAGCCTTACGCTTTTTATCGAAATATAATTGAGGATCGATGAGGCAAACACCACCATACACCGCGATCAAGTTACAGAGATGGAACGGCGAGGCAGTACCCAGAATGACAGGAAAGCAGAGAGAGAGAGAGAGAGAGAGAGAGAGAGAGAGAGAGTACCCTAGCTGGAGCGAGAGTTGCCGCTGCTATAGAGTGTAATATGGTGACGCTGCAACGGACCTCGGAGAGGACGGAGAAGGGTTTTAGGGCTTTCCCTGCCCCTCCCTCGATTCCGGAGAATTCCATTTACCAGTCTCCTATTTCGTTAACCTGTGACCCGCGACCCGACCCGACCCGACTTGATCCGACCCCATAAATATTATAATTTAATTATTTATATTTTTTTCACAGAGCCGGAGTGAGGGCTAAAAATTTTATCTTTAAGCATTTTAAAATATATATGAAGACACTATTTATTTTCTAATAATAAATTCATAAAAATATATAATTTTTACTTTATGCAATATGCATCTTCCAAGATCATCTACGTCTCTCTCTCTCTCTCTCTCTCTCTCTAAATCATAGCATACAATTGGGCCCACTTGACTTTTTTACAAATTAAAAAATGTAAAATGTGCAAATTATATATTTTTTATTATTTTTTGTAAATTTTTTATTTTTACAAAAAAATAAATTTTATGTTTTCCATGTCAAATAAATTCTGAAAATTATTTTTCCACATTCTTTAGAAAAATCACGAATTATTTGCTCATAATTAAGACAATATATCTTACTAATAACACTTTATGACATCATATTGTCCCACATGCCATTATATGCAACATGCTTGTCCCAAGATCATCGAAGTCTCTCTCTTTCTCTAAATCACAGCATAAGTTGGACCCATTAAATTTTTACAAAAGAAAATTATGTAAAAATGTAACTTTAAAATATATTTTTTATGTTTCCCATGTCAAAAAAATGCTGAAAATTATTTTCCACATTCTTTTTTTAAAAACGAATTATTTGTAAATCGTTAAGACATGGTACCTTACTAATAACACTTTATGACGTCATATTGTAACACACGCCATTATATGCAACATACATGTCCTATGTTCATCCACGTGTGTGTGTGTGTGTATCTCTCTCTCTCTCTCTATATATATATGTATATGTGTGTTATATATGTCTTAGCATATATTTGGGCCCACTTGGGTTTTCTTAAGAAATTGGGGCATAAAAGCTTCAATACGTGTACGTGGAGGACCAGGTTAAGTAATAATGGCCCAGAGAAAAACATTCAAAGATGCAGGGAATCATTTCCTCTGTTTCTCTTTTAAACGGAATTAGCATCCTTTTATGAGCGAACGAGAGGATGCACGTCTGGACACGTGTCAGGCTGCGAGCTCGGGCTTTCTATTTTGCCGTTCACACAGGGACCGACGAGACCGGCAGTCACCGGTCGTGTTCCTGTTCCATTTCTTACGAGTTTTGCCCGGGGAGGGGGCGCTTAAAAGCAGTCACAGAAGGGAGAAGAATTCTCTCTCTCTCTCTCTCTCTCTCTCTCTCTCGCTCGCTCTCCCTCTCTCTCATTCGCTGGTTGATCGGGCGTTCTCCCTCCAGTTCGGAGCAGAGGAGAGGCGGCCGGGGGGAATTGGCATCTGTGAATGCGGAAGGATTGTTGAGGAATTTGGAGTTGAAGAGGAGGGAATTGCCGGCGACGATCCCTCGATCGGGCGGCGTTTGAAAGGGGAGAAGGGGGAAGGTATGTTCTTCTCGGGGGAGGCGACGTCGCGGAAGAGGGTGGACCTCGGGGGGAAGAGCTCCAAGGAGAGGGACCGGGAGGTGCTGCTGGAGAAGGCGAGGCTCCAGAGGCAGCGGCGCCAGTGGCTCCGGCAGCAGAATTCCGCCGCCCTGCAGATCCAGGTACGCTGTTCTGTGTGTATTTTATGCTCAAGGATCGCTGACGGGCAGTGATTTCTGAGTTCCCCATGGTATGTATATTCCCAATGCTTGTGGCTCAATCATGCCGGCCCAGGGGTTTCCTGTGGTCGAGTATCTGTTGTCCCGCCGGTTCTTCAATGTCGCGGTTCTGAGTTTCAGCCTTCTCAACGTTGTCTTAACTGCGTTTTCAGAGTAACTGACCTATGTGTATATGATGTAGATAGTTCAGTTATTGTTACGGGGCACTGATTACGCCTGGATTAATATCCTCCGTGGTAGTCTTTTCTTGGCATGGCGTTGCAAACTCTGATTTCCTTATCTCAAATATGACATTGGTTAATTGATTTTGAGTTGAGTCGGACGTGTTCCTATGTTAGTGGGAAATTCTTCACTGTTACAAGGACATTTCAACTTGGTCAGATTTATTTGACTGAAAAATAGGACTTCAATCCCTTAGGAATTCTTTTAACTGGGATTGTTGGTGGTGGGTTCATTTTGATGCAACGAGAAGCCACGAACATGTGGAAGAGCCAGTTTTTTATTTGACTGTTGGACAACTCCAGTAGGAAGTTTTTTAAAACCCTTGACTCGGATTTGGGCCTTCTGTCATGAGTGGAGGTTTTTATGCTTCAAGCTTTAGACATTATTTCAATGTTTTAAATAAAAAAACTCAATATTTTCAAATAATTACTTTGGATGAAGTGAAGTTTACCGAACATAATTTAAGGAAAAATGTTGCGATTCTTTTGGTATTTTTACATCAGATTAGGCCACGCCTATCATTAATGTGCTCATGCTGTTTATATTGGGAATTTCATACATCTTCTGTACACGAATGGGATTTCGTACACAATAGTAGTTCTTTCTCAATGGAAGAAAATGGCATTACGAAATGTTGTCAGTGGGCTTCTTATAAGCATGTCCTTGTGCCACAATAGGATTGAACAATGGGAGGTGATTTAGCACAAGAATGTAGTCGGAGGCTACCTACCATATAATCTTGAGACATTCATCATATCAGACGAACTTCAAAAACATTCTGGAAAATGATAAAGAATAAATAATATATAGTAAATTAATCTTTCATGGCACCATCAATTATTTTATGATAAAGAAAGACAATGGACTGCATTAGTTCTGATAGAAATATCTCAGATTGTCAGAAATGATTAATTTCAAACATCCTTGGTATGGTCCTTAACAGAATTTTCTTCTCTTCTTTGGGACAAACTACTTTTGGTGCAGTTAGGAGATGGGTAGTATCAGTTCATTTTTCTGAAGTTTTGTCTTCCTTTTACAAACCTCGGCTCAAGCATACAGAACCAGATTTCTCATTTCCTTCGCTGAAGCTATGTTTATTATGATATTTAAGGGTTGAAACAGGTTAGTAGTCGACATGGTGTGATATTGTGAGTTGAAAATTCCGGAGCTCTGGGTACGTTTTGAACTTAATTGATGATTGCACTTGATAAGTTAAAGTAGGAGAGTATGTACCAGTCAAACATAAAAAGAACAAAAGATGCTTGAAAATGAATCTTCTCCATTGTATATGTACTATTAAGATTAGTACCATATTTATTCTTACAAAAGAAGAAACTCTTATAAAGTTGAGGCGTACTATGCTCGTAGTCAGATGATCTTGGGTTGGATGGCCCAAAAATTGAGCATGTATATCAACTATACCACCCTTCCCGTTAAGAACCTTTGATTTGAGATCATTCGTTTACATGTCTACTTCAATCCCTGAAATTAAGTTCTCCCCTCCCTTTGACTCCATAAGTTGACGACCAAATACTTGTCATCATTATAATGCTTTCACGTAGCATATCTATATATTTTCCAGCATATTTGGTTCCCCACGACTTTAAGAAAGTCAGTCGCTAGGTCCCTGCTTCCCCATATTTCTCAGATTTATTCGTCAAGTATAACAACATCAGCCACGCTATCATTTCCCTCTTTCTCATTGATGTGCCTATGCTTAGCAAGTAGTATGATGTCACATCAGCTATTCACATCATCCTTATTGTTGCCTTTTCTTCATCAGCCCCCAAATTGATCCAGGGACGAGTTTTGATGTCCTCACATGAGTATTGTGATATCTGACTGTTGATATGTTATAGATTGTGGAAGTCTGGAATAACTTCCCGTGGTAGGGTACATCTCACTAAAACAACTTTGGTTAGAATATTGATGCGTCTATCTTTTGAGTTGCTGTATATATGAGAAGTTTATGAAAAAGCCTTGCAGATCCATACTAGTTTATTCTATAACAATTGCTGAATTATTTAACTTTTTTTGCTTCTGTCCTATCATATCTGCTTGTCGTTTAGTCGCCAATAATTTTTTGTCGCTATGACAAATCTGAGCACGAGTATGTTTCTTTTTAAATAGCAAAGATTTATTTTTTCCTGGTATATACATAGTTGTGGACGCACATAATCCATAATGGATATGTATTCCATTTTTTTCCATTTCATAGGTTGTTCCATTTAAGAAATGATAGTCTTTACAATGGTATTGATGCATTTTTTAATCCACAAGATTGCTGTGAGGAACTTAAGTACTTCTGGCTGCAGAAATGCTTCAGAGGGAGGAAAGCTGTTGAATTTGAACGTTCAAAGCTTCGTGAAGAGTTCCATGTTACATATGGACGCCACTGTGAGAAGGTGGATAGGTATGCTTTGGTTTTTTACTGTTGTGCAAGCACCATCCATCATGTTTGTTTTCACCTCCTGCTGTTGCTGCAGGTGTCATGAACACAAGATATTAGGATTTCGAATAAGTCTAATGTTTCAATTATAGTACCCTTTAAATATTTAGCATTTCCTACTCTCCGAAACTAGCATCAGTAAAGAGGAAAACCTCATGGTAGGTGTTCAACACGTTGTACACTCAGAGACGTTTTTTTATTATTTGAACAGGGATTGTTTCGGTCCAGACTCGGATTTTCTGCGCCAGTTGCTTTTTTTCTTCGATGGAAGCAATAAAGTTGATTTTACCGTACTAGTCGAGAGTTGTAGGCTGTTGCTCAAGTTTTTCCAAGAAAGTGGTAAGTATGAACAACTCATTCAGCGTCACTTTTCAGTTTCCATGTAACTTTGGCCGCTTCAAGTCAGCAGCGCGTCTTTTTATTGCGGACCATTTTCCCTCTTCAGTTTCTTTTTTCTTTTAGACTGCTAGGTCTTGTTCTTGTTGTATTAGGCCCAGTTGATTATATCCCCAGAGAAATGTCAGGATTTTCACAGTTTCGATAATCTTTCTGACTTGTGACCCACCTCCCAGGAGCTGCTTGGTACCTTGGCCACGAATTTAATTTTTTGTTACATGTAAATGACTCTGTCTATGCTTTATACTCTGTCTAAGTTATCGTTGAATGGTCATGTATACTGCTTTTGATGATTTCCTTAATGATCTAAATTTTAACCTTTTTTTCATATCCCATATGAATGGGCTTTGGTGGCTACTTATATCCATAAATATGGAGAGCTGCTCTTTGGTTGACTTGAGATGATCTTCATTCTAGCCTTGTTCCATGATGCGAGAAGATGGAGTGTATTGAGAGACTGAGATGATAGAGATTATTTCTGGTGTATTCTGAAAAGTTGAGATCTAGGAAAGTGATGTAAAATGTGAATATTGAATGTTAAGAGGTTTCCCTTGAAGCCTCAGTGCAGTTTGTTTTGATGTATGATATCCATGTTATGGTGAAACTGTTGACTAATGAAGTGTTTCTTGTAAAAGCTTCTGCCTGGAAGTTCTGCGTAAAGATGATTCTCTGAACAGTGGTGCAAACCATAGGAGGATATAGAAAGGAAAAAACCCTTCTCTTTTTCACATCAAAGATAACTGTTGTAGACGAGTACCTGTGCCACGAAACTAGGAAACTACCTCACAACTAGGAAATCAAAAAAATAGGAAACGAACCAATAACTAGGAAATGGCCCAACTCAGAGTCGAACTCCTAAATATACATTCTTTCCCACGGGTGAAATCAAATATCATAAATGCTGGATTGGTATTATTTGGCTCCATGTGATGGGCTTTTCTTTTGCATTGCTAACGGAAAATTCTGGAATCTTGGTTTTGTTTTGTCTATTGCTTTATTACACGATGTAAAAAAATGATGTTTATGGGTTTATTAACACTTCAAAAAGTCCAGAATTGCTTCTTGCCTGGAAGTCTTACCTAAATGGGTGATCTTTATCTATTGATAGCATGGAAGAAAAAAATGCAAAGTAAATGGTTGAAGGAATACACGCCCCTTTCTCTCTCCTCTTATTCCATCCTACTTCTCAAGGCACATGATAAGGTATAAAAGGAGGCATACTTGTCTTGCACCATTTAGGAGAAAGTCGCTCCAATTGTACGTTTTGTATTTTTATGCTAAAAATCAATGCTATGAACAGCTCTACAGATAAATGTTGCCTTGTGATATTCATGTTCCTTAAAAAGTTTGCAAATTGAAAAATTTGCTGCAAGGATAGGTTGATCAGTGATCACTCTAGATGCTGAGGTATTAGAAAAAACGCCGACAACTATAGATTTGATTGGAAGGTGGAGACAATTATGTATGGCAAAAGGCTGGGATGTGCCATGAGGACAGTACATATATCCTAGGGAATGTGAGGACAGCGGATTCTAACTGTGGCTCATTTACTCATCTGCTGTTCCTACTCATTCAGATCCATTTCTTGTGGGGGTTCCTCTCCCCTCTCCTATCTCTCGATTCAGCAAACAATGAATTCTATCAATAATTTAGGTTCAAAGTCAACCAGGATTGCAGAGCGTATATACACTGTGCCGATCACAGTAGTAATGGGGGACGCCACTTGACTAGTTTCTAATCAATTCCAACTTAGAACCATCTGCTTTGAATTGAATGCCCTGATACTTTCATTTGATATCATGGCACTGAGTTTTAGAGGCTGGCCTGTATGTGAAAAACGTTTTGTAATTGTCTCAGATTGAATGTGGTGGGTGAAGCTCGTAGTTAGAATAGGCGTGCTTATTTCATTCATTGCCATGTGTTGTGAGTTGGAAGGCATGATTCTTTTCAAAAAAATATACAAACCATGTATTGAATCCTCCATTGACACCTGCGAAGTCTAGTGCTTTGCTCTTCTTCCTTCTGCTGATGATCGTCAATGACCACGACCAAGAGTGATTTTGAGTGTTAGGACGACAAGGGTTACAAATTCGTTCCCAGGCTATATTTTTAACGTTCTTAAAAGTTTTTAGTTGAATTGACTGATTTCATTTATATTGGGTACTTCAAGCTGATTCTGTGGTCTATATTACAAGGGTGACTAATTATTGTCTTATCCAGTGAGACAATAGTCCTGTCCACTAGCAGCTGAAGGTATAGGATAGTCAATTATCTTTCACAATAACTTGGAAGAACCAACAATTAGAATTTTTCGACTTGTTATCGTAACTTATGGAAGAACCAACAATCCTCTAGGACGCTATCTTTTGTTGGGAAGGCTTATCTATATCTTATGCCTTATGGGCGAATATGTTATGCTTAAGCGTACACAGCCTTTTCAGGAACATATGTTAAACAAGCAAGTATTGTTTCTCTTTAATTTTAGTTTCTATTTTTAAGATTTTTGACCTGGGTCCTCATCATTTTTAATTGATTTTTTTGGTGACATTTGAATCTAGTTTCTTGTGTTATTGTACATCCGTTTAGTTAATTTTTTTAATATGCTTAGCTGTTATATTTTTGAAATCACTGCATTGATATCCTATCTGAGAAACTAGCATGTTTCCGTGCAGGTGATATTGTGAGCCTCTTTTCTGGTTTTGATTATTCTTCAAGGCGTGCTGTTGTTGATAACAGAGTGGAACGATTTGCATTTTGTTGCCTCCAAGCAGTCCATCAGAATAGGTGAGTTGCGTACTTCCCTGTATCTCTGGAATATGAAATTGCAAGTGTGTGATGATCTTTCAAGTAATTCTTTTTTAATCTTTTCTGGGGACATTTGGCCTTATTATTTGGCATGCACATTGCCAGTTTACCCTGGCAGATGTTTGTCATCGCAGTTATGTTACTGTATAATACGCCATACATGTCCTTGATTAATAGATTTAGATGTTCATACTGATGTATTTGTTTATCTCATAATCATCATCTTAGACCGGAGAAGAGTAATTGGTAATTTTTTTAAAATGCGGGAGAAATTTAATTGCGCACCTTTGTTTTCCAGAAAGCATATTAAGTGCAAAATTCTCAATGCAGTTGCATCCTTTACTTTCTGACTTCATAAAATGGAATATTTGTGTATATAGCATCATAAAGTAGTGCCATTGTTTTCTTGCTCAGGGACCAGTTGAAGTATCAATTCCTTGTTCAGTCTACATCCACTACTTTGCCTACAAGTATCTTGTTGGAGGCTATGTCTCTCTTGCTAAACCATGAGCTCCCGTGGTCTTCCAAAGTTGTGCATTACATCACATCAAGGAAAGGCTTCTCTCTGTTCCGAGACATTCTTCTTGTTGGAAAGGCAAGATCTACTGTTAACTTCTTCACCCTAGTGTAAAATTGTATAGTCCATGCAGATTCCTAAATTCGAGAAGTTCTTGTTTTACATTCCCTATAAACTATCCAATTCCTCTCCTTTTCAATCAATCGATTCACTGTGATTTTATGTATGTGACTTTTGGTGTACAAGTTAATTAATAGTAGGATTTTAAGAAAACTTCTCGTCTTTCTTTTGACTTGGTGGGGTAACCTAACCCACCGAGTCTACATGGAAAATGCTGTGGGATATCTCTTGTTTAGTTTGGAAGAAAGTAAAAAAATTCAGCAGTTATCTATGAATACTGGATTTATGGTCTCTTCTTATTAATTTGAAAGTGTACCAACAAATGGTATCAAAACTGAATAGCACCTGTTCTAGATATGTGTTTCTTCAGTTCCCTGATTCGTCAAAGTCCGAGGCCTTGTAGGCATGATGTGGACATTACTACTAAATGGTGTTTTCATTCATTTAAGGGGGTTCTTTTGAATGTTCAGGAGTAGTTCCTGATTAGGAGTAAGGCTGTGGAAAATGCTTTGTAAACTTGGAGAATGAGAAATGAATTTCTTCTTGGATTTGTCAAATGTGAATAAAAAGTGGTATTCCAAGTGTAGAACTGGCATTCCAAGTGTGTAATTTATTAATGGTGATCGTACTTGAATGCTTGGTTTCGTCAAAAGATGGAGAGGATCATGTTATAAAGAGAGGACATGAGCAGTGGCAACTGGAATTTATCTAATTTATACATATTGCATATACTCTTCCCAATAAGTTCTTCAGGAAAAGCTGTGTGCAAACTGTGTCCTCAAGATTGGCACTCTGAATTGTGGAAATGAACGTTGTTTGTCTTCTCCTAATCCAGGCAGCACTCAATTTCTCAAGCAAAAAGTGAAACCCCAAATTCCAAACAAGAATTTTCATATCACTTTCGGTTTTTATTAAGTTTGTGTAACCAAGTTTGCCGGGCTTTCTTTGTCTGTAAGATCTTCTCTTTTTCATTGTCTGTTTCATTCTACCGCACAAGTTAAGTGACGGGGTGCTTATTTTTGTTTCAGATGATCTCTTCGTCTCTTCCATTTTAACATTAGGGTAGAATCCGATTTTGTCTATGTTCAAATTCCAATGGCTTAGTTAGTTGGAGACGGGTTTGCATTTGGAGGTCTCAAGTTCTAATTTTCCTGGTTTTTTTCCTATTGCTTTTCTTGGAAAATCGCCATTAATAACCTTTTCATAAAGCAGTAGCCTGAGATCTCATGACTTGTTGCTAGAGGATTTCCATCCACCATTTTAAAAGAAACTTTCTTTATGTCTATTTAGTTTATTTACTGAAGGCAATAAGTTTGATGCAGGATCATACAAGGATTCCAGTGGGTTCTCAAGGCGAATCTTCTTTGGAGCATATCATTAACCTTGTTACTTCTCAGATTGGCCCGTCCCCTTGTAGTTTTGCAGAAATTGATCCAAGATGGAGCTTTTCATCTCAAATCCTATCAATTCCCTTTCTATGGAACCATTTTCCATACTTGAGAGAGGTAATACCAATTGGTATATCTGTCTCTTTGTGATTGCATTGTAACATATCGTGGAGGCGCTTATTTTTTAACATGGCAACTTATGTTTTAATTAATTCGATAAAGTAAAATAATTAAAGGGAATTTTTATTTTACCATATGAAAATACGAGATTGTATCCAATGTTCTCTTTATCTGCATTTCCTGTTTTGGGGCATGAGGAAGAGATAATGGATTTGGACTAAATACTCTTAGGAATAAAAGATATCAAGTTAAGAGTCTTGGTTCTTTCCTGCTTTGTACTATTTCGTGATGCATATCAGATTAAATCATGAATAATATTTCTTGTAGTCTCCAGATAATATTTTCTAACTCTTATTGCCTTTTTCTCACAATTGGTAAATGACCATTATCTGTTGTTAAGTTGTCAAAGACTGAAAATATTTCAGTATGTGCACACCCTTAAAACTCACACAGATATTTTAGTTTTTTGAACGTTGAAGAGGCATCATATACATCTAACACCTTATGAAGAAAACAGTTCCGTTTCTTTCTGGTTTTCTATCTAATATCAGCAGTTAAAGTGGGAAACAAGCCATTTTTTCAGGTCTTTGAGGCACCCAGGCTTAGGAAGCAATATATTCACCAGATGGCATCATGTTTGAATAGTCAAACAAATGTCCTTCCTGGCAATTTATCAAGTGAGCTTCCTGGATATGCTTGTCTTCTAGGAAATCTATTAGAAGCTTCTGGGATAATTTTATCTGCGGTGAACTGTGATTCTGATGTGGTAAGAAATTACTGTCCTGTGCAGAAAATATCCATGCTGCTATATTAGCATTTTGTCTCTGCATTCTTCCTACAGTAAATCTCATTTTCCATTTTGTAGCATTAAATGGTTGAAAGTACTGGCTTAAATGTCCATTTTTTAATTACTTGAAAATCTTACGTAAACCATATTTTCTGTTTCACTTTTGTTATTCGTTAGTGATTAATATTTGACATTGGGACTGAAGTTCACAGGACACGGATCGAGGAATTTGTTGAGTTTGGTAGACGTTGAGTTATAAAAGAAAAGAAAAATTAGTTTACAGATGAATTGAGGCCTTCTCCGCTTCTTCTCTTGTCATCTTCCTGGTACTCGAGAATCGGCTAATTCTATTCATGATCAGAATCATCTCTATCTGATCTGTTTTGGATCACGTTGTGTGGGTTGGAGGTTTGATTGTAAGTGCCACATTGGCCTGAGCTCTGCTCATGACCAACCCCGTTTTGGCACACCTTGCCGTACTCGAGTGAGGGGACAATTGCAGCAATGCAAACGAGTTAGCATGTGCTGTTCAGAAGATGATAAAGCTTATCCAAACATGCCATTATCCATAAAAAGATTTTTTTTACTTTGCTCCCAAAATCGTCTTAGTTCCACGTCCTACTTTTTGTAGTCATAAGAATACTCTCTTTTAACCCAAACTGGCCTCACCTCTCTGATCTAGCAATTTCTCTCTGTCCTTTCTTTCGTCATATTTTTTACATGGCAGCTCTATGATTGCCAATGATGAGACCTAGCAGATGGAACCCTGGCTTTTATTTTCCCTAATTTAAGTGAATCAGCAGTTTGGAAAGGTTCAAACTCTGAGCCTCTGCTTTGGACATTAGGCTCAAATAAGATTGTGAAATAATTTATTTTTTCTAAAATATTACAAATCTCTTGAAATCAGTTTTTAATCAGGTTGGGCTTACAATCAAATTGCATTTGGACGACTCCTGGAACCGTGCAGGATACTGGTTACTGTTAAGGCTAGTTCAAGTTCTTAATTGGATTGTTAATTGACAGTTTTGGGGGCAGTAGCTACAGATGCATTCAAATAATGACAGATGACATTCCTATTGACTAGACAGGCTTAATCGCTCAATTGGGTTTCATTTATTGAGACATTTGAACTTTTACGAACTAGTTGCTTAGAGACTTGTTCATTTTTTGTATTCAAAGTACGTATGATGTTAAACGAAAATATTGAGGTAGGCCACCATGTGAGTGACAAAGAACTAGAACTGCCTACAATGTCAAATTTACAAACTACATGAATTTAAAAATATATGAAGGATTTGTGTGCGTCCAGACATTCTCTTTGGCTGTTTTCGTTATTTTGTTAGCATATGTTTTTCTTTTTTGTGGGTGTACGGTTGCTTCCACGTGCAGTTTTACGTTATCATACAAGCAGGTATTTATTGCGTGAAAAAAGATATCTTGATGATACACAAATTGCCATATAGCTACTGCTTGCATGGCTTTTTCTCACTTCTTTTTGGAAGTCGTGACTTGATATAAACATAAAGCTTTGAGCATTCTATAATTCTTTTTCAGTTTTTGGGTCCTGAATTGGTGACCTAATATTTATTCATACATTTTTTAAGTACAATTTGGAAATGGTCGTTGTTTATATGGAGTCATTTACAACCTTCATGAAACATACTTCCCATGTTTGCTTTGTACTGTGGGGTAATGTTCTTACATTTTAATTCATGTATTCATTTGCCCATGCTGGGGAATCTATAGAGTAGATCTTCCCTTCACAAGGTGTTTCCACTTTTATTCCCAGCTGGATTTCATGGCTGATTAATTGCATCTTGTCACTAACATGGTCTCCCTTTTTTGATTAATTTATTTTTATTTACTGAGGACATTTAATGAAGATTTCTCATGTTTTATCTGGACTAGGCCATTGAATTTACTGCTGTCATCACCTACTTATTGGAGGCATTGCCTTCTGGAAAGTTATCGGCAAAGGACAGTAAGAGTTTTCTCCCATTATTCTCATTAACTGCACTCTGTATAATTAAACTTGTACATGCCTTATAGATAATCTATAATATCTTTTTCTTGCATGCTGGTTTGTCATTTTTTGTGGATTCTCTTTTTTTATTATTTACACTGTTTTATCTTCAATTAGATTTTGATCAAGTTGACAATGAAATGACTGTGGACAAGGAGTACCTGGAAGTGCACTTAAGTCCAGATTTGAAGAGGCAGATCACAAGTTCAATAGATTCTCGCTTTCTTCAGAATCTGGCATGCTTCTATAACCTGTGTTTTTGTCATTCTTGTAGAAGCAAGTTTATCTGATAACTAATGGTGGTTGTCTAATATCTCAACAGGTCAATGCTTTATTTAGAGATACACCATGTGATTATCGTCACAGCAGTGATATGTCCCCTGAAGAGGTGGCAGCTATTGGTGCTATTTGCAGTTTTCTGCATGTTGCTTTCAATATTTTGCCCCTAGAGCAGATCATGACTGGGCTAGCTTATAGAACTGAGCTTGTTCATATACTTTGGAATTTTATAAAGCAGTGCCATGGGAAAGAAGCGTGGCCAACTTTTTCAGGCATTACTTTAAACTTGCCTAGTGATGCTCCTGGTTGGTTATTACCGTTGGCTGTTTTCTGCCCTGTGTACAGGTAACGCTTTGATGTAAATTTTGTTTCCCAGTGCAGTGTTTATCAGATTCCAAATTTTTCTTTTGATTAGTTATTGGAAATATTATTTAGTTCGTTTTTGGGATGTTAATCCAAATTTTTTTAAGCTAAGTGATATTCTCTACTTTTCTCCAGGCATATACTCATGATAATTGATAATGAAGAGTTGTATGAGAAGGAAAAACCTCTGCCTTTAGATGATATCAGATATTTAATCGTTATTTTGAGAGAGGTAACTGCATTTCCCTTTCATTTCACAATAAGGGACACGCTTAATCTTAATAGTGTCATCTGTTATTCATCATTTAATTTTGTATCATGTACTAGTTTGTTTTGATTGACGTACAGTACCCACGGACTGCTGTTAGTATCTTTTTAGAGAATCTTAATTATCATTTTATGAATTATACTGAACCCTAAAAGTAATTTAATGAGGGGAGCTTTTTTATGTAATTGATTCATCATCCATTAGTGTATGATAATAATTATTCTTGCTCCTAAAAGATACCAAGTCGGAATAGGGTTTATTTTTAATTCATCCCCTCCATTTAAAGTTCCAAATCGTTCTTCGATCTTGTGTTTTTGCCTCTTTTTACTTTTCTCCATGTTAGATAGTTGTTGGGGTTCATCAGGTTACGATTGTTTCAGCAATAAACAAGACCTTAAAAAAAAAACCTGGTTTTGGAATACTGTCTGCAGTGAGAAAGGATGTCAGGATAGAAAATATGTGTGAAGATTCATTTAATAATTTTCAAATCTTGTGTGTACATACCTAGCTTTTTCTGTGAAATATTTTAAATTAATCGTATTACTTAAATTAATTTAAAGATTTAAGATTTTTTTTGGCTATTGCCTTCCCTTGCCACCTTAGCAGTAAGGCAAGTGTACCACTACATTTATGTTCTTGAAAACTTTGGGTACATTGATGTTGGATTGATATAAAGGTCTAGGAAACAAACAGGTTTAGGTTCTTTTTTTTTTTTGGGAATAGCTAATGGGCCTGATTCTGATTTTACACGGCGATGCTCTTGCAACTGAAGGGCCAAGTCTGTGTTAACAGGCCCAAAAATTGGCTCATAAAGATGCCAGTTGTTCAGGTTGGACTTAGCTACGTCATGGAGTAGGAATTTAACTGTGTACTGGGTTTTATTGTTTATTTAGTGGACTAGCCTAAAAAGTTGGTTTTCAAGTAGGTAGTATAAATATGCCATTTTCAATTTGGGGCCTGGCTAAATGCTTCTGGTTGGCTTGTTGGTTGGAAATGAATCCTGTAGTGGGAGGGTGTTAATTTCGTGTCAAAGATGTTCACCTTTCAATTTGAAAAAAATCTGGAAATGAGACAAGAGCTTGCACTTCTTGAACTCAGAAAGGTCATACTTAAAGTTGGAAACCGTCAGGAGTGTGTCAATCTACATTTTCACATGCCGCTTCGCTCCTCGTACACATATCCATCTCACCTTTTGGTAAAGTACGTATTTTACTAGTTCACACGTATCTTACTAGATTTTTTCACTCTGCAGACCTTGTGGCAGCTCCTGTGGGTGATTCCAGGAAATGCTCCGTCCTTTCTGAATCCAGCCATTGTCAGTTCTGAGAATGAGAATTTTTCTATAGATATAATGAAACATAAAGCTAGGGTTGGAGCCTCTGAGCTTTTGGGTCAGGTATGTTTTATTTAGGATAAGTTGAGTTCATTGCCTCATAAAACAGAAATGGTTCATGAATTTCTGGAAATATCTTTGAAATTTTTTCTTTTGTAGTATAGTTCTTGTTATTCGTGCCTTGTGTTAAGAATGGAAAAAGCGACCTTTTCCTGCCCTCCTTTCATTTATTTTGGAATACCCTTTGCTGACTTGTCCTCCGGCTTGAACATTTTGTGTTCTTCCATTTACCATTTTTTTTGTCTTCTCAGCTGCAAGATTGGAACAACAGACGGCCATTCACGTTAGCCACAGACTTCAATGCTCGTGAAGCAGTCGGTGATAATTTCATTTCTCAAGTAATGGAAATTGCAATACTGTTAACTCCGCCCTTTTTCTACTGCCGAAGCTCCTCATTCATTAATATTTCTTTTGTCTTGTAGGCTATGGCTGGAAACACTAGGGCTCAGGACATCTTAAAACACGCTCCATTCTTAGTGCCATTCAACAGCAGAGTGAAGTTATTCACGGTTAGCATTTTGTTGGCGCATTCATTGTAATCAATTTGTTATTATTTACTGTAACTTTGCACATTCATTTATAATGCCAATTTCCTGGAGGATTTTTTGCTGGGGACATAGTTTGACTATATCATTCTTCAATTCATCATCATAATTTATATTTCATGACTTTGTTTCAGTCACAATTAGTAGCAGCCAGACAAAGAAATGCAGATCAGTTCGCTTTTCCCAGAAATCAATTCAGAATTCGAAGAAATAGGATTTTTGAAGATGGTTTTAACCAGCTAACCCGGTTGACCGAGGAAGAACTTAAAGGAATGGTATGTGTTGAGCTTTATTGTCTTCCAGGACACCAGCATAATGCTCTTTAATTGGCCATTTCTGCTTAGGATGGCTAAGTAAGATGTGGCCGGTCCACATGTTTCCAGCATGACTTTGGGCCACACAGCTGGGGTGACGTAAGAGTTGAAGAAAGTTGCTTGTCCCTTGGTGTTTGTTTATTTTTTACTTATGTTTATTTTTATTATAAATTCAGATTCGAATTATATTCATCAATGAGCTTGGGGTGGAGGAGGCAGGGGTTGATGGGGGTGGAATTTTTAAGGATTTCATGGAGAACATTGTCCGAGAAGCTTTTGACATTCAATATGGGCTGTTTAAGGTAATCAATTAGATAGATACGTCTTCATTTAATGTTTAAACAGTGTTTTATCTTTGTCAATATATTTCTTTACTTTCATGATTCTTACTCATTGCACCATTTATGCCGGTCTCAATTCTCTCATTATTATCCTTTGTTTTCTGAGTATGTTTCAGTGACTTATGGTAAGCCTATTTAGATTTTCGTTTTGTGGTATTATCTTGCAAGGATTCTTGCTCACTGTTTGAAGTTCGTCTTCTTTGAATGAATTTGCTTCAGATTCTAATGCACTGTACTGCTACCACGTTGATCCAATCTGTAGTATGGATTCATGATCTACACCACCTTTGAGCAAGCATTTAGTAGTTGTTTCGGGTTCTATGTAGGAACGGAATTTAGCAAAATGCTCTGAGACTTTTTCAATATTCCCTCTCACAATATAATCATGAATTAGAACTCCAATAATCAGGTTTGGAATTACTTTATGGCTTATAGGCATCAATGTTATGTGATAGTTTGATGTGATTCATCTGGGAAATATGTCTGTTGGTAACTTGAATCATCTCCCCCATGATGATATGTGCTAAAATTTTAACTCATGAAAATAATGGGAATTCTTTGGTAAATTATCCTCATGAACTTGCTTTTCTCCCAAACATTTTTTGAAAACTTGGAAGTACCAAATTTACCGAGCTTCAATAATACAAAACAAAATCTTAGAAACCCAAAATGATGCCTGAATCCTGTCTTTTCCCTAGCCTAAACCCTTTCAAAAAAGGATAGGGGTTAGTTTTTCTAATTCTATTGCCATATGCACTCTGTTCTTCTTTTTATTGTTACGACAAGCTTATTGAACGGCTTTAATTATCATAATTCACTAACTGATAAAACATAATACATCTGTTCTTGGAAAAACTCCTAGCCCATCCATGTTTCTACTTTAAGACGGCTAGATCCCACAAAAGGAGATCTAATTTGGAAAGGAGATTTAAACCAACCGATGAAGCAATACTGGCTGGTGAAGCATGTTGTTGTTCCACTTTGCTTGAAATGCACTTTTCAGGTTGTGTTAGTGACTCTTCAGTTCCTCTCATTTCCTGGAAAAAGGTACAACCATTTTTCACTGACTTATTGAATTTCCTATCCCACTAGTGGGATGTCCCTTCAGAACAACTTTCCGAAAAACAGACGCTGCTTTGGATTGTTACCAAACTATACCATCTACTGTCATCATAACAGTTAATAAATGATCTGACTGAAAATTGGTTGTGGCCTTTTACTGCCACTTGATTGATGGGACTTTATTGCTGATATTACTCAAAAGCCTGATTCTCCTATTTCTCCAAAGAACATCTTACATTCCATTAGGAGTTTTCATGGATTGAAATTTTCTCGTTGTATATTTTTTTCATATCTTGAAGATTGAAATATACCTAGAATAGAGGGCACCATTTTAGTTGGAACCATCTCCTAAAGGTTCGCCCCTTGAGAGGAGTTTTGTCATCCATCCTCTAATCTATGAAAAAACATTAGAAAATATGATTCTTTATTCGTAATTTGATAGCTCGTTCAGATAGAAGCTTCCCTAGTACCTAACAGGTATAACATTTAAGTCTAAAAGTTCTGTCTAAAAAATCGGTCTTACTACAAGGACTCCAGATATATCCAACTTTATAATGCTTAGTAAGACTCCTTGCTGCATTTAGTATTCTGAACCAAACTTAGGTTTGTAACTTTAGATCCATCATCAGAGTCAAAAATAAATTTATCCATCCAATTTTCACCAGTGGAGCATCCAAATGAATTTTTTTACACGAGCAATAATTGACTCTGAGACATTGTTTAAGTATTGGGCCATCCAACTTAAAACCAACCTATCACCAGTGGAGCATCCATATATTCACTGGGTTTTATTTATTTTTCCTGTGTGAATTTATTCCAGCAAAAAATTGTGCGACTGTGTATTCGTTTTATGCTGTCCCCTAGATTCTGTCAAGTATGCTCAATCTGCTTCATTAATAAGAATGGAAAACCTGGGAATTGAAGGTCAGTTCTTGGTCCTAAAATCGCGTGAAAAAGGTCATTTTGATAGTCTAAACCGGTATTTTGGACTTTTGACGTTAGCGGATACTCTAAAGTTAAGAAATACTGGTTTTAACTTCATGTGAAAATCGAATCAGGTCCTTGTGTCTGGGAAGGATCAAAAACCTTTCCAATTCAGCTATTCACTCTCAAAGATCATTAGGCGGCTGATAGTTATTTGAATTATCATTTTCGCGTGGAACATTTTTTTCTATTATCGCGAATTCATAATTATTGTATTCACTGGGCAGTCTGGTGAAAATGGTGAAATTATTGTTGAGCGTTTTGAGTGTGTAAACGTGGGGTGGTTGCCTGCCAAGTATCTTGGTGTTTGGCTATGCTTTCTACAAGGCATCTTTGTAAATATCAATATGTCCTCCAAAATCGAATCGAACTAAAGCAGCTCTACTTCCGTGTTCTGAATCAAGCTGCACTATTGGACTTTGTTAAATGGTCTGCTTTTTCTATATAAGGGCTTTGTAATTTCATTACGAAAATTACGAGCTTAATTTAATTTAATTTTTTTTTTACTTCGTGTTTCTATTTTTGCTAATTTGATTGCATTTGTTTTCTTGATTGTCATTTATGATGGCACTTCTCCTATGATGTACTTTGCTAATCTCTTAATGTTTTTTCTGTCCGCAGGAAACCACAGACCATCTACTATACCCAAACCCTGGATCAGGTTTAGTGCGTGAGCAGCACCTCCAGTTTTTTCATTTCCTTGGGAGTCTTCTTGGAAAGGTATCCATATTTAGACACAGAAATCTATATTGAGACACGTATGTATGTCCTCATGTTTGCACTCCCCCATGATAAATATATTGTTGAGTGCTATGTCACAAACGGAGTAACCCTAATCTCAAACAAAAGAGTGGAAAAACAACACACACCTTGATTAATTTTTGGGTGTGGTATTTAAACCAGGCCCATAGTATAGGGTTTGAACAAGACCAGTCTGGTTCAGTTTAGTCTTAAGTCATAAAGAAATATTAACAATAGAGAAACAAAAACAATGGGAACTTGTTCCGGCGCTGTTCCTCATGTTGGTGAATAGATATCATCTGTTCCCAACTTAGATACAAGATTCTGAAATATTATGTTATTCTTTAGTAATTATGTCTAAAACATGATCATTTGTAGAGGCATATGGTGCGGAAATCAATTGGCTCTTTAATTTCTCATTTATAAGGTGTTGATCAATTTTAATGTCCCGGTTTGGTTATGTTGAACTAGATTGTGCATTATGCAGATTGTTGACTTCTTGTCTCAGTAGTCTTATTGGACCACTTCACTTGATTCTCAAGTTTTCCTAATTAACCTCACCCACAATAATTCATATATATTGAATTATAGCTCAAAATTTTGCTTTCTGCGCTTGACTTTGCTATTACGTTTTGCTTGGCCTTGTTACAATATTAGCATTAAGGAACATACAGTATCTTGAAGAAGATCTCTTGTCTACTACAGACTTTAGATAATTAGCATCAAAATATATAATACTGATCCTCTGTTCCTCTTGAATAAAATATCTTTGGTTGGTGCCCCTTTAAGATAATGTAGCACTCGATGAACTATATGCAGGTGTAATTGCTTTGAGTTGTACATAAATTGACTGATTAAATTCACTACCTATGCTATATTTTCTGGTGTGTGAGATAAATAAATCAAAGGTGATTTTGTGGTCTCTTTAACTTTGTCTATATCTTATTGCAATCATGACTCTTGTTTGAGTCCAGAGGTTATTGTTTGAGTCCATACAAGGCTTTATTCAATTTACACATCAAATTTTCAGCCAAATTTTTTCCATATAAATTATTGATAATGAATTATTCGATTCGCACAACAGATAAATTTCTTCCTCTAATTCTCAATGCAGAAATGTATTCTGAACATCAAACTAGTGTATATCCCGACCACAATTAGCTACTAATGACTAACATTCTGACAGTATTCATCTTCACACCCGGAGTAAAATTCTCTAGGTATTCAACCCCATAGGTCTATGTATAACCCTTGATAACCAACCTATCCTTGTATTTCTTGAAAGATTCTTCTGCTTGGTACTTACTCTACGGACCCATTTACACCCCATGTGTCTCTTTTATGCTAGTAGTCTTACTAACACCGATGGGTCTTTTCTCTAACGCCTCCATCTCTTTATTTATAACTTGTTTTCATTTTTCAATGGACTAAGTCTTAGATACAGTTGTAGGGATTATTGCAATATTTAAAATAACAAGGAATGCTCTATGACATGGTGAAAGATGTTCATAAGACAAAATGTGTGAGAGGATATAGGAGTCTGTTGGTGCATTCTCTGGTTCCTTTCCCAATGGCAACAGGTAGATTCTCTTTTTGATTTTTTAGTATGACATTCGATTTCATATGTAAATGAAGAGTGAGAACTTGGTACCTCATTTTCAGTATCTAAGTGAGGGTCTTGGAATTGCATACATTCTGGGACATCCTTCTTTATCTATGAATATACTTTGTCGAATCTCACATTTTTTTGAGAATGGGGTTAGACATTGATATCGATGTAGGCAATTGTTCGAGAGCAGAGTTAGGAATAGGTGCTGGTGTTGGCATTACAACGGGGAGTGAAAAATTCTCATACTTATCTACATCAACTTGATTCTCTCCCTAGATATATGGTGGGAAAGTAAGATTCTTTTTCATGGTAGGTGACATTAATTGAAATGAAAACTCTTTATTCATGGAGAATGATAACATTTACAATTTTTTTGAGTCTGAGAATATCGGATGAACGTATATTTTAAAACCTTGAGATCCAATTTGTCCCTATGTTGGGCTCGAACATGAACAATTGCTACGCACCTAAAGATCTTAGGCACAGATTAGTTTTTAGTGTGTTGTCAAGATAGAAGGATGATAGTGTTTTGCACTAGATTTTTCAATCCTAAAACTCTAAACAATTTATGAGGTGAGTAAACCGCCTCTCCCCAAAAAGATTTTGATACATTATCTTGATAAATAAGATCTCTAATTACCTTGAGGACATGGCTATTTATGATTTCATCTATCTTATTTTGTTGTGGTGTATTAACACGTGAGGATTTATGTAGTATAGCTTCTTCTTGGAAATGAGGTCAATGTTTGGTTGAAATAATTTCGTGCATTATCTAATCTAAATATTTTGATATTGACTCCAAATTTATTTTTAATAGGAATTAAATTTTAGAAGAATAACACTAACTTCAAATTTATGTTTATAAACAAAAAATCCAAGTGTCCAATGTACAAATCCATAAATATAACAAGCCATCTAGCATCAGAAATACTTGGAGTATACAAAGTACCCCAAACATCACTATGGATACAAAAGAAAAAGAGTTGAACTCTTTGTATTGCTTATCGGAAATGATCGGTGTCTATATTTCTGGATTTGCATACATCACAATGAAAGTCTTCAACATATAGACTTTGAAACAACGATGGTGAAGCCAGATTTTTCCAAGTTTGATGAGTGGGGTTAAAAAAATAGGCTGCTTCCTCCCTTTGTAATATTTGATTGGCTCAATGCTTCCTCCCTTTCCAAGTTCATACTGTTCTTTAGCATGTCCAATCATCCTCCCCAATTCTTTGTCGTAAAACACACAATAATTATGATAGAAAAACACTTTACATGATCGATCTGCAGCGTTTACTTATGGACATTCAATTTATGGTCAATCTAAGAACTTAAAAAATATTTCTTAAGATGAGAGAAGAAGTAAGAAGAACATTCCCTACACTTGCTATAGTGATTAATGATCCTTCAACTATAGCTTTTTTCTATTATTAGGACATGGAGAATATGCAGAAAAAAATTGTGCTGAGCTGGTCATGTGTCTAGTAACTCCTGAATCCATGATCCAGGAAGCAGAAAAAATGGTATTTGAGGTACTTAATCCAGAAAAAAATAGAAACTCACTTGAATGTGTCAAAGGCACGGGGTTAGAGATGATTACACATTTCGACCTTATCTTGGAAGGGAGATGGCTTTGCTCTGGTGGTATTGTTTCGCTTGGCTGCACAACTATGACATGAGCATGACCACTTTTCCTGGGCTGCTCTCTCTTCTGACCCACTCTTATTTTTGGGTTTACAGTGAAGTTTCCGGCATCTTTCACGAGTGTTGCATGTCTTTTTCCATTATGTGCACCATAGGGTATCCCTATGGTCATAGTTTTTACTCTTTGTTGTCCAGGTGGGGTAGGAGTGACTTTCGCTTTCTTCTTATTTGTACCTGGATTACTGCCATCTTTAGCCACAAATGTTGTGCTGTCCATTGCTTTGTGAGCCAAGCATTAGGCTCTTCGGCTCTCTTCATCACAAAGATGGTAGTCTTACTCGGCCAAGGGAACCCTCACTTGATGAAAGTCAGGATTAAGCCCAACAAGAATTTCAGAGGTTTTATCATGTTCTGCGTAATCTTGATGAATTATTCCGTCTTTCAGATCTCTCATATTAATTTTCCTGTACTGATCATAATCCTACCACAATATATTCAATTAGTTTGCATACTATGTCACAATTTTATTTCCATGTTTCATTGTCATCATCTTCATCTTCACCACGTATACTTGTTCTAGCTCTAGCATAAGTTTGATGGATATGATCCCATGTCGTTAGCTGTAGCTAAGAATATACAAGTACTGTCAATTCCTTGTATCATGGCGCTCCATAGTCATACCATGATTCTAAAGTTTTTTTAATCTCATATCTCAAAGTGCAGATCTCCTAGTTGGAGCCCTATGCCTAGGAGATGGCTGATCTGCCGTCTCTCATTCATCATTATTCTGATCAATAGAGACCAATTAATAAAATTTCGCCCATATAGTTAGGTTCGTTTGAGCACTTGGAAACAGGAAGATCGAAGTGGAGAAGTTATCTCAGACATATTTGACTCAATAAAATTACTGGTGTTCTTAAACTAGGCTGAGTGAATCGATTTCTAGCTGACAGCTCTAGGCTGTTCTCTCGCCTCCAATGTACCAGAGGAGAAGAAGAAATATGTACAAACTAACCGTTCATGTCACAACACCAGAAAACAAGACCGACGACCAAGAAGGAAAGGGGTCTTGACGGTCAGGAAGTAAAGGAGACTTGACGTAAACGACAAGAGTTCACCAACTAGATTGGAGTGTCTTGTGATAGAGACGTCTCAAGGCGGAAAAGTTAAAGAAGAGCACGATCAAACCTTTGTTGTAGGCTCTGATGTCATGTTAAGCACTGTGTCACAAGCAGAGAAACCCTAATATCGGACAGAAGGGTGGAAAAATAACACATGCCTTGATTAATCTTTGGATCTGGTTTTTATACCAGGCCTATAGCACAGGGGTTGAACTGGACCAGTCAGGTCCAGTTTGACACTTACGTAAGAAAGAAAAACAACTGCAACTTAATCTGAGATACACATCAGGCTGCTGCATGAATTTTCTTTTTACATATTTACAAATCAACTTGAATGGAGTGGTCTGGTTCTGTTCTCTCTCGGACCTATGACATTTTCATGAGTTCATCACATTTTTTAAGGTTCTGAGCTTAGTCGTCATGTGAGTTCTGGGGTGCATCTTGCACGATTGTTTTGAGGCGTCTTAGCTAACTCACAAACAAATTTGTTGAAATGTCAATCTGGCTTGTTTGCTTTACAGATGATACCCTGTCCAGTGGAGTTGTCACAAAATCACATCTGCACTCGATAATTCATAAAACACAGTTGTGTTATCCTCATGACCTACCTTAAGAAACAATCGCCGATTCGAGGTTGTGTTTCCTCAGTTGTTTTTTGGAGATCTGTAGTAGACTACATATATGGTTTCCCTTTCAAGCTAGATAAAAGGTCAATCAGGGGCATGCATTCTAAGGATGCATATTATATGCTGTTCAAACTTTTGATAGCTCAGGAATGTATTGCCACATTCTTCTTTCCTCTTGTGAGTTCTGTCCACCACCTGCTTATTATAAACTTTATTGGGTGCTAATCATCATTTTTTCCGTCAAATGGATTGCCCGTTTTGCATCAAATAATGTTTTGATATTTTTAGACATTCATATTCACTTTCCCATTTCTGCAGGCGATGTTTGAAGGGATTCTTGTTGACATACCATTTGCAACATTTTTTTTGAGCAAATTGAGACAAAAGTAAGACAGGTTTTAATTTGATTGAGTTGAAGAGCTTAGTGAACTTCTATCATTTCTTTGAATTAGTTGATCTAGTAGATAGTCAGTTTTATATAGACATCTGTTGCATGTTGAAGAAACAGTTAAAGTTTTCTTTTTATTTCTGTGGAGAGGCGGTGAGTCTTCTTAACGCACCATTGGTTGAATTTGAAATCTGCTTAAGTGCTGAAACATAAGTTTGGATGACCTTTCGCCCAAAGAGGTGAATAAAAGTCCCGTGTTAGTATTTAATTCGCATTTTCTAATTCAACTGAAACGAAGGACGGTATTTTGACCGATTTGAATGATTTCCTCTTTTTTTGAGTTTAGGTTGAATTCTTGTCAGGGGGATTTAGGCAATGTATGAGGATGGGTTGAGGCTTTCAAAACACAGGACTGAATGATACTCAAAAATCGGGTAACACCAGGCTGCTTGAATCAGATATGAGCTACTACACCTTGATACCCTTAACAAAGCTTTGCCTCTGGTTTTGTATCAGGCATAATTCCAGTATTCCTATAGACTAATGCACCCAAAAAAATGTAGTCCATCAGAACGGAAAATACAGCAAAATCAGTAATTGTTTTCTGACCTAATCCAATTTCCGACAAAGATGGACCTGCTGTTGTGCATGAATCGGAATGCTTTTTGGACTGACCAGTGTATATCTTTGTGAAAGTCTAGAACATAATCCACCTTGTACCCACCCTCAAAACTGATGTGCCACTTACTTTGACCTAATATGTAAGTCCTTCAGCCTTCTCGTAATCAGCATCAGGATTGGCTGATTCAGCCAGTTCTTGGTTGCACGAAAGTTTGGTTTTGCACTGGATTGGACCGATTGCAAATTCGTCAAATCACAATCGGACAAGCTATTGGTATTCAATCTCAATAAATTTGATTCAGATTGTGATCTGATTTTGATTTCATTCTAAATACCTGAAAAATAAAAATACCCGATTTATAAACTATAAAAGTAGCGTATGATTTCTGTGAAAGATTGATTTGTATGTGGATGTGATTCGGTAACATCTTCTGGGAGTATCTGGTGATATGTATTGAAGATATCATATGCAAATCAGGATTGAAGATCTAGCTTAAATTAGCCAATCTACTTTCAAATTCCCTTAGGTATCCGGCCTCAAGAATAAGGAAAAAATCCAACTTTAAAAACATTAGAATCTTATCTTAGGTATGAAGACTTAGCCTTATGAAAAAACATTTTACCTTACACATGTGGATGCACCCCTAAAACCCACAAAAAATGAGTACCAGAGCAGCATCATCGAGCTGAATTTGATTTTGGAACTTCCTACTTTGCTAGGCTTGGTTTTTACGTAGTTTCATTTTCTTCTTTATCTTATACATACCAGTGCGAGTCCGTTGATAGGTATATATTTAACCATCTCTTTGATGTGCTATCAATGAAAATGGGTGTGCAGTCTAGAGTAGTCATGTTTGGTGCTTTCTGTAAGAAATTTGGTCAGACTATGGATTTTTTTTATTTTTTTTTGGTGAAATCTAATCTTGTTAGTTTGGTCAGACTATGCTTTCTGTAGAGGGTAAACACTTTAGGTGGCTTACAAAGTGAAATAATCAAGCAAATGGTTTACTCGTGAGGTTTATTGTTCGTTTATAAGTTCATGTATCAACTATGGGATTTGTTATCATTTTCACTATCATCTGCTATGCTTGTTAAAAGCTCTATGTGCAAACATTTTTCTTGTGTCTCATAGAGTATACTCTATGTTGAAGCAAACATTTCGTATTTAGTCTCCTAAGCCTTTCTAAGGTCCATAGCTAGTGCTTAGACTGAAGTAGCCTTTTTGTAACCTTCTGAGATCTTATTTGCTAATTTAACGTTTTCCTTCTTTTGTTTCCTTTTCTTCCGTCAGTGTTGATTGGTAGATTCTACTTCACTACATTGACTATTTAAGTTTTTTACTTTGCTGTATTTTGTTAAGTTCCTTGACCCAGTATAGCCTGCTGTTCTGCACTTCATTTCTGCTTTAAGTGCATCGTCTTTTTCTTGAGGGACCGACCTTAAGGTTTCTGTCAGTTTTTTTGAATAAATTATGCAAATAGAAATATTTATTAACTTATTTTCGTGTTTTTTCTAATTGCTTAGGCACAATTACTTAAATGATCTGCCCTCGCTCGACCACGAACTGTATCGTCATCTTCTATTCCTAAAGGTTTGGAATTGCATTTGAGTTGCATTTAGTCTGGAATTCATTGTTTTCTGTAATGGACTTATAATATGATCAAATTCAATATCACTTACTACATAGTGCGGAATAAATGAGTCGCAAATCATGGTCATGTTGGATCTTTACCGTCATTAACAGGTGCCTAAAGTCTCTCCGAATGCTGGTTTCCCTTCCTAATCCAATGCCGGGAACATGATTTGTTTACCATAGATACCTTGTATGTTAATTTTATCTTTAACACGACATTTAGGAGAAATGAAAGAGAAAATATATAATCTCGTGTATCTTATATTTCGTTGGACTAATTGTTTGGTATTCTTTATATGACTGTTCTTTAATGGTCTGCCGTGCATGTTGAGGAAAATACATGTGGTGAATTTTATGTGGCTATTCTGATATTATATGCTCTCTTTCTTTGCAGCATTATAACGGAGATATATCAGAGTTAGAGCTCTACTTTGTCATAGTAAATAATGAATATGGGGAGCAAAAAGAGGAGGAGTTGCTTCCTGGTGGAAAAAATCTGCGTGTGACAAATGATAATGTTATTATGTTTATTCATCTAGTTGCCAATCATCGTTTGAATTTTCAGGTGATCATTCTTTCGAGTATTGTTTTTATGATTAACCTTATGTCATTCGATAATGTATAAAATTTTCACCTTTCCGATCAGATACGTCAGCAAAGTCTACATTTCCTTCGAGGATTTCAGCAGCTTATTAAGAAAGAATGGATAGAAATGTTTTGCGAAAGTGAAATTCAGGTATTTTCATCGCGTACCCCTTTGAGAAACAAAATTTTGCTTCTCTTGTTTGGATTGTTATACGCTGTGAAGTCCAATTATACTTTCCAATTACCTAATTCTCGTGTCACCAATAATCTCTCTCGGAGTTTCTGTTGTATTGATTTCTATGTTAATCTAGTGATTCCTCATTATTTTTATTGTATATCATCCATTAGCCTACCACTAAAATTGCTATAGATTTTGTTTCTGTTGTACATCGGTAAATGACTTATTTGAAAAAACTCCTTGTATGGTCGAACATTGTAAACATAAAGTTGAATGCGTTGAATTATGTTGTAGATCAAACTAGGCCTGGTGCGCTGGAAAGGTCACTACCCTTGTGCCCGTGGATACAAATTCAAGTTCGAATAGAAAAGATATGCAAGATTCATTTTACAACGGGTCTGGTATTTATACCAGGCCCTAGAAGAAGGTTCTTGACACATTGATTCCATCAACAAGTGTGGGAGGGTTCTAGAGACTTATGGAAGGTTCTAGGACTAGCTGTCCACGGGATTATGTGTCCCATCCACAGATCATTATACGGTTGTGGTACTCTTAAAAACTGGGGATTAATTACCCTTACCAACAGTTGACTATATTTTCGCAGCCACCAGATCCCTGCTTCAATCAGCAGTAAAACCATCTGTTGTACTTTTTGACACCCTCTGCTGCCATTTCTCACCTTGCCCACCTTTTCATAGTTTTATCCATCTCTTATCTTAGTGTCGATGCATCATTTTCTGTTGGTACTCTTGCTTTCTCTGCAATCGATACCCTACTCGTTGCAAATTTTCCCGATATCAGCAATGCTCACCTTTGCATCCATGCATGGTTCTCTGTTAATGCACTTGTGGGATCTGCCATCTTATCCATCTGTTCGAGATTCTACCTCTCCTAATGTGCCTATGTTGCTTATTTGCACATAAGCCCATATACTGATTTGTTTCTATGTTTAGATATGAAAGCTTCAAATTAATGAGAATCACGCTCACCTTTGTGTCGTTTAGCCTCTCAAAGGCTGTTTTGGTTTCCAAACATGCCGTTTTTAAAAATGGAATATGCATATAGGTGTTATGTCCTCGTGGTAATTTTCCATACACAAATCAGAATGGTCTTAGAAGATTGCTTTACTCTTGCGAACACTGCTCACTTAAAGTAGGTTGGAGCCGACATTTACGGATCCTTTTGTTCTATTCTTTGCAAAAATAAAAAAATAAAAAAATAAAATTTCTGCTGCTTTAATAATGACTTTTTTTGGCAGCTTCTCATATCAGGATCATTAGAAGTTCTGGATGTCGATGACCTACGTACAAATGTTCATTATGCTGGTGGATTTCACCCTGTAAGTTCTAGATCACCTATTCATCAAATCCTATCGAATCTTCTGCATTCATGTAAATTTATCAGTGGAGTTTGATGCCAATTCAGTTGATGAATCAAATATCTGATTGCATTGCAACCCTTGGATCTTGAATGGGCCAATTCAGTAGAACTCAACTAGTTTCATATGACAGAAAACAATACAACGTTTTGTTTATCATACGTGGTGGCCGTCTTGTGCTTGCAGGATCATGAGTGCATTCTGACGTTCTGGGAAGTCCTCAAGAACTTCTCTCTTGAACACAAAAAGAAGTTCTTAAAGTAAGCTTTCCCCTGCACTTCTCTCGCTACTTCAGGCCTGGCCATATATTTTGTTCTCTTTATCCGATCTTGTTATTTTTCCAAACCATTTATTCAAATAATTGCGTATGCCTTTCCCGATTTATGACACCAGCTAGGGCATCATCTCTCGCTATCCACAGCACATAACTCACGAATGCTAGCATGGTTCCATGTTGGTTACCATGAGAGATCATAAAGATGGGCTTAATGCCCAGATGCCCAATCATCCTGTGGATTTGAACCCTAATGTTCTCCTGCAGGTTCGTCACGGGGTGCTCGAGGGGGCCGCTTCTAGGGTTTAAGCATCTGGAGCCCATGTTCTGCATACGGAGGTGAAAATGCTCGCCAGACTGTGTCAGCCATACTTGCTTGCATGAGTGATGATTCATTTTTTTTTTACCGTCAAACCTGCTGCCATTGCAGAGCTGCTCCTTCAACTGCCACCGAGGAGGATCTCAACCGGCTGCCGACCTCTGCAACGTGCATGAACTTGCTCAAGCTTCCACCATACAAGAGGTTTGCCAGCAACCTAGAATTTTCCTCCCTGAAAATTTCACCCCCATTTCTTGATATCTCAACGCCGATTAGTGCACTATACACACCTGCATGCAATATATGCAACTTTTCGTTGGATCGGGACATAGAATATATGGTATATGTTGATAGGCATACACTATATATATATATATAAATACTAACATTCTTCAGCTCCGTAACATTTTTTTTTCTTCTTTAATTAGTACCCTGAATGTCTATTCTGCACGGGTCTCTTCTCTGGTATGTGCACTATACATATATGCATGTAATATATTATTTCAGTCATGTAACTCTGTTGCTGGATCAGGACACAGAATATCTGACTATGCTACATAGAATATATGGTATACATATAGGCATATTGTATATATACAATACTAATATTCTTCAGCTCCGTAACACTTTTTTTTTTTTTTTTTTTTCTTGAATCAGTACGTAGATTGTCTGCATGATTCTCTTCTCCGGTGTGTGCACCATACATATCTGCATGCGATATATTGTTCAGTCATTCATCTAACTGTTTGCTGGATCAGAACACAGAATATCTGAACACGCTACATACATAGAACATGTGGTACATTTTATATAGGCATGTATACTATATTTACATAGTAATATTCTTCAGCTCCGTAACTTTTTTATTTATTTTTGGATTCAGTACGCAGATTATCTTCATGGGTTACTTCTATTCATGTCTGCATGCAATATATATTGCTCAGTCATGTTATTTTTTTTATTGGATCAAGGCATAGAGTATCTGAATATATGGAATATATAGGCATAATACTATATATAGATCCTTATATTATTTAGCTATGTAACATGATTTTTTGGAATCAGTACGCAGATTGTCTGCATGGTTCTCTTCTCTGATGTGTGTGCATGCGTACATACATATATATATATATATATCCACATTCAGTTATGTTATAGAATATGTGCGCATGACTGGTGGGAGGGCTTTTGGTGTCAACAGCAAGGAGCAGATGCGAAGGAAGCTGCTGTATGCAATAAACGCAGAGGCAGGGTTCGACCTCAGTTGAGCTCATCACCATCTGGTCGACTCAACTTCCAGTCTCCAGACCAGATACAGCACAGGCTGATGGCATCACCATCACCATCACCATCAACAGCAGGGAGGCTGTGGTTTTATCAGAGAGAAACATGTGGTGAAGTGAGAGAGAGAGAGAGAGAAGGAAGAAGCTCACCTCGACAGAGGCCGTGCCTCTTTATTAGGTTTCCCTTCCCTTGGTGGGGGAGGATCAGATGACCCACACCTGTATGCATAATACACACACGTATATAGTAGATATATATGTACGCTAGTGTGCCTATGTATATATGCGTGTCCTACATTGTGTTCAATCCTGGTTGACTCTAGTGTATGTAAAATGCTCATTCATTAAGCATTCAGGAAGAATTCTCTCTCTCTCTCTCTCTCTCTCTCTCTCTCTCTCTCTCTCTCTCTCTCTGTGCCAGGCATTCTTGGTGGACCCTAAAGAACTCTGCCATAGGCTTGTTCATCAAGCTTTAAGGGACAATGCAGTCTGCCTCTCTCTCTCTCTCTCTCTCTCTCTCTCTCTCTCGCTGACAGGCATTCTTGGCAGATCCGAAAGAACTCTGCCATAGGCTAATTGGCTGGGTCCTCCAACAAGGGCCAGCCAACATACGTTGGCGCTTTCAACTGGCTTAAGAGGCGGCTTGGGTACGTCCCTACACGTCCATCCAGCCACCGGTTGGTGCGTATAAGCCAAGATCTTAGGATCTCAGAACTATGACGGAAATTATGTTGAAGATTGAACCTAAATAGCATCCCAAACGGGTCTAATTTAGTCAGCGAGTAAAACCCTCTCTGTATAAAGAATAATAACTTTCTAATGAAGAAACTAAAAAAACGCATCAAAACTTTTATTGACGTCTTTAAATAGAACGAGTGAAAATTGACAGATTTCCAATCATCCCAAGCTAAAGAATAGAAAACATGGTGGGAACTCAAGAAATATAATATATATATATATATATATATATATATATATATGTACACACAGACAATTACTATAAAAATTCAAATGTATGAACCACATTGGATCATATAATGCTAGTTTTTATCGATCAAATTTATATTGAGTTGCGGATAATCTTGGACAATAAATATGAGAGTTGCAACAGTAAATCGGATCGTGTTCAGCATTTGAACCACGATCAACTACAAACTGGGTTAGGGTCGGCTAAAATCTCATACAAGGGCAAGAAAATAGATTTTAGTTTCAATCATGAAACACAAACCCATCTCAGATGATGAAGATCATAGGCATATATCATCTACGACCTAAACGAAATGGGGGAGATAGGCAAGTTTTTCTTCTTTTTTTCTGTTCAACACAAGCATCATACTTAAAGCAAGCAGCATTACGAGCATTCCTTCTATGTCTGATTATTGATTCATGCTATGAAATAGCACCAGAATCTGGAGTAAGAACAGAAAAATAAATAAATAAATAAATAAAAACTGGTATTGTTCACAAGAACATCTGGCGACAGCATTGAGAGAAAACAACCCCAAAATTTCAAAATAAAGAGCGAAATTGAGTAGTTTCAGAGAAATCCCAGCCCTCACCGCCTAAATCTTTTGAACAGGGAGTTGAACTCAAGATCTTACTTCATATTCCCCAGCCCGAGTGAGAGCTCGGAAACCCTTGTATGGCTGGGTCGGCATATTCTTGACATCCAATCTGTCGATCTGAAGGCCCGATAGGGCGACCCCCATGATCTTAAATTTTGCTTGAAGCACAGGGCAGACATGCAAGCTGCTCAGACCTGACTCAAGAACCAGGTTTCCTGTGAGGGATGGAGCTTTGTCTTTTGGGATCCGTCCAATGGACCAAGAACATCTCTGAAACAAGCCAAAGAAACCTCAGGCAGATTAATCCGTCAACCCTTTCACAAGCATAATAAACACATGAAATTCATGGAACCAGGGAATGACATAAAAAAAAAAAAAAAAAAAAAAAAAAAAAACGGAATTATTGTGGCCGCCCGATAAGAATTAGAAATCCCATGTACTCTATCAGAAGAGATCCCTGTTTTTCTCAATTCGCCTCATATATTACAAGCATTGCTGTTCATGTTGAGAGGAAACTAGAATCCAAAAAATATAAAGTCAATGTTGGGAAGTAGTACCGTATAGATAAACAATCAAGTATCGAAGGCAAAGAAACGTGAAAACAGCACCTATTTGAATGCCCACCAAGAAGATACTGTCGCTTAAATTGTGATGTTTCTCAACATTTCTGCCACTATTTATGCCAGAGCAGAGCCATAACCAAAACCCAGGCTTCTCACGTTGCTCTTGAGATGGGTCAAACGCATAGGTGCATGAAAAGTGTGTGTGTGAGGTGGAGAGCAAGGGTTTGCAAACTAATAATCTGAACTATATAAATAAAGGCTTCTATTCAAGAATTTTCATGTTATGAACACACGGTTTCTGAGGTGCTAAGGCATCAAATTCCCAAAGATGAGCTTTTTCATTGGTATCAGACCATGGGCAACAAGAAAACTAGTTGAGAGAAAGTTGGCGCATGCCATTCCTAAGGTGTGAGTGCATAAGGCAATGACTCTGTAGAAGGAAGGTGGTCAGCTTTATGACAATTTCTCTCACCATATTGCAGATTATGAGTGAAGGAGCCCGAACTCACCCACATGCTACACCATCACAGTGACAACTGCTTATCTCTTAAAATGGCAACTGTAATCAAAACCCAGGTGGTGACTGCATCATACCTTGTCGGCAAGGATATTCACGGTTCCATGATTTGAAGTAAAGTCTGCAGATGTAACACATGAGGGCAGGTGAAACTCTATAGTTATAGAGTCAATTGGCTTTCCAGGGTCATTTCTTGTTCCAACGAGCACAGTCATACGACAGCTTCCACTACTGGAAATCAGTTGCGGTTTCACATAAATAGGAATGCTTTTCAACTTCTTGACCCTGTTGGAACAGAAATTAGTGATATATTGGAAGCTTAGGGTTTAGGGTTTAGGAAAGAAGGAAAGAAAAAGGGTTTCACATCTCGACTGCAAAATGAAGGAAATATTATACATATATATATATGCATATATATGTTTGATTTTAAACAATGTTTTAAGACAAACCTGTAACTCATCAGCTTGAACTGTCCATTTGGAGGCACAAACGATAGTAGCTGATATAACTCCCATGGCCGAAAGCGAATGCAAGGATGAAATCTCACATCATTCAAAATTGTTGGATTTGCAAAGGAAAGAGTCAAGTCAGGATATCCCGAAAGGTTTGAGTCTACTTGGATTTCACCATATATTTCGCATTTCACTAGGTTTCCATCACTGGAGAAAACAATTGGACAAAGAATCACAAAAGATGAATGTGCGAAAATACATTAAAAACGAGATCCCAAATAAAGACTGGCAGTTTCTCATGCTATAATAACAAAAAGTTAAAATTAGATGGAAACTAGACGAACAATGCTCATCACATTAAATTTCCCGTGTTAAAAGGGCCTCTGCATAAGACACATGCCAGTGGGAATCCAAAACAAATAAAACTGACAGAAAATTGATGAAGAGTACGTTTTTCCCACTTAAGTCTGGTCAGCATATATACAACGCAAACCATAAATAGAAAGACATGACATTTTTATGGAGATATTTCTCTTGAACAGCAAGGCATAAGATTGGCTCAATATAAATAATAATTAAAAAAAACATCTGTCATTATCAACATCCTGTCAACCATTTCGGGAGAATGAGATAAAAGAATCGGTGGAGATAAAACATTCTGTTGGGAGATTATTTATGACTTGCAACGAGCCAAAATATAAGCCAGTCCATTACATTTCTGGGATAAAATAGTGAAAAAAATCCTCAAATGTCCCAAGTAATCGCTGAGCCACGTTGATATTAAAACATGAATTACTCTCTCAAAAAAAATACATTTTTAATAGAAGAAATGAGTAACAAAAGAAAGTCATAGGTTGTATAAACCAAAAAGAAAAAGAAGAAAAAAAAGGAGATCATTCTGCTACCCTATGTCAAAGAAACCCATAATATAAATGCATCCACAATGTTATAAATCAGATTTCTACAACTGTTATAGGAGGAGAAAATAAAAGCAAGAAAAGCTTCAAGGTGAACCTTCTCACAATTGCATCAATTTCCTCCACAAGGTTGACGTAAACTTCATTGCCTGAGTTCTTGATATCCGTTTTTCTCCAAGGAGCACAAGATTGAGTCGCAACTGGGAGCGTGGTGCTCACATTGGAACTCCTCCCAGTCACAACACTAAGCATTTTGCTGACAATATTCGGTGGTGATATCATCTCCCGGAGGATGTTTGGTTCTGTTATGAGTGGGTAGCCATTGTCCACCATCTCGTCCAAAAGCTAAAAAGTTGTCCACATGTCATAAATCTCTCAAAAATAAATGGAAAAACTTCTAAATTGTGGCTGCAAAGAGAAAGCTCACTTGCTTCCTTTTCTTTCGGTAACTAATATTATTTAACAAGTTCAGGAAATAAACGAAGAAATAATTTAAGTCGCTAGCTAGAAATTTCTAGATGTTGCTGGACGCTGATGCTTGGTATCTAATGCAAGCTCATACACTAATCCACTAACTTTCACATGTACATCAGTTAGCATACAATGACGCAGAAATTGTTATTTTTCAACATAGCAGAGGTTTTAACTTTCTTCTTTAGGCGTTCGTAGGCACAATGTCTGAATAAGACTTGGACTTCGCATCCAAATGTTGTGAGGTGGTGCCAAAAAAGAGGAAATTCCCAGCTTACAGGAGGCCGGCCGAAAGAACATAATTAATTTAAGATAAGAGAAAAGGATAGATAAATTTGGCGTCTGAAAATCGTATACCACGATCAATATTGCACAAATTCTTGTGAAACAGATTAGACCAGATAAAAAGATTATTCAATAAGATCATTTTCCTTTGACTTGGTAGCAATTTTCAAGATGGTGAAAGTTTTTCAGTCAGATTCCTCAGATAATCAAAAATATTAATCATCCCGCGATGCCTAGCCCTGTGATCAACAGTTTACTAACTAATCTCACCGAAAAGGGATCTAATATTTAACCAGGTTGTGATAGACTTCAAAAAGTCACAGGTCAAGGTTCATATTTGACGAGATATTATGTTTTTCAAGTCACTCTTGTGAAATCAATGGAGCAAGGTGAATAGTCTTTTCTATGGACCAAGGCAAACAATAACACATCTCCAAGAAAGGACAAGAACTCAATTCAGTTCGAGATTTATGGAACTATATTGCGCTTTCAAAAAATGGAGATCATAATACGCAAAAAAGAAAGTAATTGAAAACAAAAAAGAAAAATCTTTCACGAGTGAAGTTATAGATATACCAGTAATCGTGGAATATCTCATATAAGAAATCATGGCGAAGACCATTAAACGGGGTTTGAAACTTACCTCATAAACAATAACAAAGTTATCCTTGATCAGATCCTCATTTAAACCCCCAAGATAATCTGAAATAATATCTGCCACTCTGCAAAGAAACTAGAAAATGAAAGTTCAAAGCTCATGGGTAGTGCATTGATACATGCATGCAAGGCATCATAATTGTATGGACATCAAATGACTGTTCTGAAACACCTAAGAGTTCTTGAATACGGACAGCGGAAGCATTGAGCATTCCCAGAATAAGTAAACATCGTAACTCCTTGATCTCCAAGCGTCAGTATAACTCAAATTTCTTCTCGAATAGGCAGGCCTAAATTCTATCGCAACGTTTAATATTCCCAGGTTCAAACTTAAGTAAGCATGAAGTTTGCGATATCAACTTTCATGGAGAGGACCAGAACTAAAAGACTTAAATTTCTCACGAAACGAATGTGCTGAAATATCAGTATTTAACAAAATGGAAGAAGAGGTACTTCATGACAAGAATTTAAAAGTTGATCACTGAGATCGTGTCGACAAATATCCAACCTCGGTCCCCATCAGTGGTGGCATCTCGACCTGCGTGCAAGCCAAGAAAATAATCCCCTCACGGAAGATTTGGAAGAGGTAGTGCGTTGGTGACGCGATCACTGGCAGAAGCTGTCATATTTTTTAAAAAATTCAGATTTAAAAGAAAAAAAAATATCTCATATAACGGGGATCGACGCCCATCATCAATCATGAAAATCGTCGCTTCGATCGTCCCCTTTTTCTGCTCATCTCTCTCAATCAATTTTCCATTACTTTTCCAACGAGCACGATCAGACGAGAAGAAGAAAGGAAGAACAGAAAATTTTCCGACCTGGGAGAGCTCTCCGCCCTGGGTCATGGCGTACTCCCAGAACCAATTGCATAGTGACCGATCCGCCCTGTGCCCTTGCAGCTGCTTCTCCAGAATCACCTCCCTGGATTCCAAAATTTTTCAAAATCATGAGCACCGAAACATTCTTCCACCCCCTCGAAGACGGATGGATCAGACGACCAAAAGGGATCCAGATCGAGCTCACCCAGAATTCGAAATGATGAAGATGCACTGCAGCATCTTCTCGAATCGACGCAAGTCTCGAACGCTCTCCCACCCGCCTCAAAACCAGAGAAGGAAGCGCTTTTTCATATTCTACCCCCTGCTCTCACTATTATTTATTATTATACTCCTGATAGTTTGCTTTTGACCCCCATGCCACGACTATCAGTATAAGATTTCGTCCAATAAAATAATTAATCACTGATGGCTCCTTCTGTTTCTTATACTTTTACCAAATAAGACGAATTCTTGGATTAAGTTGCAAATGTGCGCATAACTTTCCTTAATCGTGTTTAAAACCATGTTATTCTTTATGAAATGACGAGAAAGCCCCCGTTCGAAGGACAGCCCCAGACAAATCGAAGAGGACCATCTAAACGGTTACATTCGCCATTATCAAGAACTAATCTGGGGTTAAATTAACTCAAGCTTGGTTTAAATTTAACTCGCGTTGTCTGTAGAGAGTCAGCGGTCAACATAATTTTTCTACAAGGATGAAAGACTAAATGAGGAAAAAAAAGGGAGGGTCTTAATGGGCCGACCGCATAAAAAAACCCAAAAAGGCCCCGTCCAAATTCAAGTGGGGCCCACGGAATAAGGCCCACTCCGAGGCACAACCCTAGAAGAGCATGGTGGGTCCGGAGGGACCCACTAAGAACTGATGAATTTCATGAGAAATTACACGAACAAAAATCATATCATACCAAAGTAGGATTCTCTGCATGAAGCTGAAAGCGAAGTGAGGAAGGGAAGGGAAGGGAAGGGAAGGGAAGGGAAGGGAAGGGGGGGTGGAGGTGATTTCATGTCACATTAAATGCTGTGGATTTCATATGATTCCTGATATTCTGGGTAGGTTTGATCAGACAACGCTAAATGCCGACTGTATCGTTGAGGAAACACGCGAGGCGATTGTCTGCTGGGCGAACTGCTGAATCTGCTTCTTTGCATCTGCACATCAAGATCAGAAGGATATAAATTATAGATATATATATATATATATATATATACTCAAGCTAAAAAAAAATAAAAATCTGCCAAGATCCATTGTGGGCACCTCAAGAAAATGTGATAATATTCATAGAAAAATATTAAGACTTGCTGGTGTTGGATCAGATCGAGCTGAGGAGCTCAGCTCAGTGATTATGAAGAAAACAGTCCGATGTGTGGAGATCTTCTATGATCAGCGGGGCATTTTTAATCACATCCCATATAAATAAATACTGTTCTACGGTTTTTGGCGGCGGGTTTTTTCTTCTTCTTTTTTTCCCCCGCCTCAGAAAAGATGTAGAGATTTGAGTACATAAACCGCTTCTGTATCATGAGAAGAAAGAACAGCATATGTGCCTAACTTATTATTACTAGGGATTCTTTTGCCAGCAGAAAATAACAGAAAGGCTCAAGAAATCTCACTAACACATGCAAATCTAAAGACAGTAGGATCTAGAGCCCCTCTCAAGCTATCTGACCACAGAAGAATTTCTAAAGACAGTAGGATCTCATTGAGAATATCACATACAACAATGTTCTGGCATGAAATCTATTTATTCTCAACTCCGTGTGCTCAGAAAACGGAAAAAAAAAAGATTTCAATGAGATATTCCGCAGAAAATTGCTCAATTAGCTACCTGGGCTCACCAAGATCAATATTTCAAGCCATAGAGCTGCATTCCTTAATGCTCTCTTCTGACTCCAGTTATTTTTCATAATTTTCTTTTGAGATTATTATGTACCAAATGGACCAGCAAAATGGGTATCAGAGAAATTCAGATCTCTGTCTTCCAGACGTCTTCGATCAGCATGGTAGTTTCTTAACCTAGATTATATAAAGTTTACCTTCTTAACCACTGTTCTCCAACTAGAGATGGCCTACAGAGAGAGGAAATTGCAGAAGGCTCCTACTGATGCATCTATCTTCGGAAAACTCAGGTGAAGCATTTTCTGCCATTTTTCAAAAGGAATATTTTTAGTTTAAAGACGAAATTCGTTCAGCTCCAATTTAACAAAATTCCCACCACATCTGAGCCTCTTTTATTGCAGGCTCCTTAAATGACCTTGGCAAAATTTACCTAAACTTTTCGAGATTCTACCGAGGGAAATAATTCAGTCTCCATAAAAGGATTCAAATGATTGGACCGTGCAAAGGGTCACATCCCAATTTCAGTAAGTGCTCCGTTATCACTTCTATTGTTTATTAATTCGAAAGCCTGTGCGGATTCCAATATCCTTGCCACTGTCCACATATCCCTCCATTTCTATTTTCCACTCTCAGCATTCTTTTCCAGTTGGCACTGGCTACAATCCCTTTGAAATGGAGAGATCACGGTCTTTTCTTGAAGCAATAGTTTCCATAACCCAAGTTCTACATTCCCCTCCTGATATGGTATGTTCACTCCCCCCCCCCCTCCCTCCCCATTCTGCAGCCTCCATCCCGCTTGACCTTTTATGTAGGTATATTTTCTTTGGCCATAGATCAAGCAGCATGATCTCTCAAACTGATCTGAGGAAACTCTGTTCAGGGTACATACTCTTCAAAGTAGAGCATCATTTAGATACTTGGGGTTTCATAGCCTTTGTATTAGCATGAGGTACAGTTCTAAAGACATAGACATAAAGACTTCGTTTCCACAAATGTCAAAGCATCAGCACTCAAAACGTCAACAAATTTTAAGAAAAGTATAAAATCAGGTAGAAGGGGTTAAGTAGCTACAAAAATGAATCATGCTCCGAGTAATCAAACAATGAAGCAGGAAAACCAGTTTTTCTCTATGATGAAACGAGAGAGCGCACTATATTGTGAACACATACTATATTGGTTAGCAAAATACAACACGCATTTATTTGATGTGTCTAGATGAATAAAAGAACCCTACCTTTACGGCATTTTGTAAAGCCAATGATATTTGCAATGCTTAGAGTCAAACAAACTCCAACAACGAGGAGATAATCAGCCTGAAATCTTATGAGAGAGAATATCGCAAGGAGTATCCATGCAGCAGCCTGAAATACGAGGAAAGACTAGAGTCAATATTATAAACCATAGCTGCATCTAACTTAGTTTATTTTCAAGATGTTAAAAGGATCCATGTTTCTTCATTCTTGGGCAAGTGCCTTCCCCAGAATGTATAATATGTAGAAAATTAGCTCAATTCTTGCAAGACGCATTCAAATATTCAGACATGCAAACAGCAGATCCATGCCGGCTGCATTCAAAAACCATAAGAAGGCATGCTCACAAGAGGAAATTGAAACTATGCAGAAACACATATATACAAGTGGAGGGATAAAATATGCATCATCATCTGATGCTAGGAATGTATAAAAAAATTTCCACTCCGAATCAATCACCCTTAATAGAGCACCCACTTATGTTTATTCATCTATCAAGGAAATTTTTTATCTCTTAAGAAACCATGATGGCCTAAAAACTACTCAAAGTTTTAAATATAATATAGCAGTAGCAGCAAAATCACCCTATAATTCGATTTATTTAGCACATACCGTGAGATAAAGCGTCCACCAAAAGAGCCACGAATCCTTTTTGTTCATCCGAGAAAGGGACTGCAACAACAAAGGGTAACTTAAGCATACAAATCATCAGATATCACACACTTAATAGAAATAACTGATCTAAATAAGCGCGCCGATCCCGGGGACCAAAAGAAAAAAAGACCTCCTGGTCAAGGCACTCAAACTTCCAGATGCTCTCCCCTTGATCGTTAATTTCGTTCCACCACCTCAAACCAACCAGTATCCTCCCGCTGACATTCTTGACGACCCAGAAGTCGAGAGCGGCCAGAAAGACGGTGAGAACGAAGATGATCACAAAATTGTCGACAAACAGCGCTGAGAGGATGTAGAAGGCCAAAGCCGCGGCCTGAGCACGTTAGGAACCAGCCAATGAGCGACAGATCAAACAGCTAGGGGGAGGGAAAACAAAAAAGGAATATGTTAAAATCGGGCACATGATAGAAACGTTTCCAAACCTTGAAGAGGACGTGGAAGAAGCAAGTCTTGGGGTTGGCATAGTTCTCCTCCGGCGCCTACAAGCAAGATATTCAAGAGTTTTTAATCAATGTCCATACAAATTACACAAATTAACCCATCGATCCGATGGCACGGAATTCCTCAAATGAAATTCCAAGCATTAAAAACAATACAAATAAACCTACAGATCTAAAATTTACACAACCAAACTAGGGAAACTTGTTTTGAAACAGAGAATCCCAACATCGAACAAAGGGCGACCACGAATCAGGCAGAGGGACGACGAAAACGACGAACTGAGTGCCCAACACCCCCATGGAAAACGAGTAAATCACCCGGAGAGCGTAGATCTGGGGAGAACCAGAGAACCTGGAGGCGATCCATGTCGGTCGAGGGGGAAGAGGCCGCAGCGAGGGGGGAGTGGGGGTGCAGCTTCTCTTCTGGGTTCTCCGAGACCCTCACACCATGGTGCACACGTTTGAAGGGGGAAACCCCCCGGTGCCGGTGGTCCCCATCCAACGAGCTAATTTCCGCCAAGTACCCAACGAGTAAGGGTATTTCCGTCACAACAGCGGGGCCCCTTCTCTCTCTTTCTCTCTCTCTCTCTCTCTCTCTCTCTCTCTCTCTCTCTCTCTCTACAAGTGAAAAACTCGCGTTTACACAATTTAAAATTTTGAAAATATTATTTTCCCGATTTTTAAATATTTTCCTCTCTCTCTCTCTCTCTTTCCCTCTCCCTCATGGGCTGATTTAGAAACCCACATCTGGAAGAACCGAGCCGGGCTTTCGGGCTTTCGGGCCGGGACGGGGGCATCAATTCAATCCAAAGAGAACACGAAAAGAACACTACTAGTACGGCTATCAGATCCCATGGATCTCTTCCAGGGCGGCGGAGGCGTCGGCGGGCCGGGCCCGATTCCCTTTACGAGCTTCACTCTAAAGATTAGGCCCGAAATTTCGGGCCCGGCTTCTCAGACTTCCAGGCCCCCCAAGGATTTACATCTCCTGCTTCCAACGGAGGAAGAAACGCCTTGTGGAGCTCAATCTGCATTAAAAAAAAAAAAAAGCAGCTTAACAGCACTATGCTACGAACCATCATCCATGGTGATCTGGAAATTGTATCAGGAATAAACGGCGCCAAATAATATCAAAAAGGACTTTTAACCCGTCTTTAAATTGCACTAATGGCAGAGAGACCCAAAATCACTTCACAGTTTCATAGGCAGTAACTTGCCCAAAAGCCAAAATCCAAAAAGATCCGATTTTTTATCAGGTTATCCTTTAAATAATCTGTGTTTGATGCATTTTCAGGACTTGTTAGAAGATCTGTGGAAAGATGATCAGGGTATGCTTTCATGCTATTTTAATGCATTGTAACTCTTCTCTCACTTGTGCAATCTAGTTATGTTTTTTTTTCTCTTTTTGGAATTTTTTTGGATGTAAACTAATATCAAAATGTCGATCTCTGTGCTAAGATTTCAGGTACACGCTGAGATTTTTGGAAGATGAGTTGTGCCTGGATCGATTCTTGGTTTCATGACACCCTTAAAACCATTTTCAAGGATGATCTCGTTTTTTTTTTTTTTTTTTCTCAGAAAGAATGCTTTTGTTTGTGGTATATTTGCTTCTCCTTGAACAGTTGTCTCAATGAACAGAAAGAAAGAAAACTTGAGCTTGCCTAGAAGTATCTTATAGTTGAAATAGAATGAATAACCTGCATTCCATTTCATCGACATCTAAACCCAAATGAAATCATAGATGAGGTAAGAATGATTGAAGGATAAACTCTTCAATTCTTTGAACTAGGAACAACGACAGTTCATCTTCTCAAAGATATTGGTTAGAAGTGCTCTTCCATACCTCACCGAAAGGCAAGTCTTCCATACCAGATTCCTCTCAAGATGAACCAGATTCAAAGTAGATTCCTCTCAAGGGTCTACTTTGCAGGTGATAATTTTGTTCTTCTATTGATACCAGATCCAAAGTTTGTAGGCTTTCCTTATATTTCCAAGCCCAATGAGTAGCTGACAACTGTAAAACGTAGACTTTGCAGTTGGTCAAAGTCAGCTCGGTTGTTTCGTGGCATTGGTCCATTTGTATCCGTTGCCCAGTCAATGTTTTATTAATCTGTCTAATTATTTGAATGGTCAGCTGTCGAGAGCCAATGAAACGGCGAAGAATTATATCTGGTGTCTGAAGTTTGTATAGGAGAGTTTAAAAAATTATATCAGAGAATGATGATATATACGTATAAATCCAGCAGATATGTTAGTTCCAATCAAAATTATCTAGAATTTGATTTCTTTTTTCCAAATTTTCAGATTCAAAAGAGCCAGAAATGAGAAGACAATCTAACATGGTGGAAATATTAGTACCTTCTCCTTTTTCGGTCTCATAAGAAAAAAATTCCATCTCCTGAGTATCCCTATCACCCCCACAAAGGGTTTTGGCCATGAGACTTTGATATGCATTGCTTCTCCTGCAGATCTTTGACTTGTTCTTCTGACACGTGACAGTGATCTGTGATCTCTTGAATTTTGGCCCAACGGGCCTCTATGGCTGCAGCAAACTCCGCCACCTTCTCTTCAAGCCGGGCAATGATCATTTCTTGATAGCTAATTGCCCAATGCTTTCTCATCCTCACCTTCTTTTCATTACAAGAGTAGACTTCAGAATCACAGCCTGGATTTCTGCCTTGATTATTGAACTCTCTGAGGAAAACTAAAAACAAATTGATTAGAATGACCAAAAGCTTTTACTGAGTCCTAAGGACTAAAATTACACGCCAAAGTCAACTTCATAATGAATCATCTTTAATCAAGTGTATACTTTAGTCCATCAAGAACACAATGATTAGTTTGGAAGTGGCAGCTCTTCCATCCTAAATTAAGCATTTCACAAGCAAGGTTCAAAGTCAACTCTCTGAGTAAAATAAATAAATAGTTAATAGACAACTCCATCCAGAAGGTTTGGAGCACAAAAAACCTTTTTTTAAAATTTCAACAAAGTAGAAATTTACTTGGCAATGCCAACTGAAGAATGAATAGCACATCCAATTAGTCTAACCTTTTCATGCTATAGTCGATCTAATTAAAAGGTTTAATTTTCACAATGACAACAATAGTCCTATTTGGATTAATGTAGAGATAAACCTACGTCTATAAAGCTAAAGTACCCTTTTAAAGCCCAAAAGTCAACTTGCTTGCAATTACGAATCTGAACTTTGAATCTTTAGCACAAAAAAAATAGATGATTCTCACGTTCAGAGAAGATGAACACACCTGCGGCTATCCCATAAGAGGGGAAGAAGACCAGGGGAACTGCTCTCAATCCGATTTCAGATCTATCAAGAAGAAACCAATGATCAGCTTGCAACTGACAATTTCTTCCATCCCAGTCGCTACCAGTAATCCCCGCATGAGCACTCTCCACCCTTGAAATGGTGGTGGAGATGCCGATCCCTCACGACAATCTCACGCTGGAAAATCCTAGAAATGGCCTTAGCCGCCAAATGGCAGTCCCCACAGATCCGCAGGTTCTTCACCACCCGAATGGGCGTTGGAGTGGGGATGCTGATGAGCCCAAAGGCCATGGCGAGCTTCTCACTGTGTCTGTGGAGGGATGTCTCCTTCTCCTCGGAATCAATGTCAAGGTGGACTCCGCTGGTGTCTGGTTGGAGCCCCTCCAGCCTCATCCTCCGCGCCACCTCGTTGAGCACCCTCTCAATGTCTCTCATCTGTGGGTGGGAACCATCGCCAGCAAAGAACTCATGGACGGTGCCACCAGCCTCCACCAAGCTACAGCCAGGAATCTTTGTCACCTTCTTCTCCCTCATCCTCGCCCTGACCTCCACAGCCTCCTCCCACCTCCCGCTCGAAGCATATAGATTGGAGAGCAGCACATGGGCTCCATCATGGCAGGGCTCAAGCTCGATGAGCCTCCTACTGACCCTCTCCCCCATCTCTAGGTTGCCATGCTTCTTGCAGGCGCCCAACAGGGCCCCCCAGGTGGCAACATCCGGTGCCATGGGCATCCTCTCAATCAATTCTTCTGCCTCTCTGAGCAGGCCCGCGCGGCCGAGAAGGTCTACTAGGCAGCCATAATGCCGAAGATTGGGCTCGATCTTGTGCTCCTCCAGCATGGAGTCGAAGAATCTCCGCCCCTCTGCAACAGAGCCCAAGTACCGGCAGGCTGCAAGAACCCCAACGAAGGTCACCTCATTGGGCGCCAGGCCGAGCTTCTTCATCTCCGAGAACTTCTCCAGGGCCTCGGTCGCCATGCCGTTCGTGGCCAGACCAATGATCACAGCATTCCAGGAAGAAATCCCCTTCTCCTTTATGCCATTGAAGACCTCCACCGCCTCCTCCACGCAGCCACACTTCATGTACATGTCGATCAGGGTTGTGCCGAGGATGGGGTTGATGACGAGACCGTGCCGCCTGATGTAAGTGTGAACCCACTTCCCCTGCTTCAACGCAACCAAGTGGGCGCACGCAGAGAGAACACTCACCAGTGCGGCTTCATCAGGACTGAATTCTCTGAGCTGCATCACCTGGAAGAGGGCCAAGGTCTCAGAGAAGAGATTGTTCTGGGCGTAACCGGAGACCATGGTGCTCCACGAGACAGCATCTTTCTGCGGCATGGAATCGAAGAACTCCCTCGCATCGTCAATGAGCCTGCACTTTAGGTAGCCGGAGAGCATGGAGTTTGCAGAAATCTGGTCCAGATGGAGGCCCGAGTCGAACAATCTTCTGGCGGCAGGGATGTTGAAGCAGCTCGAATACATGTTGATCAGGGCATTGTTGAGATTGAGGTAGGAATCGATACCAGTCTTGGTGGCCAGCCCATGAACTAGTTCGCCTTCCTTCGCCGCTACCAAGCTAGCGGATGCAGAGAGGACGCTGACGAGGACGACCTCATCCACTGGCACTCCGTCAGAATTCATCAAGGCGAACATCTCCAAAGCTTCCCCATGCATCTCGTTCTGATCGAAGCATGAGATGATGGCGGACCAGGAAACGACATCTCTCACAGGCATTTTCTCAAACAAGTTGCGCGCATCCCTTGGCCGGCGCTCCCGAGCGAGCAGAGCTATCATGGAGTTCGAGGCGATGGTGTTCCTCTCCGGCATGCGGCTGAAGATTGCTAAGGCCTCCTCGGAGTCCCCGCCCCTGATGTACCCTGCCAGGATCGAGTTCCAGGAGACGGAATCCACAACTGGGCTTCCATCGAACAGCTGGCGAGCGGAAACCATGTTCCCACAGACAGAGTACATGTTGATCAGCGTGTTCACGGCGTAGACGTCGGAAGAAAACCCTAGCTTCTCCACATGAGCGTGGACCTCCTTCCCTTGGTCTTCGTCCCCCCGGAGAGCGCACGCCTGAAGAACGATGGGGTGAGTGAAGCAATCCGGAAGCGGATCGGCCCTCTTCATCATGGCCATGTACAGAGACACGGCCTTCCCCGGGCGACCACGGCGAACGCACGCCCGCATCACAGCGTTCCAGGAGAACTCATTAGGACTACCTATCAGCCCCAGCAAGTGACTGGTGTAGTCGAGCTCGACGAAACAGGAACTCGCCGCGAAGCCGACAAGGCGGCTGGCGGCGTAGGCGTCGTTGAGATAGCCTGCCGCGACCATCTTCGCCTGGATCTGGAAGAACTGCGTCTGATTCCGACATTTCTTCAGGTTATCCTCCAAGATGGCGAGGTTTATGGAGGGGCGATTCACAGACTCCGGAGCTCGGAAGGAAGCTGAGGCTGTATTGAGCGCTGAAGAGAGCCTCCGGCAGGGTCTCATAGACCTTCGAGGCGGCGGAGGCGGAATGCCTCGCCGGAGGGAGGAATCCGGCGGCAAAGTCCGTAGCAACGGCTAGTCACATCAGCTCCTTGGGAGGTAAGGTGTACTTTCCATGCATCGCGATACGTAGCTCCCTTTTTGGGCTCGGCTGGAAGACCTTTTGGGCCGCGCCTAGAAAGCCTGACTTCCAGACCGGCCCAGCCCGTTAACGCCCACTAAATGCTCAAAAAGAAAATTGGTATAATAAGCTCTGATTGTGAAGAAAATGTTTTCTTTTAGTCGAATTATTTTTACGCACCTTACTGTTAATTATTTTTTGCATCAACTGAACAGAATTTTTTTTAGTTCAGGACTTAAAATTAATTATTCTCAGAATTTAATAAAAAATATAAGCAGAATAATTCAAAAAGTAAAATGAAAAAAATATTTACTCTCATTCCAATGTGATTTCAAAGATAATAAAAAAACGCGAATTCATGGAAAAAAAATACTTCCACATAAAACTGATTTGGAGGTGTAATCCAACATTTTCCCTAAAAGTAATAATAATTATTGATTTTCATTAGGATTTTTTAAATAAACATCACAGATAATTAATAAAATTTTGGAACTGACCAGAAATAATCAAAACGGATATAGAAATAAATAAAAGTCTCCCTGTGGTTTAATAATATCAAAAAATGAGGAGAAAAATAAAAAACCCAGATTAGGCCCCCAATTGCAAGCAAGATCCTCCATTGCTTTGAGCCCCCAAATTTTAAGTCTTTCATGATCTCTTGATCATCCTCATCCAAGATATTCGAGAAAATTCTTTTTTTTCTTTTTTTTTTTCTTTTTTTTGTGTGTGTTCTTTTACTCAAGCTCTGCTGATTTCAGCTCTCTCAAGTCATCAGCTTCTTCCATGGGCTTATTCTCAAGATTAAGGATGTATTTGATATGCGAGATCTCTTTGGGCATCGACCCTGTAAGTACCTGTTCATGAAATAAAACCACTCATAAGATAATGTATTAAAATATTATACCATATAGTTCAAAACTAATCTAATGTGAGTTTTCGAAATTATTATCAGATTGAGCAAAAAATGTCCAGAAAAACAAGATTATTTCATATACAATGTCGATTAGGGTTTTATAACTGTATACTAAGAGAGTATATGAGCCGTAGTATTGCATCGTTTGATTCAGAACTAGTTGATGAACGAATACAAGCAGACTGATCTAAACAGCTATGGAATTTTAATTTATTATTTGTAATGTGGCACTGTTCTATCATATGCGGGTTAATTATATTAACATGGAATGAAGATCATTAAAAACAGTTTATAGCCCCCATCTAGAGATATATTTAGGCAAATGTGTGTGTGTGCTACAGTCGATCATCCAAATCATAACTAATTGATCAAAGAGTAGAAATTATTTCTGTAATCATGGTTTTTTTCTTATTTTCAATATGGTAAGATTGTAATAATATGCATGATAACTAGGTCAATAAAGGTACAAGATGATCTAGATTACGAGCACAGGCCCGGAATCAATAATGAGAATCTTATAATTAAAACCGTCGTGTCCTAAGATTACCAAATCATAACTAAATGATAAAAGAGTAGAAATTATTTCTGTGATCATCATTTTTTTTCTTATTTTCAATATGATAATATTATAATAATATGCATGATAACTAGGCCAATAAAGGAACAAGATGATCCAGATTAAGAGCACAGGCCTGGAGTCAATAATGAGAATCTTATAATTAAGACCGTGGTTTGCTAAGATTACCAAATCATAACTAATTGATCAAAGAGTAGAAATATTTCTGTAATCATGGTTTTTTTCTTATTTTCAATATGGCAAGATTATAATAATATGTATAATAACTAGTCCAATAAAGTGACAAGATGATCCAGATTAAGAGCACAGGCCCGGAGTCAATAATGAGAATCTGATAATTAAGACCGTGGTTTGCTAAGATTACCTCATGTCCAATGTCTGTAATGAGGACCTCGTCCTCAATCCTGATACCAATTCCCCGATACCTATAAATCCAAAAATTAAATATTTTTAAAAATAGAAAAATTTCCCCCCTTTTGGAGTGCATGCATTTGAAGGAAACCCCAGAAGCACCTCTCAGGCACGCCTGAGGACAGCGGGATATAAACACCAGGCTCGATTGTTATCACCTGCCCAAGTCGGATTTCCAATGGATATTTTAAAGAAAGATAGATAGATACGAAACTAATGTAAAGTAAATCGTTATTTCTGAAAAAATCAAGTGTTCGCTTACAACTCCAGGCTCCAGGGGCCGACTGTTGCTGACTGAAGAACAATCATGAACATCCATTCCTAAGTAATGGCCTGATTCATCAGTGAGAAAATCTTACTATCAGGTGAAATTGGAAGAGAAATTAAAATAAATAATGTCAACAAGCCAAGTAAAATGGGCCCAGGCCGGATTTTATGTAAATTAGGGAGGCCCTTCTTTGGGATGTTTTTCATGCCAGGCCAGGTCAAAATTTACTAAAGAATGAACAGTCCAGGATAAAAACATTGAAAAATATGGAAATTACTACATTATATGTAAAGCATGATCATCACAATGATAGATCACCTATCGAGGTTGGATTCAATTGATGGTAAGAGCGGGCAGTTCGGCCATCCTTTAAAATTCCTAGTTCTTTGAGACCTTTGGAAAGCATCTGGACCTGCACAAGCTCACATTTCACACTGTTCATTAACTCAAAAATCAATTGGGAATGAATAGAAGATACCCATCTATATAACAACAGTATTTTAGTTATCTATTTCTAGTTTCAAACTATTCCAAGAATTTCATTTCCCCATGTTCGACATTTTTTAGAATCTAGAATCCAACTTCCGCAGAATAAAGAAACTTTTAATAAATTTAGAAGCCCAAAAACATATCCTTTCGCTAAGAAAATCGACCCAATATTTTTTAGGAGTGTTTTTCTTGTGAAGCATACCGAGATGTTATGAATCTGCTGAATGCTAATGCCTGGTCTGCAGAGTTTCACACACTCCTTGTTAGTTTCCAAGATCAGTTCATACAACGCCACCTGAAAACCATACTCCATGAATTATAATAATTCTTATACAGTCAATGAAAGCTGATGGAGAGGTATGTGGCAGTAACCTGATCTGAAGAAAATGCACCACAGGGCGGCCATGTGCGCGTTAGATCACTAAGATAGCCATGAAGCTCACACCCAACATCCATCAAGACAAGATCCTCATCTCTAATCTGTTGAAACTCAGGCACTTGAGTTGGCATGGAGCAGAAGACACCATGTTAATTATATAGAACAGTAAAGTTCTTACAATTTGATCATTTCGAGAGTAGTGTATAACACTTCCATTCTCTCCACCACCAACCACAGGATTGAACCTAGAAAAATGAATGGGTTTGAATCATTACTCTCACCCAATGATTTCTATTCTGAAGAAACAACTGTAAGACTTTTTCTCCAAAAGAATGAAGTTTTCCCGGTAAACATAATTCAATTGGAGAAAAATATATTTCCACATGATAACTACTGGCAAAGTTTCTTACGCCATTCTCTGTGCACCTCTCATTTTGCATTCGTATTCAAATTTGGCAGACAACTTGCTTTCTTCTCGATGCGTCTTTGAAAATATCATGGTCTGCAACAGGGACTATAGTAGAAAAAAAAGAGAATCGTTGATCGGATCACATGCTAACCAATTAAAGGTTCATTAAATAAAGAAATAAAAAATAGCTATTCATCGACCATCAAATGATACCAACATGGCAAAGCACTTGCCATGTCAGAAGAAAAAAGCAAGAGAATATCATAAACTTATTTTTCATCAGGAGACTTTAAAATATTTAACGTGTTTCACAGAAACCACCAGTGAAATAACTCAAAATAAAACATTCTAATGGCCATATATAACAAACGGTCACGGGTTTCTCGATATTGTAGAGACTGGTAAAAATGATAATGTTCACCGATCACTAGATTTAAATATTAGATCTTGGCTATTTTGCTAATGTTTCCTCCCGCAGACACAACTCACATAATAAATCGAAAAACCATAGAGAACACAAAGCCAGTACATCAATTGCAAGGCCTTTTGTACAAATTTAAGAAAGAGATTCAACGTAAAAGATGAAAGACCAAAGTAAGGTTATTCTTCTTTATTATAGACAAAGGAAGCGAAAGCGGGTAACCCTAGCCATTTCAAGTGTCGTCAAAGATGCCCACATTCTTACGGACTATATCCATTATCCTAACAGCAGACCTGACCAGGCATGTATGTCATCAAGTCTATGCTCACGTGGGAGCTGCAAAAGCAGGAATCTCAGCAAAAGTACACATCTCTGATGCTTGACTATAATAAGTAATCTCGTTCACTAACGATTTATCACCATGGCTTCAGCAATCATCCTCATGGGTTTCCTTTTTTATCCAAGTTGTCAGCATCATTGTGCCATTATTTTATTTTTTATTTAGTAATTTGATTCGTACGTCAACTTTTCACTTATATTTCGGTTATTTGATCACAATTTCTCATTTTCTCTTTGTTTGTTTTATTTTCCTGCGGTTATTTCTAGACAGGGACAGCTTAGTTCTATGATTATTTCGAATGTAACCCCTGTCCTTCTGCTCAACTACAAACAAATATAACCAAAGAATACAAAACAAAGTCATCACATTAACAAATCTAGAAATAAATAGCGTCAATGTTTTCATAAGTGAATACCTGAACTGGCAGAAGTATATCATCTCTAATGAGGTTTATATAGAATGAAACATAAAGCAGTATAAGTGATGCTTCAGGAATGAAAAAAAAAAACCTGGCATGCTATCGATGCAGATTCCCTCATCAACTTAACTTCAGATGCAGACTTTTTCCACCGCAGCTCATGAGTGTAGCTAGAAATATCTTTCACACCATCATTGGAAGTGGCTGTGCAGAAAGCCTCCAGTCTTGTGTAAGATGGTAAAGCTGTCTTCACGTTATGGAGCAATCCTGATGATTTCCTCATCATGTCTGGGAGGATCTGAAAAATTGAGACGTACAGACGGGTCACTCAAACTTGCTAGCAAACGAAAGAAAAAGGTCAGGCATAAAGGAAATTCATAGCTGTAAAGCATGAAAGAGGGGCAAGGGCATCAATTTTATGATAGAAATATGATGAATGTGTAGACCTCGTGGATTTTATGCATTGGAAAAGCTCTATCAGCTTTGAAAACCTCCAAGGCCGCCTCAATCCCGGCTGTCTTTCCTTGCCAAACCACATCCTACAGAATAACCAGTGATTAGATAAACCATGTAATCCATGATGTGAATCAGGACAAGATCAAGACAAAAAGAAAATAAAAAGGAAACAGTCAGGAAGATTTTTGTACTACGATGTAGACAACAAGAAACATTTATCGATTATAAAATGAGTTTGTTTCTCCAAGTAAATAGGCAGATATATTCAATTGATTATATCTGTGGATGATAAAAAAATTTAAGATTACAAAATAATGTACAGTTACTGGCCCCTAAAGCTGTAAAGCATGACAGGCCAGCCTACCCCCATACAAAAACATGTTGATCTTCTCAAAAGCGCCCTTGACAATTGCATTTCATCAAACTAGTTTTCAATAAATAGTCCACCAAAACTATTTTCTGGCCGAATTTTTTATTAGCAGTTAACTGAGATTTTTCATATAAGACACAAAATATGGAAAAACAATTGTACATCATTTATAGACCGAAAAAATGAAGTAAATAAACCTTACATAAGGGACAAGAGAGGCTCGGTTTCAGGCTTACATGGGGATCTGTATCCGGCATAAACATGCAGAATCCAAAATCCTTACTGAGGACTGTTATTCCACCAGGCTGCAGACAGCCTGTGAGATATAGGTAATCAGCATCTTGTCTAAATGAGTACGGCACCACATCAGTCATCATCTTGACTGGAGCAGCAGCAATGATGGCCAAGCTGTTGTTGGGAAGAAGATCCAGCAGCCTGCTTCTTCTTGAGGCGTACTCACTTTCAGTGATACCAACCGTGATCTCCCCTTCTTCCAATAACTGCAGAGAAGGCAAATTGATGGCAAAAACCTAAGCATTTCAATGACCCCCAGTTGTCGAATAGTCTTATCAAATGACATTCAAACACCCTCATAAACCCTCTTAAGTTTTCACCACATGGAAATAGATAAGAGCATAGAAGCCCACTTCTCCTTTGGCTCCTGGCTGAATTGCATCGCAGTTTATGTCACCACCTTGTCATTTCATAAGAGGAAATTGTTGAAGCAAACAAATTCTCCTTAGAAAGATAACTTTTTTTTTTTTTGCAGTGTGATATGATGCTTGCGACGAAATTTCTATCCATGAGATTAGGCAGTATAGAGAATATATCAACCAAGAAGGTGATATGTATGCGTTATTGATCCAAAAGCATTGAAATGAAAACATCTGGTAGAAAGGATCTGGAATAGCACCTGAGGATGTGAGAAAGAAGTTGGTTGCCCCACATCATGAATCCTGTCGGTTGTGTAAGCAGATCTACCTTGTTGTATATGTAAAGGAGCAACCTGAGGAACAGCCTGGTGAGAGAAGGCTCATCACAATGAAACCATGGGAAGATCACACATTTCTTAAAGACTAGATCCATGAGCTGCTTGATGATGGTTTGTATTAGAAACAACATAATAATCAGTCATTGATCCAAAATAACTCCCACCAGTTATCTAGAACTAACCAGTCAAAGGATTCAACGACACAACAAAAAATAAAATAAAATAGAAGAATGACAATTTAGGATTGTAATATAGGGATAAAAACAGGTTTCCGACGCTGATGTAGCAAAAAATTCCATCAAAAACACGATCCTGATTATATTATTGGCAAAGTGCAGGATAATCAGCAAAACACCTAAATGATCTCGTGAATGTTGAAATGAGCAAAAGCCAGAAGTCTCTATGGACAAAACGTCATCTACAGAAAATTTTCAGGAATTTCCGACGAAGTAGCGAGGGCATGCTTGCGTGATAACGAAAAGGAGAATAGAAAGAAGCAAATTAGGGAATCTAATAGAGTATTCATCCTGAAACCAAGAGAGCACCATCCGGAAGCGTGGGCCAACATCAGAGACCGTTTCTAAATTCGTCCAGATTCAGAAAGGAGCTTTCTTTTCCATGGCCCACAGGAAGGCAAAGAATCCCATGCGTACTGACCAGCAAGCTCCATTATCATTAAACGAGGAGCAAACGTTCGAAACCGACGCTTCGACCAGAAAGAGGGCACTAGGTACTACGCCTGCCACCATGAAAACCGCCGCGGAAACAGGAACCCACGCAAGGGAAACAACCTGCCTACCAGACGCTGCAACCCGGCTTCAAAAAACACACGGAGGCCGACTAGAAAACGCGGAGGAAGAAGAAGAAGAAGAAGAAGAAGATAGGCGGCGCTACCCGTGGGGAGGCCGACAGCCTCCGCAGCGCAAGCGCTCTAAGGATCCTCTGCATGGCTACACGAGGGGCCCTTCTGTCTGCTTCCAAAGCCTCAGCGTGGTGTTGTTCTAAGAATCTCCCTCCGATTGTCTTCTTCCAGGAGGTCACAATCGCGATGGAGAACACAAAGCTGGACTCACCTCGCAAAGACTTTCGCTTAAAAGATCGGCACAGATGAACATTGGAAGCTCATTTCTTTGTATGAAGATCCATGTTTTGGTATCGATTTCACCCCAATTTTTCCAGTCTTATTCTACGAATAAAAATAAATCCGCCAAGAAAATGCATAGGCTTCAAACCACGTCTTGACAACGCCATAGCCAATCGTAAGACACCTACCTTCTCCCCATCCCATGCCAGCTCCTCCTGGCAACCATTTTTTTCTGTATAAATGGATCGATTTAAAAGGCCCAACTTTAGATTTTTCGTGAAAGATTAATCTTGGGTCTGAGCTTCACTAGAAGTATGCATGAACCCATCAACAGCCATGACGTTGACTACTGATCCTTGGCCGGTTTATCCCGACCTGCAAAAAAGCGTTTTGGTTCAGCCTTCGTATCGGGCAAGGAGTTCTTCCATCTTCGCCAGTGGTTCACGCACTTCGATTCGAAACTTTTTTAAAATGTGAATGATTTCCATGTTTTCTTGCTTATATAGAATTTTAAAAACACATTATTATATTTGGGATCAATTTCCATGAAAAGAAATTCCTGATCTTTGTGACTAAAGTCAAGTCAAACAACTAATCAAAAGGTGATGCAGCCCATTTAAGGTCTATATCAAGTGGAGCGTAAGTAAAGTTAAATTGAAAGCCCATTTAAGATAGAGTTAGCTCAATTAAAAAATTAGGCCCATATTTCTATTTTTAGTTCTTGCTATTTTTAACTCTTTCTATTTTTAACTTATAATTTTATCCTATTTTTATTTTTATTTGTTTATATTTTTCTCTGCTTACTATTTTTAGTCTGGATATTTTTAGACACATTCTACTTTTTTAATTTTATTTAAAATTTAAAATTTTACACCTAAATCGAGATAATGCAGCCTATTAAAAGGTATCTATATAGCTCAAGAAACATTTTCTAATTTCAATCAATAAATTTTTGTGAGTTTCTTTTTCTTTGAAGTAATCTTTCTATGCTAGTGGACTCCAACACCTTCGTGAATTTAGAGAACCCTATTCTTTGAGTATGTGAACTTAAAATCATACCTTTGTGAACTCAAGTGAATTCTTCTTCAATATTAGATGTAAGATGAAAATAATGACAACTAGAGCATGTCTTTTATTCAAGATATGTTTTCAATTTTAAAACGTCAAAATTATTAGTAGCTCACCCAAATTAGCCAAGTTATAAATTCTAAATTAGCCAAGATATGTTTTCAAAATTTTCATTGCGTCAAGTGATATTAGAGCCAAGTTAGCATTCTAAATTTGATTTCAGCAGATGTTATGATGTAAAAGGATATAAATCAACAAAAACAAAAGTTTTAAGGTATGTTCTATTTCAAGATTAGAGTTTGATTTCAAAAATCATATTGAACAAAAGTTTGAATATTTGAATGACACATTTAACTTGAATGTTTGCAATGAATTTCAATAATGTAAGTAAAGAACTCAAAAATAAAACAATTTTTATCATTCAAAAATTCAATTGACACAAGCTCAAAACATAAATCAGATTATGATGATTATAGATATTTTTAAGTTAAAATTAATTGACTTATTTTATTAGACATTTAAAATTTGAAATAATTTAAATTAATTTTCAAAAGTTGAGAAATTTTTTGAATGCATAAATTTTTTTGATAAAAAACAAGTGAAGTTAGTTGATTATAAACTCAAAGGTGGTGCCTCTATATGGTGGGATCAACTACAATCTACCTATATAAGATTTATAAAGGATCAAGTTAGGAGAAGATGAAGAAATTACTAAAATTTATATTTCTTTCTCTTAATTATGAATAAATTTTATATCAATAGTATAAAAAATTTAGATAAGTAAGTAAATTTAAGACAAAATATTTTGAATAATTTTATAAATTATCTTTTAAATTATATGAATCTTATATAATATCCAGATTTGAAACTAGGATTTGATGGAATATTAAAGAAAAATTTACTTTACAATCATTTTTCAAATTAGATGTTGTTATGACATATGAAAGTACAGAAACTTTATTGGAGAAAGGAAAAATAAGAACACAAAATTCTAATAATGTGTCAAATTTTCAATTAGATAAGCCAAGACAAACACTTATTTCATCTACCGCCACTAATGGAAGAGCAACACATAATAGAGGGTAATATGAATCACTTTTTCTTTAGCACTTTACCAACAAGATTAAGATTAAATTATAGGCATTCAAGTTAAAATTTGTTTCAATATATCACTTAAATCTTAAAACTTTTGTTCAATATGATTCTTGAAATCAGTAAACTCTAATATTGAAATAAGTCATTCCTTAGAAATTTCATTTTCATTGATCTCTATCATTTTACCTCAATATCTTTTGAAATCAAAATCTGAAAAAGCTAACTTAGCTCTAGTATCACTTGACATAGCAAAACTTGGAAAAACAGATGACTTAGGTGAATTGTGAACAACTTTGGCATTATGTCAACATTTCATCCTAAATCCATAAATTAAAAGTACAAGACTCTAGAGCGCACACAAGGGTGATTCTAAGTCCACATAATCAAAGAGCTAGGTTCCTTAAATTCACAAGGGTGCTAGAGTCCACCAATAGAGAGAGAGTACTTAAAATAAGAAGAAACTCACAAAAAAAATTACTAATTTAAATTGAAATGTCTTTTGAGTTACATGGGGCACCTTTAAATAGGTTGAAGTATCCAATTTAAGGCACCAAAAATTGAATTTTAAATGAAATTTAAATTTAAAAATAAAAATAGAAATAGAAGGAGAATAAAAATGATATTAGGGAAAAAAATAGTAAGGGTCGAAAAATATAAAGAACTAAAAATAAAAAGATGATAAAAATAGCAAAAGTTGAAAATAAAAAGAGGTAAAAATAGCAAGAGTTAAAAATAAAATATGGGCCCAATTTCGTAATTGAGTTAACTCCAACTTAAGTGGGTTGTCAAGTTAACTTTACTTTTGATTCACTTGACACAAACCTTAAATGAACTCCATCAAAAAGACTAGTAATCCAAATCTTTTAGATCATTCTAGACAGTCACTGCAAAAAAGGTTTATACAATCATTGGAAAAGGCGTAGTGAGTCAAATCTCAGAAGAAAATCAGATTGAACTTCTAGCTTCATTCTTTTTGGTGTCAAATTGAACCACCAAAACTAAAAGGCGTAGTGACCCAATTATTTTCAGCAATCTTGTGTATTCTTATCAAAATGTGCAAGCCTCATATGGATCCAATTGGATGGATGGAACATAATATATATTATATACCTTAATTACTCTACTAGGTAGAGATAGTAGTCTACTCATAAATCAAAAGAGTTTGACTTCTTTAAAGGGAAAAAGAGGAGGTAAAATTTATCCCAAAATACTAATCACCAAATTCTGGCAGTTGACATTGAGAGGAACCTTAAAACTTCAAATATTTTTTTCCTAATTTGGCGAAACAATTTGCTCAGGGGGTATATCCTTATTGGTAAAAGAGTCAAATCCACCCAGGGGTATTAGGACCATATTTAGTTAAAAGCGATAAAAAACCCTGAGGAATTCCCGAGCCATTATCTACAAAGATATGTGATTCATTCCCATAATGGCTATGATAAAGAATTCATAACCTTGGGAGCAGACCAGATGAGTTCAATATCTAGCAAGCGCCAGTAAAGAACACAACCTTTTAGATGCTTTTTCAAACTCATCGACGTTATTAAGTAGCAGTCAAAAATTTGCGTCCATTTTTCATGAAATTTATGCATGGATCAATGTGTCCCTTCAAGCATTGGAAAGGTCTATGCAAGGAGAAACTGCCGAAGAAAATCCCTTATCTGGTCAATATATGGGGCCTGAGTTGGGATTATATGGCCCATGTCATGCTCAACAACCACAGAGCACCCCTGGTCAAACTTACCAACGAGCTCAATGCTGGCCTGACATGCTATCTGCCGATCTCTGCCTTTGCTGCTGCCATAAACATGAAGAGAGGGGCATCTTATGGACCTTTGATAGGGGAGTAATGAGAATCCTGAGCAGAGAACTGCAAATCTGAAGTCAGGAGTGGCAGCATCGAACATCCATTGCTGGTTGCAGACCAGGGCGGCCATGGCTGCCCCCTGAGAGAATCCAAGAATGCCGTCAAATGGTCCCATTCGAGAGCAGAACTCCTTCAGAAATGCGTATGATTCATTGAATCCACCTGTCTGTTCTTTGTACTGCAGAGGATCGAATGGTTGGTTGGCCATCTCCCACCCTGGGCCTTCCAAGCAGCTTGATGATGTTGGGGAAACCAACCATGCGAACTTCTTCTTGCAGCTCCAGCTGGGTGGAGGTTGCTGAGTAGAACAGGCTGTCTCATCAATATCCCCGGCTGAAGAACCCACGGAACCATGGCTCCTTCCAGGACTAGATCGTGGTTGGTAGATGAATGGCACTTCATGGGGAGCATCGACATAAACAAGTTCGGCGATGTCCTTCAGCTTTTTGGCTAATGATGCTGTTCGTCCCTTGAAACCCAATGCATTCTGTCGGAATCCGTGCAAGCATAATATCCTGAGCTTCCTTCTCGGCCAATTACCTGTCAGCAATAATTAAATGCTGGTGTCAATTGAAATAAAAATAACAAAGTATTATGCTTTAAGTTTGATCTTTCTGTGGTTTACCAACCAGAACTCCTATTAGAACTACAGTGAGCAAAGTATTTATATAAAAATTAAATTATAAATGCCATCTCGTCTAGGCAGACTGAACTAAGTATCAGGCCTCGTTCCAGAGGGTTGGGACTAAGTAGCTGTTAGAATAGTCCCACATCAGAAGGGGCAATTTAAATAATACATAGATTACCCAATTACTGTCAATTAGTCACGATTCGGTTGGCTTAGTTCTTCTAGGGGAAAAACTGAACCCTAAATAAATAAACAGCCTTCTATACTAATTGTCAACAGAAGAGATCTAGTGCACCTATTCTTCTCACAAGCTGTCACGTTGGGTATGCTGCTTTCCCGCACAGTGTGCTACTTTCTGTCTTCTGCAGCCATTTGCTGTCCTCTGATCAAGGTACCCATCCTTTTACTCTACAATTCTGAGGCACAAATTCCAATGTGTTCTCACTCAGTCATTCCAAGTGTCTGACAGAGGCCTTTATATTCAAAAGGGCCCATTGGGGCTGTTCTTCGTCTGCAACAAACGCTAAAGGCCAATTATCCATTATATTGCAATGATCCTTGTACACAGAAGCAATTTCAGCCCATGCTCATCTTGGCTGTTTTCATTTGGGACTACACTTCATCTCATCATCCCCCAGACCATGCACCATGGCCACACGAAAAAATGCAATCAGCTCGCAGGCCTCCCAAAAACTAGATATTGACTATCATATCTCCGTTCATCTTTCTTTCACTAGGGTTTCCTGTGATCATCTAGACTTAGGTGTATTACAACAGTGAAATGGTGTTCGTGGATTGGGTCTGCGAATTGGCTAGGACAGTGTGAGACAACAGACATTGCCTCTTTATTTGGGCCCAATAAGATCTTACACCTTTTAATCTTCTCATTTTTACAACTCCTTTCCAAAGGCACTAAACCTCTAATTCTAAGCTTCTCCTACTTCTCTGTACTTTGGGCTACATTAGCCTCCCCTACTTGAAAAAGAATTCGCCCTTGAGTCTTCATTTATTTCGTCGTAATAGACATAAATATCCATTACATTAAATCGGCTTTTCTCACAACGAGTTTCTTGAAATAAATGATATCTAAGAATTGCATGGAAGAGTAAGCACACTATAAGGAAATCACTAGCTTCAAAAACCTTCTTTCTTTCACCTTTTCTGATCAACCAACTCCTTGATACCTTCATGGATTACTTTGATATGATCCATCATGTTGTTAGTGGTAATATTAGTTCATGCATTTTCCATAGAGTGCACCAAAAGTGTGACAAAAATCATGAGTTCCATTTAGATGTCATTGATTCAATAACTACAAACAAACTATTTCCTTAAAGAATAAGTTGGTAACCTGGACTGCATCATTTGTCTTCTTACAGGTAATAAAATGTGTCATTTTATAAAATTGATCAACAACCACAAAGACAAAGTTTTCTCTTAATTGTCATTGTGTTGTCTTAAAACAAAAAACATAGATATATCAACCTTTGATCGGCCAAGAATTGTTAATAGTGTATCAACCAGCATTTTGGTATTCTCCCTTGTTTGCTTGACAAACTAAACATCTTCATATATAATTTTCTACATCTTTCTTTAAATGATGCCAATAATAACACTCTTTCACTTAATAAAGAGTTTTATCACATCCTAAATGTCTTCATAATACTCTTCCATACAATTCTTTAAATTGGCTTTTCTCAAAGTGAGTTTCTTGAAATACATAATTGGTTTTCACTAAATAAGAAAATCTCCTATGTATGAAATCATTTAGTCAATCAACCTATCCTACAGGCATCCCAAACTTGGAAAAAATCTTCATCGTTTTGTTAAAATTATTTCAGATTGTCAAAACTAATTATTTCAGCATGATGTCCTGATTCAATTTCGTAACTTAAGTTTGATAACACACATGAATTGTTGAATAAGTGAAACCCATCTTGCATACATTTTCTTTGCTCTAAGTGAAACTTCTCCTTTTCATGCATTCAGTAACAGGTGCAACATTAAAATTGCAATTTTTGATAAATCTCTGATAAAAAGAGACTAATCTATGAAAACTTCACATTTGGTGAATATTTTTCAATATTGGTCAATCTTTGATAGTGCATACCTCTTTATCATCCATTTTTATGCCATTTATACTTATTACAAATCATAAGAAAATAAGATTGTTAGTCACGAAGTTGCATTTCTTTGAATGGATATGTAACTCATTTTGCTGTGAAAATTGTTGGCATCACTTTTCAGTGAATGACATCTACTTTTATACTATCATAAACAAGTATATCATCAAGATTATTGGTAATAATTTTTTTAATATATGATTTTAATACTTGATTCATCATACTAATAAATTTTTAATAAAAGAAAGATCCACAACAACATGGCCTACAAATGTAGTGTAATGTCAACAACAAAGTATGTGATGTTATCATTGATAAAATAGTAATAAAAATATTATCTATTTGAATATGTGATGTTATAATTGATAACAACAATAATAAAAATTTATCTCCTTGGATATGGTGCGAAAATTAAGATTAAAATTGAAGCCCCACCCACATCTATTTGAGAATCATATTTAAGGAAACAATATTTTCACTACCACCACTATCAATTATAGCATCATATACCTTATTGACATTGCAACATATTTAGAAAATATGACATTGCAAATCTCCTTTCTTCCTCAATAATTTATGAGGATGATGAATCAAATCTTAAAATTATATATCCAAAAAAAATTGTTAGTTGTTTTGATGACATACTTACGACAAATTATTCACCAAATGCAAAGTTTCCATACAAATGCAGAAATTATGTATGAAAAAAATCAGTTCCATTATTGCATCTATTACTGAATGTATGAAAAGGAGAAACTTCACTCGAAGCAAAGAATCATGTAAAAGCTTTAATTAGATTACAGAGAAATTATGCTCTAGTCTAGTATTAGCATACTGAATTTTTACGAATAATTTGAAGTTGAATGTAATGCCTTCATTGTTGAGATAAGAGTCATGTTATCCCAAGAAGGCCACCCTATTATTTTTTATAGTGAAAAGTTTATTGATTCTAGAAGACAATGAATGAGTTATAAATTAGAATTGTATGTTGTAGTTAGATCTTTGCATACTAAGAAACATTATTAGATACATCAAGAATTCATCTTGTTCATTGATCACCAAATATTAAAAGTGTATTAATAGTAAAATTAGCGTGAACAATGCAAGATGAGTTTCATTTATTCACCAATTCACGTTTGTTATCAAACATAAGTCAAAAAAGTTGAATCAAGCTGCAGAACGCAGCAAAAAAAATTGTTTGTTTGGTCAACCTTGATGTTGAAATAAAGAGTTTTTGACTTTCTAAAGTAACTATACCAAGGCAATAAATGTTTTTCTCAAGTTTAGATGCGTACAAGATGGGTGACTAAATAATTTTATACACATGAAAATTTCTTATTTTGTGGGAATCAATTATTCTTTACAAGAATCTTATTGTATGAAAAGTCAATTCGAGAATTGCATGGAGAAGGATTATGAAAACATTTAAACTGTGATAAAAACTGCTTTAGTAGAAGAGCATTATTATTGGCCTTAGTGAAAGAAAGATGTAGAAGACCGTGTGAAGATATCAAATTTCTAACAAGGGACAATGTTAAAACACTGGTTTGTACATTCTATTGTCAATTCTTGACCAACCATAGGCTTACATATCTCTATATTTTTATTTTAAAACTACCATGAAGACAACGAAGAGCACAATCTGTTTTTGTGGTAGTTGATTAATTCTATAAAATAACACATTTTAAAATGGTCTTGTCTTGGTAACCAACTCATTATTTAAGTAGTTCATTTGCATAGAGTCCCAAAATTAACCACATCTGATCAAGCTCAAAATTTATGCCACACTTTTGGAGCAATCTATGGAAAAAGTTTGATTCTATTTTAAATTTCAGTAGTACTAGTCACCCTCAAATAGATGGCCAAACTGAGGAAGTAAATAAGACTCTCAAATTTTTTATTCAATGTATTTTGAGATATATACCAAGATATTGGGATTATGTATTGACTCGAATCAAATTTGCATGTAATTCTATAATTAGTTGCTCCACTAACTAATCTCGTTTTTCTATTGTTTACTATTTTCTCCTGTGAAGATTCGTCTAGATTTACTGAATTGACCAAAATAGACAAACAAATATTGTCGTTAACAACATAACAGATCATATTGAAACAGTCCACAAAGTGTCAAGAAATATATTGCAAGAAATTGCAACCTTTATGAGGAATTAGTTGATCAGAAAAGAAAAAAAAAATGGAAGTTGGTGATCTAATTATAATATACTTACATAAAGAAAGATTTTCAACAAATAACATGAGTATTTCTAGTACTTTCAACATGAAAGAAATGAAGACTCAAGGGTGAGCTTTATTCAAATGGGAGCGACTAAAGTAGCCTAGAGTGCACAGAAGGAGAAGCCTAGAACTAGAGGTTCAACGACCTTGAAAGTAGGTTATAGAAATAAGAAGGCTAAAGAGGACCCAAGACCTTATTGGATGTTTGGCAGAGTCTTTTCTATTTCTATCTCAGATATCAGTTCCATTTCAGATACTTGATTGGGTTTCAATGCCTTTATTCAATAAGTCACAGTCAAATTTTCTTTCATTATCAAGGGGTAGTACAATAAAAAATGATAATTTTTTTGGACAAAAGTAATAATGCACCGCAGCTCAAAAACCTATTGTTTCTTTAGCCACAATACGCCCCTCAAAACGCAAAGGTTGTTTCAAACCAAGCCTAGATAGAAATGTTGTGGAGTTCACTCCATTGTCCAAGTTTGCTTTGAAACCAAAAAAAAATTGCATACCGCATTTCTGTTGCTCTATTTCTTCTATAAGATATATTATCAGAAACACGTAATAAGCTTAAGCATTGTTACAAATATTCCATTGTTATGGTAAAAAAAGTCATTTTAATGCATGTGAACCTCTTTGCATTTTTCCAGCTAGAGTTGATGCAAACTTGACAACCAATACTACTAAAACATAAATGTTAACTGAAGTAAACGTGTAAATACACTCTAATTTCACAGATTATATGGGCATTGAATTCATAAAAAATGTATTCTAATGTTGCAACTGAATTAGATCTTCTTCATGTGGGATAAAGATTACCATTGCCCAAGTGTGGAGCATGAAGAGAGAGAATCGCGGCATTGAGCTCAGGCCCTGATAAATCAGATGAGAGCTCTGAAAGCAATTCATCATCACCCATCGATGGCCTTGGATCACATTCACTGCGATGTCTCTGGCATAGCTCACAAACATAGACTGAAGAACTTTTCTGGTTCAAGGAAGAAAGATAAACACGAACAGTCAGAAGAAAAAAATTCTGGTATGGACTAATGTTTAGTTTTACAACGGAGGGCAGGAACAAACATGAAAAAAAAATCAAAATAAATTACCAGTTTCAAATAAGAAATAACTGTGAATAATGACCTAAAAAAAGAAGTTTAACAAAGGCAAGAATATGCATGAACAAAACGACTGGCAATGGAAGGAGAGGAATATGCATGAAAAATAAGAGAGTTCAGGATTCAAGAATGCATGCGTAAGATAAGTGCAAAACTAGACAAATCAAGGAAGAAAAAGCCACTACACATCAGAAGGTTTTTCTTTTATAAGAAGTTCAGGTTTTTTGAACTTAGATATTTTGACTCACTGTCTAGCATAGTTAGAGCATTTAACTAGTTATTTCACTAGAGCATGCTTCTATTCATTGTCCATTCTAAGTGTCATCTCCTTAGTTCGAGAGTTGTTCATTTTCTTAAGTCAACTGCACCATTCTCTCCATCAAAGCCTTTTAATATGCATCTCCTAATAACTTAGGTAACCATAGGTCTGACCTTCAACATCATACACAACTAATTTGTTCTTGCTTGGGCTATGGGCTAGCACTTCTGAGAAATCTGTCTCATTTCAACTATGTTAATATCATATACCAGTCCATTCAATATATTTGACTCATCAAATGGGGGTTTGTTAACTCAATCCATCTTTTCAATTTAGTATGCTTTATCATCCTTCATCCATCAGAAAAGTCTCACTACCAACAACTTGCATCAAGTATAGGATCTATATCTGAACAAAGTACAGCATGTCTATCAAATAATAGACAAAAGATAGTAGTTTTCTTTTTAAGAAATTAAAGGATGGAAGAAAGCCAAATTACAACATTTCCAAAATCAATTGCAAGTCAAAACAAAGGAAAAAAAGAAGTAAGAGTCAATGAATAAAATCATAAAAAAGATAATGTCACAAGACATGTTGGTACTGTACATATATTCTTAAAGGAAATAAGTCAAAATCTCTTGTTTAGACAATAAAATTCCATACTAGGTTTCGAAATAATAAATTCATGTCATGTCTATTATCCACAATAGGTTCATTTCAACCAACTATAAAACTCAAACCTGGAAAATTAATTGAATCACTTTATAAAATGATGTGAGAGAGAATTAGGTAGTACATACTTTGCAATCCTTGCACACCAGAACCAGCATCCTGCAATAGGTGCATCGGCATCTAGATGAATAATCATCAAATGAAGTACCACACAGTAGGCATGATCCCATAACAGTCACATCTTGGCTTCCAACTGAAACTCTGATGCATTTCAAAGAGCAACAAATCAATTTCTTTATGCACAAACCAAATACCCATGTCATGACAGTTTCACTCAAATCTATATCCTACCCGAACACGACGCTTTATATTACCCAAAACAATGTTTGTCTCACAGAGAAATCTGCGTCAACCACTTTGTTCAAAGATTGATTGAAATTGCCAAATGAACTTTCATAAAACAAACGCCTAGGAATCTACTATTGTGTTGTCAGTGATATACAACGAAATATAGGGTTCAAGATTCAAAAGACAAAAAAATCACATATTAATATCATTATCTCATTTCTTTTGTAGATATAAACGTGGACAGTATTCTAATATCAATAGGTCAAATGGACTATGCTAAGTTGTTCCATGGCTGACCCGTAGATCACACACCAGGCACGTAGGAGCTGGCCGTCCAGCGGGCAGACTCAATTCATGTAAAGATATGAAGTGATTATAATAGGAAATAAAAGATTACAATGTGTGAATATGAACTCTCTAAAAAAGAATTTATGACTTTCGATACTGATCAATATGTTACAGCTGTTTGGGAGACAGAGAACAGAGTAGAAAATATCCACCTGTAATCAAAAACAAAATTCTTTCCCTTGAAGAATCCACCATCTGGAAATTGCTCTAAATACCGCTGGATTCCACCAAATAACTGTGACAGAACGGAGTCAATCAATGGACACCTCGGGGGAATACAACGCATACAAGACAAGGAAAGGTTAAAGGAACAAAGAAAATTTAATTGCTCTGATTTTTGCCAAGGACAGCAGACACAGATCATGTCTACCAACCACCTACAATAACCCCCTTCATTTTACCAAGAATTCAATCATTCTGTATCAGAAAATATGGAAGATGATGATGGTAAACTTCCTGGTCATGTGTGATGAAATAGTCCACAAATAGAGATAGTAACACCCATCATATGCTGAAGGGTAAAAGAGAGCATTTTGTTGAGAATTGATCTTGATTGAGATTCTTGCAACTTGGAGAATGGAAGGATTTGATCTTCACGATCCTCCAGGAAGATGAATCAGTCACCACTTCTTGGAGCAGAATTTCCGCAATCCCAAAATCTTACATCAATTATCTTGGTTTCCCGCTTAAGTACAGGTTACATGAGTTAATGGGCCAGGCCCATTACATTGGTCTTTAAGTGGATCCGTTAACAGTCTAATGGATCCACTTAACATAGGGAATGCCAGAGAAGGACGAAAACACAGTGAAAAGAAACAAATAGAAAGGAAAAACAATCCTAGAGAGTTCAACACCCCCTCTCAGGTTGGGTATGGATGTTTTCCATGCCCAACTTGGACACCATCCTTTGAAATATTGGTCTTGTGAGGCCCTTTGTGAATATGTCAACAACTTGTTCTGATGTCCCAACATATATCAGATCTACATCTCCTGTTTCTACTCTTTATTTGATAAAATGTCGATCCACTTCAATATGTTTAGTCATGTCATGTTGTACAGGATTTCGGGCAATAAATATTGCTGACTTGTTGTCACAAAACAATTTAATATGATTTGATTGGTTGACTCTCAATTCGTCCAGCAAACCTCGAAGCCATAAGCCTTCACATATCCCTTGGGCCAATGCCTTGAATTCTGATTCAGCACTAGATCGTGCAACTATTTTTTGCTTTTTGCTTCTCCAGGTCACAAGATTTTCACAAACAAATGTACAATAGCCCGATGTTGATCTGCGATCTATAACAGATCCTGCATAATCAGCATCAGTGTAGATTTCAACAGATTGATTCCCTCCTTTTTTTTAATAGAATGTCCTATTCTGTTGTTGTCTTTAGATATGTCAACACTCAATATGCTGCATGTAGGTGTATCTCCCTTAGATCATTCATATGCTGACTAAGTACATTCACTGCAAATGTTATATCCGGGCAGCATGATTTAGATATATCAACCTCCCAGTCAACCGTTGATATGAGCTTTTGTCCACCTGATCAGAGTTTTTACCTTCTCCCAAATTTAAGTTGGGATCAATTGGAGTGTCAGCAGGTTTACACTCTAATTTTCTAGTCTCTTGAAGTAAATCAAGAATATACTTATGTTGTGAAAGAAATACACCGCCTTTTGAACACAACCTCAATTCCCAAGAAATATTTTAACCTTCCTACAGATTTGATCTCAAATTCTCTAGATAGATTTTGGCCAGACATTTAATCTCCTCAGTATCATCTCCTGTTATGATGATATCATCTACATACACAATTAAGGCTGTAACCTTGTTTCGGTCACCATGCTTAATGAAGAGAGTGTGATATCCATTGCTTTGTATATACTCAAATCCTTTCATAGCTTGAGTGAATCTCCCAAACCAGGCTCGGGGTGATTGTTTTAAGCCATATAGCGATTTCTTCAACCTGCAAACAACATTATTTCAATGGGTAAATGTGTAACCAGGAGGTATATGCATATCTACTTCTTCCTCCAAATTTCTGCGAAGAAATGCATACTTCACATCAAATTGATGCATTTCCTATCCTAGATTTACTACCAATGCTGTAAACATCCAGATGGCATTCAACTTTGCAACAAGAGCAAACGTCTCAAAATAATCAATTCCATAAGATTGTGAATAGCCTTTAGCTATCAACCTTCCCTTGTATCTTTAACATGTTTCATCAGCTTAATACTTAAGAGTATATACCCACTTGCAGCCAACCACCTTTTTTCCTGAAGGCGAAGGGACTAAGTTCCATGCACAGTTCTTCTCTAGAGCATCAATCTCTTCATCCATGGCATGACTCCATTCTTTGTGTGACATGGCCTCTTCTACTGTCTTAGGGATAATCATTGTCTTCAAGTTCATTAGAAAAACCTTGAACAATGGTGTTAACCTATCATTCGATAGGTAGTTGACCATAGGATAGAGTGGTTTATTTATACAACTTCTCTTTCCTTTGCGTAGAGCAATGAGCCAATCTAGTTGCGCCTCATCAATGGCTTCAGTGAACTGATGATCCTCTTCTTGATCAGAATTATAAATTTGAGATGTGTCTCCTGTACTTGGACTAGTTTCTTCTGTTGGTTCTTTCTACAGTGCAGGTAAATCATTCATCTCAACTGTGTTTTGTGTCTCCACTCTAGGTCGGCTCCTATACACTTGTATTTATTTGATTCTAGGAATGAGTCTCCTGAATCACGAATTCATTTGTCCTATAACTCAGTGGCAGCAATCGAGTTCTCTAACTCTTGTGGATTTTTCACCCCATAATATGGTTCCAACTCATTAAAAGTCACACTAGCTGAGATGAAGAATTTTTTAGAAGCAGGATTATAGCACTTATAACCCTTTTGTGTAGTTGAGTACCCAACAAATATACACTTTATAGATCGTGGATCAAGGTTTTCCACTATGCTTTGAGCATGAATATAAACAGTATATCCAAATACCCTTGGACGAAGATGAGTCTTTAGTTTCACATGAGGATAGAATGTACTCAACAATTCCATAGGACTTTGATATTCTAGTGTTTTTTGCTGGGATCCTATTAATAAGATGAGTACTAGTGAGGACAGCTTCGCCCCCAATATTGCCTTAAAACTTTTTGTTGAAACAAAAGAGCTCTAGCTGTATTCAGTAAGTGTCCAATTTTTCTCTCAGCAACCCCATTTTGTTGAGGTGTGTTGACACAAGATGACTCATGAATTATCCCTTTCTGATCAAAGTAAGAGGACACAACCGAATTGAAATAGTCTCTATCATTATCTGATCTAAACCTCTTGACAACAGTTCCGAATTGATTATAGATCATTTCACAAAAAAAAATCACCACTTAAGTGGCATCTGATTTTGATTTTAGGAGGTAAACCCAAGTAAATCTAGTACATTCATCAACAAATAAAATAAACCACCTGCATCCAGACAAGCTAGTCATAGGCGATGTCCCCCAAATATCATTGTGTATACAATATAAAGGGATTGTACTATGTTCACCAGCATTCCAAATGAAAAACATTTATGTTTGACCAATTGGCAAGAGTCACACACTAGAGGTTTTATATCAACACCTTCAAACATAGAAGGAAACTGTGTTTTTAGGAGATCAAAGGAAGGATGTCCAACACGACAGTATTGTAACAGTATACTATTATTTTTGTGTTCACTGACTCCACTCCAAGGTGACTACTGTACAGACATCGTCGCACGATCATCCTCTTCCCAGTAGAGCAAGCCTCCTCCTTCCTTAACATGTCCAATCTTCAGCCTTGAGACCTTGTCACACAATGTACATCCATCGTCCTCAAGAATGAAACGACAATTAATATCTTTAACAAGTTTCTACGGTAAATCATATGAGCCTATAGTTTAGGCACAAGTAAAACATTTCTTAAAGTGCCTAAATGATTTATTTTCAAGTTCCCAATCGCTTCTACTGGTAGAATCTCACCATCACCAGTAATAACTTTCCTCTGCCCATCACATTTCGTATAATCAAGAAATTTGCACATATTTGAGGTCATATGGTCTGTGGCGCCAGAGTCAAGTATTTTGGACAATTTAGAAAAACTGTTGAATGCATATGAGATTTTGAGAAAAAATTATTCTCACCTGACTGAACCAAGGATGTAGAGCTCAACATATTCTTGAGTTTCTCTACTTCCGCCCTCAGTTTTGCAAATTCATTACCCTTCTGCTGATTACTAGGATTGGGAGGTTGCTTTGTCGCAGATTGACCTTCTATAGTCTCTGCTGGTTGAGAAGTAACCACATATCCCCTCCCCTATTGAGGTGGTCGTCCATGTAACTTCCAGCAATTTTCTCTTGTATGATGCTTCTTTTTGCAATATGAACACCAAAGGTTTTCTTTGTTATCCCACTTTTGGTATCTTCCCTGTGATGCAGTGATTGGGTTTTGATTTCCCTCCTTTTTCTCTAATTGATTCCCTTAATCTTAATTTCTGGACGCAAAGGCTGTTGACTCAATCTTCCCAGTATTGATTAGACTCAATCTACTCTCCTCTTCCATAATAATATGGATAACTTCATCCAGATCAGGTACCTTCTCACGATGTATACATGCGAAATGTGTACAGAGTTCAGTCCTATTAGAATGTATACATTCTATGTTTCAATGTATACATGCGCTCCTCAGATTTAATGTTCTTAAATCTCATATCAGAAATGAGTAAATGTGAAAAGCCAAGAAATGAGCTAATGTGAGAAAAGATTAATTGGGCTTCACAGGTGGCGGACGTGTAAGGGAGTTTCTAGGTGACACTTTTTAAGAATGGACCACAATTACGAGTTTTAATAAGACAAGTCACCAGATCTATGTTTGCATAATGGTGTAAAAGCATTCATAAAGTTTGCAAGAAAAACATACATTTTTTCTATTTTTATATGGCTACATTATCAGAAAATAACACAAGTAAATGTTGACACGATTTTTTTTTACATTGGTAACTTCACTAGAGGGTACAGGTATAGCTATACCCAGCAACTCATTTAGGCCAGCTCATGCACTTGATTACCTATCCTGGCATCAAGCCCAATGTTTTATACTCGATCTAACCTGGGGAACAGGTTGAGAGAAAAAATTATCAGCATCAAGAACACCTCATCTGGAGTTCCTGTGCATCTTGCCTCCTCTCTATTTTCCTAAAGTTCCACCTGGATGATGATTAGAATCCATCAATAACCCACCATTCATGTCAATAGCTATAGGTATATAGCTTACGCCTGCCCCAACTTTCATGTCAATAACCCAGGAAAAAAAATCTAACTGAATCCACTATACTATCAACAATTGCCACCATCGTTCTCACCCATCTAACCCATAACATGAAATTACAATAAAAGTCCAGCACACTATAAATAATAAAATGCTCAAAAGAATCAAGGAAGATAAGTCTACTTCCTATATTTCTTTTGATTCCTACTAATAACAAAACAAATACCAGAATGATACAACCGAACATAGTACACTATATAATGACGAATTTCTTCGAACCAATCAAAATGGGCAGCAGTGTTCTCCATGCGATATTCAAACAAGATTAATTCTTCAGTTTACAAACACTAATTGGCGATGTTGATAATTTACAATAAATACCTGGTAAACATTGTCAAAACCAGCACCTTTTGATCTGAGATAGGCTGATGCCATTTCACACCGGATACCTCCAGTGCAGTACCTATAAGGCGGCATTTATCAAAAGCTAATGATTGTAAAAGATTTAATCAATCATAAAGAGAATGCCGAATCGAAAAAGTAAATTACATTAGCACACGATTATTGCGCAACCGTTCAGAATGCTTATCAATCCAGGCAGGTAAGTCACTATACTGCCTAATTCCCGGATTCAGTGTCTCTGCATTGGGTGACTGGAACATCCCAATCCTTGTCTCATACAAGTTCCTTGCATCCAACAGAAGAAGCTGTTTGTGTTGTACTGAGCCCTTGGAATCGACATCTCCTGCTGATAACATCATTTATTAAGCGAAACACAAACAACAGTCACAAAATCATGCCCATTGACAATGCTCTACGATTCTGAGTACTGTGATAATTAATGAATAGTTAATTCGCGCAGTTCCTTCTCACCAACCAGAATTGTGCAAAACAGAGTGAAACTCAGCTGCAGAGAGATGTTTCCCAGCATTTGAAATACTTGGTGACTTCAACAGAGGATGGGGTATGAAAGTAACCAATTCCTGAAGAAACCATAACAAAATAATTAAATCAGAAAGTGCATGATAAAGAATGGGATATCCACTTTCCCATAATCAAAGAACTATCAGATGGCCACCATCTGTGTATCATGCACCTTAAATGCATGGAGAAACTACCCATATAAAAATAGCACTCAGTTGTTTTGATAAGATAAATTTTGCCATTTTTTATGAAAGTAAAACGCATTTATCATTGGAGAGGTCACAAAAAGCACCGGATAGAGGGAAAGAAAAAATTAACAATAAATGCATGTTTCAGTTGGAACTGCAATTAAAGTTGCTCAAACGCTGCATCATGAGGGTATGCTTCTTTGAATAGCCACTGCACACAAGAACCTTAGGCAGAAGCATGACTTCTTGGTTTAAAGGTTATATTTTCTACCACTAAGAGGATGTTAAGAATGTAACAACATAGAAAAGGAACATCTCACCGTTGATTGACCAAGGTAATATGGAGGATGGCAAATTCCAGATCATTCAAAACAGAAAAAATAGGCAACGCTAGTTCTCACAACAATGAATTTCTATGCAAATAATTTAAATTAACTTAAGGAACTGTTTGCAGACGCATTATTTCCAAAAACACATTACATGCCCAAAACTGCATAAATTCTTTCCAGACTCAGAAGACAAGAAAATATGACCATGAGACATCCAAACAAGGGAAGTAACTGTTGAGACAAGAAATTTATCCAGCATTCCGTGAATTTGAAAAATGAATGCTTACACATATCCATGAGATAAGACTTTATGATAACAAGCGTGGTAAAGTAAGCACAACATTGTATTAAAATGAAGTAAAATGTCCTCCAATGCAATCGGCAATGAAGGAATTTTTTTTCTTAGAAGAAAGCAATGGGTCACCTTGGTTATTATACGCCATTATCCTAAGCTAGAACAACTAGAATGAAAGATGCTGGAAAAATTAAGAAAGTATATCTCTACAGAAATAACTTATACCAAAAGGAATGAGTCCAGAGAGAATTGTCAAAAAAGGCAAGCATACTTCAAACTTTCAAGCAAGTCAAAGGCAAAAAAAATGTGATTCCCCAGAATTGTCACGTAACTAGAATTATTGAGTATCATAAGCAAACGCCAAAAGATAAAGATGACAACTTCAGAGAGAGCATTTCTTTTGGTAGCCCAATCACAAGCAAAACGAAAGGTCATTCCCTTCTACACGGACCATTTGTGTCTCCTTTGATCTTAGATTATCTTTTCTTCCTCATTTTTCATATCCTTTTTGAGGCTTCACCCCTTTAGCAGTTTCATGAAGATGGATGAATCACAGCTGCGTTAGAAGAGCGCCAGGCATGGGCCAGAGAGAGAAAACTCCATGATTCTTAACAGTCGCCATAGAAGAAGAACCATCAAATGCAGATCAAAAGTTGCACCTCATATTTTCATCAAATCATGGAATCCACGGTTCCCCTACTTTCATTCATTAGAAGAAACGTGGATTTCAAAGTGAACCTTATTATTCCACTTTCTTACTCATTCTGCCTCTGAACCTGTTCGATTTATCAAAGATAAAGACAAATAATCCCACTCAGACACTGACATTTCAAAACATCCCAAGAGTTCACACTAAATGACATCTCTTCCCAATATTGTAGAAGCTTCTACACCAGAGCTGATCAAAGTAATGAGAAGAATAACGCACTAAATGATGGAAACGTAAATTATTTTTTTCCCTTTGTCTGTCAGGATAAATTTAACCAGCTGAGATAGTCAGAAACCTCACAGAAGAAAAGAATTTCGTGATTACTCCAACTCCACTATGAATATAGCTGTTTTTTTAAAAACTCCACCCATCTTAATTATACACCTTCATATAGGTAAAATACGCACTGTATTTCAGGGAGACAGTTACCTGGTTGGAATCGAACTGTAATGACTCTACTCAACCATCTCTGACCAATTCCATTTGTAGTGCACAATGAAGTAAGATTCCTTAAACCGTCATCAACCCTTTTCGAATTAATCTGAGACTAGGTAAGACCTGGTCAAGCTGGATGGCAAAGCCACATGGAATCCAGCATAACCTTCCAGCTGACTGAAAACCTGATATCAAACTCCGGTTAGCTATGCTGAGACCTAGCTAGACTAGTTTCTGAGCATAAAGAGCTTGCTTCTGATGAAAAGTGCTAAAAATTTTAGGCAACGGTAGTTGGCTACTAATGCTCACTGATGTCATAAGAATAGAAAGGAATTTCCTGATATCGTGGTCTTTTATAGGGCAAGAAGTATACAAAAGTTAAAACAGAAGGGAAGGAACCGGTAGTAAATGGTGAGAAAGAAACAAAAACAAAGTGAAAGTGACAATCACATTTCATTGCCTGGTTTTTGTAAAATGACATAACATAAGCGGAAAAGAAGAGGACCCTAAGGCCAAGCAAAAACCTGTGGATGGTAAGAAAGAAAGATTCACAGGTGGTCTAATTACTTTGACTTCAACTGATGCCCACACTAAGCCTTGTTCTTTATTTGGAATTGATACAACATATTCCTTAGGGATCAAGAATAGTTAAGGTATTCAGAAGTATTTTTATAATTAGTTCTCAAAACAACCCTAATGACAATAGTAAGAGACTACCCCAGGATGGTGTAGACAGTTCTCAACAGTTAATCAACCCCTTCCAGGTTTCATAGAATTCTTGCCCACTCTTTCGCCGAGGAAGAAACGAAAAGAAAAACCCTATCAACTAAAACACAGTCATGAACGGATTAATGATCAACATACTTGTTCCTAATAGCCCAAAGGGTATCATGGGGAATTAACCATTGTAGTTTACAGAACCTTTGAGCACTCAGTTCCACTAACAACCCATCCATAGATACTGACTATGCATACTGTGAGCGGAAGCAATGTAGAAAACACATGAACCATATCTTCCTCCTCCCACATTTAATGTTAAGTGGATGGTGACCTAGTCAATAACACAATGGCTCTAATATTCTCACAATTTCTGAAGGCATTAGGCGCCACCTGAGCATGTTGTTCTGAGCCCTCCCCATAATAATCCTCAACTGTGCATAGCAGAACTGGCATTTTCAATCCTTTTACGAATAGTTTCTCTAGAAGTCTTGGCAACACTTGGCACAAGCACTCCAAAAGGCTTTAGATTAAAAATATCTTAATTAAAAACCATCTAATTTTGACCACAGTCAATTCCTTCATCTTTTTCTTGAGAACATAGAAAAAAGGACCATATTTTGGGCCTCATATCTATCAGCACTGATTTCCATATTTGTTTTAAGGTTGTCTTGGTTGTCAGATACGACATATTCCATCTTGTTTAGGCAAATACTAGGGCTCTGCTGCTGTAAGATTTATTCAATTATCGATTTAATACCTAAACCATCTCTAGGAAAGATCAAAAAAAGCAAAAGCAATTGCCTATATGTGGAGCCATACATTGATTAACGCTCCAAGACCTAAAATAATGTAGACGACATACATCTACATTATTGGCGTTGGGGTGTTCCAGAAATATGGAAGACCTATGGCATGATATGAATGTCTTAACCTACAAAGACAGAGTAAGAAGGAATCAGATGCATATGATCAAAGGTCAACCTTCTTTGGTGGTAGTTCTTAAGGAGATCTACAACGAAATATACTACAGCTCTCTTCCACCCATTCTACATTTTCTACAATTTCTCTCTACATTGGTCCATTACGACTATTCCATTATTGTGGCATTTACACAATAAGACCAAAGACCCAAAATGTTTGTCAGGACGTAGCACGTAGCACGACATTATTGATTGAAATGGTATTAAGATGAACAGAATAAGTGACAGACACTCCTTTCATGATTAGGAGGCAACTTGTGCGGAAAGGCGTTCTTTTGCACGGTAACAAAAGTGTGGCAAGTGAAATGTGTTGCCCTTCACTCTTCTACTTGTGGGTCAAAATGGTGATTCTCCCTTGCATATCCAATCTGCGACCTCGAAAAATACATCGCCCAATGTATGCTTATATAGCAGGCATTCACCTACAAAAAGTAGCCCCTACCGGATTCCAGGTGATAAACGAAAAAACGAGGATACAATATTGCCTCGCTATAATCGAGAGAAGTAATTCACTTTATGAATGACGTTGAAAAGATGAGGAAAGAAAGGAAGAGAGAGTGGAGACAGAGAGAGCGATAACCTTGACAACTCGGACGGAGAGGGACGTAAACCCGCACTCCCTGGAGATCCTGTCGTCGGCAGGGCCATCACAGCAGGCGAGCTTGAAGTCCGTACCATCAAATAAGCAGTTCGATTTCATCGTCGCGATGTGTTCATCTAACGACGATAACTTCCCGCCGACCTACACATACGAGTTACAGCGAAAATCACTGGAGGAGCATTTCCAGATCCCTCATCCCTCATCCAACAGATCGAAAGCGGAGAATCGCGTACAGTGACGTTAACACCATCAGGACCGACGCGGACGCGGCCTAGAAGACCGAGGGAGCGGCAGTTGGATTCATAAAGCCGTACAAGGGCGTCGATGTCTGGCACGGGCGCGTACTTGTAATACAGAAGGACACCATCGCCTCCTCCTCCTCCACCCCCATCTTCGGGTCCCCTCTCCTCCGCCATGGAAGAAGGGAAAACCGCTCTTAGAACCCTAGACCCTGAACCAGCAACGGTCGAATAACAGATTAAGAAGGTTCGGAGCGCGAGGTCGGAGAGTCAACGTAGAAGAAAGCGTGAAATTATATATCCATCCTTACTTTTTTGACATGTTGCAATTCAACACGCTTTCTTATATACTCTTTTGTCTATGCCCATCCCAGGAGGAGCCCACAAACCAGGAAGTAGTTTTATTTTTTTAAAATACCGAACTTACCTCTTTACTAATTATTATGCTCATCCATAATGATCCAATTAAATTATTATTATTTAAAATTATCACACGATTTATTATCTCTTTGACACCCATGAAGAATTAATAATAATAATTCCTGATGCAATATTTTTAGAAATTAATTAATTTTAAAATACTGTTCCGATAACCCATTTTCAATATTTTTGTCATTATTTAAATATTTTATGGCATTTAAATTAAAAATACCATTTTTTAATACGTTTCGATATCATATTTTACACTATTATTCTTCTTTTACCCTCACATGTATTTAAAAGAGAGTTCCTCATGAGATTTTACATATAATCACCATTTCTTGTAAAAATTAATTTTAAACCCCCCATTGGCATAGTTATTCTCCTATTAATAAGATTATACCAATATTTTTCCAAATCTTATTGAATATCATTGAACTATATTATAACATTTTAATTAATAATACCATTTTAATACGTTTTAATATCGTATTTTCACTATTATTATCTTTTTATCCTCATATCGTGAGATTTTTACATATAATCACCATTGCCTATAATAATTGGGAACTGGGCCTGGTCATACCTGGTTTATCTTGAGCCTTAAGCCCAAATAATATAAACCGGACTAAGTTGTTGATGGGCTGTCTATAGGCCCATTAACGTCCTTGGCCAACTCTCGAATTCAATCTTGGAAAGTTCCTGTTCTTGTGGGCCCACATTTCGCTGCCCCAGGTGGTGGGTTGCAAGTACTGTCGCGGGGCCCACCTTCTGTTTACGTGTATGGTCTTAACAACAGCGATTTAATTGTGACAGCGAGAAAGAGAGAGATAGGGGGGGGAGAGAGAGAGAGAGAGCTGTGCCCGGGCCTCAGGCCCACTAAACTCGATTTAGTTATCGTCGACGTCCGCTCCGTGTCGGCGCTGAAGCCCTTCCCATTCAAGCCCTTCCGCGTAAGGAAGGAACCATCCTTTTGGGGAAATTTCAAAAATTATTTACTTTTTAAAAAAAATCCGGTCTTCGGTTATTACAATAAAAATTAGAACTCAATAAATCTGTAAAAAACAGACTCACATTTATATTAGTATAATAATGTAAATGCGCCATTCACCTTGGGAAGAGTCGGGCCAAACCCAGGCGGGCTCCGGGCTTTTTTTTTTTCTCTGACATACGATCTTTCTTTTTGAATTTTTGCTAAACGACTTAAATGTAAGCATCAACAAGCCTATATGAGCGGCTAGAGCAACCGGTAACGTGGTATTCAAGCCTCTGCTAAGGCTATTGGGAAAGCTGCTCACAGTTCTCCCTTCAATCTTGGGAGTGAAACCATACTCCTGGAACGAGTTTATACAGTTGGTTCGTCTCCCATAATTCTCTCCATCAGGGCGTTCACCCCCACCATTTTCGTAGCACCGAGCTTCATGATATCCTCTGAGGATTTTCATTGTCATGCTTTCTGACAGTCGCTTCGGTGCAAATATATGAAGAACCTGTTTGGGAAAAATCCTCGTTAGTGAGCTTGAACTTTTGTGCTAGATCATTCTGAACTGAAGGCATCATTTTACTGCATGAAGAAGACACGTTAATTGTTGCTGTGGATTCTCTTCATCCCATTGCACATGATTTTCTACCGTATTATTTCTAGAGAGAGAAAAAAATCCTTTCACCCATTTGGCACTGTGTGGAGATGAAGATTCTAGTTGTTATTAAACAGCTTCATGGGCTTATTCACGTGGATGGCTTCTTGCTTTTGTTCCTTGTAAATACATTCAAATGGCCTGCTGTTTGTTAGGGATAAGTGTGATGTTCTGAAGCAGGCAATCGATAGCACGATTGCAGTAAAGTAACAAGGACAATGACATCAGTGTAGAGTCAAACGGAGGTTAACCATGAAGTATGAATTCATAAAGGATTTAACGGCGTTTATGATAGTCTTATAACATGGCAAAATATGTTACATTGATTTGTCTCAATCTTGAGGGTTTAGAGAGAAGAAAAAAGATTCTATGTGCATTGTTGATGATTTGCTTAATTGTTCCGGATCTTGCTCTCAATTCTTATTGTAGAAGTTCTTGTCTGCATTTACAATGGATCCATGCCCATGTTCATCCCCAAGGTTAAAGAGTGCACCAAGAAGAAAGCATCAAATTATATATACATCCTTATTTATTTCAAAAGTTCCAATTCATCACACTTTCTTTTTATACTATTTTGTCCATGTCCATCCCCAAGAGGAGCCCACAACCCAAGGGGTAGTTTTACTTTAAAAAAATAGAAAACTTACCTCTTTACTATATTATTATGCTTATCCTTAATAATCCAATTTAATATTTTATTCCTTTTAAATTAGTATTATCTATGTAAAAAAATATGACTCATCATTTACATGATTTATTATCTTTTTTGACACCCACTAAGAATTAATAATAACCATCCCTTGTGCAATATTTTCAAAAAAATATTAATTATTTTTTTTAATTTAATAACCCATTTTCAGTATTTTTTATATTTATGCTCTCGACATATTCAATAATTTAACTAATTTATTAAATTTTATTTAATAATAATTTTTTAAAATTCCTCATGAGATTTTTTATATATAGTCACAATTTCTTGTAACAATTGGTTTTAAACCCTATTTACCTAGTTATTGGTGTTATTCTCCTCTTTAAAAAATTATACCAATATTTTTCCAAATCATATTGGATATCACCATTTAGTTGATCATTTACCTATTTTATAACATTTTAGTTAATAATACCAGTTTTGGAATACGTTCTTACATATGGAATTTTGTACTATTATTGTTCTCTTATGCTCACATTGATTTAAAAGAGAATTCATCATGAGAGTTTTTACATACAATCACCATTTCTTATATTAATTGGCTTTAAACCTCATTGACGAAGTAATTGCTGTTATTCTCCATTTTAAAATAATTCTATAAATATTTCCCTGAATCATATTGAATATCATTGAACTATTTTATGACATTTTAATTAATAAGATCCCTTTTTAATACATTTTAATATCATATTTTACACTATTATTGTCTTTTGACATATAATCACCATTTCCTGTAATAATTGATTTTAAACCCCATTTATGTAGCTATTATTGTTATTCTCCTCTTAAAAAAATATAACAACATTTTTCCAAATCATATTGGATATCACATTTTTCACTATTATTGTCTTCTTACCCTCACATCAACTTAAAAGTGATTTACTCTTGGAATTTTTACATATAATCACAAAATTCCAGTAATAATTGGCCTTAAACCCCATTGACGCAATTATTGTTGTTATTTTCATTTTTAAGATACTTATATAAATATTTTCCCATATCATATTGAATATCATTGAACTATTTTATGGCATTTTAATTAATAAGACCATTGCTTGAATATGTTTTAGTATCATATTTTACACTATTATTGCCTTTTGACCCTCACATCGATTTAAAAGAGAATTCCTCGTGAGATTTTTACATATAATCACCATTTCCTGTTGTAATTAACATCTGGGCCTGGTCATACACGTTTAGCTGGGCCTCAAGCCCAATAAATATATGCCGCTGTCCCCAGGCTCATTAGCACCCTTGGCCAAATCTCGGATCCAGTCTAGGAAAGTTCCTAAACTGGCCAAACCGCTGCCCCAAGTGGTGGGTTCCAAGGACCATTTACGGAATCAGACGACAGGTACTAGCCGGGGATAGTGATACGTTCTCAACCACAGCGGGAGAGAGAGAGATAGAGAGAGAGAGAGGGAGGTAACTGCACAGCGAAGTTTGAAACTCGGAACTGGGCCCGGGTCTTAGGTCCACTAGACTCGATTTAATTGTCATCGACGTCCGCTTCCGCATCGGCGCTGGCAGCTCCATTGAAGCCTCTCCTACTCACGCCCTTCCATGTACGGAACCAACCTTCTGGGGTAATTTAAAAAATTATTTACTTTTTTTAATTCCGGTCGTCGGTTATTGCAATAAAAATTAAAACTCAATAAATCTGTAAAAAACAGACTCACATCTATATAGTATAATAATGTAAATGGGCCATTAACCTTTGGAAGAACCGGGCCAAACCCAGGCAGGCTCCGGGCTTATTCGGCCCACGGCCGGCCATATTTCGGGCTTGTATAGGCTGGCTCGGAAGCAGGCGCCACTACTATAAATAGTGCAGTACCACAGACAGTACAGTTTCATCCTCCTTTATATATATATATATATATATATATATATATCTAAATGTACTAAATATACTTTTTAGAATAAATTAATATCATATTAAAATACCCTTGACCAAGGTAATGAATTGACAGTCTGGCGAGTTACATTAATTAATAAGAGTTTAGTCGTACCCTCAAGGGAGGGGGATTTAAGCCGGTGGGCCCAACTTATTAAGAAAATGGCTGGTCAATTCGCTGATAAAAGAAGGGGCCCGGGCCTATTCTTAACAAGATCGGGCCAGACTTACTCGGAAAAACGTCGCTGGTGGGGACTTTTGAAGCGTCGTTGGATGGCTGGGGATTTTGAAGCGTCGTCGGAAAAGCCCGCTGGTGGGGATTTTGATCGGGCCAGACTTAGTCGGAAAAGCCCGCTGTTAAAATAGCCGGTCAATTAAATTTACCGAGAAAGAGAGTGGGCCTGACGCCCCTGACAGATAAGGATGGGCCCATTATTAACATAATCGGGCCATACTTACTTGCAGAGGCCCGCGGGGGGTGGTCGCTGAGAGCTGGTGGCATTGAAGAGGATCAACGACCAACTGAGGTCCGACAAGATGGAGGGGTGGAAAGAAGGGGGGAGATAAGCAGTTTCAAGGTCACGCGTGTTTATTAATTAAAGGCATTTACTGCCAAAGGAGAGAGAAGCTCCGTCGTCGTCGGTCGTCGCCGGTGATCTTCCGGCTACCCACCGGCGACGGTGTTTGGTGCCAAACCCTAACCACCATGATTCCTCCTTCTGCCTCGTGACTTCTCTATCTATCTCTAGCTATCTCCAGCTCTCTATCTCTATCTCTATCTCTCTATCTCTCTCTCTCTTGCTTGTCTCACTTTGGTGCTGCTGTAACTCTCTGGTGGAAGGGGGAGGGGTTAATGGCGACCGGTGGAGGCGGTGTTAGATGGGGGCGGGTAGCGATACGTTGCCGAGGACCGGACGGCACCGGGGAAGAGGAGGAGGGGGAATTTAATGAGGCCCGGAAGGATTTCTGGAGTGTCACGGGGTATAAATTCGCTGCTGGAAGGGGTACTCGGGGTGTCCCCGGAGTGCCGAGCCCACGCCCCAACACTCCCCGACGGGTGTCAACTGTTCGGCGTCCTTCTCCCCCGCGCTGGAGAGTAAGTCGGCGACAATCTGTGCGCTCTTCTCTTCTCTGTTTACCAGTCGGTGTTCGACGGGATGGAGGGGATCGTGACGATGACCAACACTGCTTTTAGCTGGGGGTTTTTGATGGGTGCCTCAATTTGGGTTGGACGGACCTTGAGCCAAGGACGGGCACAGGGGAGAAAGGAGAGAACAGTGTAGTGTAATTCTACCGATTCAAGGAACGCCGATTACAGTAAGAGGAACTTAAGGGAAGGGAAAGATAACACCGAAGGTGTAGGGAACAGAGAACTCTCCCAAGAGTTCTCGCATGGGTCCCCATCTTCCAGATGGCGGATCTCCGTGGTCTTCTTCTTTCTTGACTTCCTGCCTTCTCTCTTCTCCATCTGTCTTCCTATTGTAGAGGCCGCCGGGGTATTTAGCTGAGGCTAATGCCTCAACAGTTTTCCAGTCTTACTCTTTGCTTGATGCATGGCCCTGTATCTTGGAATTGCTGAGATTTCTTACGTAGGCTGAAGCTAGAGGGCTCCCTATCTTTCTCATTCGAGCTATACTCCCATTCTCTCTCTCTCTTTCTCTCTCTGTGATGCTGCCCGTCGGCATATCCATTTATTACCATTTCCTATTCTGCATTAATTTTGTTCAGGGATGGGGGTGGTGGGGGGTTGGCGTACTGACTTCTCAGTTCACCCCCTATTTATTGTGCTGAGTGTAATTTTGTCCTTTTATCGTTATAAAATTGCAGCTTCTCCCCGGTGTATGTTCATCGACGTGCCCTGGCTAATCTCAGCTTCTGAGCATCGGGGCCCGTCTCCTCTCAACTTCAACTTTCTCTTCACTTCTTCGCAGCTCTTCAAGCCCGTAGTTTGGATTCTCCAAGAGGCAACATGCAGCAGCTGATCAAGCCTGTTGCAGTGGAGGTGGAAGGCGGAAAGCCCGGGAAAGATGGGGAGCTTTCAGTCGGTCCAGTCTACCGCTGTATCCTGGCCAAGGACGGCTTCCCTCCGCCCAAGCCCGGGATGAGTACATCATGGGAGCTATTCAGGTGGGTCTTCCCAGTAACTGCGATCTCGTGAAGTGAAAGAAAAACGATAGAACGGCCGAGAATCTCAATGATTGTGTAGTTTATTAGTGGATATCTTGTCCCGTTCGCCTCCCTCCCTTCCAGTGAGTGATTCGTCGATGTTTATTCAGTTCTATGCGGCAAACTAATCTGTGGTGTATGCGATTATCTGTAGCGTGGCTGCCGACAAGTATTCAGGGAACAGAATGCTTGGATGGCGTGAGTTGACGAACGGGAAGGTATCATTCTCTCGGACTTAGAAGGCAGAAGTAGCTTTGCTTAGTAAATCCACTCTAATCAAGTTTCATTCCACGATGTTCTTCGATGGCGCAGTTGGGAGCTTATTTGTGGAAAACTTATGGTGAGGTTTTTAAGGAAGTACTGCACATCGGCTCCGCTCTGCGGCATTTGGGAGCTGAGCCGGTACGTCTCATCTAAGTTATATCATTATAGTTTACACCAATTCTTATGAGACGTATGTATGTATGGATTATGTTCGAAGGTCAAGGTTGTAGGGAAATAGTGTAATTAGTTGAAGTTGTTTTTGGGAAAGTGTGTAGGATGTCCTGCTTCCGTCAGTCCTCTAGTGTAGGGACGACGAGTTTTTCTTCTTGCTGGAGTCGCCAGTTACCAGCACTCCAGCGTCGTCTCTTCTCCCCGCGAGGTCTTCTGCCGGCGAGGCAGTTCTACGACGAGAGAACACTGATCTTTCTCTGTCTCGTGTCTTCGAGAGTGATCTTCATCTGTCATTTGACAGTCTGTCTTAGTTCATCAGCCGCAGGTTCGTCAACGACATCTTCGAATTCATCGGCGTCATTTCGGTCTGCATCAAGCCTTCTGTCTAGAGGCTGAAATATCTAGGTCCATCACCGTTGTTTCCATCTTCATCAGTTTTTTTGAGAGAGGTAAAATCAGCCTCTCTTATCCACGCTTGTCTTAGTCCAGTGTCGTACTCCGTCCTCCTCAGTCCGTCCCCCTCTGTTCTACATCAGTCCTATGTCTTCCCTAGTCTGGTGACCAAAGTCCTCCACATTCCACGTTGCTACAGTTCATGTTGTCTGGTGCTGTCTGCTCACCTCTGCCTTCGTCGGAATGGTCTTCACCATCCAGTCCGTCTGCGAGTTCATTTGTCTCGATCTCACTCGATCGGTGGGAGGGATGCTGGCCCCCGCCTCTCCTGAGAGCTGAACCCCATTATCGCATCAATCGTCATAGCTGAGAGTCTTTGCACCAGCGCTTGGCACTATGTACGTCTCTGAGCAGAGGGATACTCTCCGCGTGCTTGGTGCCACCCTGTCAACCACCTCGTGACTCCGAGGCAGGCTCTGGGTCCCTGGGACATAGTGAGCATCATGATCAAGTCACAGGTGTTTGGTGCTATCATATATATGGTGAGCTGTCCTTGGGGCAGGACAAGCGTCAGAGGAGCCAAAGGTGTCAGCGAATCCACAACCTCAGCGGCGGTCATCTTTGACTACCATCAAAGGGAGAGTTGCTGCCATAACGGATCTTCGTCATCACCAACAAGTGGATGCTCAGAGGGCAAGATTTTCGTCATCACCAACTTAGTCAAGATGAACCTTTCAAAAGTTCATCTTGAGGGGGAGTGTCGGAAGTTCTAGGTTGTAGGGAAATAGTGCACTTAGTTGAGGGTGTTCTTGAAAAAGTGTCTAGGATTTCTCCCTATATTAAGGGGTGAATTGGTTGAATGGAATTGAGGTAGTTTCCGTCGTTCTCCTCTCTGTCCTCCGTGACAGGGGTCGTTTTCCATTTCCAATAGATTCTTCTCTTCATACACACTTTCCTGAACTGCTTAATTTAAACAGGGCTCTCGGGTTGGAATCTATGGAATAAACTGCCCCCAGTGGATAATTGCCATGCAGGTAGGATTTATTTTTACGTCATATTCCATTTTCTATTTTTGGCCAAATGTGGTCCTGAACTTCTGGACTCAGAAAGTATTTGCTACAAGTCTTTTGGTGTATGAACTCCCAGTAATAGAGTGGGCTCTGTGCAGGCTTGCAATGGCTACAACTTGATCTGTGTTCCTTTATATGACACGCTCGGTAATTATTTGACTCTAGCCCTTTTTCCACTTCAGCTCTTACGGGTACTAGAAGCAGGGATTGACATGCTTTGCATTCTAATATGTCTATGAAGTTGCAGTTGGAAGTCCTATGAATTATGCAGATATCAGGTGTGTGTTTATAAGATGATGCTGGCTAAAATGTGTCTGCTTCTTTCTGGTGACAGGGGCAGCAGCAGTCGACTATGTGATAGATCACGCCGAAATCGATTTTGTCTTTGTCCAAGATACGAAAGTGAAAGGAGTAAGAACCCTCCCGGTTAACGAGCAGCATTTTTCCACACTTTTTAGAAGCAACTTAATCTTAAATGTCCTAGGATAGACATTTTGTTTTTCTAACAGACGATCTTGCTTTTGAATTTTTGCAGATTTTGAGCAACCAGTCTGCTAAACGACTTAAATGTAAGCATTAACAAGCCTATATGAGTGGCTAGAGCAACCTGTAACGTGGTATTAAAACCTCTGCTAACAGTTCTCCCTTCTTTTGTTATTGCAGCGATTATTTGCTTTACTAGCTTAACAGACGAACTCAGGAATGATGCAACCAATCTTGGAGTGAAACCATACTCCTGGAACGAGTTTATACTGTTGGTTCGTCTCCCATGATTCTCTCCAATAGGGCTATCTCCCCACCATTTTCTTAGCACTGAGCTTCATGATATCCACTGAGGATTTTCATTGTCATGTTTTTTTATGCTTAGCTACCTGCTACCAATATTTAGGATAGTCGCTTTGTGCAAACATGCGAAGAACCTGTTCGGGAAGTTTCCTGGTTGTAACATGTCATTATGTTGCTTATTATCAGTTTGAATAGAATGGTTAACTGAGTTTGACCTTTTTGTGCCAGATCATTTTGAACTGAAGGCATCCTTTAATACATGAAGAAGACATGCTAGTTGTTGCTGTGGATTCTCTTCATCATATTGCACTTGATTTTCTACCCTGTTATTTGCAGAGAGAGCAAAAAATTCTCGCAGCCATATTGCACAGTTGATTTGCTTAATTGTTCCGGATCTTGCTCTCAATTCTTATTGTAGAAGTTTTTGTCTGCATTTACAATGGATCCATGCCCTATTGATCTCCCCTGCCATTCTTTTTTTTCCAGATTGGGTAACCCCTGTAGTATTGTCGCATGATTATCTCTGTTTTGCTTCTTGCATCTGATGCTTTTGTTTTTACCAGGGAAAAGATTATCCGTCCAACCCTATTCCACCTCAATGCCATGATATATGCACCATCATGTACACAAGTGGGACCAGTGGAAATCCGAAGGGAGTCATTTTGACCCACGATAACCATGCAATGTATGTGAGAAGTGTTGAAGTTTTCATGGAACAATTTGAAGAGAAGGTAAGATCATTTTAACTTTCTAAGTTGGTTTTTTTGTTTTAGACCATCTCTCAGATGCTCAGCAGGAACAACTTTAGATCATTTTTGTTTTTTTCTGCTTATGATTGCGTTCGCAGCATATCCTTACACAGAAATTTATCCTAATTATTTCATTTTTATTCGTTGTTAGATGACAGTAGATGACGTCTATCTCTCCTTCCTCCCTCTTGCTCACATACTTGATCGTATGATCGAAGAGTACTTCTTCTTCAAAGGTGCATCTGTTGGCTACTACCATGGGGTATGCTATTAGGACATTTAAAATTTGGCACTGAAAATCCCAGAGTTGTATCCTGGGATTTATTGATGCTGATTGCTTAATTTATTTCTATTTTTTTCCCTGAAACTCTTCTCCGATTCGTGCATCCCTGCAGGATCTTAATGCCCTAAGAGAAGATCTAATGGAGCTCAGGCCGACATTGTTCACCGGTGTCCCAAGGGTCTTTGAAAGAGTGCATGGAGGTATATGTCTAAATCACCAGATTTCTTCGCTAACACCTTCAGTTTAGGCTTGTCCCTTACAGGTCACTAACCTAAACCTCTCAGGCATCTTGAAGGCATTGGATGAACTCAGGCCTATGAGGAGAAAAGTTTTTAACTTTCTCTATCAGTAGTAAGCTGCCATTTATCCATAGTATTTGCTCATATTGCCTGTGCAATAAATCGTTCTCAGCTTTATTGAAGGCCTATTTATTGTCCATGAAGCAAATTGTCCTGGATGAAAGCGGGATACTCACATAAAACAGCTTCTCGGTTGGCAGACTTCTTGGCATTTCGTAAGGTGTGGTACTTAGTTTTTCTGACTGTGTAGAAAAGTGCATCTTCACATCCTTCATTTCCGTTTGTTTTACTTATGGCTTGCCATGCAGGTCAATGCTCGGTTAGGAGGCCGGATTCGCCTCATAATTAGTGGAGGTGCCCCCATTAGCTCAGAACTTGAAGAGTTTCTGAGGGTCACGAGCTGTTCTTATTTTGTCCAAGGCTATGGTGAGTAAACCCTTTATTCCTTTAGTTAGGCATGCTCATAAATCGGATGAAATATCAGGATACAATAAAAATGAGATTTTTTCTTTGAGGAGAAATTAATAAGTCAGATCAAGAATCTGGATGCAAATCAAAAGACATTTCTTGTTTGGAGAAATAAGAGTTAACACATAAATAGATCCACATAGGTGCATTTTCCGAAATTACTATCAGGATGCAAAAATTATTTTTTCATGTTTGGAGAAAATAGAAAATCAGATTAAATATCGGGGGTGCAGGAAAGAAAAAGAAAGAATTTTCTACTCTTGGAGGTCATTAATAGAAAACATTGTGATTTTTAAAAAAAATATAGATTCTTCTGTCATAACGGTTGTTTATCATAGTTTTTCATCTTTTCTTACAACCTCGTGGCAATCTTTCAGGTTTGACAGAAACATGTGGATTGAGTAGCGTTAATATACCCGATGACATGTCTATGATCGGTACCGTGGGTGTTCCCTCTACATATAATGAGGTTCGCCTTGTAGAAGTGCCGGAGATGGGCTATGATCCCCTGGCAAACCCCTCACGGGGGGAAATATGTGTCCGTGGGAAAACCCTCTTCTCTGGGTACTTCAAGAACGAGGAGTTGACCAGAGAGGTCATCAAAGACGGCTGGTTCCACACAGGTAAAGCTCGCCCCTTCATTTTTAACCGTGGGAATGAGTATCCTCCATGCTCCTATGCCCCAATTAAGCTCTGTCCAATCTCTCTACAGGGGATATAGGGGAGATGCGCCCTGATGGGGTCCTGAAGATCATAGATAGAAAGAAGAACATCTTTAAACTTTCCCAGGGAGAGTACGTGGCCGTTGAATTTCTGGAGAAAGTATATTCCATCTCTACCATTGTCGAAGATGTAAGTCTTCTCCAATGCTTCATATGGAAAAAAAAAAACCCATAGAATTCGCCCGGCAATGATCCACAGCCTGCTAGAAAGCTGTATTTTTTGCATGAATCTAAGCACCCATAACAAAACAAAGAAACTTTTAAAATACCCATCTAGAATTACTTCTTGTATCATATTATTTATATATATATGAGGAATTGTTGGCCTGGTATACGTTCATGATGGTCATTTGCTTGGTGTTAGATTTGGGTATATGGGGACAGCTTCCAATCTACGCTGGTGGCTGTGGTTGTCCCACATCAAGAGAATACGATGAAGTGGGCCGAATTGAAAGGCTACTCGGGCTCATTTTCGGAGCTGTGCTCGCTGGATCAGCTCCGAGATCACATTCTTCTCGATCTGAAGGCCATTGCTGAGAAGGAGAAGGTATTTTTGTCTGTTCTTCGTGTAATTCATGCTTGTTTCTGTCATCTTCCTTGATTAATGATATGTGAAATGAATGTGTGATCTTAGAGTTCAGAAATTCTAAATTATTCTAATCCACCTTCAGATGCTTTAAGGAAGTCGCCGGGTTTCTAGTGTTCTTGTCTCATCTTCTCATCATGCCCCCCCTCCCCTCTCTCTCATTCTCTCTGTGCATCTATCTACCCATCTGTTTGTATATACATGTACAAATATCTCAAGAAAGAGGAAAAGAAGCCAGGTCCCATGGATTATGTATGCTGGGTTTCATTGTGATCGCATCGATTCGGTTTTCCCATTCCTCTCTCTCTCTCTCTCTCTCTCGCTAAGAAAGACCCAGAAGGAGCTTAATCTGCGTCATCGCCTTGTGAAACAGCTGAAAGGCTTCGAGCAAATCAAAGGTGTCTTCCTCGATCCCGAGCCCTTCGACATCGAGAAGGGCCTGGTGACTCCAACCATGAAGAAGAGGAGGCCTCAGATGAAGAAGCACTACGAGGTTAGAACCCTCCTCTCCCCTCTCCAGTCTCCCCCGTTCGTCTCCATTTCCGTAGCTCCTCGCTTTCTCTCTCATCATCCATCCATCTCTTACCGACTGTGCCGCCGCAGGAGGATATCAATCGCCTCTACCGGGGCCTGGCTGGCGTGAAGAAGTCCAACGGCATCATGTAGGACTGGACCATCTCCTGGTTCGTCCCCAAATCACGGTGTGTTCTAGGGTTCATGTAAAATCCTTTCGAAAAAACTTTTTTACTTCTGTATCCTCATCACTTGCCGTTCGTATAATGTAACTTCATATTATTCATATATATATATATATATTTATTTATTTATAAAAGAGATATCAGTTAATGCCGGACGCCACTTAATTAATTAGCTTATTTTCCTCTTTAACTTTACAAAGTGATCGTAATACCACAGTTTTTTGAATCATTTTAGTCCATGTAATTATATCCTGTGTATAATCTAATTTCACATATGCAGTTAATGCGGGATGCCACCGAATTAATTAGCTTATTTTTATCTTCGACGTCATAAGTGGATCGTAATAATATATTTTTTGAAAAGTTTTAGTCCATATAATTATATTCTGTATAACCTAATTCTAGTCTATGTTTTTTTGCATAATCTAATTTCATTTATTCAGAAATGATTATGCAGTTAATGTCGGAGCGGAATTAATTAGCATATTTCCCTCTTCAACTTTATAAATGGATCGTAATACTCTAATTTTTTGAAAATTTTTACTCTATATTATTGTATATATGCATAATATAATTTTAGTGTATATTTTATTGCATAATCTAATTTCCCATATTCAGAAACAATTATAATAAATTGCAGTTAATGCCGGACGCCATTCAATTAATTATTTTATTTTCCTCTTCAACTTTATAAGGTGATGGTAATACTATATTTTTATTAACAATGTTAGTCTAAACAACATAATATACTTTTAGTATATTTTGTTTTTTGTATAAAGTAATTTTACATATTCAGAAATAAGTCTAATAAAATCTCAGTTAATATCGGACGCCACCGGATTAATTAGCATATTTTCATCTTTAAATTTATCAATGGATCGCAATAAAAAAATTTGAAAATTATTAGTTTAAATGATTATGTTTTATGTACGTTTAAATTCAAAGGCCATTGACCAGTCTTCTCTCGCAAGGAGAAATCTGAGCTCGGGTTAAAGTGCGTTCTCTCGTCACACAGGCTTAGTCTTGTTGGCGGGGGGAATTCGGCTGTTCAAGTGGGTTCACGAGAGAGAGAAGTGAAATTTGAGCTCGGGTCAAAAATTGGGGCTCCTCTCATCGCTCTCATATTTGATGGAATCCCAATCTTGTGAACGTATATTATATTTGGTGGAGATCATGTTTTTTATCTGATTCCATCACCTCTCTCTCTCTCTCTCTCTCTCTCTCTCTCTCTCCCCTCTCTCTCTTCAAATTAGGTAGTGTTAAACTAGTAAATACATCTTTTATTTACTTATTACATCTCTTGCAAAACATTAGTGATTGCCTGCCACAGCATGCCGAACTCAGGTGTGATGGTCTGACTGAAGGCTAGTCCAAAGTCAACCAGTAGTAAGCCAAAGTGTGATTGGCTTATTGAGACATCTAAGTAGGCCAAGACATTTCAAATGTTGGCTTTACTTTTGTGATTATAGAAAGCTTTACTCCTTTAATAGAGAGAAGATAATCGATGTGAATTTCATCACTTAAATGCCACAATAATTGGCTGTGATTTTGTTTTCTAATGGGATGTGTGAATAGTCTACTAGGCCCACAATGAGGTCTACTGTCAAGCCAATTATTCGGTTAACATATGATTGTAAGAGTAAGGGTCCATTACTAGAGGGGAAAGTATAGTAAATTGTATAGGGAGGGAGTTGTAAGGGTTTTTTTTAATATGGACCCCTATGGATTGGGTGAAGAGGTCATCAGAAAAAGGGAAAACCAAAAAAAAAAAAAACTGTTGGGGTTTCTCTCTAATAAACCTCCATGGTGACTCTTAAGGTTTTCTTTTAAAACCCTCCCTTATCTTTTTCTCATTTTTTTATGTCATGTTTTCATTGTTTCCTTTAGACATATTTCAGTTTACTTTTTTCATTCTCGATACTCTGGGACGAGATGTTCATATCAATTGGTATCAAAGCATAACACCTCAAAATAGTGATGGGCGATATGAGAACTTAGAGGATGTACATTGTCTACTAGTGATAGAGGTAGAAATACTGAAGATAACTTCTAGAGAGGGTATGATAAAAGAGCTCACATATGATGTCACAATTCTTTGTAACAATGAGGCAGTAACTAGACTACCCTTAGAAGATACAAAGAAGATGGCATGACAGTGGAAGGGTTCCACACAATTACACAATTACACAAAGCAACATTGAGTAGATGATGATTGATTGATTCTCATAAGACTAAGTCATTAGTGTCTATGGAGGACCCAATCAAGGGTAGCTGGGGAGGATGCCATTTGAAATTACCCTTGTCTAATGGGAGAAATTCCATTGGGTAGATCTTCCATGTACAAATATATTTTGAGATGTAGGGCTTTACCATTTCACAATTGGAAAAGTGTTAACCAACTCCCTAGTAAGAGGCTCAGATCACAATTAGCTTGAACACTAAAAGTATTTCTTAAATATCAAGCAACAATGATTAGTGGTCAGGTCTATGTGAGAATTTGAGTTACTGTATAGTGTATTTGATAGAATTTCATAAGAGAATATTGAGAATGTCTTTGTTAAGAGATCAACATTAGAAATTCATACTAAGGTCAAGCTATTCAAGCCCAAGGGGGACTTAGTCATAATATGGAATTTTCTCCTGCAGTGACACTCTTAAGATTGTTGCAAAATTGAGAAACTACAAGATGATGAAGCATGCATTGTATGAGCAAATTGGAGTAGTCAACTCATTACTTTAACTAAATGATCAATAACCATTTATAAACAAGGCAGATAATTGGAGCAACAAAATAGTCTGATTAAGGGGAACATAAATCTAACAAAGGTAGGTTAGAGACAAAAGGCAATTAGCTTTAACAAAATTCCAAAAATGAGTTCAAGAAATGAAGACACAATTGACTATCATGATCAACTACGAGGTCATCATGGAAAATGGAATAGTTATGAGGAGGAAATACGTTGAGGTGTTCTTGGAAATTTAAAGATAAAAAATCACAAAAATATTATTTTTTATTACATTTAAGAAATAGTGTTGTCATTTTGCGAATGCAATGGCTCAAGACTTTAGATGTTATGTTGGTGGATTAGAAAAAAACATAAGATAAAATCTCTATTGGGAAGCACAACACAACAATAACCTTTAGAGAAAAACCCCAATTGTGTAAACCCTAGAAATTTCTTCTAGTTTATAATGTGTGACTATTGATAGGGGCAAAAATCATTCATAAGATTGTTCCATGCAAATCAAAGACACACCAAAGGGTCCTTATTTTCCCAACTCAATGATGGAGCAATGATTAATTAAAACTTTTCTCGAGGTGTTGACATTATGTTGTCAATGCTAGGTTTTAAGCCACACAAATCCAAAAAGAGGAGTTGAATTAATATGTTCCTATTCAATATTAAGATTTTCTAGAATGAATCGATCTTCTTAATTTCTCGAGGTATAGTCTTCTTAAATTGATGGTTGTATGACTAAGAGACATTACCTATATCCACTTTCTAAGAACAAATATTGTTCTTGGGTTCCATTATAAGTATTTGTTTGATCACTAATCATTGATTACCAAGCTCAACTTCATTAGAATTTCTTCTTAGAATTCTCTTTTAATTTATGATTTTAGTTGTCAACAATTGATTAATTGTTCAACTCATACAAGTAATCAAATAAGATTTTAATAATGAGTTTATCCCACAACATATATAAAAAATTTCACCATTACCTCAAAAGATGATGTTGACTTGGGGAGTGTATGAAATTCTAATGAAGAGCATGAAACTTGAGACTTTGATTTTTATGGTCTTCTTCATGTAAGGGTGTTGGTAGATGATGGAAGGTGATTGACATGACTTAATTGTTGTATAACAAATTTAAAATTTAGAAAATTAGAAAATACTAAATTTAAAATTTTTAGAACTATTTTTTATAAACTAAATAAATTATAATTAGATATAAGGGTTTAAAAATAGTAATTTTTTAAAATAAATCATAGAGATGTAATATAATGTCAAGTAATATTTTAGAATTTTTCACAAAGAGTATAAATTTTTTATATTTTTTAGACCAAATAATAAAGATATAATATATTTAAGATTTATGAAAAAAGGAAATAAGGGTACATATGTTAGGATGTTGTCACTAGCCTGATGAATGTGAATTAAGTAGAAATAGAGTTTTGATTGTTGATTTTTATGTAAGTTATTATAGATGATTGAATTTATTAAATTAATATTTGTAAAAATTAGAAGAGCCGTATTTGAATGAAGAAGGTTTTCAAAACTTAAAATTAAACAATCTATCAATAAATTAAATAAAATTAAGTTTAAAGTAGGAATGTTAGAATTTCAATTTTGTGATAGTGATCGTTAGAATTTTGTGTTCAATATAATTGTCGTGTAATGTTTATAACCTCAAAAGCTCTCTTTGAATAATGATGACGTGGTCAATTTTTAAATCTTCTAGTGAAGTCTAAAAAATCAATGAGTTGGGTCGACAAATTATCTCTAGTGGCTGTCACCCAGTGGAGTGAAAAACGATAATTTTGTGGAATGTTCGGCAGCTATCATTCAATAGAGATAAACAAGATAGAGATGGGACACATCTTAAGAATCTTTATTATCATGTTCACACAACAAGAGGAGTCTCTTCATCACATTTAAAATGTTCTCAAGAGGTGGTGATTCATTTCTTAATAGATTGTCTTCTTCTCGATGACGACTCATTCATTAATTAATTAGAGATAATTTACTCAATAGATTTATGATATTTTTATCTATAATTATTCAATAATTAGTAATGATGCTCCACGAATCACGTTAATAATATTTTCATCAACGATTGAGTGATTCTAGTAGCTTGTGGATCTTCAACACTTATGTAAAAAAATTAAGATTTAATCAGATAAAAATATGAGTTTTGGTTATAGTGAGATTTGAATATTTGCCGATCGCTTGCCTACATGAGAGAAAGTAAAATAAGTATATAAATATCCTTATATGTTGATGTCATAAGGATATTTCATTCTCATAAATTAGGGGTATTATAGATATTAAAATTAATAAAAACCTTTTAGGAAGTTGTGACAAGTTTGGTCTCACATTGATTATTTTTTAAATTTTGAGACAAATATATAATAATACAAGATTCTCTAAATAATAACTCTCTCTTCTCTCTCTCTCTCTCTCTCTCTCTCTCTCTCTCTCTCTCTCTCTCACATGTGTACAATCATTTCTTGCCCCATGTTTGGTTGGCCACTAGTGACGTGGAAGGGGAATGACACATAGGTGCCCCGCCGACCCTTAGTCGTTTGAATTAACTTGCTCATTGTTCCATCCAAATGTGCTTCTGACCTTCTTGCGAGCCCAATTGGTTGACATGTTCTTTTTTTCCTACATTTTTATTTTATTTTATTTCTCTTCATTTATCCAAAAAATATTATTATAAAAATTAACTAAAATTTATTATTAATAAATTATTATTAATAAATTATTATTATAATAATTTAATATAAATATATATATTTATCATGAGTTAAGACTTAAACTATATTATTAATTAATTATTAACTCATAATAATGAATACTTATCCGTTAAGGCTCAAATCTAACAAACTTCACCTCTAATAAATTATTATTAATAAATTATTTATTTCTCTTGTAAGATTATTATCCGTTAGGTTGTATGTGAGTGTTTTATATTAGAGCGAAAGAAATCTAAATTGGAGAACATAAGTGCTATTATTATACTTTTGCTCTTGATGTGTGAGCTTATTTTATTTATTCAGGGACAAGGAACATGAGCTCATAGTTTCGGCCAAAAAATGCCGTCGTAGCATTGGAAGACAGAAATTATTGAAACGTGAAATGACAACAGCCGGGGTTATTTTGCTCCTTGATCCTCTCGTCTTCGAAGCAGACAGTTGGGCACGTAGAAGGGCTTCTTTCATCACGCAGTCTCTGACATGGCTAAGTGGGGCATTTTCTGCGATCCCAATGAGGAAAGCAACAGTGAGATTGTATGTACGTGTAAAAGAGCAAGCGAGTGAGAGAGAGAGAGGTTCATGATGTGTTAACATACCGGAGGTGGAGGATCGCACAACCTGATGCACTGACTGGAGTTATTGTGGATATGGTTGATGTCGCACCAGTCAAGAGCCACCAACATGCAGATGACCCATCCTGCTTTGGGATCCACATCAAAGCACATATCGTACACATGGAAGAAGCAGGTCTCTCCGAAGACGCATTCAGGGAAGCACCAGAACCATTTGGGCCACTTGATCTGCGCGAATGCCACTTCATCCGCATTAGCCTCGGCCTCTCGAGGGAAAGCGGTAGTCAACAGGAGAACCATCATGCACGCAGCCGACCAGATCTTCGACATCATCCTGGCACCTCTCTCTCTCTCTCTTTATCTCTCTTTTTCTCTCTTTTTCTCTCTCTTTCTCTGGCCTGCTCCCTTTGCGATGTGGGAAACAGAGGCCAAGGATAGGAATATATAAGTCGCCCCAGGCCGGGGAGTTTCGTATGTAGTAAATGAAGTATTTCGTAACATCTGTGTGCGGTGAGTTATATTACTCCCTCAGATAACGTCCGCCAAGCCGTTCCCGTTCCTTTCTTTCGGTTTTATCCCCACCTCAATTCTAGGTCCAGGCCTATGCATCGGACGAACCGCTCCTCCTCTCTCTCTCTCAGTCTGTCACATCGGAGGTCGGACAGAGTGGGAGAGATTGCTACACTCAGAGAGAGACGTGAGGTTCCCATCGGACGAGATTGCAGGGACTGTCTCCGACAGAGAGATAGAGAGGCGGCATAGAGAACACATAGACGCCGATCCGGAAGGCAACATGCAGAGGAAGCGAGAGATTCGTAGACGCTTTGAATGGGAGGGGCGAGAGATACTACTAAAGATCCGTCGCTGGTGTGCGCCATGGGAACCGGGTGGAGGAGGGAATTCTGCACGATCATCCATCGGGACGCCGACTCTTCCCCCCCAGTAGAGCCACAATCAAGCCCTATCCCGAAGACCGGTGCCAAGCTGGGTTTCTTCCGCAGGAGCCGCAGCAGCCCCTCCATGCCACACCTCCAGCATCAGACGCAGTCACGGCCCTCAACCCCCGCCCTCCGCTGCCGGACCCAGTTGCCGACAGGTTTCAACGACAGCGACGCCACCGAAAGGGCCACTCTACAGAGCCAGATCTCGGCCACAGCACTCCTGGCCGAACCAGCCACGCCGAGAAGCCACCGCCAAAGCCGGAGGCCACCGTTCGTATCGTCGAATCCGTCCTCCCCACGTTAGCCCTCCCGCCTCTCGCCCTGCTACTCAGGGACAACTTCCGTTTGACCTGGGTAAGCAATTCGTTCGATGGTGATTTGGTCCCCACCCCCCTCCGTTCATTCCCCTTCCATAGAGACGCAAGGCGTCGTTCTCTCCCCCCTCACCGTCGATTCCCTTTCTTCGTGTCCTATGCTTCTCGTCCTTCCCCTATCCCGTCGAATCCCGCGTTTGCGGGATTGCTGGGTGCGCGCCTTGAGTTCGTCCCGGTGGAAGCTTTGATGGGCTTCTTTCCTTCGATGGAGACCGATTCTCACTCTTCCAGTAGCCTTCTTCTCTCAAGGTCTCCCCGTTCCATGGGCTCATCTCCGTCTCGCGTTCTGTCTTCGCGGATTCAGCACAAGCTCATTGCGACTAAATCCTGTCAGCCTTTTTAGTTCGTCCATGCCAAAAAAAGGAGGGTTTCTACTTCGGGCGTGGGAGTCATCCCATCGGAACTTACTGCGGTGTCACCCCTGGGCCGGATTTTTGGTCTTTCGCTCCAACTTCTTCATTGGAATCGCGGAATTCTGTAGAGTAGCAGCCGCCACTGCAGTACGATTTGATCGCTTCTTACCATCAACTGGCTTCTTCGGGCTTCCAGAGCAGGTGTGGTATCTGTCTGCAAAGCGTGAGGACGGGGAAGGGCACCGCTATTTTCACTAGCGAGTGCTCTCATACCTTCCACTTCCAATGCATAGCCAGCGACGTGCGCAACCAGAAGTCCTGCCCAATCTGCTCTTCTGCCTGACGCCAGGTACCAAAGGCAGCAGGACCCTGCTCCGGAACAGGGGAAGCTTTCGGCTGCGGTTCCGCGGAAAGCCGACACGGCAATCTCTGTCGTCGGCGCTAAAGTGTACGATGACGACGAGCCTTTCCTGAACAACGCCACTACCTGCTTCCATCCGATACCCGAAGCAGAGGACGAACGTGCGGAGGGAGAATTAGGGTATGGGGTACCCGTGGCGCTCTCTCCCAGTTGCACATCTCCGCCTCGCCGTCAGCACGCTACCAATTGCGGTGTGCGAGTCACGGCCAGTTCCGATGTTGCCTTGCTGTCCGTAGGCCGTGCCCACGAGAGCCACGTCGTCACCCTCAAGGTCAAGTCTCTGACGCCGGTCTCAAATACGGCGGCAACGGCGGCGGCTGCGCCTCTCCTTGACCCCTCCCGCCGCGCCCCCATCGACCTGGTGACAGTGCTTGACGTGGGGATGACCATGACTGGCGCGAAACTCCAAATGCTGAAGCGGGCAATGCGCCTCGTTGTCTTCTCCCTTGGGCCTTGTGACAGGCTATCCACAGTAGACATCTCCGCATCCTCCGCAAAGAGGTTGCTCCCCCTGCGGAGGATGTCACCGGACGGACAGCGCTCGGCCCGACGGATCGTGGAGAGGCTCGTCTGTGGAGGGGGCTCATCCGCCAGGGATGGGCTCAGGAAGGCAGTCAACTTGCTCGAAAACCGGAGGGAGAGCAACCCGGTGGCTGCCATCGTACTGCTCACCGACAATTAGCAGCACAAGGATGACTGTGGCAGGCGGCGGCGGGAATGCCATTCGTCTGACACGTCGTATTCTGCAAGAACGAGATTTGCTCATCTCGAGGTACCCGTCCACGAATCAGGTTTCGGCGCCGAGGAGCACCAAGAACACGCTGAGGATTCGTTCGCCCGCTGTGTGAGAGGTCTTCTCAGTGTTGTGTGCCATGACGTACGCCTTGAGCTCTCCTTCCCCTCCGGCGAGGTTTGCTCCGTCTACTCCAGTGGCAGCCGGCCCGTCGCCCTTGGCGGTGCGGGTAATTTGAGAATGGGGAACATGTATGCTGGCGAGGAGAGAGAGCTGCTTGCGGAGCAGAGAATGAACTCCGCCGTCCTACGCGCTGGTGCCTTCCAGCCCCTTCTGGTGAGTTACTCATACAGAAATCCCGCCGCTCAGGAGCTGGTCCACGGATGGGAGCATACCCTCCCGGTGTTCCTCACCCTCCGCCAACGTCCAGTCGCCGCGCCCAACGTCGAGCATCTGCGGAACGTCTTCATCACGGCCCGGGCCATCGCGGAGGCTCAGCGCCTATCAGACAACGATGACTTCGCCACGGGGCTTCACCTCCTCGTTTCAGCCCGCCGGCTGCTGCTCCAGGGCAGCTCGATCTGCCTCGACTAGAACCTCCGGGTCGTTGAGCCAGAGCTTGAAGAACTCCGGTGGCGGCAGCAGAGTAGGAACGGGATGACAGAATAGCCGACGCCCTCAGCCTTGGAGAACAGTACTGCCGCGGAGGCTCTGACACCGATGTCCGCGTAGCGTGCCGCGGAGAGGCTGGCGAAGCTGGCCATCATGAGGAAGTCGCTGAACCGGGTGAGCGAATAAATATCTAGATCTATTATCATTGTTTCCACCTTCATCAGCATTCTATGAGAGGTAAAATCAACCTCTTATCCATGCTTGTCTCAATCCAGTGTCATACTCAGTCCTCCTCAATCCGTCTCCCTCTATTCAGCATTACTTATATGTCCTTCATAGTCTAGTGACCAGAGTTCTCCAGTCCACATTGCTACAGTCTATGTTGTCTTGTGTTGTTTGCTCACCTCTACTTTCGTCAAAATGGCCTTTACCTTCTAATTCCTCTGTGAGTTCATTACTTGATCGGTGGGAGGGGTGCTGGCCTGCACCTCCCATGAGAGCTAAGCCCCATCATCATATCAAACATCATAGCTAAGAGCCTTTGCATTAGATCTTTGCACTATGCAGATCTCCAAGCAGATGGATACCCTCCACATGCTTGGTGCCACCCTATCAACTATCTTATGACTACAAGGTAGGTTCTGCAACCCTAGGACATAATGAGCATCATGATCCAGTCACATGTGTTTATCATATCCATGGTGAGCTGTCCTTGGGCATGCCAAGCATCGGAGGAACCAAAGGTGTCACCAAATCCACAACCTCAATGGTAGTCATTTGTGAGTACCATAAAAGGGAGAGTTGTTGCCACAACAGATCTTTGTCATCACCAACAAGTGAATGTTCAAAAAACAAGATTTTTTGTCATCACCAATTTAGTCAAGATGAATTTTCAAAGTTCATTCTCAGGGTTTGTTGGAAGTTCTAAGTTGTAGAAAAATAGTGTAATTAGTTGAGAGCGTTTTGACAAAAGTTGTGTATTATTACTCCTTATATAATGAGGGTTAGAGTTGAATGAATCTTGAGGTAGTTTTCACCATTCTCCCCTCCGTCCTTCGTGATGAGGTTTTTTCTCCATTTACAATAGGTTAAGATCATAGATGAGATAAGAATGATCTTCTACTGTCTACTTTTCTTCTAATGAACATAGATTTGAAAGGTTGAGATATTGATATGATATGTTCATTAAATGACTTAAATGTCTTTATGTAAAACTAACATGTGATCTTGTTAAAATTAACATGTATTTGATTTGTACAATTCAAAACATTCTAATAAGAATCCAATAGTGCAAACTAAGAAAAAATAATATATCTTATTATAGTAGTAGTTTACTAATCAAAACTAATATGTCACCTCAAGTAAATTATAATCATCAAGAAGACATCTTGAATCATGATCTCAATAATGTTGGCATGTTATTATTGTTAATTTGTTGAAATATATGAGAGAATGATTTGGGAACTAATGAATTTGTCTAGAATGAAGAGATAAAAAATATTTGAACTCCTCAAGTTATCTATGAGGAAGACATTAATATTGACTCTACTAGATTACTCTAAACCCTTTGTTTTAGAAATAGATGAATCAAATTATGTAGGTGTTGTTTTAATATTTAACTAATAGTTGATTGTATATTTTAGTCAAACTCTTTCTTAAAAAAATAACTCAAATAACCATTAGTGATACAAAAATGGCACCACTATTTATGAGATAAATATTTTATTATCAAGACATATCCAACTAGCTTCAAGTATTTATTAATGTCATGTACCACCCCAATACTAAAATGTTTGTCCTAATTAAATTCAACTTAATTTTTAAATAAGGTATAAAGGAGGATGCAATCATATGTCTTATGTCTGATCAGTGAGTGCCTATGGTGAGTGAAAAAAGTAT